TGACCATCTGTGACATGTCCATCCCACCCTTCATAGAACATCTCATGGAATCCTTTGCTGGATATGTGGTGTATGTGATGATAGATCTCTACTCCAGGTATGACCAGCATGCACTTCACATTGATTCCTGTGACCTCACCACCTTTGGTACCCCTCTTGGACCACATTGGCTTACTACTCTGCTGCAAGGTCATGTGAATGTGGTACAGGTATACCAGGGAGATACTGCATTTGTTCTCCAGGATGAGATCCCACATCATACCTTGCCCTTCATAGATGATGTGCCTGTAAAATCTGAGACCACCCACTATCATTGCACAGACAGCTCCTATGAGACTATCCCAGTGAATCCTGGGATTCGGAAATTTATCTGGAATCACTGTCTAGTCATTAACTGCATCCTTCAGCATTTACAGAACATTGGAGCCACTGTCTTGGCAAAGAAGTTTGTGCTTGCCACTCTGTTCACTGTGATTGTTGGCCACAAGTGCACCTTTGAGGGTTGCATTCCTGAAGAAAGCAAAGTGCAGAAGATCCACAACTGGCCCAAGTGCTGCAACCTGACACAGGTTCACAGTTTCCTTGGTGTCTGCAGTGTACTACACATCTTCATCAAAAACTTCACCAAGATCATGCAGCTGCTAGTCACACTCACATGGAAAGACATACCATTCACATGGGATGAACTGCAACCTGCTGCCATGCAACGACTCAAGGATGAAATTGTAAAGTCCCCCACACTCCAAAGGATTGACTATGAGTGTGGTCATGAAGTAATTTTGGCAGTTGACACTTTGGCCATTGCAGTTGGCTACATCCTCTACCAGCTCAGTGACGATGGCAAATGGTACCCTAGTCACTTTGGATCCATCACCCTCAATGAAGTGGAAAGTCACTACTCCCAGGCTAAGCTTGAGTTGTATGGTCTCTTCCATGCATTGTGTGCAGTACATGTATACATCTTCAGTCTCACTAACTTCACTGTGGAGGTAGATGTGAAGTATATTAAGGGTATGATAAATAACCCAGATCTGCAGCCTAATGTGATGATCAATTGGTGGATTGCTGGTGTCCTCCTCTTCTTGTTCAAACTCATCCACATTCCTGTGGACAGGCATGCTGGTCCTGACAGCTTGTCCTGCTGTCTGTGGTCAGAACTCAACCTGCCTGAGGATGACAACCACAAGGATTGGCTAGACCATTTTTACTCATTCTCTACAGAAACCATCAATGACAGCCCACCTCCTACATCTCTTTCCAATCAAGATCATCATTCCTTACTGCCACCCACTTACCATCAGGCATGCCTCCCACTGCCTGCATCCTTCTATCTCTCATTCTCTGCAACTGCCCATACTGATGACCCTGCCATCCTGCAGTCCATGAAAGCTCAGGCACATGAGGCAAAGATAGAAATGATCTGCGCATTCTGTGCGACCCATGAGCAACCTCCTGACCTTACTGATGTGCAGTACTCATCTTTCTTTAATTTGGCCAGCTGCTTCTTCCTCCTGGATGGCAACCTATGGTGTAGGGAACCACACAGATAGTACCAGCTAGCTGTCAACAAGTCCAAGTGGTATCACCTCATCAAGGAAGTGCATGACAACCTCAGACACAAAGGTGTCTTCACGGTCTGCATGCACCTTCTCCTCCACTTTTGGTGGCCTCTTCATGTTGAGGATGTGAAGTGGTATGTTCACACTTGTCATGAATGTCAGATCTGCCAGATGCAGAAGCTTCATATCCCTCCCACTGTGCCCATGATAGGGGGCCTGTTTCATAAAGCTCACATTGACATGATGCTGATGACCAAAGCCAGTGGCTACTGCTACATAGTACAGGCTCATTGCATGCTCACCTCATATCCTGAATGGCACATGTTGTGTGCAGAAAATAGTACCATGCTTGTGTCCTTTGTCTTCAAGAACATTCTATGCTGCTGGGGTCTGCTTGCCAAGATTGTCACTGACAAGGGTCCCACATTCATCCAAGCCTTAGATGCCCTAGCCATGCAGTATCATATCCATCACATCTGTATCTCTCCTTACAACTCTCAGGCTAATGGTATTGTAGAGCATTGCCACTATGATGTGCACAAGGCTATCATGAAGAGCTGTGAGAATGATGACTGCCACTGGCACACCATTACACACTCTGTGTTCTGGGCCAAGTGAGTCACCATCTTGAAGTCCACAGGCCTATCCCCCTACTTCATGGTACATGGTGTCAAGCCACTGTTCCTGTTTGACCTTGCTGAGGCTACATTCCTCCTACCCCTATCCCATGATGATGTGACACTGCCAACTACCACAGAACTGATCACATGGTGCATGTGCCAGTTACAGAAGCATCAGGATGACCTGGACCAGGTCCACAATAATGTCCTCTGCACATGTTTCCAGTCTATCCAGCAGTTCGAAGCTGCCTTTCAGCACCACATTAAAGACCATGACTTTGCTCCTGGCACCCTCATGCTCATTTGCAACTCCTGTGTAGAGAAAGAACTGAACTGGAAGACAAAGCCATGGTACACTGACCCCATGGTCATCCTTCATTGGACCACTGGGGGTTTGTACCTGCTGGCTGAGTTGGATGGCTCTATCTCTAGACTCTGCTTTGCTGCATTCCACCTACTTCCCTACCACCATGTGGCAAAGCTATTTATGTCCTCCATGCCACATGGCTGACCAGGGATGGTCAGCATCAAAGTCCCCCACAGGTGTAAGGAATCTGCATTCCTTGGACACATAAGCCCCTATCATCAACCATTCCATGACCATCATTACATTCCCAGACCACTCACATCCACCATTGTTTGCATGCTATCTTCCCATGCCCTCACTCCCTCTTGTTCAAAGCTATACCCATAGCTGCTGTGCTTTGGCCACCTCCCTTCCTTTGAACTCCTTCTTTTAACACAGTCTCTGTTCCCCTTTTGTTAGTAGTATACCCTTGGCCTCTGTTCTGGCCTGCCCTGTCTTATGTGTAGGCACTGTCATGTGCCCTTTTCCTTACTTGTATTCAGTCTTACTTAGGTTCTGAGTTTGCCCAGACTATAAAGCCCTGTACTTAGGTACAGAATGATACCTTTTGGCACTTGGAAGGTCACCACAAGTTACCTTTTCACTTTGCCTACACTGCACATCTTGCATACTGCTGCACATGAACTGCATATACTGCTTGCACTGCCAGCACCATTCCATGGACCACACCACCCACATCATGAATCACTACTGCTACAAAGCACTGGGTCTCACCTTCTAGTCTCAACAGTCCAGAACCCCTTGGGACAAGCAATTCATTCCCTTCATTTTTATTGTTGTTATCTAAGCCATCTAGCTCATATTATACAGCTACTTGGACTTTTCCTACAACATGCTTACCATAGTTGATGCAATACCAGTGTCATAATGCTTCATCAGTGGGTGGCCCTTGAGGGAATGGATCTTGTGAAATTATAGACCAATGGAAATTCTCCATCAAATGATGCCATTCATCCTCCAACCTCTGTTCCACCTCCACCTCAGAGTATTGATGAGGGGGCATTTCCAGAACAGATTCTCCATGACCCTCGGTCATGGACATACTTCCTAATGCTTCTTCTTGTTCTTCCTTGAGGACTGATCTGAAAGAAGTATCAGACTTCTGATCATCTTCTTCTTCTGAACTAAGCATGACTTCAGTTTCTTGGAACCAACTGAGATATGATAAACAGGGGTTTGTGGCTGTGGCTGAAGGTCCTGGTTGACATAAGGGAGGTAAAGGAGGATTTACTCTGAGACCTTTACATATGGGTGGTCTAGCAGGAACTGGGGGTTTGGGCCTTTGTTGGTTAGACACTTTAACAGATAGTGACAATGAAGGCTGAGGGAGGACTTATTCCTTGAAAGAAACCTGTCAGCAAAAGTGGTGTTGGATGAGTGACTTTACACATAGGGAGACACAAGTCTGAGCTCAAGGGAGGTGATCTATTAAAGCCTAATGGCTGCCTGTAGAGTGGTAAAATTGGTTGAGGGTAGAGGGGTGTCTTTCTGTGTTCGTTACATGGTGGAAGACATGAGGCAAGTCAGATTTTTTTTGTGAAGGGAGACCAACAAGCCTTTAGAAAAGTTCTGTGAGGAGTAAAAGCAGGTTTTGTTGAAGTTCAGTAAACCAAGGACAAGTTGCCTCTCAAGAAGAGGGTAATGAGTCCAATAAAAGCTGCATTGAGTTTTTCATTTTGTTATGCCTGGGTTGAGTGACTTTGTCAAATGGACTAGTCATGAGTGATGTGAGGGGGAGTCTATGGGCCAAACTTGTCATAACCCCTATGGCTCAGTTATTGTGAAAGTCCAACAGAGGTTTGCTCCACTGGTGAGTTGTTTTGGGATCACAATGGGGAGGGAACAAGCACAAAAGCAAAGGGATGAAGCTGAGTTGCAAGCTATCAAAAAACTGAGGATACAGAGTACAGTACAGCTGTATAAATACCTCAGGACATGAGTACCATACAGGTCATGCCAAGGCAATGGTAAGTATCCACAGCAGTAAACAATGAAATAGAAAAGAGTCATATGGTGTCACATGATGGGGATAGTCAAGGGGACAAAGGCTAGACTGGCTGTGCAATCAATGCACAGCAAGGAGCCAGACACTGGAGCAAGAAAGAGACATGTGAACAATATAAACAAGTCAGAGATAAAATACAAAATAGTCCACAGTATCAGAGAGGGTGGTGGAAAACTGGATCTCTATGGATCCACAGCATCAGAGGGTAACAGAAATACCACAACTGCCAGAGATCTGAGCTGTCCCTCAAGCATGGACAAGGCTAGTATGACAACAGTTATGAGGGATGCAACAAGGCATGTGATGCACATGACCATGAGATGTTGAAAACAGAAAGACCCCTGATGTGGGTGTAACACACATCTGATCATTGCTGTGCAAAACAAGTGCTCAATCATCAACTGGACTTCCAAGAACAAAAGTCACTCATTGAGGAAGTTGTTGAGTCAGCTGGTCACCTATGTATCTTCCTTCCCAAGTTTCACTGTGAACTGAACTTTATTGAGTACTTCTGGGGAGCTACAAAATGGTATCTGCACAGTCATTGCAACTATACATTCACTTCACTTCAGATAAACATGCCACAAGCTTTGGCATCAGTTGATGTTCACACCATTTGGAAATGGGAACATCAGACAAAGTGGTGGATGGAGGCTTATAGAACTGGACTGGGAGCATGGGATGCACAATTTCAGGTGCAAGCATTCAGCTCGAGGTGATACAAGTCACACTGGCAAAAGCAGTGGAGGGTCATTAACCATATATGGTACTTGAAAAGGGTCACCTTCCTAATTAGATTGTTCACATGCCACAGTGCAAATTTGGTCAAGGTAGAAATTTATAAACTTCTTCATTTTTTTGATAATCAAAAATTGGGTTAGTGGAGTTGTTCTAATGATCAATTAGGGTGTTTTCACTAAGCAACGAAGGCATACATCAAGATTTGTGTGTGCCATAACATTTGTACAAAAGTAGTGGTGATTAGGTGAAGTGCACCATACATCCCCCTGGACATCCTCAACGGTCCTTATCACTGCATCAACTTTCCATCTGTCTGTCGAGCAGAGATGACAGTCGGGGAAGAGTGGCCGACCTAGAGGAGGCTGTGACGCTCGGACGTGCTGCACTAGAGCTCCGTCCATAAGGGCATCCCGATCGTGGCAATTGTCTCAGTAGTCTCGGCACCGCCCTCAGGAAGAAGTTCCAGAAACAAGCGAACATCGTCGAGTTGGATGAAGCGATTGAGCTGCACCATGCAGCTTTGCAACTCCGTCCCGCTGGACATCCTCAACGGTCTTCATCGCTCCACAGCCTTGCTCTCTGTCTTTCAGATAGATATGACAATCAGAGGGTAGTTGCTGGCTCGAGGGAAACTGCGGCGCTTGGCCAGGTAGCACCGGCATTCCGTCCACCGGGGCAACCTGACCGTGACCCAGCTGATCTGGACGAGGCTATTGTGCTCGAGCAAGAAGCCGCGCAGCTACTTACACCCGGAGACCCTAGTCACGACATATCTCGGCGGTGTCTCACGACCTATCTCCAAGTGAAGACCAGGTCACAAGTTGCTACACCACCCTCCAATACCTCACTTGCCATCCACTGTGACATTAAGGAAATCATCCATAATATTGCGTTTGAAACCCTCAAAGCCACCCCGCCCAGGCTGCTCCACACGCTTACTGGTGTCCTATGCAATCGGGATGCACAGATATTCCATTTTATGGCCAGTCAGCAATACAATCAACTGCTGTCTTCGTGTATAACTTGCAACCGGGATGAGCGAATGAACCTTATCCATACTGAAGTCTCAAGATACTTCCGGTTCGTCACACTTTCTCACCGCTGAGGCGAAGGCGAGCCATCATTGCGCGACATCGAGGGCCGCCGGATATATGGTATGTCAGGAAGGCGGGGCTTGAGAAAGCTCCAGGCCTTTTGTACTGCCGCCTGCGAGCTGGATTACCTATGGGCATGGAGTGACACGTGCTGCATAGACAAAGGTAGCAGCGCCGAGTTTCAGGAAGCGATAGGATCAATGTTCGCGTGGTATCGACACTCCTTCCTGACCATTGTCTACCTTTCTGACGTTCCCGATACCTCTACACCCAGACGTGGTCACTCTACAAGAATCTCACGTCTTCAAACCATAAAGCCGATGCAGCTATACTGGAAGAGCTGGAGAGGGAAACCGGAATAGAATCCCCGTTCCTCACCAATTTTTCTCCGGTGTGAATGATGCACGTTCGAGGCTGCAATGGTCATCGTTGCGTCGTACCACCCGACCTGAGGATATCACTTATTCACTTTTCGGGATCTGTAATATCCACCTACCGGTCCTGTATGGTGAATCTGCCGAGAATGCGCTTGGCCGTCTCCTGGCCGAACTCATATCGCAGTCTGGGGACATCTCGATCCTGGATCAGTGACCATGGTTGATTCCGGTGGCGCAGCAATGGATGTTTCCACGCCACAATTAGGTAATCGTCATTCGACTCGAATCAGCCAATGCCTCGCTGCAGTCAGCGGACAGCTCGACATCTACGGCACTCGGTGCGTTCGTCCACTTCCATCCTCATCGAAATAAACCTGATTCATGATACCAATCAAATGTTAAAGATCTGATGCCTTGGGTCATGGAAGACGTCCGCAAAGCACAGCAATGCGAGGCAGACAACATGCTCGAGTGCATATTGAGCCGAGCTTCGAACTCGCCAGGTGACCGTATCGACTTGGAGAACCGTCCCGTATTAAAGAAATGCATGAATGCAGTTCTGCCCATATGTAATGGGCAATCTCAAGGTAAGGAACCGAGACACCCGGCCTCGAAGATCAAGGAGACTCTCAAAGAGTAGTAAGTTTCGTGACTTGCATGCCGGTGTTGATGTCAGCGTTCTTTGCTAATGTCTTGTACCAGCGCGTCGTGTAAACAGGAGGATGGCTTGTACCGGCCCTTCGTCGTGGCGTCCAACATCGCTCTCGCGCACCTGAAAGAGCTGAAGATCGATGGTATGCGTGTAAAGGAGAGCGAGAAAGTACAGATGTTCTTTCAGCGCAACGATCCAAAGGTCATCCATCAAGATCACGCAGAGGATAAGTCCATACGCAAACCAGATGTCATCGTTTGTCCATTCGTGAACGACGCCGAATATTTTAAAAAAAGCTAGATCCAGCAGCTGGGACGAGCATATATCGGCGATAGGTCAAGGTAAGACACTCGCAGCAAGGTCGTGGAACGATGTGCTCGGCGTCTTCGAGTTCAAGCGAGCCAAGTCGGGAATGAAGCCTCCTCCCGATGAATGCTCCGTGTCAGAGTACCGAGCTTCCCAACTAAAGTTTTTGAAGATTGGCAAGGACGAAAATGAACTGGAAGAAACAGAGCCGCAAGTGGCTTCTGTTGCCGAGCGAGCGATACTCTCAAAGCCGGTTGACGGTAAGTAATGGAACTACACTGTCCAGTCAGGTTTAACATGCGGCCAATAGTACGCAGATCACCTCGCATCAACCTTCCAGGAGGCGCTGGAATGGCATCCAGGAAACGCACGGCGGGGGCCGAACCTGAGCCTCGCTCGAGCAGGCGACCTAGGGCGCACGTAACAATTCAGACAGCGCTGTACGCTGCTGAGATGCAGACCGCCAATATTGCGGGGAAGCATGCCCTCAATTGCATTGTCATAGGTGCGTATTTTTTCTCGCTAGTGAGCGGATTGCGCTGGACACCTTTCAGGCGACGACATTTGGATTTGGTATTACGACCACCAAGGCCTCATCAGCGTGGCAGGGTTCAATTTTGTTCAAGATCTCCCTCGCTTTCTGGTGTTGTTATACGCTCTCCAGCGATTCAATTTGGAGGACTGGGGTCGAAACACAGACTTTGAACCGCAGCTCGAAGGCGACCGCGTCAAGTCCTACATCCTCGAGGTCGATGGATACACACTGGAACTTTACAGGAAGAGTGACCCCCACATGGTGTTGGCAGGACGTGGGACTAATGTTATGGACGTCACCTGCGAAGGCCTAATGCCGGGCAATTCGAAGGAAAAGGCCGACGAGCTGGCGGCGAAAATTTACTGGGCGGAGGAGGCACGAGTCCCAGAGGAATGTATTTTGCGCCGCGTCATGGCAATTGCGGATCCCACCGTCAGAGGACATGTGCCGGATTTGTGCTTTGCGAAGAGGTTTCCGGTTTCCACATCTACAATTAGGGAGGCTCTTGGCCTCGAGAACCCTGACAAAGGCAGCAAGACGCTCGTCCTGCTCGTATCAAAGAAGCTTTCGCCAGTCTACGAGCTCCCAGGTGACGAAATGTTCGACACATGGCGGCAGTGCGTTTTGTGTAAGCTCCGCTTTGTTTTTGCAGTGTCTTGGTTCTGACAGTCATTCTATTCTAGGTCACTATACTCTCTGGAGCAAGGGGATCCATCATCGTGACGTGAGCCACTCAAACCTGATGTACTATAGGGATGGCAGCAAGGTGATGGGCGTCTTAAATGATTACGACCTTTCGTCTTTAACAGATTTTGACAACCCGATGGGTGACGAGCGGACTGGAACAATGCCGTTCATGGCAATCGATCTCCTCGAGAAAGAGGGCCTGGATGGCAAAGTGGAGCACCTATACCGCCGTGATATGGAATCGTTCGTCTACATATTCATCTGGATTTCCCTGCAGTACAAGAACGGCATCTCGCTGAAGCCAGGACCCCTGGATTCATGGACCAAAGTCGATGCCCGTGGATGTTCGGAGAAGAAGAGCCATTTCCTGGCTCTCCATGAAGTGCCTGAAGACGTCGACAACTACGATCTTGTGATGGATCTCATGATCTTCCTTGCGCAGAGACTCAACGCTCATAATCATCGCAAGGCAACTGAAAAAGCTGCTCGACGACGGCTGGCAGATGCACGTTCTTCAGATGCTGTTAAAGCCACTGCACAGAACACACTCAACACACTCGGAGACCTTCGGGAGGAAGAAGACGAGGAGGTGTATAAAGCATTTTTATTGGAGATTCCATCAGTAAATTGATAAATGCCAGGCTTCCCACCGTAACATAGAATTTGGCTGTATCACCATTGTTACCCTTATAAATGTATGCTGCATGTGCAAGACCTCAAGATATACAGTAATGGACTGGCACTTGTGCCACCCACCAGCAATTGTGTCAGCATGAAATACAACACCACACACATGAAAACATCTGTATAGTGTATGTAGCAATGATATATTATAGTAAGGAGCAATGTTATACAAAGAAATGGAATGTTTTATTGCAGGATGTTTCACAATGCTCAAATCAAAGTGTAAAATCTGCAGTTTTTTGAGTATATCACTGGTGGGTGTACCAGCACTTGTCACACTACTCTGGAATTATCATATGTTGTTCATTACAGTATCACCTACAAGCATGTGCTACAACTACATATGATCTGCACACATGAGACTTGCCAGAGGGATGCCAGTGTGGGACACTACCTCCAGGTAGTGTGCAATTAGGGGGAAAGCTGTAGGGCAATCCCTAGGCTTGACCCAAGGGGTGCTGAGTAGGAAGGAGATGTAGAATACAGTGGTAGGGTTGATCAAGGAGTCGAATATGGGGCATGGAATTTAATTCTGCATAGATGTAGGCAAATTGGGAACAAGTAGACTTGTATATGAAATTCTGAGTTATGACCTTGGCACAAAGAAATAATTCTGAGACTCATGAGACACAGAGGTGAGACACAGAAACACAGAAGACACAGTAGACACAGAGTATGTGGCAGACACTTTGCACACTTAGACATGCAAATGACTCAGATAGTGACTCCAAAAGATGGGTGGGTATATTTCTGACATCATGGTGGAATTATATAGTACAAGGGAAGTAGGTATGAGTTGGAGTAAGGTGGGGCAGAAAAACTAAAAGACCAGAAAATAAAGGAAAGGACATCAGATGTCAGCAAAGTACAGATGCACATGAAATAGTCCAGTGGGTAGTAGACAAGAGTAAGAATGGAACAACAGTAAGGGGTATCTTCCAACAGAACAAGAGTATGCATACAAGTGGGAGGTGGAGCTGAGCAGCACAGGAGGGCAGAGCATAGCATACTGGCATGAAGTCCAGCTTGCAGAATTTAGGGCAACAGGGGAAACCAGAGTTTATTAGAGGTAAGTGGCACAGATGAGCAGTGACGTGGCTGAGCAGTGGCACAGCTGCTGAATTCTGGGTGACTCTGCACAAACATGGAATTTCCAGATCAGTGTTTTGATGACTGAGCAACATGCTGAAGGGTGGTAGAAACTCCGAAGGTGACAGGGGTCGGGAGGAAACACAAGGAAATTCTGAAATGGGTTTGTCATAGAGGCCTGTGGAATTTAGTGACAGATTCCTGTTCCAGCCTCAGGGAGTATATGGCTCCCTACACCAGTGAAGCATGTCCTTTATGCTTGTATCACACCTTTATCAGGGCACTAAACTTAAAATGGTGACAAGCAATTAAGTGACATCCACAAGTCATGCAATAGAGCTGAAAAGTTTTTGATCTGCCAGCATGCCAGGCCATGCATTGTCTCAAACAAAGAAGAAGCAGATCCAATCTGAGTTGTGGGAGGAAGCCATTTCCCAGGCTGTCCAGCTATGCAAGGAAGAGGAGGAGAAACCAGATGCTGAAAGGGTGAGTGTCTGTGCAATCTGCCATAAAGTAGAAGAAGAATGGAGACAGAAACAGAAATATGTAAGGGTAAGTAGGGACACAGTACAGCAACAACTGTGGGGTGGAAGGAGTTCCCATCAGTTCAACATGGAAACAAATGCCTGGCTTACTGATGAAGAGGAGAAGAACATGGTCACATTCTGTCTTGACTATGCAGCATGAGGTTTCCCACTCAATCATGATTCACTACAACTCCATGTCAACATGATCTTGCATACACACCTTGGAGAGAGATTCCCAGAGTCAGGGGTTGGCCTGAATTGGACAAATCACTTTGTCAAATGACATTCTGCCCAGTTGGGTCAATACTGGAGTTCATCACTTGATTCCAATCATTGTCATGCTGTCAATGCAAACACACACCAGGAATGGTTCAAACTTCTCAGGGACACAATGGAGATGTACCAAATCAAACATGATTGCCTATGGGCAGCAGACACATCAGTAAACCACTTTGTGTGCTGGCAGTCCTAGGGAATCTGTCCAGTGCTGGACAGCTCTGGACAGCTCTGGCCAGCAAAAGTGATTTACTGATGCAAGACAGGCTTCCAACTGAGTGGAGGGGACAAAGAGCAGGTGTTGGGTCCTGCAGGGGCTAAACTACAACACCAGCAACATGATGGGAATTGTGAAAATATTACTGTCATGGTGAAAATCTGTGCCAACAGAGAGGAGTTACCACCTACTGTGATTTATAGAGGTCAACACTTCTCAACAGAATGGCACCAAAATAATACCTTGAATGCAAGGTTAGTAGTGTCAAAGACTATTCTAGTGGCATCACACTGACTCAAAGCCTTCTCAGCATTGCACACTCCCCAAAAGGCTGGACAGATGGAGTAATTGGGCATCTCTGGATTGAGGACTTTGATCAGAAAACCCATGCCAAGGCAAATGGCCATGCCCATCTTCTGCTTATTGATGGACACAATTCACATTACACAAAAGAATTCTTAGATTATGCCAGGGAAAACGACATTCACATACTCACTAGATGTAGGTATCTTCAGAGTGCTGAAGCATTACTGGACCCTTGAATGTGATCAGTATATGAAAGACACATGTCAGAAAGTTGGAAAGGGAAACATCTTGGCCATCTACTCCAGGGCTCACCAAAAAGCCCTCACTCCAGAAACAATTCAGGCAGCATTCTGGAAAACCAGGGTTTGGCCACTAAACCCTAATGTTGTGTCAATGGAAATGATGGCACACAGCTACAAAACATCAGCCATCAGCCACATGCCCCTCCCACAGTCAAGTCCTGTCCATGCAGTATCAAAGGCCATCTATGAATATCAACTTCAACAGTGCACATCAGGTGGAGAATCACCAGATGCACAGTGGCATCCAGTGGCTCATGAAGCTATGGAGGCACTTGCATCAACATCAGCATCATTTCTTGTGGACAAAACACTCCTTACCTCAGAAAATCAGCTGCCCATGTACCAGCCCTCACCATTGACACCTATTCAAAAGTGGAGACATGCACTGTTAGATCAAGAGCCAGAAAGTGAACTGGAGCACATGTACCAAGAAGCCTTGCACCAATCATTTGCTCAGGAAGACCAATACAAGGCATCCACTATTGAGATGCAATCTGTGCTTGTGCTACAGCCCATGCACTGCAACAGAGTTATGGGTCAACTAGCTGCCCAGGAAGAAAAGGAGAAGGAGAAGAAAAAACAGAAAGGAAAACTTATGGGTGATGGGTTACCTAGGCTACTGACTGGGGATGCATTCTACAACCAGGTTCTTGAGTTTGAAAAGGCAGCTGCAGAGGAAGAAGTTCAGTGAGAAAACAGGAAAAGGCAGAAGGAAAGTCAAGCTGAGGCACTGGAGGTGTGGAGAAAGGCAGATAAGGAGTGGCAACAGCATAACAAGGCCTGCAATGAGGCATACCAAGCAGAACTTGAATGCTGGAAAGCAGAGAGGGACTTAGTGTGGGAAGAAAAATGGCAGCCTTGTTGGAATCAACCAAAATGAGGAAAACTTGAAACACCTTTAACTAAGCCTACAGCTGAGAGCAGAGACAATGGTGAGGGCAGGGATGGGAGTGAAGTCAACAACAATGAAGGCAGCAAGAGCAAGGACAAACATTAGATAATCAGCAATGGGATAATCAGTGTCACTTAGAGCTATATATTACATAATACAGATTTACTGTTTTTGGTGTGGCACAAGTGGTGGTGCAGAGGTGATAAGAAACCAAAACTTCACCACCTTCCACAGCACAGAAAACATTCCTGATGTACTTCAAAATTCATACAGAGGTTGCCAAAGTATATAATAATGTATTCCCCATTCATGATTTATGTATATTTTGTGTTGTAATGAAATATGAGCCAACTAGAATTTGTTGGTGCAAGTGCTGGTCCATTACTGTATGTGACTGTCAAATTGTCAACCAACCCCCAACACATCATGTGACTCATGTGATATGCTGGTGGCTTCCATAGTGAGTGACTCAAGCAAAGAAGATAGAAATATACAAGCAGTGCAGTGGCAGTGCAGGCCCCATGCGGCAGGTAGGTGACGCCCGGACACGTGATCTTAGCGCCAACCCGACAGGTGCTGAGGGCTCCCGAACGAGGCGGGATCACGTGACCTTAACCCTAACCCTAAATTCACTCCTCTCCCGAATGAGAAAGGGAAGCGGTGGCGTGGGACGTCAGTGAATGTGGGCTAGTGTTACCATCGAAGCGAGGTGACTTCGAGGTGGAGCATTGGACAGGAGAAGCGTCGCCGTTTCATAGCTGTTTTCCTGCTCACATCACTTCGTACCAGAAGCTACCATTGCCTCTACTCCAACCTGCTGCAGAAGAACATGTGACAACAAGACTGGCGTCGAGGATGAGAGAGGAACCCACGCCGTCGTCACTACAGACGTTGTACCGCTCACCTGCTGAGTCACCCCTCCCGCGATTTTTCAGTCACCGCCTTGGATTGCCGTGCACCTCCTACGTTGCTACGACGGTTCTGCGCAGAAGGGCAGATGCATCTGCACCGAGTTACACGTACAAAATCGAGGCATCCGGTCTGAAACCACCCGAAATTACACTGCCAAGCGAGTTAGAAAATGGTGCTCTGCAGCTCGTTCGTCCTTGGCACTCGAAGCTGCTTGGTCCATCAACCCGGCTATACTCCACGACTGAAGAGCAGCTACTTTTTACACTGGGGAGGCCGTTTAATGCTCTTTTGTTGATCGAACTACCTCACAACGAGTACAGAAGGATTGCATCTTCTACCTCTATCATTGCTCGGCCTTTAGACTCCGCCAGTATTTTGCGAAGTGAAGTTAGGACATTGGAGATTGTGTAGATAGTGATGGCGTTATGACATCCACAGTGTACGGGTAATGTGTGTAGCAGGTTATTTACAGCTATCCCTTGACTCGCACTCGACCCCGTTCTTGTTACTCGTCTCCCGCCTTCTGAGTGGGTCGGGTTACGAGAATGGTCACAGGGGTTATATTAGTTTCAATATATTACTCGCTGTGTTGGGTGTCCTTGGTTACCACTTGGCTCATTCCTTAGCCTCGTTTACCGAGCTTCCACACCTCCGCGCCGTTTTCAGATTGGGAATGCGAGGGAACACGAATCGATGACGAACTTTCCCAAACGACGCAGGCAGAGGTGTTCTCGTTTTGCTCTATGGCGACTCCCTCGATGAATTCTGTCAATCTTTTCACTCCGATACGAGGGTTGTTAAATGCCCCTCCACACCTGTGTCAAGGGTCAAGACAGCTTGGGCGGACGACACGGTTTCGCAAAGATAAACGGGTGCTAGCTATAGATGTCATCCTATGTACTCGGTGGTCGAGAACGTGCTTGACGTTAATTGGCGAACACATGGAATGCTCGGAGAGATGAGAGTTAAGGCTACGCAGTCGTACGACTACTTCATCGTGTTTTTATGCTTATCGTGAGTTGCGATGAGAAGATATCAGATGCTGTTCTCTCACCACGCCAAATATTATCCACCTGACACTGGTGGGATGATTGCCACCTCTTCCCCACCCTTGAGGTGGCAGGCCGCCGGTTCGTATACCATTTCTTCATTTACGCTCCATGTGCTGGTGGCCAGCACCTTGTCAAGACCCATACCCGGGTAAAGTGAGTTGAGGTGAGACGCCAAGGATGAGAGGGGAAACGGCGTCATTGGGAGCGTCACCGTGTCCTCGTAGCGACCAGTAGCGGTGGACGCCCCAGCAAAGTAAAGAACTGTAATTTTGGCCATGTCGTTACTTGTAGTAGATAGTTTTACAGTATGTAGCAAGTATCGACGACGATATTGTCCATTTTCGGTGCCTAATCCCAGACACGCCATACAAGATACGTCAGTCCTTCTGAAGCTCCACACACCACCAGATCGGTCTTGAAGTATTGATCGTCACGAAAAATTCCCCAGGGACCAGATGGTTCGACGTCGAAACCAACCCATCTAACGATGATTCGGCCTCAGCTTGAAGAAGTCAATAAAGGCACCATAGCAAGGATCGTCTTCGCGTACTTAGGTTCCAGCGAAGACCGGTGGTCGTCAATATCGTGGACTCGACTCCGACGGGTAGCAGTCCACACGTAGGACCCAGTATGTCGTGATCAATGCGAATACGATGTTGCCCCTTGGGGCGCTTGTTAGTACTAGCGCTACACGATCACACAATGCATACCTCGTCAAGTACCCAGGCAATATTGTCATCTGTGACCACGAACGCCTTCTTTCGCGTCCGCCGCAGTTTGTGCAAGTACGAGAGAGTATGTACCGTCTGGTCCAATCTCCCTCCCAGCCCACCAAGGATGATGATTTCGTACTGCGTAACAGTCTTGCAATTGAGCAAATTTTGTCCAATACAACTTAGAAAAGCCCACCACCAGATATTCTGGTTTCTCCAGTTCTTGGATAGATTGAACACATTTCATTAGGTCTGTCGAATTTTGGTCTTGGTCTTGTATGATCGGAACGCCCTACGCGACACCGAGACGTGAAGAAGACTAAGAATTCAACATCGATAGTCAAACCTTGGAGATATAGTAATCCCGTACGTCGGTCCGCAAGGAGTCCAGGTCACCTTTAATCAAGTCCGGAACATACCTGCGATCCTGTCAGGTGAAGGAATCACAGTGGTTCAACAATAGCAAAACCCACGAGCAACGAAGATCGTCCGGAATGAGATCGAACACTCGGTTTGCACCTCCGTCTGCACAACAATGCCACGAACAAACGTTCCATAGTGTGTCCAGTAGATCCCGGGAGAATGGTTGGTTTAGGATGATCAACCCGCGTGCGACCGGCGGTGCGTCCAGGTTAGATGGGTTTAGGAACGACACGTCCCAGTCTGTAATCCCAGGATCATTGCGTGTATAGAATAGTGTGCTTAAACCTGCGCCCATGTCATCTCCAAGCACGTCTGCAACTCGTTTGGACTGCGTCCGGCGTCGGTCATTTGTTCAAGGTATTCCCACCCGGGCTTAGATTACACTGCGACGTCATAGTCGCGTAGCGCGCCGAAGTAACATGAACACACCAGGAATCGTCGCTGCAGTCGCCAGTGAGTGGATAATAGTATCATTAGACTATTAGCCTGTGCGGAAAAGGTGCAAGTGGCCCTATAAATATCGACCCGCAGTGACCGAGCATGCCAGTTTGTGAAGCAGCACGCATGTGCGAGTTGGCACATCGAACGAACTCGAACACCTGCGGGACACAGTGGAACAACTGAACATGCTACATTGGTTGAAGGACGACGAAGTACGTGTAATAGTGCCGCAACTCCAGCCGCGCGCTCATTTTCTTGCGGATAGAAGCCCTCGGACGCTAGCTGTGCTAGAGGCTTTACAGTGCTCGGGCAGTGGGTACCTACCACTCACACTTTCGCTTACTTCAAACCGTGGTCGTCTTAGACCTGCTGCGGGCACGACGTTCTCTGGAAATCTCACACTACCGAGCAGGGCTTGCATGTGACGTCGACCAATGACATGCCGTCTCCAAACCATTGGAGGTCGAGTAAGATGAGACCTAGGAGGATGTGGTAAAGGATCTCATTGAGAAAATGTGTGTGGCATCCTTGCCTAATGTCTGGCCTCCTGACGGATCCGTTTACATAGTTCAGATGGACTTGGTGGCTTTGCAGTCGCATGAAAATTTTCTCCACCTTCCCGCGATTTTTACGCTGTTCGCATCGTCACTCACGTCTCGAGCCTTGGGGTCGCTTACCAGATGCCGACGACGACTGCGGAGAAGGCAATTATCCATGAGACAACCTCTTCCTCAAGCCCTATTGAGAAGCTGGCAATGACGTTCAATCGTTCAGCCAGTATCAATTCTGAGGAGGAACCATTGGAGGTATTTTACTCTCTGCACAATGCACCATTTTGGGAAGAGGGTGTAGCTTACCATGATGCCCACCGAGCGTAATCACTAGTCTTGCGTACAGACCACGCGGACCTTACATTTGGGCAATGGGATACTTTTATGGACACTACCGGCATTCCTCTGAAGAGGGTGGCAACCTCTTCAATGCACCGGAAAAGTCAACCAAAAAGGCGCTACTTCCGAACAAATTCCTTCGCCGGCTCCCCGGACAGAGTCTACTATCAATCTGCTCCCTATTGGCAATTTTCGACCCCTACATTCTCTCTTTGTAGTACTCGAAGGATCTCCTGTAGAGGTGAAGGAGCGTCTTCGTGTGATATCCATGCAATCATTTGTTTATTCCCGAGGTTTCGTACGCAGCCAGTGAAACTGGCGAGACGTCGTCGGTGTAACAATCTTTCCCTACCCTCCGACATGGTGCACAAGACAGGCCAATCGCAACCCTATTCGTGGGGCCCTCAATGCACATTTCCCTACTTCTGAGTAGGTACGCTATACTGTTTTTGTGTCTTCTTGTCACTTACTTTTGTTCTCCTCTATCTCACTAGAATAAGGCCGTTTTGCACGGCAAGCACCTTATTTATCGCGCTCGCGCCCATACGTAAAGCAACAGACAGGAAAGTGCTGGACTGTCTGACGAAATCGAGCCCGTTCACCTTGTAAATCGGAGGGCGTCCGTCCCGCGACATTGCACATGGCGGTACTTCGGAGTTGCGGAGCAGCGGAGTACAGTGCTGAGACCCAAAATATGATAATCGCGGCTGACCAAAAAAACGTTACGAATTTCGGGGTGGAGTGACCTTGTAAACAAGGTGGTGATTAGTGGTGAGAGTTCTCGCAAATAATATAGGTCTGGTGAATCGAGTGCCTCACAATCACAGGCCAGGGGCATTTAAGACGGCAAGCACTGCGACAGGTATATGAATCGATCCAAGCAATTGCGGCATACTATTGATATGTTTGGTGGCCTCTTCTACCTGTGCACAGCCCTTGGTATTTACCCTATGATGCCCTTCTCTGCATATGCAGCACAAGGCAAGTGCGCATGCTCCGAAGTCGCTGAGATGGTGGGCAACGCTAAGAGTATATAGAATCTGTCACTTTTATAGAAAGCATTTTCGAGGGGACGAATGCGACTTCATATGCAGCAGCTTCAAGTGCAACCGGGGAGGCGCCATGCATGAGCAGCACTATGAGAATGCTGAACGAATGCTTCAGGCGAAGGCCGGCGCCTATTCGGTAGCTTTGAATTTCGCTGACAATAGCTCAATCAGCGACGAAGTCAGTGAGTGACCATGAAAAGTTAGCGCCTGCGGGCTCAGTAATGAGGACCGTCTCACACGGAAATCGGCTACTGCAGCCTCGGAACGCAGGATCTGAGAGGAGAACCGATTAGGAATTCGCTACTGTTTGAGATCAGTGGCGGCGTCAGGCGTGCGGGAACACGGATCCCTTTTCGCACGTCGTAGCCGCCTGCTGCCTTTCTCTCGTACAGCCGTCCGCCAACCGTTCGGCTACTGGTGAACTGCTCCCCATCGCCAATCTGCATGGCTTGCTCAAGAAGCACAGCCAAATTCCTTTTCGCCTCCCCAAGCAACTTGCTTCTCACTTACCGGTGAGGATCCTACTGGACCATCGCTGCGTTATATGCGCTGACCCCCAAGTAGTGCTACCGGCGCTTTGTTCCCACCGATACCCAAGATTGCCTCTTGTATGCTCTGTGTCTTTACCTGTGGGTTTTTTCGCGTTGCTTAGTTAGCCTCGCTGATTTGGGTAGCATTTTGACCCTCAAAATTGCCTACCTCGCTCGTTCGTCGCTTCTAAGGGTAACGTATAGTCCTACTGTTCTTGTCTTATTGCCCCTGATTACCGAACCTGACATGAAGGTGCAACCGTTTCTACTGCGTACCGGCATTCGATGGAATCGACAGACGAAGTTTCCCGCAAGCGGGCAGAGTTGAGACGTTGTCCCCCAGGACGTCGTGGCCGGGATGACGCCCTCTTCGACCTGGCGTGGGTCCTTTACGAGAAATTCAAAAAAGAGCATAGAATCGACGACTTGAATGAGGCCATCACACTACTCCGTGATGTTTTGGAACTCCGACCACTAGGGAATCACAAGCGGGCCGTCCCACTCAACAGTCTTGCTGTTTGTCTTTCAAGTAGATATGACGAGCAGGGGGAAATCGACGATTTAGAAGAAGCTATAATGCGTGGACGTGCAGTACTTGAGCTCTGTCCACCAGGGCATCCCGATCGTGGCGCAGTTCTTTACGATCTGGCATGCGACCTCAGGACGAGGTTCATGCAAAAAGCTGACATGCATAACCTGGATGAAGCAATTGGGCTGCACCGTGCAGCTTTGGACCTACGTCCCCCTAAACATCCGCATCGGCCTTTATCGCTCCATGGACTTGCTCTCTGTCTTGTGGACAGATTTGACAATCAGGGAGTAGTCGCTGACTTCAGAGAAGCCGAGACGGCTGGCCGTGCAGGACTAGTAGTCCGGCCACCTGGGCATCCTGATCGTGGCACAGCTGATCTGGACGAGGCTATCGCGCGCGAGCAAGAAGCCGTACAGCTACTCATACCCGAAAATCCTTTTTACGACTCATTTCGGCGCTCACTTACATCCTACCTCCAAAAGAAGATCCGGTTACAAGCTCCTACACCGTCTTTTGATTCCCCACCTGTCGCCAGCTTTGACATTACGCAAATTGTCCGCAATGTTGCACTTGAAACACTCAAAACTGCCCCGCCCAGGCTACTGCACACAGTTACTGGCACCCTGTGTAACCGAGACACACAGATATCACATTTTATGGGCAGTCAACAGTACAATCAGTTGCAGTCTTCGTGCGTAACGTGCGATCCGGATCAAGGAATGAAACTCATCCATACCGAAGTCTTGAGATACTTTCGGTTCGTTAAGCTTTCTCACCGCTGGGGTGAAGCCGAACCATCATTACGTGACATCGAGGGCCGCTCAATATATGATATGCCACCAAAGGGAGGCTTGAGAAAGCTCCAATCCTTCTGTACTGTTGTTTGCGAGTGGGATTACCTATGGGCGTGGAGCGACACGTGCTGCATCGACAAACACAGCAGTGCGGAGGTGCAAGAAACGATAGGATCAATGTTTGCGTGGTATCGACAGTCTGCCTTGACTATCGTATACCTTTCTGATGTTCCCGATACTGGTTCGTTTGGGAACAGCGAATGGTTCAAACGTGGGTGGACGCTCCAGGAACTACTGGCTCCTCGAGCTATATTATTCTACACCCAGAACTGGTTATCTTACAAGAACCTCGTATCTTCGAACCATAAAGCCGATGCCACTGTGCTGGACGAACTGGAGAGAGCAACTGGAATAGAGTCTCAGTTCCTCACCAACTTTTCACCAGGTATGGATGACGCACGGTCAAGGCTGCAATGGGCATCGCTGCGTCGTACCACCCGGCCCGAGGATATCGCCTATTCACTTTTCGGGATCTTTGATATCCACCTCCCCATCCTGTATGGCGAATCTGCTGAGAATGCGCTTGGCCGGCTTCTCGCCGAAATCATATCACAGTCTGGGGACATCTCGGTTCTGGACTGGACGGGAGAAGCGTCGTCGTACCACAGCTGTTTCCCTGCTCAGATTTCTTCGTATCAAGAACCGCCATTGCCTCATGTGCCGATGGAGTCTTCGTCGCGGCTGACAGACCAACCCGTGATGTCGCCCGCAGCGCTACGAACCCTCTATCGCTCACTCTCTAAATCGCCCCTTCCGCGATTTCTCAGTCGTCGGCTCACGCTGCCATGCATCGCCTACGCTGTTACAGCGGTTCAGCGGAGGAGGACAAATCCATCTGCATGGAGTTACACGTACAGAATCCAGGCATCTGGTCTGAAACCGCTCGAGATTACACTGCCGAGCAAGTTAGAAAATGGTGCTCTGCAACTCGTTCGCCCTTGGCACTCGAAGCTACTTGGTCCATCGGCCGAGTTGTACACCACGACTGAAGAGCAGCTGCTTTTTACGCTGGGAAGGTCGTTTAACGCTCTTCTATTGATCGAAGTACGTCAGAACGAGTACAAACGGATTGCATCTTTTACCCCCATCACTGCTCAACCTGTAGATTCGGCCAGCATTCTGCGAAGCGCAGTTAGGATATTCGATATTGTGTAGATACTCATGGTGTTAGTGTGACATCCACAATTGTGCTATAGCTGGTTCGCCCGCACGAGTAATAACTGTATGGCAGGTTTCGGCCGTCCGTTCAATCCCTTTCTTATAGCTTTCCGGAAGAGGACGTAGCCAATCGCTGAGGACAATTTCACGTGGTTTGAGGCTCGCGAGGGTAAGCGCCACCCCTTAGCTTCTCCATTTATTGGTGCCCAGCACCTTACTGAATTTCCTGCCATCGCGGTTATCCCAGAGTCGCCGTGGGCACAGTGGGGAGGGAATGATTGTCTTCCGTCGAGTCTTCGGTTTGCTTAGGGGAGACCAGCCGTAAGAAGACTTGCAAGGGACCCTCAGTGCTTCCGATTCTGGTGCGACCTGTTCAACGATCGGCGTGCAGTGTTCACTTTTCTCCGCTGTTTTACGCTCTCCAAGTCGCTCGACACCCCACCACTTGGGTCGAGTGAGCACGATGTTCTGAGATATGCTGATGGCCTAACCCCTTCTTGCAAGTATGCACACCGGCACGTCAATACTGCTACCCACCCGTACCTTCGGCTTGAACGATCTTAAATACCAATGCGAGGTAGAACAAACAGCGGTTCTGCCAACAGGGGAGTCGCCGATGGGGTGGTAGTATAGCCTTGACATCGAGCGAGTCTGAGATTCGGGAGAAAGGTTGATCTCAGGATGATCAACCCACGTGCAACCAACGGCGTGCTCGGGGTAGAAGAGTTTAAGAACCGCATGTCCCAGTCTGTCATCCCATTTGGGGCCTGGGATCCAGCTGCAGTGCTCCACTCGTATTTGCTGGCCCAAAACCTCGGACTCGCTGTGGGCAGAATATGCTTTGGAAATATCCGCTGTACAGCAGGAGAAAATTGAACTTGCGTACGTATTAAGTCAAGTAAAGGCGTATTGTGTCCGAAGCACTCAAGCTGTGATGACTCAGGATGTGGTAGACAGTTCCATTAAAAAATGAAATGTGTGGGTGGTACCTTGTCTATTCTGTCAAGTCCTGACGGATCGATATCGTTCAAATATCCAGCGAATGGACTTCGTGGCCTTGCAGTTGCATGCCTATCACCAAAACGCAAACCAAAAAGCCCTCCATCTCCTCGCCGTCGTAACACCGCTCGCGTCGCTTCTCAGCGTCTCGAACCTTGGGATCACTTATCAGATGACGACAAAGATCGGGAAGGAAAATTATTGTTTCTAGCAACGATGCTGAGTCACTCGTACGTGGAATTGTTTCTTTACAGTGGTTTTCAAATCTGGGGAGAAATCGTCTGAGGGACCTCCTCCGAGGAAAACTTGACTCCCACAGCGGCGGAGTAGCTTCATCGCTGAAAAATATGAAAGTCCTGCGCACAGATCATTCTGATCCTATAGATGGCAAAATGCTTTCGCGGACACTGCCCAGCGTTCCGTTGAGGAGGGTGGCAGGTCCCCCCACTTCTTCAATGCACGCGAAAAGCGAACGTAAAAGACTCGACTTCTGAATAAATCCTTCGCCGACTGTACTTTGTCACTGCTCCGATAGAATCTACCGCTAATCTGTCTTCCTCTTGACAGTGCTCGAGCCCTACAATTTCTCATTGCAGCACTCGAAACGTCTCTTGTAGAAGGGGACCGCCCCCGCGTCGTTTCTATGTAATCGTCTGTTTATTCCCGAAGTTTGTGCCTGGCAAGTGAAGCTGGGTGTTTAAGACAGTCCAGTTGCATCCCTCGCCATTACGCCCTCCTTGCACGTCTTTCCCACCTTCGGGTACGTGTGTTATGTTGTTTCTATGCGTCACTTTGGGTTTCCATACCACTCACTTTCGCTTCCCGTTCGTAGTACGGATTACATACAGATATATGTCTGGTAAATCGAGCTCCTCATGATGTGGCCTCTGAACGACAGCACGCCACCGCAGGGTGGCAGAAGAGAGCCATGTACATACGTACATATGAAGCCACACTGTGGACGAGCTCGGCAAGCAATGCAACTGGTATGTATATATACTAGTCCAGGCAATCGCGGAATGCCTAACGGACTTCCGATCATCTCTGACTGTGCGTAGCACCTAGTGTTCACCCTGTTGTGCCATTCTCCGTAACGCCATACAAGACAAATGCGTTATACACATGCTTCAAATTCTCTGAGATGCGCCGGGTAGGAAACACCGGGAATATACCCGGAATCTACGTCGTCCGCGTTCAATGGACGTGCATTTGATACGAGTTTGCCACTGTCCTAGAAAGCTTCTTCAAGAGTATAACTGCAACAATGCACGTCGCAGCTCCCAGCGCACCCTGGGAGACCCGCGTCGCCCTCAGATCATATGCACGAGGCAGGCATTGAAGTCTTGTGGATCTGATCAATCCGATGGCCTTGTCGAGCGGGTTGTATGAGCAACTATGAGCAGCGCTATGAGGATGCTTCAGGCGAAGAACGGCGCTTGTTCCACAGCATTGAATATCGCCGACAAGAGTTCTACCAGCGGCGAAATCAGCGAGTGACTATGATAACCTATTGGTCGCCACGGGCAGATCGGGCCCTCTTACACGACAATCAGGAGCTACACCTTTGTAGCGCGGGTTCAGGAGGGGGGAACTAGCTACTGTTTGGGGTCAGTGGCGCATCAGGTTCAGTCAGGGCTGGGTTAGAGGCATAGCTCGTTCTTATCCATAGACGTCTACAATCGGCCCACTGGTGAGCTCCTTCCCTTCTCTAATCTGCGACGGGCGTGATTTATTCGATGAGAATAGCCAACTTGGTCTCCCTCGTTTCTCTAGCCGATCTGCACTTTTCGCATTCATCGGTGAGGTTCTTATCGGTCCATCGTTGCGCTATCTGGGTTGACCTCCATGTAGTCTTATCCACGCTTTGTTCTCGTCGATACCCAGGATTGCCTCTATACTGTGTTGATCAGTGAGCTCTTTCGGGTTGTTTACGTAGCCTCTCTGATTAGTATTCTGATGTTCAAGACTGCTCCTACCTCGTTTATTTCTCGGTTGTAGGGGTAACGTACGGTTCTACTGTTCCTGCAACTGATTATCGAACCCGACCTGAAGGCACAGCCTTCTCTACTGCGTATACCCTCTGCAACGTACCGGCATTCGATGGATTCGACGGACGATGTTTCCCACAAGCGAGCACAGTTGAAATGTTGTCCTCCAGGGCACCGTGGCCGTGATGATGCCCTCTTCGACCTGGCGTGGGTCCTCCACGAGAGATTCAAAAAAAAGCGTAGAATCAACGACTTGAATGAGGCAATCACTTTGCACGGCGATGCTTTGGAACTCCGACAACTCAAGAATGACAGTCGGGCTCGGTCGCTCCATGAACTTGCTCTCTGTCTCTCATATAGATATTGCGAGAAGGGGGCTGTCGACGACTTGAAAGAGGCTATCAGACTTGGACGTGAAGCACTACAGCTCCATCGACCAGGGCATCCCAGTCGTGATGTAGTTCTCTACAATCTGGCTAGGGACCTTCGCAGGAAGTTCGAGAAACAAGCTGATATGCTTGACCTGAACGAAGCGATTGAGCTGCTCCGCGACACATTGAAACTACGTCCCCCTGGACAGCTTCATCGGTCTCTATTACTGCACAGCCTCGCTCGATGTCTTTCGGATAGATATCGGGTAGTTGCCAACTACGGAGGAGCCATTCTACTTGGAACAGTTTTAACGCCTCGTCAACCTGGACATCCTGATGGTGGTACAGCCGATATAGATGAGGCTATCGCGCTTGAGAAAGAAGCTATGCAGCTACTTAGACCCGGAGATTTTCGTTACACTATATGCCGGTCCTCTCTTATACTCTGCGTTCGACTGAAGACCAAGTCACAAGCTAATATGCCCTTCTCCGATACCTCACCAGTTCCCCCCTTTGACCTTAAGCAAGCCATCCGTAATGTCGCATTTGAAACTCTCAAAACCATGCCGCCCAGGCTTCTGCACACAGGTACTGGCACCCTATGCAACCGAAACGTACAGATATCACGTTTCATGGGCAGCCAACAGTGCAATCAGTTGCTTTCTTCGTGCGCAAAGTGCGACCCGGATCAGCGAATGCGGCTCATCCGTACCGAAGTTTCGAGATACTTTCAGTTCGTCATGTTCTCTCACCGCTGGGGTAAACGCGAGCCATTATTGCGCGACATCGAGGACCGCGCGATATATAACATGCGAGCCAAGGGGGGCTTGAGAAAGCTCCAAGTCTTCTGTACTGTCGCTTCGGAGTGTGAATACCTTTGGGCATGGAGCGACACGTGCTGCATAGACAAAGACAGTAGTGCCGAGTTGCAAGAAGCGATAGGATCAATGTTTACATGGTATCGACGTTCTGCCCTGACCATCGTGTACCTTCCTGACGTTTCCGGTACCGGTTCGCTTGGGATTAGCGAATGGTTCGAACGTGGGTGGACCCTGCAAGAACTACTGGCTCCTAGCCGCATCCTATTCTACACTCAAACCTGGTCGCTTTACAAGAACCTCACGTCTTTGAACCACAAGGCCGACGTCTCCGTGCTGGGAGAACTGGAGAGGGCAACTGGAATAAAGTCCCGGTTCCTCACCAACTTTTTTCCTGGCGTGGATGACGCACGTTTGAGACTTCAATGGGCATCATCACGTCGTACCACTCGGCCTGAAGATATTGCCTATTCCTTGTTTGGGATCTTTAATATCCGCCTCCCCGTTCTGTATGGTGAATCTGCCAAGAATGCACTTGCCCGTCTGCTGGCTGAAATCATATCGCACTATGGAGACATCTCGGTTTTGGATTGGACCGGAGAAGCATCACCGTTTCATAGTTGTTTTCCCTTCAACATCACCTCGTATCAAAAGCCACCCTTTTTCCCACCCCAAGCTAGTACAGTGGAACATGTGACAACAAGAGTTGCGTGGAGGATGGCAGAGCAGCCCTCGTCGTCTACAGCGCTACAGACGCTGTATCGCTCGCTCACTAAGTTGCCCCTCCCGCGATTTGTCAATCACCGGCTTATACTGTCATGCATCGTTTATGCCGTTACAGGGGTTCAGCGGAGAAGGGCAGAACCATTCGCGCGGGGTTACAAGTACAAAATCCAAGCATCCGGTCTGAAAACTCTTGAGATTACACTGCCAAGCGAGTTAGAAAGTGGTACTCTGCAGCTTGTTCGCCCTTGGTGCTCGAAGCTGCTTGGTCCAACTACCGAGTCATACGCCACAACCCAAGAGCAGCTACTTTTTACACTGGAGAGGCCGTTTAACGCTCTTTTGTTGATCCAGCTCCGTCACAACGAGTACAAACGGATCGCGTGTTCTACCTCCATAATTGCTCAGCCTATAAACTTGGCTAGCATTTTGCAAAGCCATGTGAGGACTTTGAAGATTGTGTAGATAGTCAGGGCGCTACAACATCCATAGCATTATTATCGTATCGCCTGCACGAGTAAAACGTAGGTGTGGGGCAGGCTACAGCTGTCCATTAATTCGCACTCAGCCCCATTCTGGTTTCTTCTTACTTGTCTTCCGCTTTCTGTGTAGCTCGAGCTGTATACAAGAGGCTGTCCGGGAACAGATGACACCCACAGCAACAGAGTAGTATCGTCACTGAAAGAGTGTGGAAGTCCTGCACACAGATAACCCTGACTCTTATTTTCGCGAATATTGCCGATGTTCTGCTAAAGAGGGTGGCGAGCAGCCCCTGCTTCAATGCACTGGAACAGCCAACCAACAAGACTCGCCTTCTGAAATCCTTCGCTGACTCGTACTTTTTGCGGCACTCGAAACGTCTTCCGCAGAGGCGAGAGCACCCTTGCATCATTTCCATGCAATTGTCTGTTTATTCCCGAAGTTTTTACCTAGCAAGTGATGCTAGCGAGGATGCCGCCAATCATGGTTTTCCTTCCGTGGTGTTCAAGACATTCCACTGCACTCTAGCTGTTGCTGTCCTTTATCTACGTATGCTATATCGTCTCTACGTGTCGTCTCGATCGCGATATCGTGTTTCTGTACCATTTACCTTTTTTTCCTCGTGGGTCCCATCATTCGTAGTCACTAGGAGTGCGCGCAAATATGTTTCTGGTGATTCGAATGCCTCACAGTGTGGCATGGGAGAGTCAAGTATTTACATTTGAAGCTGCATCGTGGACGAGCGCGGTAAGCAATGCAACAGGTATATAAACTAATCCATGCAGTCGTCTCTAGCTGTGTGCAGCCCCTTAATGTTCATCCTATCGTGCCCCTCTCTGTATATACCACCCACTCTCGTAGTTAGCCAACTACGACACAAGACAAGTACGCATGCTCCCAAGTAGGGTACGGTGAAGCAGGGGGGTGTAAATTTGCATGTTAAATAGCACAGGGCTGAATGGACCATGTTAAACAGGGTGAAATAGGTAGCTGCCTGTCTGAAGGTCTGACAGCTGTCAACTTGTGAAGTATTATGCTACATTAATATCACCGGACAAAAAAAACTCATGTACTGTGTTGCTGACACATGGATGACCAGACAAGAGCTAACATTGGTCGTCTTCAGCGCTACCTTGCAAATCTCCCGGCCCCCATTCCGCTTGTTGACCCTGCAACTAAGCGATGCAGTGGGTCCTCAGATTCGGCCACAGAGATGAAGGTTCACAATCCAAACCTTTCCAAGTACACACCAGCACAGGCCTTGGAATGACTTTGGGATCAATTCAAAGCATACATTTGTAGTGACGACCCATTGGTCACAAAATGTGCTTGCATGAGGGGCCCCTCCACTGGTGGAATGCAGTAGCAAGGGACAAGTATTCAGATGTTCTCTCTGTAAGTCTAGCCTACAGTGTGGAGTAACTGCATGGAACTCACTGCTGCACCCAGGCACTCGTTCAGAAGATTTTTTCCGCTGTTCCCGTGTCCATGGCAGATGAGCGCACACAGTCTACAATCACCTGGCCAAATTCACCCAACTGGAACCATCAACAAGTTGGTACACTCCAAGATCACATCAAAATTCGCCAGTGGCATTGTTACAAACCTGCAGTGAGTTGGAGAAATGAGGTTCCACATCCCTAACAGTCTGCTAATCAAGCACCCATTCACAACTGAGAAATTTGCAGAGGTAGCGTACAAGCCTCTCATCTCCTGGCGTGATATGGAAACTACTATTTTGGGCAAACACAAGGCATCAGCAATGGACGATGTTGATGACCTTCTGCCATCTGGTAACACGCCGCCAGGCCCGGTGTTCCCATCCAGTTCCGAAATGGGCCCGAGTTCTGATGAACCCGAGTAGCTGGATGGTCCTTCGTGGCCTCCCCACTGCGTTTTACAGTACTGCGTTACAGTCTTTCACACTTTCGGGCTGTGACAAGATTGATTTGCGAGCACTATACCTTCGTGAGATTTTCAATCCAGCCACTAGGCCGTCACAACAACCTCCCTCTACTGCTCCAATTAAAGTGTCAGCTGGCGCTGTGGGCACCAATCCTGAGAGTACTGCCTGGGAGGAATGGCCATAGATACACTTTGTTATTGTAGACTGGTGCTATTCGACGCTTTTTCACCATTTTAACACCATTTTCACTGTTAATTAACGTTAATTAACGCCTTGGGAAATTAGCACTAATTTACAAGTGTGAATTTGAGGCGCCAAAAAGCCGTTGCTAATTAATTATAACCGGTGAATTCCGGGCGACAATCTATTTCACCGTACCCTACTCCCAAGTAGCTGAGATATGTCTGCTAGGCAACGTTAGCGGTGTACTTAGGATTCGTCCTAGTTCAAGAGATATGTCATATGCATATGATACGAGTTTGGCACTATTATAGAAAGCTTCTTCAAGGGTACAACTGCGACGTCGTGAGCGCAGCCTAGGAGATACTCGTCACCCTCATTTCATACGCACGAGACAGGTTGTAAAGTCTCGTGGCCTCAATCGGCGCCGCGGGCTTGGCAAGCGGAATGTATGAGAAGCGCTATGAGAATGTCGGGGATGATGTGTGCGCAGTGGCTGACGTGAGACTGATTAGGTGCGAGCAAAGATATGTGCGAGGATAGCCGGCTCAGGACTCAGTGCGTTAAGTCAGGGAAGTGGGTCGACGAGGTGACGTTCTCGTCTCATGGGGATTCTTTCCCCTGCGGTAGCTACCTTATATCTACGTCGTACATTTGATATCTCGTCTGTTGGGGCGCGTCCACCCCTACTCCCGCCTTTATATTTTTCATTTTGCTTGTCCCCTTTTTGGGGTTATGACATGTGTCCCGCGCTCTCTACGCGTCATCGTTTCCTTATTTGGGTGTGACGGCAGGTTGGTATTCCTACAGAGAATACTGAGCAAAGACGGTTCAGGCGCAGGGAGCCATTGACCATGATAAATTGTTGCTTGCCACAGGTAGTATCTGCAGGTTCAGCGATGGGGGGCCTTCTTCAATCTTACACGAAAATTGGCAACCAGTGGGAGGGGAGAAACTGATTACATAAGCAGAAATATATTTAGGATAACGTCAGTCAGAGAGTTAGACCCACGCCGACATAACCAGTTTTCACTGGAGTTGAACCCACCATGCCACCTATCGAAGTGTCAAAAGGTAAAGCAACCAATGTTCTCCGTCTTCCCGTCATCATAATGGTGCTCGCTTCGCTTCTCACATCTCGAGGCTTGGGGTCGTTTACCAAATCACAAAGATCGGGAAGGAAAACTATTCATACAATGACGCTCATTTCCCTTTCAAACCCTAATGAGAATCCGGTAGCGATGTTCCGTCGCACGTGGAGTACCAATTGTGCCTCCTCCATTCGCAAATTTCTCGGTACACAACAGCCTTACGACAAGTACCACCCCAACTTGGTCGCGGAGATGACTTCACAAACTGTGGTCGCAGAAGCAGATACCCAGGTCATAACCACTTCCGGCACGAATATTCTGGGCCATTTACAATCTATATCACGGGGCGGGGAAATTGTTCTTATTGATTCCTTCTTGTCGAGAGGGTACAACTACGTCGCCAACCATGATATCCGAGGAAGAGACGACACCCGCAGCAATAGAGTAGCTTCATCGCTGGGAAAGTGCGGAAGTTCTGCACGCAGATCATCCGAAGCCTGTATATGGTAAATGGGACGCTTTCGTGGACACTGCAAGTATTCTGCTGAAGAAGGCGACGAGTACTCCCTTATTCGATGCACAGGAAAAGCCAACCAAGAAGGCTCGACTACTGAACAAATCCCTCGCTGACTCGTACTTTGTCGCGGCTCCTCCGCCAGAATCGATCGCCAATCCACCCCCTCCTAACGGTGCCTGGGTTCTACAATCTCTTGTTGTAGCACTCGAAATGCTCCCCGCAGGCATGAGGAGTGCCCCCGCGTCGTTTCTATACAATCGCGTCGAAGTTCGTACCTAAGAAGTGAGAATGGTGAGAACGCTGTCAGTATGACGGCCTTTTCCTCCCCTCTGGCTTAGATTCCGCACTCATAGTTTTGCTTTCTTAGTGTTCAAGAGAATCTGGTTGCATCCATGGCTGTTACCGCCTTCCAAGCACATCTTCTGAGTACGCATGTTTTACCGTTTCCGTATCGTCTCGTGTTTCCATACCACTTATTTTTTTTTCCCTCCGTCGTCCCGTCATTCGTAAGAGTACATGGAAATACATCTCTGGTAAATCGAGTGCCTCACAATGTGGCCCCTCAGGTCGGAAGGGGAGAACCAAGTGTGTACATTTGAAACCACACTGCGGACAAACACGACAAGCAATGCAACTGGTATGTATATATACCAATCCAGGCAATCGTAGAACGCTAACGGACTTTCGATCATCTCTAGCTATGCGTAGCACCTGGTATTCACCCTGTCGTGCCTTTCCCCGCTTATGCTGCACGAGACAAGTACGCATGCCCCCAAGTCGTTGAAATGCGCCTGGTAGGCAACTTCTAGAATTCACGTGGTCCGCATTCAAGAGATATGCGTATGATATGGGTTTGGCACTGTCGTAGAAAGCTTTTCCAGGGGTACAACTGCGACGTCGTATGCAGCAGCTCTGAGCGCAACCTAAGAGACCCGCGTCCAGCTCATTTTACATGCACGAGGTAGGTTGTGAAGTCTTGTGGACTCCATCAACTCGACGGACTTGGCAAGCGGATTGTACGAGCAGTACTCTGAAGATGCTTCAGGGCGAAGGGTGGTTCCTGTTCCTGAACTCTGAATTTCACTAATTCCTTGACGACGGAATCAGCGAGTGACCATGATAAATAGTTACCTAACTTGTTGGAAGTTGCCATAGCAGTATTAATCGGTTCAGAGCCTATGAGCGCATCAGCTGTGCCGTAGGCATGGTCCGTGCTTCTTATTCTCTCTCTCTCTCTCTCTCTCTCTCTCTCTCTCTCTCTCTCTCTCCCAGACGTTCGCCAGCCGCGGATGACTTCTGAGCACCTCCGAGCCCATTTCCAATTGCTGAAGGAGCACAACTGATTCCCTTTCGCTTCTCTAGCCGATTTTCACTTTTCGCGCCTATCGGTGAGGTTCATGTTGGTGTATGATTGCGTTATATCCATTGATCTCCAAATAGTGTTGTCCGTGCTTTGTTCTCACCGATACCTAAGATTGCCTCCATTTTCTGTGTCTTTAGCCGTGGGTCCGTTCTTGCCATTTAATTAGGCTCGTTGATTTGGGTAGTAGTTCAACACTTAAGATTGCTTACCTCGATTGTTTCTCGTTTCCAGGGATAACGTAGGGTTCAACTGTTCCTTGTTTTATTGCAACTGGTTACCGAACCTGACCTGAAGGCACAACCATTTCTACGTCGTATACCCTCTCAGTGTATCGGCGTTCGATGGAATCGACAGACGACGTTTCCCGCAAGCGAGCACGGCTGAGACGTCGCCCTCCAGGTCATCATCGCCGGTTTGATGCCCTCAGCAAACTGGCGTCCGCCCTCTACGAGAGATTCGAAAAAGAGGGTGAAATGGACGACTTGAACGAGGCGATCGATTTGTCTCGCGCTGCTTTGGAGTTGCGACCCGTCGAACACAACAAGTATGGTCGGTCCGTATCACTCAATGAACTTGCTATCTGCCTTTCCGTTAGATATGACAATCAGGGGGAAGAGGTCGACTTAGAAGAAGCCACCACGCTTGGACGTGAAGCACTGGAGTTCTGTCCACTAGAGCATCCAGATCGTAGTGTGTATCTCTACAGTCTTGCTAACCATCTTTGGAAGATGTTCCAGAAACGAGCTGTGGTGCATGACTTGGATGAAGCGATCGAGCTGCTCCGTGCAGCTTTGGAATTACGTCCCTCGGGACATCCTAATCGATCTCCATCACTCCACAGCCTCGCTCGCTGTTTATATGACAAACAAATGGTAGCTATTGACTTCAAAGAAGCCACGGCGCAAGATCGTGCAACACTATTACTCCGTGCATCTGGGCATCCTGATCGTGGCGCAGTTCATCTGGACGAGGCCATTGCGCTTCAGCAAGAAGCCGTGCAGCTACTCAAACCCGGAGATCCTTTTTACGATTCATTTCGGCGCTCTCTTACATTCTACCTCCAAATGAAGATCGGGTCACAAATTCCTATGCCGTCACTTGACGCACCTTCTGCTGCCAAATTCGACATTACACAAATCATCCGTAATGTTGTATTTGAAACACTCAAAGCCACCCCGCCCAGGCTGCTGCACACATTTACTGGTATCCTATGCAACCGGGACGCACAAGTATCCCATTTCATGGGTAGTCAACAGTGCAATCAGCTGTTGTCTTCGTGCGCAACGTGCAATGCGGATCAGCGAATGGAACTTATCCGTACTGAGGTCTCGAGATACTTTCGGTTCGTCATGCTCTCTCACCACTGGGGTGAAGGCGAGCCATTATTGCGCAACATCGAGGGCCACCCGATATATAACATGCCATCCAGGGGGGGCTTGAGAAAGCTCCAAGCCTTCTGTACTATCGCTTTGGGGTGGGATTACCTTTGGGCATGGAGCGACACATGCTGTATAGACAAAGACAGCAGTGCCGAGTTGCAAGAGGCGATAGGATCAATGTTCGCGTGGTATCGACGGTCTGCCTTGACCATCGTGTACCTTGCTGACGTTCCCGCGACCAGTTCGTTTGAGAGCAGCGAATGGTTCAGACGTGGGTGGACCCTCCAGGAACTACTAGCTCCCCGATGTGTACTATTCTACACTCAAACCTGGTTACTCTATAAGAATCTCACATCTTCTAACCATAAGACCGAGGTCGTCGTGCTGGAAGAACTGGAGAGGGCAACTGGAATAGAGTCCCGGTTCCTCACCAACTTTTCTCCTGGCATGGATGACGCACGTTCGAGGCTTCAATGGGCATCATCGCGTCGTACCACTCGGCCTGAAGATATCGCTTATTCGCTTTTCGGGATATTTAACCTCCACCTACCCGTTCTGTATGGCGAATCCGCTGAGAACGCGCTTGGCCGGCTTCTGGCCGAAATCATATCGCAGTCTGGCGATATCTCGATTCTGGATTGGGTCGGAGAGGCATCACCATATCATAGCTGTTTCCCTGCCTACGTCACCTCGTATCAAACGGTACCATTGCTTCCACACCGACCTAACGTAGAAGGACATGTGCCGGTGGCGAGTGAGCGGCCCACATCATCAGCAGCACTACAAGCGCTGTATCGCGCACTCGCTAGAGCGCCCCTTCCACGATTCGTCACTCGCCGCCTTACATTACCATGTATTGGCCATTGCGTTACAGCCGTACAGCTGATAGGCTCAAGTCCACACGCTCCGAGCTACACGTACGAAATTCAGGCATCCGGTCTGAGGCCACTTGAGATCACACTGCCAAACGAATTAGAAAATGGTGCTCTGCAGCTTGTTCGCCCTTGGCACTCGAAACTGCTTGGTCCGACCGAGTTATACGCCACGACTGAAGAGCACATTCTTTTTACACTGGGGAGGCCGTTTGACGCTCTTTTGTTGATCGAACTACCTCACGACGAGTACAAACGGATCGCGTCTTCTACCTCCATCATTGCTCACCCTTTAGGTTCGGCCAACATTCGGCGAAGCGAAGTTAGGATATTTGACATTGTGTAGATAGTCATGGTGTCATAACATCCACAGTGCCATAACCAGCTCACCTGCACGAGTAACAAGTGTAGGCCAGGTTATAGCCGTCCATTAACTTGCACTTTTCCTTATCTCAGATCCCTCGCTTTCCGGATGGCTCGAGCTACAGCAGCCGCGAGGGTCAGAGTCAGAGATTAACTTCAATATGCTTACCGCGTCGTGCATTCCTAGTTGCCTCCTAGCTCATTCCTCATTTATTGGGACCCAACACCTTTTTAAACTTTATATTATTGCGTCTTACCCAGCGTCTCTGTGAGAGGGCTTGCAGGGCACCCTTAAGTGGTTCCTACTTCGGCGAGACTTGTTCGGCTTGCTGTCTTCACTCGCCTTTTGTTGTTGCACATTACTGAAGCGGCCTGACTACTTGGGTCGATTCAGCACGGACGTACTGGGATATACTGATGCTAACAGGTTAGTGCAAGTATGCAAAAACTAGATCACCATCGCCGTTGCCCATACTGGGGTCAACGTGCTGACCCCGCTGCTCAACGCATCTCCCAATTCAACAGAAAGAACGACGGAGTGACGAGAAGATTACTTGAGCGGCATGGTTGCCAGCGACAGCGTACTAGGTGACTGTTCTTGCTGAAGGAATGGCCGCTGGGTACACGTAGCTTCGACTTGAACGATTTTGAACACCGAAGCGAAGTAGAACAAATAATTGGTCTGCCGAGAGGAAAGTCGCCAGTATCAGGTGTAGTGGTATAGCCTTGAAATTAGTTTCGTGAATTTGTTGGCTCCGAATCTTCCCTTGTAGAGCAGGAGAAGATTAAACCTGCGCATGACTTCGATCAATGACCGTCGTCTCCAAAGCATTGGAGGTTGAAACAGACGAAATAAAGGATGTGGTGGAGGATCTTATCGAGAAAAGTTTGTGTAGAACTTAGTATTTATTCTCTCCAGTTCTGATGCAACGTAGTTCGGATATCCAACGAGTGGACTTCGTGGCCTTGCAGTCACCTACACATCTCCAAATCCGCCGGCAAGTTCCCTACTTGCTGGTGCTTACTTCAGAACATGGGCATTCCCAGGACTTCCCTGTATGCCCGACAGTGAACTGGAATCTACAATCAAGAGTCCTAATGATGACCTTGCATACGCATCCGCAACCATTGCCAGATTATGGAGCGAACTTGAATTCGAACGCCGCGAGCATCGGAAGACAGTTGAGGAAGCTAACCATCGTATCGAAGAACCCGAAGAACTCGAAGCACAGGTCGCCATCAGGGAGACGGAACTGGAAACGTGTATTCGTTTATCAAGTCAAAGTCAAAAAGTATTTGAAGGTGACCCCGGTATTCGTTTACTCGTACGAAAGATACCAACGAAGGTGCGTTTATGTCCGAAGACACTCGCACGAGGAATGCCTTCGTGTTCTGGAGAGCAATAGTGAGCGAAATACGTCGAGGGAAACCGGGATTTGTGGTATACCTGCCGAGGTAAGCCATGCGTTCCCCACCTCTTATTGCTATGACGAGAGGTGGCTGGAGGAAGCTAAATTCGCGACGCCCTCGCCGAGTGGACCTGTCTGTCCTCCTGAAGTATCTCAAAGTAGAACGCCATTGAGTAATGGTAATCTAACTCACGGCAATCGTTTGGTATGTTGCGCAAGTTCCGAGACAAGGACCCCATTGACAATCCTATGGACCTCTTTCCCGTTTAAGGGCCTGCTGCAGAGCCGATCAAGGCTGTGGCAGAGGAGTAACCGAGGGGCAGAAACGTCCGGAAACGCATTATCATGCAACGAAAGAAGTGCACGCGGAGGGTGCTGCGTTCTACCAGTTCTTTGCGGGCGAGGAAACCAGGAGGCAGCAGATAGAGGAACTTCGTTCCGCTCGCGAAGAGACGAAGAATATGCGAGAGGATATGGGTGCGATCGCCGTGGTTCCTGGTGAGGTAGAGGGTGTGCATGCCGAAGGTTCGAGCAGCCCGGGCAGTCAAGCACTCAAGGAACACAAGAGGCGTGCTTTTCTCGACGTAAAATGGAAGAAACTGAAAACCGACGGGGACGTGCCACCGAATGCACGATTAAAGTCGATATCACAGACTCCTGTTGACACTCCACCTAGGGATCCGTTCGCTACATTGGAGCAGCAGGTACCTAAACCGCCATTACCTGAACCTAAGCGAGCAGCAGCTCGTTCACAAGCGGGGACGACGGCAAACGCGGATGCCTTTTTGGCTCAGCTAGAACAAGAAGTGCGTAAGAAACGGAGGTAGCAGTAAATATTTGCCATCACATTGTAAGTTCCGTTGGACCCTAAATATTTGATACTTTCAGATTGACATGGCCTTCCTGGCCTGTGATACTAGTCTTTCTGGACATATCAGAGAAAATCGGCCGCTCATCTGTTTATATTCGACCACCCACTGCCCTCTCCTGTTAAAACGCCTTCTAGGCGATTCCGTCCCCGATACCACGTCCTATCATGAATTCTTTCGTTGCCCGAAGGACTTCAATTGCCGGCTTCATAGCTGTCGCATGACCACAATTGATTTTGACATTGTTGGGATCCGACTGTTTGCTAACAAAGGCGAGCAGGTCATCAACCGTAGAAAACCAGTCGGGGAGGTTACCCTCTTCTGGGAAAATGATGGGGTCGTCCTCATAGAGGGTGTCGCCGACGTAGAGCATGCTTTCCCTGGCATCCCAGAGTGCCAGTTCATCCGGGGGTATGTCCGGGAGTATGCAACACCGTGACTCCTAGGGATACCTCATTGTTGGCGGAAAGGATGTCGTGGAGATGGGGGACAAGTTTCAAGCTTGTAAGACGGTGTCCTGATACCTAGGGATTCACAGAGCGAATGCGCAGGGAGGTTTTCTGGTGAGGCAAAGGTTGGATCATGTTCGGAGCCAAGGATCACGCTGTCCGAAGCAAACGCTTCCATCCCCACTGAGCGTACAAGTTCTTATTCAGCGTCATCTGATAGGACGTTTTCTAGACACCTACGTATATAATCATAGTGGCAGTGGCTTTGTACGACGATCAGTACGCCAACTGCCCTCCGGGGTTCAGAGGTGCTCTCTCATTTTCCTCGACGGCGACCGTTTCGAAGGAATTCTCTCAGACTTTTCACCCCGATACAGTGATTGTTGGATGCCCCTCCACAACCCGTGTCAAGGATCAACACAGTTTGGGCGGATGGCATAACTTTCGCATAGATATATGGGTGCTTGTCCTAGATGTCATCCCACTCAGGTGATCAAGAACGTGCTTGACGTTAGTTAGCGAGCTTTGAATGCGGGGACGGTGGACATCATCAAATCATTTGCCTGGCGCACGTCTTTCTCTGGATTAGTACAGTATGTGAGGGATACCGAGGGAGGACAGAGAAAAGTACGAAGTATACTGGCAGCGATAAAAGTTACGGCCACCCAGTTGTAGAACTATCTTTACGCTTATCGTGAATTGTGATCAGAAGATATCAGACGCTGTTCTCTCACCCGATACTCGCCGTCTCTTCCCCACCGTTGAGGTGGCAGGTGGCCGGTTCGTATACCATCTACGCACCCACGCTCCATGTGTTGGTGGCAAGCACCTTGTCAAGACCCATACCCGGGCGAATGTGAGTTGAGATGAGGCACGAAGGATGGAAGGTGAAACGGTGTTGTTGGGAGCATTACTGTGCCTTCGTAGCGACCAGCAACGTAGAGGCCCCAGGAAAGTTAAAAAAAAAACTGAAATTTTAGCCATGTGAGTGTCGTAGATAGCTTTGCAGTAAGTATAAAAGCAAGGGTCGATGGCCGTACTACCCATTTTAGGTCCCCGCCCACATTACTTCGTACCAAGAGCTACCATTGTCTCCACTCCAACCAGATGCAGAAGAACGTGCGACAACAAGACTTGCATCGAGGTTGAGAGAAGAGCCCGCGTCGTCGTCGCCCCTCCCGCGATTTTTCAGTCATCGCCTTACACTGCCGTGCATCGCTGGTTCAGCAGAGGGCAAATCCGTCTGGACGGAGCTACACGTACAAAATCCAGGCATCCGGTCTGAGACGGCTCGAAATTACACTGCCAAGCAAGCTTGAAAACGACAGTGTCGCAACGTGCTTGGTTACTCGTTCGCCCTTGGCACTCGAAGCTACTTGGTTCATCCACCGAGATGATATACACTACTCCTGAAGAGTAGCTACCTGTTACGCTGGGGAGGCCGTTTAATGCTCTTTTATTGATCGAGCTAGCTTCACAACGAGTACAGAAGGATTGCATCTTCTACCTCTATTATTGCTCAACCTTTGGATACAGACAACATTTTTCAATGCAGAGTTAGGACACTGCAGATTGTGTAAATAGTTATGGTACCTACAGTGTTATGGCCAATTCACCTGCATGCGGGTAATGTGTAGTATATGCTGAAAGAGACATGAAAAACCACTGTTGGTGTGGATGCCAATAGCAGATGAGCCTGTGCGGTAATTGTAAAGTGGCCCTGAATATCGACCGCTGCGACCGTCGACCCGGAGGGCATGTTCGTGAAGCTTCAGCACGTCGACCTGCATGAATAGACTGGCATCGTACTTATCGAACACGAACACCTATGGGACCCAGTCGAAAGCTAAGCCAAGATGAACAACTGAAAGCGCTACTTCGAGAGAAGGACGAACGAGTACGTCTAATAGTTCACTGCAACCGTCCGCTCATTTTTTTTTCGCAAGATAGTAGCCCTTGAACGCCAGTTGGAAGCTTGCAGTGCTCGAGCATCTGCGACTCACATTCGCTTACTCAAAACTGTGGACGTCCTAGACTCGCTGAGGGCACAACATGCTTCGGAAATCTCTGCTCTAGAGCAAGGAGAAGATTAAACTTACACACAACGTTGACCAATGGCGTACCGTCTCCAAAACATTGGAAGTTGAAAAAGATGAGATGAAGGATGTAGTGGAGGATCTTATCGAGAAAAGTGTGTGTAGAACCAACTTTGAGTCTATTCTCTTAAGTTCTGACGGAACATAGTTCAGATATCCAACGAATGGACTTCGTGGCCTTGCAGTCGCCTGCACATCTCCAAACCTGCTGGTGAGTTCCCTACCCACTCGGGCCTACTTCGGAACTTAGGAATTTCCAGAACTTCCCTATATGCCCGCCAATGAACTGGAATCTACAGCCAAGAGTCCCAACGACGACCTTCTTGCATACGCATCTGCGATTATCGCCAGGTTACGGAGTGAACTTGAATTTGAACGTCGCGAGCATCGGAATACAGTCGAGGAAGCTAACCATCGTATTGAAGAACTCGAAGCACAGGTCGCCGTCAGGGAGACGGAACTGGAGACGCGTATTCGTTTGCCAAGTCAAAGAGTATTTGAAGGTGACACCGGTAGTCATTTAACCGTACGAAAGATACCGACAAACGTACGTTTATGTCCGAAGACGCTCTCGCACGAGGAATGCTTTCGTGTTCTGGAGAGTAATAGGTGCGCGAAATAGATCGATGGAAACCGAGATCCGTGGCATACTTGCCAAGGTAAGCCATTCGTTCCCTACCTCTTATTGTCAGCAGTGCTTGATGTAACGAGGGGATAGCTGGAGGAGGCTAGACTCGCGGCGCCCTCGCCGAGTGGACCTGACTATCGTCCGGAAGTAACCCCAACGTAGCGCGTCGTATCGAGTAATGGTAATCTATCTCACGGCGATCGTTTGGCTACGTTGCGCGAGTCCCGCAAACACGGATCCCCGTGTGCCTCAGCCACCCCAACTCCAAACCTTCCCCCTTCGTTACTCGTCCAGAAGATGAAGGAGAACCTGCATCCTGATTGTCCGCTATACTACACATTCCCCTGACTCCCCTTCAGGCCATGTTGGCCATCGTTCAATTAGATGACCACATTTGTGAGATGTCTGCGCAACTTGAGGCTTCGAAAGCTGAACGAAAGGCCCTTGTCACGGCCGCGGCGAGACAAAAACGGGTATGCTGCTACGTTCTCATGACACTGTTGTGTGGTTCATCCTAAGGCAGGTAACGTCTGGCATGAAGGCGCATAATATGGAAGATATTCTACGCATAGAAGACGAGTGTGTCCGGTATGTTCATATTCGTTTCTATGCCTTACTATCGTGTACTGATTCCGAGGCAGATTGTCAGCTCAGGTCTGCCACCTTCAACAGCAGATGGACAAGGCCAAGGCTGACGCAAGATCGCGTGAAGAAAAGCTTTTGAAAGAGATTGAACTCTTACAGTCTCAGGCCAGGCGATCGTCTTCTGTGAGTACTTGCGCTAAATTATTGGAATCTAGGAGACTCACGTATTACAGCCACTGTTCCCCGTCGATGCCAGTACAGCAGAAGAAAGTATGGAACTTGCGACACCTCTTCAACCTACTATGCTTTTATCCATGCAGAATCACAATACCCCACCAGAGCCAATCGACCCTTCTCTTATACCATTGCCCTTCTCCCCTGTGCGAGCGTCTTCTCCGACTTTTTCGCCTCGATTTGTTTCTTCACAGAGTCCTACCCCTGCCGATATACAGCGAGTGGAAGATGCCCTTACGACAGCTAGAGAAAATCTAGCGCAGAAAGAAAATGCACTAGCTCAGTTGCGGATGGAAGTCGAAGATCTGCGACGACAAATACCGCTCCCCAGTCCACCCACAGGACAGGGAGGCATGATATTTGAAGTGTGAATGTAAATCTCTCTCTCCCTCTTTTTGGCTATCCATTTGCTTTCGTGATTATCTACCCGTCATATTCCCTTGCGTATTCTGTTACTATATGGACTTGTTGTCTTACTTATCTGTTTTGCGTATCGGCGTCAATGTAGCATATCTGGGCGTGGTAATAGTATCTATTGTCCCCTGCCTTTCTTCTGCTGCTGTTTGCCGTGCGTGTTAGGGTCTTTGGGAGGAGGAACATATTGCAGGTCGGGAAATTGCATATTTTTCCAAGGGTGTGCTGGATCCGGAGGTTGCTTCACGTAGCTTATTCCTTTTGGAGGGGGAGGGACCCTACGGGGTTCTTCCGGAGCGGGAGATGGTGGACGCGAGGAAACGGGTGTGTTAGTGTACGACGACACGGTTACTTTCTTCGTTGTGTTGTTCAGCGACATGACTTTATGGCTTGACTGGGGACCGGCAGCCGTGCCCTTGCATGCTCCCTGTGTACCGCCGGCGGCACCGGGAAGCATGGGGAATGCGCCCTCTGCCTTGCGAGCCTCCACGATAGCTCGTTGCCGTTCCTCGTCCTCTTTCACGGACTTGCATACACAAGCTCCTCTTGTATCTGGCCGACTAACGCCGGGCGACGGCTATTGTCAAGGAACGACTCGCCACAATGTGGGCAGGCATAGTGCGGTAAGTTGAGATTGCAAAGAACGAGGCCGCAGCCATAGCAAAGGGGAACGTAGGTAGATAGATCGTGTTCCCTGGCTGGACAGTTGGCGGCCCGCACACACAGACACACTGAGTATTGTCCCGGCAGTGGTAAGAAGAGCGATCGGATACGTACCTAAACAGAAACAACCGCCTTTGGGGTCTTTCTCCTTCCCAGAAACGTATTCTACGTTGTGAAGGCGCGTTTCGAGTGCTAAGACGGCCTTGCTTTTGGGAGGCCCTTGCCCCCTTCCTTTTGCTTGTTGCTTTGCAGGGAGGGGTCGCGCTGGTATACGATCAGATGTAAGGGATCCAGACGATGTCCAGGGCGTTCGGTGCATGTTTGAGGGCAAAATGAGACATGCGGAATCGGCTTGGTTTTCACAACTGCATACCATTCGTCGCGACCTCAAATAACTCCGAGCTAACCTCGACCACGGCCGTATCCGACTCATCTACGGCTGCCACCTCCGCCTCTTCCTCAGCCAGTCACTGGGTTTCCTTAATCACGGTCATTGTAACGTTTGTATTGCTCGTTCTTCCCGTCCTACTATATAACACTGCAAATGATGCCTCACGTCATGACTCACTTCTCGAGTAATGGGGTCGCTTACCAGACGACGATAGTTGGGAAAGGAAATTATCCATGAGACAACGCGCCCCTTCAACTCCTACTAAGAAACTGACAGCGACGTTCAGTCGTTTTCCGAGTACTAACTCTAGGGAGAGATCATCCGAGAATTTTCATGTTCGTGAACACGTTGCAACCGTTCGAGAAACACCGTCCGACTTGGCCCCCAAGATGGCTTCGCAGGCTGCGGTCGCCGAGGCGGATACCGAGATCATGAAACCACTGCTAGCACGGACATTCGTGTGCCATGTACTGTCTAATTCATGGGACGGGGAAGCTGTCTGCATTGATTCATTCTTGTAGAGAGGGCCACGACTATCAGAAAGTATGTCCCCCAACATGGTTTCCGATGAATAGATGACCCCTGCAGCGATCTGCATCGCTGGGAACGCGAGGAAGTCCTCTGAAAGATGCGGGTGGTAAAGAAAATGCTTTCGCAGACGCCGTGGCTGTTCCGCTGAAGAGAGCGGCAAGTAACCCCTTCTTCAATGCGCACGAAAAGCCAATCATACGGTCGCTACTTCCGAACATTACTGCAAATCCTTTCGCTGACTTATCCTCTATCACCGCACCTCCCATAGAATGTGCCACCAATCCGCTCTTCACCGGCAATGCTCGAGCCCTACAATCTCGGCGCTCGAAACGTTTCCTACGGAGGTGGGGGAATATCTACACGTCATTTTCCGTGCAATCGTCTGTTTATTCCCGAGGTTCGTATCTAGCGAACGAAACCGGCGAGAATGGCGTTAGGTAGTGGCCTTCCCCTACCCTCCGGTTCAGATTGCGCGCTCATAGCTTTACTCTCGTGGTGCTCAAGACCGACCAATGGCATCCTTAGCCATACCTGCACATCTTCGTTACTTCCGAGTACGTATGTTATTTCGTTTTTATGTGCCATTTCGTGATTCCATATTGTGTCGCGCACAGGCCGGGCGTGCACGCCGATCTGGCATCGACACCCACTTGGTCATCCCTTTCATGTATTGCTTCGTGTGTCTTTTTCTCGCACTTTGATCGACAATGGAATTTGCATTTTCCTTGTGCAAGTATGTCCTTCCACTTGCCTTTTCTTCACCTCTCGTTCCGTCTTATGTACTATAGGAGCGCATGCAAACACATATCTGGTGAATCGGGTACTACATTGTACGGCCTCTGAATGGTTGCACACCATCACAAGGCAGGAGAGAGATATACATTGGAAACCATGTTGTGACGAGCAATATAACAAGTATATACAGTATACCAATACCGAGGAATTGCGGCACACCTAACGATCTACCGGTAGACCATCCGCTGATACGTGTCGTGGACTTCTTCTAACTGTGTGCAGCCCCTGGTGTCATACTGTTGTGTCCTTCTCTGCATACACCACAAAAGGCCAGTACGCATGCTCCCCAGTCACTGAGGTGTACTTGTTGGGCAACGATAGGAATATATTTCATAACTTCTTCTGCGTTCAAGGTGGGTGATACGACTTTGGGGGGGTCGTAGAAAGCCTCTTCGCGTGGGATGAATGCGACTTCATGCGGAGTAGATCTGAATGCAACCTGGGAGACGGTGCCATCCCATTCATTTCATGTGGCACGAGGCAGGTTGTGAACGGCAACTGACGTTATATCAGCAAATATGAGTATACTCATGCCCTTCATTGAAGAAAGGCATCGGTTGTGTCGCAGACGTGAATTTCGCCAACAAGGGTCCCCACCAGCGACGAAGTTGGCGAGTGACCAAGATCAGCTATGGGTTGGCATATGCAGTACCTGGAGGTTCACCAACGAGACCAGTTTTGAGAGGGGGCATAGCCAGTTTCCCGCACGAACTGCGGCTTCGCATCGCGAGATCAGGTGAACATACAGTATCACAGGGTATCACCGTTGCGTTGCTCACAAAGGGGGACTAACCAAGAAGCTTGAGTACTTGAGTACTTGGGGAGCATCGGACGTGCGGGAACGTGTACGGGCAGCGTCTAGGGGAGAGGCAAAGCCCATGCTCTTCGTACGCCGTAGCCACGTGCGCTCTCTCTCTCCCACAAACGTCCACTAACCGTTGCTGTACTGGTGAGCGCCTCCTCAATTCTTCAAGCTGTGTGACTCACTCAAGCAGCAAAGCCCGATTTCCTCTCGCCTTTCCAACCAACTTGCACTTTTCGTATCTATTGGTGAGTTCCTATCGGACCATCTTTGCGTTATATGCATTGAACCGCGTGTAACCTTATCCACAGTTTGTGCTTCGTGCCGACACCCGAGAGTACCTGCTCGAGACCTCGTGTCTTCACCGTGGGTTCTTTTGCGCCGCTTGGTTAGCCTCGCTGATTTGAGCGGCGTTCAGCTGACGCTCAAGATCGCTCGCTGGGTTTCTTTTCCGTTTCAAAGGGTATGGCTTTACTGACCCTGTCTTGTTGCAAGTGATCACCGAACCTAGCGCAAAGGCAGAACCATTTCCGTCGTGTATAGCGTCCCAGTGTAACGACATTCGATGGCTTCAACAGACTACGTTCCCCGCGAACGAGAAAACTTGAAACGTTATCCTCCAGGGGAAGATGGCCGGGATGATGCCCTCTTCGGCCTGGCGTGGGCCCTACGCCATAGATACAGAGAAGAGTGTAACATCAACGACTTGAACGAGGCAATCGATCACCACCGGGCTGCTTTGGAACTCCGACCAGTCGAAAACGAGAAAGGCGATCGGACCGTGTCACTCAACGAGCTCGCTGTCTGTCTGTCGGATAGATTTGACGAGCAGGGGGCAGTCGACGACTTAGAAGAAGCCATCTTGCTTGGACGTGCAGCACTAGAGCTCCGTCCACCAGGGCATCCCAATCGTGATGTCACTCTCCACAATCTCGCCAACTACCTCAAGGACAGGTTTCAAAAACAGGCTGAAATCGGTGACCTGGATGAAGCCATCTCGCTCTCACGTGCAGCACTAGAGCTCCATCCACCAGGGCATCCTGATCGTGATTCCACTCTCCACAATCTCGCCATCTTCCTCAACGAGAGGTTCGACAAACAGGGTGCCATTGGCGACTTGGAGGAAGCCATCTCGTTCAGACGTGCAGCACTAGACCTCCATCCGCTAGGGCACCCCGGCCGCGGCATATATCTTTACAACCTCGCTTGCGACCTCTGGACAAAGTTTCAGAAACAGGCTGGCATGCCTGGGTTGCACGGTGCGAATTCTCTTCATCAAGCTGCGTCGGTGGACCATCCAACAAGCACAGCTGATCTCGCTTCCTCGCTTCTCACGCTCTCACTCCACCTCTGGGACAGGTTCCAGAAGGAGGCTGCGATGACCGACCTGGACGATGCTATTTGCTATGCAGCGTATGCTTTGGAACTTTGGTTACCACGAGACTCCCATCACGGGGGAGCCTGGGTTCAGAGGCCAGCCCAGGGCACTGACTCAGATGAACCTGCCGTACTTCGTCGAGAGATCGACAATCTAGGTGCTCTGGTCAATTACTTTGTGAGGCATAGGTGTGGTAATCAACACCCATTTGTCGGTCTGAACGAGGCCATAACACTGTGTCGATATGTACTGCGACTTCCGCCCGACTGACCATCCCAGTCGTGCTTCGTCCCTGCATAACCTGGCACAGTGTCTAGCACACCGGTTTCGTCAACAATCCGCAGCAGCAGATCTCGACGAGGCTATTTCGTTGGAGCAAGAAGTCTTGCAGGTACTCATGCCTGGGGATCCCGGTTACGACATATCCCAGTGCTCCCTTGCAGCCTACCTCCGCATGAAGGTCAAGTCACGAGTTCCCATGACATCCTCCAATGCCTCACCTGTTACCCACTTTGACGTCGAGCAACTCATCCGTAATGTTGCATTTGAAACCCTCAAAACTATGCCGACCAGGCTGCTGCACACGCATACTGGTGTCCTGTGCAACCGGCATGCGCAGTTGACCCGGTTTATGAACAGCAAACAGTACAAACAGCTGGTGTCGCTTTGCACAACATGCTACCCAGATCAGCGAATGGAGCTGGTCCATACGGCCATCTTGGAATACTTTCAGTACATCATGCTTTCTCACCGTTGGGGTGAAGACGAGCCATCATTGCGCGACATCGAGGGCCACCTGATATATGATATGTCAGAAAAGGAGGGCTTTGAAAAGCTGCAAACCTTCTGCGTTGTTGCCTGTGAGCGAGGTTTTCTGTGGGCATGGAGTGACACGTGCTGCATAGACAAAGACAGCAGTGCTGAGTTGCAAGAAGCCATAGGATCGATGTTTGCGTGGTATCGACGATCTTCCCTAACCATTGTGTATCTCTCTGATGTTCCAGATACCGGTTCGTTCGAGAGCAGCGAATGGTTCAGACGTGGGTGGACCCTCCAAGAACTACTGGCCTCCGGAAACATATTATTCTACACTCAATCCTGGTCACTCTACAAGAACCTCACATCTTCGAACCATAAAACCGATATCGCGGTGCTGGAAGAGCTGGAAAGGGCGACTGGAATAGAGTCCCGGTTTCTCACTCACTTTTCCCCAGGTACGGATGACGCTCGTTCGAGACTCCAATGGGCGTCATTACGTCGTACCACGCGGCCTGAGGATATCGCCTATTCACTTTTTGGGATCTTTAATCTTCACCTTCCCGTTCTGTATGGTGAATCTGCTGAGAACGCTCTTGGGCGTCTCCTGGCCGAAATCATTTCACAGTCTGGGGATATCTCAGTTCTGGATTGGGTTGGGGATGCGTCGCGGTTTCATAGCTGTTTCCCTGCCCAGATCACCTCGTTCCAAACGCTACCGTTGCTCCGACCTCAGCCTAATGCAGAAAAGCCCTCAGCGGCGATAAGTCAGGGTCCCTCACCAATATCATTCGAAGCACTGCGAAACTTGTGTGGCTCACTCGCGGCGCCGCTCTTGCCAGACATTTTCAGTCGTTACTTTACATTATCCAATATCGACCATCACGTTCCGGGGGTTCATTTGCGAGCCCCGGATTCATACTCCCCAGGTGACGTGTACGACTTCCACTCACTCACTAGGGTGCCCCTTCCACGTTTTCTCAATCGCCGCCTCATACTACCATGTATTGCCCATTGTGTCACAGTGGTTCATCTGAAAGGGTCAGATCCATCGGCACCGAGTTACACGTATAGCATCCAGGCATTCGGTCTGAGGCCACTTGAGATCACTCTTCCAAACAAGCTAGAAGATGAAACGCGGCTGCAAGGTTCTCTGCAACTTGTTCGCCCTTGGCACTCGAAATTGCCTGGCTCATCTGCCGAACTAGATGCCGCGACTGAAGAACAGCTGCTCTCTACACTTGAGTGGCCATTTAACGCTCTTTTGTTGAGTCAACTACCTCATAACGAGCACAAGAGGATCGCGTCTTCTACGCGCATTACTGCTCAGCCCATAGACCAGGCCAGCATTCTGAAAAGCAAAATTCGGATATTCAATATTGCGTAGATAGCTGTGGCGTTATGATATCTGGTATCGACATCCACATTGTCCTCCCCTTTACTTTTTGTTTTCCTTCGTCCGATCATATCTTGTAGGAGTGCATGCATACACATGTCCAGTGAATCGCAGTCTGACTGGTCGCGTTCGCGTCGTCATTGGCCGGATTGGCAGGCAGACCTGTAATTGACGGCCTAACAGGGACGGCTACGGAGTACCCGAGTTCTGCATTGTAATGAAATGTTGCAGGTGGACCCATAAATACATACGAACCGAACGCTGTACAATGGGCCCTTTTTGACCATCAGAGCACAAGTTGGCAATGACAAGTAACGAAGACGATTTATTATGTAAGTAAATATCTTCCACTGGGGCGAATCTCGACTTGGGAGCATACTATTATTTGGATTAGTATATATGCATGTTGCATCGCTGATCGGCGTGCGCACCCGGCCTGTGCATGTGTGAAAATATAATAAAAGTATAGATATGCACAATACGGAAACACGAAAAAACGGAATAACATACGTAGTCGGAAGTAGGAAGGATGTGCACGGAGGGCGTACGGCTAGCGATGCAATTGGTCGGTCTTGAGCACCACGACAGCAAAACCATGCATGCGAAATTTGAGTCGGAGGATCAGGAAAAGCTGCTATAATGACGGCATCCTCGCCGGTTTCGCTCGCTACATACGAACCCCGGGAATAAACAGACGTTTGCGCAGAAACGGCGCGAAGACACCCCTCCACCTCCGCAGGAGACGTTTCGAGTGTTGCAGTGAGAGATTGTAGGGCTCGACCATTGCTGGTAGGAGGCGTACTGGTGGTAGATTCTGTAGGGGGTGCAGTGATTGAGTATAAGTCAGCGAAAGGATTTGCCGTAGTGTCCAGAAGCAGCGTCCGTTTGGTTGGCTTGTCTTGTGCATTGAAGAAGGGGTTACTTGCCGCCCTCTTCGGCGGAACGGCCACGGTGTCCGTGAAAGAATTCTGATTACCATCTGTATGTTCTAGATGATCTGTGTGCAGGACTTCCGCGCTTTGCCAGTGGTGCAGATCTGACCCTGTCGCTGCAGGGGTCACCTTTTCCTTGCACATCGTAGTGGGCGACATATTTCCTAATAGTCGTGACCCCCTCGACAAGAAAGAGCTCCCCGGATAGTTTCTCCGTCCCATGAGAAAGACTCTACATGGCCCACGAATGTCCATGCTGGAAGCAGTTTCATGATCTCGGCATCTGGTTCTGCAATAGCAGCCTGCGAAGCCATCTCAGCAGCCAAGTCAGAATGGTATTTCTCAAAGGTTGTAATGAGTGAAAAGATTGGCAAACATGAGGGCCCTCGGATGATTTCTCCCCAGTGGTGGTACTCGGGAGACGATTGAACATTGTTGCCAGTTTCTCAATAGGAGTTGAAATGAGACGTTGTCTCATGGATAATTTTCCTTCCCAACGATCTTCATTGACATCTGGTAAGCGACCCCAAGGCTCAAGATGCGAGCGACGACGCGAAACGTCATTTGCGGCGTTACGATGGCACCTGGGTGGAGAACGCTTTCGGTTTAATTTTTGGCGCTTAGAATAATAGAAGGCGAGTAGGGCAGCAAGAATACTTTAAAAAAACCGAAATTTTAGCCATGTGGGTGTCGTAGATAGCTTTGCAGTAAGTATAAAAGCAAGGGTCGATGACCGTACTACCCATTTTAGGTCCCCGCCCACATTACTTCGTACCAAAAGCTACCGTTGTCTCCACTCCAACCAGATGCAGAAGAACGTGCGACAACAAGACTTGCATCGAGGTTGAGAGAAGAGCCCGCGTTGTCGTCACCCGCCTTACACTGCCGTGCATCACTTACGTTGTTACAGTGGTTCAGCAGAGAAGGGCAAATCCGTCTGGACGGAGCCACACGTACAAAATGCAGGCATCCTGTCTGAGACGGCTCGAAATTACACTGCCAAGCAAGCTTGAAAACGACAGTGTCGCAACGTGCTTGGTTACTCGTTCGCCCTTGGCACTCGAAGCTACTTGGTTCATCCACCGAGATGATATGCACTACTCCTGAAGAGCAGCTACTTGTTACACTGGGGAGGCCGTTGAATGCTCTTTTATTGATCGAGCTAGCCCACAACGAGTACAGAAGGAATGCATCTTCTACCTCTATTATTGCTCAACCTTTGGATACAGACAACATTTTGCAATGCAAAGTTAGGACACTGCAGGTTGAGTAAATAGTTATGGTACCTACAGTGTTATGGCCAATTCACCTGCATGGGTAATGTGTAGTATGCTGAAAAAGACATGAAAAACCACTGTTGGTGTGGATGCCAATAGCAGATGAGCCTGTGCGGTAATTGTAAAGTGGCCCCGACGCAATATCGACCACTGCGACCGTCGACCCGGAGGGCATGTTCGTGAAGCTTCAGCACGTCGACCTGCGTGAATAGACTGACATTGTACTTATCGAACACGAACACCTATGGGACCCAGTCGAAAGCTAAACCAAGATGAACAACTGAAAGCGCTACTTCGAGAGAAGGACGAGCAAGTACGTCTAATAGTTCACTGCAACCGCCCGCTCAATTTTTCATCGCAAGATAGTAGCCCTTGAACGCCAGTTGGAAGCTTGCAGTGCTCGAGCATCTGCGACTCACATTCGCTTACTCAAAACTGTGGACGTCCTAGACTCGCTGAGGGCACAACATGCTTCGGAAATCTCTGCTCTAGAGCAGGAGAAGATTAAACTTACACACAACGTTGACCAATGGCGTACCGTCTCCAAAACATTGGAAGTTGAAAAAGATGAGATGAAGGATGTAGTGGAGGATCTTATCGAGAAAAGTGTGTGTAGAACCAACTTTGAGTTTATTCTCTCAAGTTCTGACGGAACATAGTTCAGATATCCAACGAATGGACTTCGTGGCCTTGCAGTCGCCTGCACATCTCCAAACCTGCTGGTGAGTTCCCTACCCACTCGGGCCTACTTCGGAACTTAGGAATTTCCAGAACTTCCCTATATGCCCGCCAATGAACTGGAATCTACAGCCAAGAGTCCCAACGACGACCTTCTTGCATACGCATCTGCGATTATCGCCAGGTTACGGAGTGAACTTGAATTTGAACGTCGCGAGCATCGGAATACAGTCGAGGAAGCTAACCATCGTATCGAAGAACTCGAAGCACAGGTCGCCGTCAGGGAGACGGAACTGGAGACGCGTATTCGTTTGCCAAGTCAAAGAGTATTTGAAGGTGACACCGGTAGTCATTTAACCGTACGAAAGATACCGACAAACGTACGTTTATGTCCGAAGACGCTCTCGCACGAGGAATGCTTTCGTGTTCTGGAGAGTAATAGTGCGCGAAATAGATCGATGGAAACCGAGATCCGTGGCATACTTGCCAAGGTAAGCCATTCGTTCCCTACCCTTATTGTCACAGTGCTTGATGTAACGAGGGATAGTTGGAGGAGGCTAGACTCGCGGTGCCCTCGCCGAGTGGACCTGACTATCGTCCCGAAGTACCCCAACGTAGCGCGCTATCGAGTAATGGTAATCTATCTCACGGCGATCGTTTGGTACGTTGTGCGAGTCCCGAAACACGGATCCCGTGTGCCCCAGCCGCACCAACTCCAAACCTTCCCCCTTCGTTACCGTCCAGAAGTGAAGGAGAACCGCAGCATGATTGTCCATATACTACACATTCCCCTAACTCCCCTTCGGCCATGTTGGCCATCGTTCAATTAGATGACCACATTTGTGAAATGTCTGCGCAACTTGAGGCTTCGAAAGCTGAACGAAAGGCCCTTGTCACGGCCGCGGCAAGACAAAAACGGGTATGCTTCTACGTTCTCATGACACTGTTGTGTGGTTCATCCTAAGGCAGGTAACGTCTGGCATGAAGGCGCATAATATGGAAGATATTCTACGCATAGAAGACGAGTGTGTCCGGTATGTTCATATTCGTTTCTGTGCCTTACTATCGTGTACTGATTCCGAGGCAGATTGTCAGCTCAGGTCTGCCACCTTCAACAGCAGATGGACAAGGCCAAGGCTGACGCAAGATCGCGTGAAGAAAAGCTTTTGAAAGAGATTGAACTCTTACAGTCTCAGGCCAGGCGATCGTCTTCTGTGAGTACTTGTGCTAAATTATTGGAATCTAGGAGACTCACGTATTACAGCCACTGTTCCCCGTCGATGCCAGTACAGCAGAAGAAAGTATGGAACTTGCGACACCTCTTCAACCTACTATGCTTTTATCCATGCAGAATCACAATACCCCACCAGAGCCAATCGACCCTTCTCTTATACCATTGCCCTTCTCCCCTGTGCGAACGTCTTCTCCGACTTTTTCGCCTCGATTTGTTTCTTCACAGAGTCCTACCCCTGCCGATATACAGCGAGTGGAAGATGCCCTTACGACAGCTAGAGAAAATCTAGCGCAGAAAGAAAATGCACTAGTTCAGTTGCGGATGGAAGTCGAAGATCTGCGACGACAAATACAGCTCCCCAGTCCACCACAGGACAGGGAGGCATGATATTTGAATTGTGAATGTAAATCTCTCTCTCCCTCTTTTTGGCTATCCATTTGCTTTCGTGATTATCCACCCGTCATATTCCCTTGCGTATTCTGTTACTATATGGACTTGTTGTCTTACTTATCTGTTTTGCGTATCGGCGTCAATGTAGCATATCTGGGCGTGGTAATAGTATCTATTGTCCCCTGCCTTTCTTCTGCTGCTGTTTGCCGTGCGTGTTAGGGTCTTTGGGAGGAGGAACATATTGCAGGTCGGGAAATTGCATATTTTTCCAAGTGTGCGCTGGATCTGGAGGTTGTTTCACGTAGCTTATTTCTTTTGGAGGGGGAGGGACCCTACGGGGTTCTTCCGGAGCGGGAGATGGTGGACGCGAGGAAACGGGTGTGTCAGTGTACGACGACACGGTTACTTTCTTCGTTGTGTTGTTCAACGACATGACTTTATGGCTTGACTGGGGACCGGCAGCCGTGCCCTTGCGTGCTCCCTGTGTACCGCCGGCGGCACCGGGAAGCATGGGGAATGCGCCCTCTGCCTTGCGAGCCTCCACGATAGCTCGTTGCCGTTCCTCGTCCTCTTTCACGACTTGCATACACAGCTCCTCTTGTATCTGGCCGACTAACGCCGGGCGACGGCTATTGTCAAGGAACGACTCGCCACAATGTGGGCAGGCATAGTGCGGTAAGTTGAGATTGCAAAGAACGAGGCCGCAGCCATAGCAAAGGGGAACGTAGGTAGATAGATCGTGTTCCCTGGCTGGACAGTTGGCGGCCCGCACACACAGACACACTGAGTATTGTCCCGGCAGTGGTAAGAAGAGCGATCGGATACGTACCTAAACAGAAACAACCGCCTTTGGGGTCTTTCTCCTTCCCAGAAGCGTATTCTAGGTTGTGAAGGCGCGTTTCGAGTGCTAAGACGGCCTTGCTTTTGGGAGGCCCTTGCCCCCTTCCTTTTGCTTGTTGCTTTGCGGGGAGGTGTCGCGCTGGTATACGGTCAGATGTAAGGGATCCAGACGATGTCCAGGGCGTCCGGTGCATGTTTGGGGTCAAAGTGAGACGTGCGGAATCGGCTTGGTTTTCACATCTTATCCGACTCACCTACGACTGCCACCTCCGCCTCTTCCTCAGCCAGTCAGACTTCCTTAATCACGGTCACTGCAATGTGTATATTGCTCGTTCTCCCCGTCCTACTGTTCTAACACACTCCACCTCCTTGCCATGTAACGCCGCAACTGATGCCTCACGTCATCACTCACATCTCGAGCATTGGAGTCGATTACCAGATGACGACGAAGACAGCTGGGAAAGGAAACTATCCATGAGACAACGCGCCCCTCCAACTCCCACTGAGAAACTGGTAGCAATGCTTAGTCGTTCCCCGAGTACTAACTCTAGCAAGAGATCATCCAAGAATTTTCATGTTTGTGAACACTAGTACGTATGCTCCCCAGTCGCTGAGTTGTACTTGTTGGGTAAAATAGGAATATATTTTATAATTCACTTCCTCTGCATTCAAGGTGCGTGTGGTACGATTTTGGGGTGGTCGTAGAAAGCCTCTTCGAGTGGAACAAATGCGACGTCATGCGCGGTAGATCTGAGTGCAACCTGGGAGACACAGCGCCATCCCATTCATTTCATATGTGGCACGAGGCAGTTATGGACGGCAACTGACGTTATATCAGCAGCACTATGAGCATGCTCGTGCCCTTCGTTGAAGAAAGCCATCGGTTGTTCCGCAGACGTGATTTTCGCCAACAAGGGTCCCCACCAGCAACGAAGTTAGCGAGTGACCAAGATCAGCTATGGGTTGGCATTGGAAGTAGCTTGAGGTTCACCAACGAGACCAGTTTCGGGAAGGGCCTCGCATCGCGAGATCAGGCGGACATAAAGTATCGCAGAGTATCGCCGTTACGATGGTCACAGAGGGGGACTCACTAAGAAGCTCAAGTACTTGGGGAGCATCAGACACACGGGAACGTGTGCGGGCAGCGTCTAGGGGAGAGGCAAAGCCTATACTTTTCGCACGGCGCAGCCTCGTGCCCTCTCTCTCCCACAAACGTCCACTAACCGTTGCTGTACTAGTGAGCGCCTCCCCAGTTCTTCAAGTTGTGTGACTCACTCAAGCAGCAAATCCCGATTTTCTCTCGCTTTTCCAACCACGTTGCACTTTTCGCATCTATTGGTGAGTTCCTATCGGACCATCCTTGCGTTATGTGCGTTGACCTGCGTGTAACCTTATCCACAGTTTGTACTTCTTACCGACACCCGAGGTTGCCAGCTCGAGACTTCGTGTCTTTACTGTGGGTTCTTTTGCGCTGCTTGGTGAGCCTCGCTGGTTTGAGCAGCATTCAGCTGACACTCAATATTGCTCACCGGATTCCTTTCCCGTTTCAAAGGGTATGACTTTACTGTCCCTGTCTTGTTGTAAGTGATCACCGAACCTAGCGCAAAGGCAGAACCATTTCCGTCGTGTATAGCGTCCCGGTGCAATGACATTCGGTGGCTTCAACAGACGACGTTTCCCGCGAACGAAAAAACTTGGAACGTTGTCCTCCAGGGGAAATTGGCCGGGCTGTAGCCCTCGTCCGCCTGGCGTGCGAACTCCACCAGAGATACAGAAAAGAGTGTAAAATCAATGACTTGAACGAGGCAATCGATTTCCACCGAGCTGCTATGGAACTTCGACCAGTCGAAAACGAGAAAGGCGATCGGTCCACGTCACTCAACAACCTCGCTGTCTGTCTGTCGGATAGATATGACGAGCAGAGGGCAGTCGACGACTTGGATGAAGCCATCTCGCTCTCACGTGCAGAACTAGAGCTCCGTCCACCAGGGCATCCCAATCGTGATGCCACTCTCTACAATCTCGCCGCCTACCTCAACACCAGCTTCGGCAAACAGGCTGCCATCGGCGACTTGGAGGAAGCCATCTCAGTCTTACGTGCAGCACTAGAGCTCTGTCCACCAGGGCATCCTGATTGTGATGCCACTCTCCATGATCTTGCCTTCTACCTCAACAAGAGGTTCAAAAGACAGGCTGCAATCTGTGATGTGGATGAAGCCATCTTGCTCTCACATGCAGAACTAGAGCTCCATCCACCAGGGCATCCTGATTGTGATGCCACTCTCCACAATCTTGCCTTCTACCTCAACAAGAGATTTGAAAAACAGGCTGCAATCTGTGACATGGATGAAGCCATCTTGCTCTCATGTGCAGCACTGGAGCTCTGTCCACCAGGGCATCCCAACTGTGATGCCACTCTCCACCAGCTCACCTTCTACCTTGACAACAGGTTTGAAAAACAGGCTGCAATCTGTGACTTGGAGGAAGCCATCTTGCTCTCATGTGCAGCACTAGAGCTCCATCCACCAGGGCATCCTCATCATGATTTCACTCTCTACAATCTTGCTTTTTACCTCAACAAGAAGTTTGAAAAACAAGCTGCAATCTGTGACTTGGATGAAGCCATCTCACTCTCATGTGCAGTGCTAGAGCTCTGTCTGCCAGGGCATCCTGATCGTGATGCCACTCTCCATGGCCTTGCTGGCTACCTCAAGTGCAGGTTTGACAAACAGGCTGCCATTGGCAACTTGGAGGAAGCCATCTTGCTCAGATGTGCAGCACTAGAGCTCAGTCTGCTAGGGCATCCAGATCATGGTGAATATCTTTACAACCTTGCTTGTGACCTCTGGACAAAGTTTCAGAAACAATTTGACATGCCTGGGTTGTACAGTGTGAATTCTCTTCATGAAGCTGTGTTGGCGGTCCATCCAACAAGCATGGCTGATCTTGCATCCTCACTTCTCAAGTTCTCACTCCACCTCTGGGACAGGCTCCTGAAGGAGGCTGTGATGATGGACTTTGACAATGCCATTTGCTGTGCAACATATGCTCTGGAACTTTGGTTACCATGAGACTCCCACTATGAGGGAGCTTGGGTTCAGAGGCCAGTCCAGGCCACTGACTCAGATGAACCTGTCATACTTGGTCGAGAGATAGACAATCTAGGTGCTCTGGTCAATTACTTTGTGGGGCATAGATCTGGCAATCAACATGCAATTGTTGGTCTGAATGAGGACATAACACTGTGTTGATATGTATTGCAATCCTTCCTGACTGACCATCCTGGTTGTGCTTTGCCCCTGCATAGCCTGGCACAGTGTCTAGCACACCGGTTTTGTCAACAACCTGCCACAGTGGATCTGAATGAGGCTATTGCTCTTGAGCAAGAAGCCCTGGAATTACTCCTATGTGAAGACCTGGGTCATGAGGTGTCTTGATGCTGTCTTACAGCCTGCCTCCAAATGAAATCTAACCCACAAGCTGCTATGGTGTCCTCAGATGCCTCACATATTACATATTACCCTCTTTGATGTTAAGCAAATCACCCATAACATTGCATTTGAAACACTCAAAACTACCCCAATCAGGCTGCTGTACACACCTACTGGCATCTTGTGCAGTCATGATGTGCAGGTATCACATTTTATGAACAGCCAACAGTGCAAACAGCTGGTGTCACTATGCACAACATGCAGCCAGGACCAGCAAATGGACCTCATCCATACTGATGTCCTGAAATACTTCCAGTATGCCATGCTTTCACACCACTGGGATGAAGAAACAGAGCCATCTTTGTGCAACATTGAGGGCCACCCAATATATGGCATGTCAGCCAAGGGGAGCTTTGGAAAGCTCCAAGGCTTCTGTTGTGTTGCTTTGGAGTGGGGTTACTTATGGGCATGGAGCGACATGTGCTACATTGACAGACACAGCAGTGCCAAGGTGCAAGAAATGATTGGATCAATGTTTGCATGGTATTGACAGTCTGCCTTGACCATCATAAACCTTGCTGACATTTCTGATACCAGCTTGTTTGAGTGCAGTGAATGGTTCAAGCATGGGTGGACCCTCCAAGAACTACTGGCTCCCAAATGCATACTATTCTACACCCCAAACTGGTCACTTTACAAGAACCTGGTGTCCTTGAACCATAAAACTGATGTCGCTGTGCTGGAAGAACTAATGATGGCAACTGGGATAGAGTCCTGATTCCTGTCCAACGTTTATCCTGGCATGGATGATGTGTGCTCGAGACTACAATGGGCATCTTTGAATTGAACCATGCAGCCTGAGGACATCACCTACTCACTTTTTGGGATCTTCAATCTTCACCTTCCTGTTCTGTATGGTGAATCTGCTGAGAAAGTGCTTGGGTGTCTCCTAGGCAAAATCATTTCACAGTCTGGGGATGTCTCAGTTCTGGATTGGGTTGGGAACCATCACCATTTCATAGCTGTTTCCCTGCTCACATCAACTCCTACTGAGTGCTACCATTGCCTCCAGCCCAACCTAATGCAGATGAACAATTGTTGACAATGAGTTCACAGTCTATGTTACCATTCAGAGTACTGTGAAGGTTGCATGGCTCACTCACTACATCACACCTCCCTCAGCTTTTTGGCTGACCCCAAACACCATCAGGCATTACCCAGCACTTTCTGGTGATCCCACTTCACACTCCAGATTTGTACACACCACGTGATGTGTATGACTTACACTTGCTTACTAGGGTGCCCCTTCCACGTTCTCTCAATCCCCATCTCATACTACCATGTATTGCTCATTGTGTTAAAGTGGTTCATCTGAAAGGGTCAGATCCATTGGCACTGATTTACACATATAATATCCAGGCATCCAGTGTGAGTCAAAGTGTGGTTCAGTGGTGAAAACCAACCAAAACCAACACAAAAGACAAAAAGAGTGAGTGGTGGTGTGCCTATGTGGTACCTAGATGGTAGAACCTGTTCTTTGGGAGGGTTTTTGTGAGCTACAACACTCAAAGACAAGTGCTGAGGGTTGGGGGTGCTCCTGATGAAGAAGGAGCAGGAATGCGAGAGAATGTGATAGGGTAGACTGCTGTCAGCCTACAGAAGGATGGATGATGACTTAATTCGATGTCCTAAGCTGCACTGAGCTCAGGGAGGGCTTGGAGTGAAGTATATTGATGATAGACAAGGATAAGCAAAGTAGATGATAGTTAGACCCTTAATAAAGTCTCAACTATTGAAGCTGCCGAATGAATTACTGAGTGATGATAAAATGCAAGCAAGAGGGGCTCTCTGATGTCTTTTTTTTTTTGCTATCTAAGTACAGTGATTTATATGCAGTACAGGGGTGTTGCCCTTGGAAAACAAGGTGCAAACACTTGGTAAGTGATTGGTAACTGATGAGTAAGGAATGTAAGCAATGGGTAATCATCTTGGAAAGCATTGGTAAACATTGGTAAGGATTAGCAAGCCAAAAAGCAAAGAATCAGAAAGCAAAGTCAAAAGATTGGTAAGTATTGGCAATAGGTGAGTCAAAGACAGTCAGAATGTCAAAGTATGAGTCAAGTAATGTCAGGAACTGGGAAAGCACACTGGAATCACATTAGGGGGAGGCTGTGCATGTCACATCTTGAAGAGATTGCTTCTAGGCCAAGGTGGGATGACAGAGAGGCAGTGCTGATCTGATGCTGATATAGTACATCCAAAAGTGGACAGGGTGAGTCAGATGTCAACAGGGGTCAAGCTTTGGGGGTCTGTGGGGTGACAGGAGCATAGGGGATTGCAACTTTCCCCCCCAGACCATCCTCTCAGTGAAGCAAATAAAAACTTCATGAATGAGGCTCTATTGGAAGAGAGGATGAAGGGGGAGTGTCTTCTGCTGTATCTTGCAACAAGGAGGCAAGATGTGCATCATACTCATCATGGATGTGATCAGGGAGAGTGGAGAACAGTAGATTATACTGTAGCTGTCACAATCTTGGAAGAATGATGGACAAGACTGGTATGAAGACATTGCAGGGAGCAGGGAGGAAGGATCCATATGCTTCTTGGACTGGAGAGACTGAAACAACCACATAAGACCTTTCCAAGTGAACAACAGACCTGAGGCGACCAAAGAATGTCCTCCTAGAGGTCATACTGACAAAAAGAACATGCTGTCCAAGCTGGATGGGCTGAGAGGGCACAGACAAGGGTGGGATGTACCAGGATGCTTCAGGATGGAAGCTAGTAGGAACTCCTGGTAGATATATGTAGCCATAGTCCCTAGCAAAGGGGACAAGTGAAATGATTGATGTGGAGGCAGCCATATCAGAAGAATTTAGCAAAATGAGCATCTTTTGGAGGGAGTGCTGTAGAAACATGTGGAGTGTGCAAATCCTTTCCAATTTTGGAAGGTAAGATTGTGTGGCTGAGCACTACAAGTGAGTGTGGGAATGGTCTTGGTATCTGCAGAAATGGCAGAGATATGTTGAAAACCAGAATGCCATACATGGGCACTTAAGAATTTTACCCAGTGCTTAACTCACTCCCTTTCTTTTTCTTTGGCACTGATGACCCATTCTTGTGCAAGGGATGACTGCTGACATTTCTGGCTGTCCTTCTTTGCATGAGGGCTATGGTCTCCATCTCCATTCATCAGCTGTATCCATGTCCACCTCACCAAACACCTTTGGTGTGTGACACCAGTGTGAGGCCAGTTGAGATCACACTGCCAAACAAGCTAGAAGATGAAATGCAGTCACAAGGTTCTCTGCAACTTGTTTGCCCTTGGCACTCAAAGTTGCCTGGTTCATCTGCTGAACTAGATGCTGTGACTGAAGAACAGCTGCTCTCTACACTTGAGAGGCTATTTAATGCTCTTCTGTTGAGTCAACTACCTCATAATGAGCACAAAAGGATCATGTCTTCTACTTGCATTACTGCTCAGCCCAAAGACCAGGCCAGCATTCTGAAAAGCAAAATTTGGATATTCAATATTGTTTAGATAGCCATGACATTATGATATCTGGTATTGACATCCACATTGTCCTGCTGTTTACTTATAGTTCTCCTTCATCTGGTCATATCTTGTAGGGGTGCATGCATATACATGTCCAGTGTGAGTCAAAGTGTGGAAAGGTGGTGAAAACCAACCAAAACCAACACCAAAGACAAATATGAGCAAGCGGTGGTTTACCCCTGCAGAACCTGGAGGGCAGAGGAACCTAAAGTGGGGGAAATTTCAATGGCAGGTGCTCCTAGTGCAAGTTGATGGCAAGTTATGCAGGAGAAGATGAATGAATGCTGATTGAGAAGGGGATGCTGAACAGAGTGAAGGTGTTCAGCCAAAAGTACTTGGGAGTAATGGACCTTGATAGAATATGCTCCTGGCACAAGTCAATGACAAGTTATGCAGGAGTGGATGGATGACTAAGCACACCTGCTGACTAAGTGTGGATGAAGCTTCAGATAATGATGGAGGTAGATAGACCCCTTTGTAGAGCCTCAACTACCAATGATATGAATGAAGACAGATAGACTCTTCCAAATGAGCCTCAACTGTCAACAATGAGTTATGCTGAGCTGAGCTGAGCTGAACTGACTGCTGAGTGAATGGCTTCTGGTTCACTGGGGGGTGTAGCCAAGTACATGGGGGTTTATATACTGTGGGGGGAGCTCAGCTTGTGACAAACAAGGCACAAACACTTGGTAAGTAATGAGTAAAGACTGAGTAATCATGATGAGTAAGCAAGAAATGAAAAGTAAGCAAGCAAAGAAGATTGGTAAATATTGGCAATAAATGAGTCAAGGACAGTCAAAATATCACAGAATGAGTCAAATGGAGTCAGAAACTGAGTAAGCACACTGATATCACATTAGGGGGTGGCAATGCAAGTCAGATCTCAGTGGAGACATCTCTAGATCCAAAGATGGCATGACAGATGGATGGTGTTTCCAGATAGGGAAGTATTAATTCCAGAATTGAAGGGCATGAGTCAGGTGTCAAAGGGGCTAGGGCATTGGGGGTCTGTGGGGCAATGGGAGCATAAGCAATCATGTCTCCCACCCTTTCATCCTCTCAGCAAAGTTAACAAAAGCTTCATGAATGGGGCTCTGACAGAGGAGGAGGAGAAGGGGGGACATCTTCTGCTGGATCTTGCAGTAAGAAGGCAAGAGGCACATCATACTTGTCATGAATGTGATCAGGGAGGTGGGAGAACAGTAGACTATGCTGCAGCTGTCGCAATGCAGGAAGAATGACAGATGAGATTGGAATAAAGATGGTGCAGGGAGCAGGGAGGAACAGTCTATATGCTTCATCAAGAGGGGAGACCAAAATGACCACATAAGACCTTTCTCACAGAGTGACAGACCTGAGGTGACCAAAGAATGTCCTTCTGGAAGTCATACTGACAAGGAGAACACACTGACCAAGCTGCATGGGATGAGATGGGGCTGACAATGACAGAATAAACCAGGGGGCTTCAGGACAGAAGCTGGTGGGAATGCCTGGCAGATATATGTAGCCACTGTCTCTAGCAAATGAGACAAGCAAGACAATTGATGAAGGGGTGGCCATGATTGATGGACTTAGCAAAATGAGCATCTGATGGATGGAGTGCTGTAGAAACACACAGGGTGCAAGGATCCTCTCCAAATTTGGAAGGCAGAACTGTGTGGCTGAGCACTTTAAGTGGGTGTGAGAACAGAGTCAATATCTTAGGAAATGGTGGAGATACAATGAAAGCTGGAATGCCATACATGGGTGTTAAAAACCTTTAATGTGCACTTAACTCACTTCCTCTTTTCTCTTTAGCACTGACAACTTGTTCTTGTGCAAAGGATGACTGTTAACGTCCGGCAGTCTTTCTACACATGAGGCCTTTAGTCTTCATCTGCATGGCATGGGTGTTGTGCACAACTCATTGACAAGCTAGGCAGAGTCAGCTGTAACCATGTCCACAACACCTTTGGTGTGTGACACCAGATTGGTAGACAGACCTGTAAGTGATGGCCTAATGAGGATGGCTACAGAGTACACAAATTCTGCATTGTAATGAAATATTGCAGGTGGACCCATAAATACATATGAACTGAATGCTGTATAATGGGCCCATTTTGACCATTGGAGTGCAAGTTGGCAATGACACAAGTAATGAAGATGATTTATTAAGTAAATACCTTCCTAACATTGCCTACCACTGGGGCAAATCTCAACTTGGGAGCATACTATTCTTTGGATTAGTTTATATGCATGTTGCATTGCTGGTGGTGTTTGTCTGTGGTGCAAGGCTTCAGGGGGGGCTGAGCACATTTGAGACTGCCCTGCAATGGTGTGCCATCATTGAAATTTTGAAAGGCCACATTGTGAGCTAGGCATTTGATTCGCCAGATTTATATTTGCATGTACTCCCACATATGATGAGACAAAGGGGAAAAAACAGGCAAGCAGAAGGCCATGTTTGCACAAGGAAAACATGCATTCCAGTACTGATCAAAGTGCGAGAGCAAGGTAAATGAAGTAATGCATGAAACAGAATGACCAAGTGGGTGTCAATATCAGATTGGCATACACACCCAGCCTGTGCATGTGTGAAAATATAATTAAAGTATAGATATGCACAATATGGACACAGGAAACAACACAAAAACAAAATAACATACATAGTCAGAAGTAGGAAGGACATGTACAGAGGGCATATGGCTAGTGATGCAATTGGTTGGTCTTGAGCACCATGAGAGCAAAACTATGTGTGTGAAATCTAGGTCAGAGGATAAGGAAAAGCTGCTGTACTGACAGCATCCCCACAGCTTTGCCTGCTAGGTACAAACCTTGGGAATAAACAAACAATTGTACAGAAGTGACATGAAGGTGCCCCTCCACCTCCACAGGAGACATTTCGAGTGCCGCAGCCTGAGAGATTGTAGGGCTTGACCATTGAGAGCAGGAGGCAGATTGGTGGTAGATTCTGTAGGGGGTGCAGTGATTGAGTATAGGTCAGCAAAAGGATTCTGCTTACCATCTGCATGTTCAAGATGATCTGTGTGCAGGACTTCCATGCTTTTCCAGTGGTGCAGATCTGACCCTGTCACTACAGGGGTCACCTTTTCCTTGCACATCATAGTGGATGACATATTTCCTAATAGTCATTACCCTCTTGACAAGAAAGAGTCTCCCCAGACAATTTCCCCATCCCATGAGCAAGGCTCTATATGGCCCATGAATGTCCATGCTGGAGGCAGTTTCATGATCTCAGCATAAAACAACACATAAAAATGAAATAACATGGCAATGAAAGAAGGTGATCTGTGGAAGAACCAATGAGTATATTGAAAGGATCCCAACACAGAAGGGAGAGAATCTCTGCTCAGAAGAGTCAAAAAGAAGGCCAATGCTGAGTCGCTATTACATAACACTTCACTGCAATGACAGCCTCTTTGAGTGCACCACCATCTCACAACACACTCCAGTCCAGCACATCTGCACAACCCTCAAGTGTACTTGCCCACATCAACATCCAATATTGCCATGCCAACAACTCTCTGCTGTCATTACTTCCTAGCCACCCTGGTGAGCATGTGTTCATCCTCTACCACAACCCAGACAACCTCACAGCTCTGACCATCAAGAACACCTCAAGTCAGTTTGCTCTTTCAGGAATTAAGGTCTTGTCAGTGCCAGGGGCCACTATGGACAAGGACAAGAACCATAACATGCATGTACTGCAAGTGACCTCCATCGATGTGGATAGTAGCCAGTATGCCAGATAAGTTATTATGGGGGATCCAACAGCACACTGAGTCAAATGACCCACTGCCATAGTGTCAATTTAGAATCATCACAGGCATGTCCACAGAACCCCCAGGCATTGGTGACACATTTCAAGCAAAGGTATGCCAGCCCACTGTCACACACCAAAGGTGTTTGGTGAGGTGGACATGGATACAGCTGATGAATGGAGATGAAGACCATAGCCCTCATGTGAAGAAGGACAGCCAGAAATGTTGGCAGTCATCCCTCACACAAGAATGAGTCATCAGTGCCAAAGAAAAAGAAAGAGAGTGAGTTAAGTGCTGGTTAAAATTCTTAAGTGCCCATGTACAGCATTCTGGTTTTCAACATATCTCTGCTCTTTCTGCAGATACCAAGACCATTCCCACACTTGCTTGTAGTGCTCAGCCACACGATCCTACCTTCCAAAATTGGAAAGGATTTGTGCACTCCACATGTTTCTACAGCACTCCCTCCAAAAGACACTCATTTTGTTAATTCTTCTGATATGGCTGCCTCCACATCAATCATTTTGCTTGTCCCCTTTGCTAGGGACCATGGCTACATACATCTACCAGGAGTTCCTACCAGCTTCCATCCTGAAGCATCCTGGTACATCCCACCCTCATCTGCACCCTCTCAGCCCATCCAGCTTGGACAGCATGTTCTTTTTGTCAGTATGACCTCTAGGAGGATGTTCTTTGGTCACCTCAGGTCTGTCATTTGCTTGGAAAGGACTTACATGGTCATTTCAGTCTCTCCAGTCCAAGAAGCATATGGATCCTTCCTCCCTGCTCCCTGCAGTGTCTTCATACCAGTCTCATCTGTCATTCTTCCAAGATTGTGACAGCTACAGTATAATCTACTGTTCTCCACTCTCCCTGATTGCATCCATGACGAGTATGATGCACATCTTGCCTCCTTGTTGCAAGATACAGCAGAGGACACCCCCCCTTCATCCTCTCTTCCAACAGAGCCTCGTTCATGAAGTTTTTATTTGCTTCACTGAGAGGATGGTTTGGGGGGGAAGGTTGTGATCCCCTATGCTCCTGTCACCCCACAGACCCCCAAAGCTTGACCCCTGTTGACATCTGACTCACCCTGTCCACTTTTGGATGTACTGTATCAGCATCAGATTGGCACTACCTCCTGTCATCCCACCTTGGCCTAGAAGCGATCTCTTTGAGATGTGACATGCACAGCCTCCCCCTAATGTGATTCCAGTGTGCTTTCCCAGTTCCTGACATTACTTGACTCATACTTTGACATTCTGACTGTCTTTGACTCACCTATTGCTAATACTTACCAATCTTTTGACTTTGCTTACTGATTCTTCACTTTTTGGCTTGCTAATCCTTACCAATGCTTACCAATGCTTTCCAAGATGATTACCCATTGCTTACATTCCTTACTCATCAGTTACCAATCACTTACCAAGTGTTTGCACCTTGTTTTCCAAGGGCAACACCCCTGTACTGTATATAAATCACTGTACTTAGATAGCAAAAAAAGAAGAAGACATCAGAGAGCCCCTCTTGCTCATATTTTATCATCACTCAGTAAATCCTCCATCAGCTTCAATAGTTGAGACTTTATTAAGGGTCTAGCTATCATCTACTTTGCTTAATATCATCTATCATCAATATACTTTGCTCCAAGCCCTCCCTGAGCTCAGTGCAGCTTAGGACATCAAATTAAGTCACCATCCATCTTTCTGTAAGCTGACAGCAGTCTACCCTATCACTTTCTATCGCATTCTTGCTCCCTCTTCATCAGGAGCACCCCCAACCCTCAGCACTCATCTTTGAGTGTTGTAGCTCACAAAAACCCACCCAAATCAAAGGTTCTACCATCTAGGTACTGCATAGGCACACCACCACTCGCTCTTTTTGTCTTTTGTGTTGGTTTTGGTTGGTTTTCACCACTGAACCACACTTTGACTCACACCACACTCAATGTGATGTGATCAAGCTCAGTCCCCACCTAGGAACTATGCCATTTGCAATATCTTGGAGTACACAGGGTAGAGGAGCTGAAATCCTGTACCGATGGCTTGATGGCTCTCCACTCCACCCCAGACAATGCTGATGCCATTATTTTGCAATTGATTTACATCACACCAGTCTGTATGGATGTATTGTTGCTGAGTAATGACATTGCATTGTGATGTATAGACCACCCATTGTGCTATTGACCCATCAACTCCCTTGCATGGCAGGACTCACAGACCACATGAGTGCTCAAGGTTTGATTTGTGATGGCTTTGTAGGTGTCCTGTTTACCAGTCCATTCTAGGTAGTGATCCCAAGCCAAATACCAATCCAGGGGGCAGATGTCAATTTCCTTTGGAAACTGGCTGCTGTCAAGAATGTAGACCTTCTGATTTTTCTGGTAAATTTTCTAATCTTCACAGGGTGACACTGGTTCCACAGCTTAAAAAGTGATTCATAGGGTGAAGAGTGAGAGTGGGACATGATATCCTGCATCTGCCAAATCATTGATAAGACTGGAAATGGATATGGTATTGCCATCAGGAGTGACAACTGGAGCTTGCTCATCCAAATCAAAGCAAAGGGCAAGTTTGACTATAGACCAGTGAGAAGCAGACAAGTGATTGTACTCAGCATCAATGAAAGTGTCAACAGAAGCCTTAGAGGAGGGAGACAATAGCATATATGTGGCCAAAATCTGCTGACATTGACTTCCAGAATTTCCAGATTGGGGTTGGGGGATCTTTGGGGGAGGTAGCATGGCAACTGCAGGGGAAGTGCCAATAGGAGGTGTTGGTATGGTGAGGGTAGGAGCTGGAGGAGGGTTAGTGAGCACAGTGGATGCAGAGGCCACAGACAGACTGGGAACGGCTGAGGGCATGTTTGACACATTGGAAACACCCACAGGGAGAGGAACATGCTGTCAGTGCAAAACATGAGTTGAGTGCATGTGATGAAGTTGAAGATGAAGAGTACAGGGGACAATCTAAGAGTCATGGGATTACTATGGAAGTTGGCCCTGTTCAGCTCAGTGTCAGAGTCCTAAGCTTCATGTTACAGTTAGAAATTCTAGTACATAGGAGGCATGACCAGTAATAGAATAGTGTCTTTGTGTGAGTGGCTGTGCTGCTGCGCCCCTTGTTCTTCCTTCCTCCATCATCATCAGAGACCAGCCCACAGCATGGGCCTCTCACTGTTCAGTTTTCATTCCCTTTCTAGTTGCTCTTTAATCCTCCAACTATTAAGTCACTCCTTACCTTTCCTGAAACTCACATCCCTCTCACACAAGCCAAGACTGTGAGCAACCACACACACCTGATGCCACAGGAATGGATGCCCAACAGCCCCAGTGGCCACAATGACCTGATTTCTACCTACCTGCTTTCCAAGGCATGGTACAACTAGTGATGGCTGGAGCAAACATGTTTCAGGAGGAAGCCATTGAAGAGTTAGGATGACACTGGGATCAGGACAACCCACCAGAAGAACACCAGCAGGAAGGAGACCAAGAGAATCCCCTCAAGGAACCCCCATGCCTGCCAGCCCAACCACCAGCTGCAGGCCCTGAACACCCCCCACAATGTCCCACTGAAACCAATCCCCCCACCTTCAACCCAGACACCATGGTATTGTCCAATCTCCCAATGCAACCAGTGGAGTATGCTCTAAAAAAAATAGAGGCCTTCAGGTTCATTCACATGTGGTACTGTAGAAATATCTGTAGGCTACCTCAGTAGTGAACAAACTACTGAGTGTATTAATGTACCTGTAGGCTACTACAGGATGTCAGTATAGTAGCATACTTGTAATATAAACAGACTTACCCTCAGTAGTGAACAAACTACTGAGGGAATACTAGTAGAAAATACTACAAGTAGGTGTGCTATCTCAGCTTATGTAATCAGCCAAAACATCGCACAGTGGTCAAGTACCACAGGGGCACTTTATGTTCCAACAGGAGACTGTGGAGAGAGAGTGCTGCTGCACTATGCATCCAAAGTAAGGCAAGATTGGCATGACAAAGTTGCCTGAAACCAAGCATAAAACATCAGCACCATAAATGAAGACTTGATAGCAGACATAGGATGAGACCTAGACACCAGGGACATACAGTCTGGACTCAAACAGGTCAGTTGCTCCCCCCCCATCCCTCAGACCTCCTGTGCACACACTAACTCTCCTCCCACACACAGACCCTTCAGTCAACCTTAGTCCTGAAACTGGGACACCTGAAGTGTATATTTGCCCTGAAAGTGGGACTAACCAACACCAGCTGGTGGGTGGTGAGGGGGGGTAGGCCAACATGTAGGGGTGGAGTTGGCTGAACATGCTGGTGGATGGACCCCCTGCCTGGAAGTGGGGCTGGCCTACCTCACTGGAGGATAAAGACAGCCCCTGAAAGTGGGATTGGCCAGCCTCACTAGTGGATGTTCCCACTCCCTGGAAGTGGGATTGGCCAACCTCTGGGGTAGATGTTCCCACCCCCTGGAAGTGGGATTGGCTGACCTCTGGGGTAGATGTTCCCAGCCCCTGGAAGTGGGATTGGCCAACCTCACTACTGGAGGTTCCCACCCCCTGGAAGTGGGATAGGCCAACCTCACTACTGGAGGTTCCCACCCCCTGGAAGTGGGATTGGCCAACCTCTGGGGTAGATGTTCCCACCCCCTGGAAGTGGGATCAGCTGACCTCTGGGGTAGATGTTCCCACTCCCTGGAGGTGGGATCAGCCAACCCCTGGGGTAGATGTTCCCAGCCCCTGGAAGTGGGATCAGCCAACCTCACTACTGGAGGTTCCCACCCCCTGGAAGTGGGATCAGCCAACCCCTGGGGTAGATGTTCCCACCCCCTGGAAGTGGGATCAGCCAACCCCTGGGGTAGATGTTCCCAGCCCCTGGAAGTGGGATAGGCCAACCTCACTACTGGAGGTTCCCACCCCCTGGAAGTGGGATTGGCCAACCTCTGGGGTAGATGTTCCCACCCCCTGGAAGTGGGATCAGCTGACCTCTGGGGTAGATGTTCCCACCCCCTGGAAGTGGGATCAGCTGACCCCTGGGGTAGATGTTCCCAGCCCCTGGAAGTGGGATTGGCTGACCTCTGGGGCAGATGTTCCCACCCCCTGGAAGTGGGATTGGCCAACCTCACTACTGGAGGTTCCCACCCCCTGGACATGAAATTGACCAACCTCCCCATTGGATGTGGGATTGGCCAGAAATTAGGTTGGCTGGAAGCAACCTTTGAGTTGATGGGGGTGTATATCCATCAGCAGCAGAGATTAGGTTAGCTGTGAAGCAAGCTTTGATTTCCAGCAAACCCCCTGGAAGTTACAACATCTAAATTGTATCTACAAACCCTGTCCCAGAGCTCTCTTGGTTGGTTGCTGACATCTGCTTGGTCTCTTGCCCTCTTTCTCCTGAACCCCATCTTCCCTTGAACCCCCCTTTGTCTTCTTCTTCTTCCTCTCAACATTCCCACTGCCTCCCCTTTTCCTTTTCCTTTTCTCCTGGGGTGTATCCTCTGGTTCCTTTTCCTCACCACCCCTCCCACTGTCACCAGAGTGCTCTGCATCTCCACCAGTTTTTTTCCCAGAGCCTCCCTGTTCCTCTGAGTCACCAGAATTTTGCACCAACCTTGCAATTACCACCCCCACTGCAGCCATAACATCTTTGCCTCTGCTGATATCAAGCTTAGAGTCCAGCAAGAAACCCAGATTAGCAACTTCTGGGTCATCCTCTTCTACTTCCTGTGCCCTCTTACACTCCCTCCACAACATACCAAATCCAAGTACCACAGGAAGACCTTTCACCCTGGAAGTAAACCTCTGAGATTGCAATTGACCCAGTGCCTTCCAGAAGGAACCCCCATTGGCATGGATCTCTTGGGGCAGATACTGGGCACTCCAAGTCCATGGTGCCCATTCAGGCAACCCTACCCTGGGTTCCATATCAGGTTCTTGTGCAATATGTTTGTTAGCCTAGTCTTTGATGCAAGATTGGCACTTACTGTCTCTGGTAAGGCATATCCAAGATCAATGAGATCCTGGTACCTGGGCATGATGGAAAGGGTCTTTAAAAATTTCATCTGGTCCCCATTGGCATGCCAAGCAGGACTGGAGTCATGAGGGGTATTTTGAGATGAGGAGGCCCCAGAGTCAAGCCTATCCTCCTGGACAACTGGAGTTACCTTGGATGGCCTTACCCCACCAGTTTCCAACTCTGCCTCTGAGTCTGATGCCCCAGCCACTCCACTGGGCTCCCCCCCAGCTTCATTGTCATCATCAGGGCTCACCCACACTCTTTTTTTCCTGCTGGTTTTCTGGTGAAAGGGCCTTCCCAAAGGCTTGTCATCCTTTTTGCAATTGATAAATGAAGTGATCACCTTATCCTCATTCTCTAGGGAATGCCAATGATTCCAAAGCAACCTAAGGTCAGCCTTGGTCCATTTTGAAGGATCCTTCATCACAAATCCATCTGGGATGGATGTTGAGTCCAGATACTCCAAAGGGGACTTGATAAGCAAGCCCCAGGGAACCTTGGCCTTTGGCTTCCTGGTAAACTTTGCTGTTATTCCAACTTCAATCAGCAACTGAAAATGCATGGGGGGATCAAGACCATACCATAGGCTGCTTGGAAGACAGCTCTAGCCAAACTCTGCTGGGCCTTCAGCTTCTGCCCAGTAAAAGCTGGCACCTGGGGGTTTCCTTCATCATCCAGGGCTATTTCCACTGCTTGCTTCTTGTCATTCAAATCTTCTTCACCTAAGAATGGGATCAAACTAGGTACATATCTTGATAGACAATGCTCCAAACTTCCCAGGTTCAGTCAAAAGATAATCTGTTAACATTTGCTCCCCTTTCAGCACCCAATCCTTGGTGGGCTCTGAAGACACAGAGAAGGCCTTCTTGCCATCAGGGGGTGCTGTCTCCAAACTACATCTCTTTGTGAGCATTGGATAGACCAGGGGAAGGGGGACTTACATAGCCATCTTGATCTGAGCATCTGGGGTCTCATGGGAAGCAAACATTACTACATGCACCCCCATGGTTCTCCAAAGTGTTTCTGTGAACTCTTTAGCCATGCTGTGGAAGTTTTTTCTCCAGTACCTGTGATTTTGAAAGGTTAGGGTAAGGCCTGCAAACCAGAGGGACACCTATGATTCATGAGTCCCTTTGGGACCACCCAACTTATTCCACTTCTCAGCAGCCCTCCCAGCTTCAGTTTTTTTATCATTGGAAACAGACTCCCACCATTGTTGGATGATTTTGGTCCTCTGGCCTATGGTCTTGGGGTCCTTGGTGTCCCTCCTCTCCCTATCATAGGCATCTATGTCCTCCTTGAAGAGCTGCTGACCTGCAGTAAATTCAGTAAAGGGTTTTCTGTAGTCACCTGCCTTCAAAGGTCTCATTCTCTCCTCTCTGGCATCCTCACCCCCACCAGTCTCTTCCTTCCTCTTTTCTGCTACAGCCAGGATGTGCTGGATGATGTTCTCCTCATCATCTTGGTCATTGGGGTCCAGTTCTGGAAGAAACTTCCTTCTGATGGCCTAGATAAGCTTGAGATATGTTAAACTTGATAAAACTATTATCATACCACTCTCAAGTTCTGTGGCAATGCCACAGATCCCTCAGATGCATGCTGAAGGATCTTGGACTTCACCTGGGCCAGGATCTTGGCCCTGAGGTCAGAATTTCCTTGGGCATCTTTGAACTTGCCTACATAGGAAGACAGGAGATCAGAGTAGACTTCAGACCAGTCAGCCATTTTGTCAAATCACAGGGAGGTGAATAAGGCAGTAGAGGATTTGTGGAGTGCAGTGGCAAGATGAAAATTTCAGGCCCTTCCTAATTTAGGCAAGGAGGTTGAAAATGTCAGGCTGTTGCCAGCCATCACTCATTCAGGGAAACTACCATGTTGGAATGTTTGTTTTGACATATTTACTTTTCACTCCTGAACCAGATACCAAGTTCCAAGGCAACATGTAGACCTGAAATATACCCCTGTTCTAAATACAATCCTATTTCTTTACCTTGGAACATCAACCTGGCCTTTTTGGCAAAGTCACCACACAACCCCATCTGCTTATTAGCATAAGCTTCCATCCCTGGCTCAATGGATTGCCCTGCCCTTTTCTCCCATATGTTTCTTCTGGAACTTGAACCATAAGGTGGTCCAAAGCATCTCATGCCTGACCAATGACAATTCTTCTTTCCATCTGTCCCTTCTTGCCCTTGCTTTGAGCCAATTGATCCTATAAACTGCCATGCAATATATTAGTAATATGTCTCCATGCAATATTCACACTTACACTCTTCCATTGAGCCCCCACTGTCCACATTCCTCTGACCCTGTTCACCTTCCATCATCCAAAACCATGCCAATTTACTGGTCCCTTGACCAAACCTGTTCTCCTCTGTCACCTCTTTACTCACATGCAAGGTCCTGAGGAAGAATTTCCTGATATTTTTCTCTGATGCTAACATCAGGTTCCAGTCGAAAGAATGGCCTGCCTTAGACCTTTGATAACTTCTGACATGCTTGTTTATTCTGGACACCACCTTTTGGATCTCCTTTGTGGTTCTGGTACCCTCCCTGGTGGAATTTGCATTCTGAAAATTCTGCCAATATAACATTGCCTTGTTGCCCAGGTCAGTTTGAAGCCCCTCTAAACAATCATTAGCTTGCCCAATCCTGAGTTCCATTTCTTCTTTGAGAAGGGCATGAAGGCCAAGCTCTGTCAGTTTGGCTGCTCCAATGGATGAGGGCATCCATATACTCATGACTTCAGCAGCCAAGTCTCCTTCCTCTTCTGCAGCCTCCCAGTCCTCCTCTCCATCTTCCCAGAACTCTTCTTCATCTTCCACTTCTTCTTGCCCAAGGAATGCTGGATCATCCTGGGAAATTAAAACATCATCTACCTCCAAACCTTCAAGAAAAGCTTGTCCCCTGCCATTGAATTTCTCAATTCTGGCAGAAAGTCTCTGTCTCTTCTCAGAGACTTTGACTTTTTGTCTGGTAGACATGAGACTGTGCATCCTCTATGCTGATTCCTTCTGCAAGCCAAGCCACAGAACCAAGGTTTCCTGAGGATGAAGGTGGATTTTTCATGAGCTTTAACTGCACTTCACCCATGGTAGGGGCTACAGATCATCAGACAGGCCCATGGTTGGGATAAACTGACTGACCTTTCTCCCCTTTCAACAAATAAATATCTAGGGCCTCCCCTCTGTCTGCCTCTGCCTCTAGAGCATCCAATTCCCATCCTGTAGCCTTACTAGGGTCTAGGACAGCTGTCAACTGCTCATATGCCTGATTCATTTCCTCCAGACACTTGTTTGAAGTTTTGTATTTTTTTAGCAGTGAAGGGACTGAGAAGTGTTGGAGTTTATCACTTTTACCTTAGTTGTGGTTCACTGAGCACAGCATTACATAATCCAAAAGCGGACACTTAGCAGTTTATTTTTTCCAACTGCACCTCAGCTTCAACCAACTTGAAGTCTGAGGTGGGACTCCTTCCATTCATTATATTGGAACACTTACTTACCTACCTATTAGCTTCAACCAACTTGAAGTCTGAGTATATTCCTCTCTATAGACTTGACAATCCTGCAGCTTGTCATCCTCCAAAAAGAAGAACAATGTAAACTCACTTCTCTTTGAAGAGGAGATCTCTTGCCTATGCCCACAATTTTTTTCCAGTTAGAATCTCTTGTATGATCATCATACACCTCTTGTCTGTGGGCTTGAGTCATAGACCTTGCAGTTGGAGAGATCTTATTGAATGGAGCACACAATGTCTCCAAATATTCACCATCCAGGTGGCCAGCACCCTTGACAAAGTTGAGGCTATATCTTGGAAAGCAAGAGAGTTTGTGGGCAGCCAGATGAAACTTCCCCACAGCAGGAATGATCTGGAGACCAGGTGGAAGAGTGAGAGAGCAGCTGGACTTTACCTGACTCCAGAAGTTGATACTCCATTGGCACCCTACATCATAAATGACAAGGGCCTTTTGGATGCCTTGGGAATGGTAATCAAGAGCATTGCAGATGGAGTAGTCAGTGTTCATATACCTGGCCCAAAGTGAGCTCCAACTCATCCATTCTGCCTGATAAGCCAACTCACCTTTCCCCTCTTTGAAAATCCACCACAGAATGGGGAACAAAGCAACCATGTCTTGCACAGGCTGTTGCACCAATGCCAGTGGACCAGAGATTGGACTTGTTGATATTGGCAGCATTGATGGCCCTGTGATTGCTGCAGGTGGATCTCTAACAGTATGGTGGGTCTTTTATATTCCAGGGCCTTCAAGCCTCCAATTACTTACCTCCTTGTTATCCAAAGACTGCTGGAGATGAGTCTGATAGGGTGCCTCAGAAACCATGTAGCCTTTTCCATCTGATAATGACACATCCAGCTCTGGCTTGTTCATTTTCATATGCTGTACAGTGAAGTTGCCATCCATCACATATTGCCTCATCACAGTGTCACTGAAGGGGGTTAGAAATAGAATGCCTATGGATTAAAACCCCTTACCTGCTGTAGCAAGTTCTCCAATCTGGAGGTAAATTAATACCTGGTTCTGGGCAAGCAGGGCAAAAGAGTGCAAGTCCTCCCTGCACAGGATCTTGCTCAGAATCATGACCAAACCCAAACCATTTCCTATGTTTCAAATCCCTCCACAGTTGGGACACCCACATCAGCTCTTGGTACTGGTCCTGAATGGAGAGGAAAGTATTAATGCAAGCCACTCAATGGGGAATAGCACTCAACTGGTACCCTGTCAGGAAAAGCATTATTGGTGAACCTCTTCAGCTTCTGATAGAAACTCATAGCTGAGGTCTTGCACTCCAAAGCATCAATAAGAAAGTGATTGAGGACATCAAAGGTGAAAGCAGTTCTGGGCTTTGTTATGCTGGCTGGAAAGAGTCTTTCCCTGAGTAAATGAAGGTGCCAGTCTGCAGAATCAGACCCAGGGCAGCTGCACCAGCAAAACTCATGGGTGAAAATTCCTTTGTTGTGCACAATGGTCATTTGTGACCAAGATGACCTCCTGGCACCAAATGTTATCAGAAGGCTGCAGGAAATGAATGCCACTGACCTGTAATTGGGCAGCCCTTCCCCAGAAAGGTAGCCCAAATCCTCTGGATCTGTATTGGGCATGGGAATCACCTCATTGCAAGGGCATGGACTTCCCCCATGGCCAATGTGCCAAAGGAATCCAAGGTTCCATCAAGGAAGTGGTCTGGTAATGGGTACCATTCCAATTTTGTACCTTGTGGAAGGGGAGATTTCAGTGAGCTTCCACAGAACAGGGGCCACACCAGGCATGCATGCCTGAACAGGACATGCACTGGATACTTCCTTCTGCCTGTCTGCACTGCTCACATATCCCTGCCTTAGCCAGTTGCTCTCCTTCCAGAATGACTTTGATATAATCTGTTCTCCAAGGCAGCCATTCTCTGATAAAGTCATTCTGACTCTGTTAAATTTTATTTAGCCCATGTACCACTAAGTAAGACTACTTACCTTGGTGACCCTCCTGGTCTTCAAGGCATCATCCCCTTCATTCCAGTCTGAGCCAGGAATCTCAAGGGAGTTTGGGAAGTCAGAAAAATTGACATTCTGGGAGGCTATAGTCCTTGGGGTTCTTGGAGTTGAAGGTCCACTCTGAGAGGGGAGGTACAGGTGCCTGGCATCAACTTCCTTATATGTAAGCTTTCCTCTCCTGGTCCTGGTTGGTTCAAAAGCATATAATGAACTTTGGCCAGACCATTTGCCCAGCACCTTGTACTTTCTCCTATGCATGTGAAAAGCAGATAATGGTAGAAAACTAAGAGGAGTTGGGGACTGCTGGAAAATACACATGGCCTAAAAACTTCATTGGGCAAATAGAACACAACAAGATACTGAACCACAGGAGGGAGGTTTAGTTGTAGCTAAGAACAGAAGACATAATGTCCCTCTGGACAGTCCAGGTAGGCCTGGTGACCTGGAGTCTGTCATGCACCCTGTCCTTCATGTGGTGTACAATGGCAATCCTTTCACCCCTTCCCCACTTTGGAACTGGATGTGAGAGAATTTTGCCAGCCAAGAAAATCATGGTGCCTGGCAAATACAAATTTTTTCCCCCAAGTCTGGCACCAAGAAATTAGCATCATGGGAGCCCAAGCTGACCAACAAATCCAAAAGGGTGGGGGCAGAGCCAGCATCTTCATGGAGAGGAGTTTCCTGGTTGACAATGACATCAATGTTGGTACAGGACAGATGGCCAGTCCAAGGGATCCTCATTCAGCACACTGCCAGTCTTTGCAGAGACAACTTCTGAGCCAGCCCTGGCAAGGTCAGGCAAAGTGACTGTTGTAATGTCACTCCAGAACTTTTCAACATAGGCAATCAGCTGGAGCCATTTTCTTGTAGCTTTCCTCTTGAGGGAAGCACTTTGGTGCAGATTGTCCACAAGCCTCTTCAGGGATCTCAGTGACAGTTTAACAGATGAGAGGGAGTAGCCAACCTGGTGAGCCTGCACAAAGGTGGCTGGAGACATGGAGATCCTGCCATGGCCATAGGTGGGAGAGTCTGCAGGTTGATGTTTATGACCATAATGTTTGTTAACCCTGGACAGGTCCTTGTGCTTGTGCTTGTGCTTTGACCTGAGGGAGTTCTTGATGGAAAGGTGAAGTTCATTGAGAAGTTGCTGTATGAAAAGAGGTGAAAGACAGGCCAATAGCAGGGGAAAACACACACAATCCTTGCACCATGGATGATTCCTGGCAAATACCATACCAGGAGCCTGCCATGCCTATCTAGAACTGTGGCTGGAGCATCCAGAGAGCCAATGTTGGGGTGTTCAAAATAGATAAACTTGTCCTTGGCACCAGGCAAAGGATCTGAAAACTGATCAACATCCCTATCAACTACATCTGCAAGGAGTGAGAGGTGAATTGTTTTGGATGGGAAAGTCACCCTACATGGATTCAGGATTGCATGGGAAATGACAGCAGCAGCCAATCTGACTTCAAGGGAAGTGATGGTATCATCAGGAAGATTGGGTTGTTGGAGGGCTGCTTGGGCATTGGCCAAAAGGGAGAGGGCTTGGAGTCTATGAAGATGTCACTAGAAGCTTTGGAGATAGGAAGAGGCAGGGAGCTGACCTAGGCTTGGTGAGATGGTCCCTTGTGAGAACAGTGCCAGATGAGAAGTTGGGGATGGCCCCAAATGCAGTCTTAAGCATGGAAGCAACAGTAGCAGTCAAAGACATTTGGAGATCCATGAGGGGAACTGGGTTAGGTGGAGGAAGGAAGGAAGAAAGGTGGAGAATGAAAAAATTGAAGGGTGGGAAAGACATGGAAAGTTGCAGAAAGATTCCAATGAGGGCAGGCATCATCACCAAGTGACCTCCCCCACCCATGTGTGAGGTCTACACTTGATGTCCTTTTCCTTTCTTTTCTTACTTCTCTATGGCAGCTACAGAGGTCAGCTTTAGGCCAAAATGCAGACTACAGTTGAGTGAATCATGTGAATGTGGTCTGTATCCCACCTCTTATTGTTGCACTGAGTATCAAAGGTTTATGGCACATTGACTCTGTAATCAAACAATCATACCCTCAAAACTGAAGAATACAGTTCTTCATGAACAGACTTGAGGCCCCAGGGTATTATCAGTGTCCATCAAAATAATATTTATTATCTGGATCCAGAAGTCACACAGTCTCCAGGCATAACCTTCCCACATGAAGGCACTCCCTGGCACTTGGTTTGTGGCAGTGACCAGCCTCTGGTTCTGCCAATTATGAATAGTCCTGAGGGCTTGAACATAAATGTAGATTGAAACAGGGTGCTGCAGATATGCAGTGAATGCAATATGAACATGAAACCCCAAATTGTGAAATAACTCACTAGACACATCTTCTGGAATCTGATCAACTCAAAGCCTTTGTCTCTAGGTCTGCAGTACCAGCACCACACTACTGGTACTTGATACCCAATTTTTAATTTAGAAGGGAAAAGGTACTAATTACATTACAGGGAGGTGTTTACAGTGGACAGTGGGCAAAAAGACTGCACAACTTGGAAAAATATCCACAGCATATGCACTTAAAAGACTCAGAAGACTTGCAAAAAGATCAACACCATAAATTTGTATTAGGGTTAGGGTTAGGTTAGGTTAGGGTTAGAAGAAGACTTGCATAAAAGAAACCAATCCTATACCTCCAGTTAGGCAATTTGCATCAGGGTTAGGGTTAGAGCAGTGATGGGTCAAAAAAATTTGACAGAGACCTGAAATCCCCATATTTAAAGAAAGACAATCAATTCTAATATTGTGCTACCTATGAATCTAAGTTACATTGCAAAAAATATACATAGACAAAAGTTCCAAGTGGAACTGAGACTTTCCTGCATCCAGAGGGGGCCCTCCCCAAGGAGTACAGTTACATCTCTAGAACAACATCCTCAAATGCAACCAAAAACCCCAAAAATTGCACAGTAACCTGTACAATAGAGTCAGTTCCTTCAATGAAGAATGGTGAACACATACCTCAAGTAAAAAAACACCAAAACCACAGTAGTATAAAAACTAGTGAAGACAGTCAATTGTGCAACATAAAAAAATGAATAGGAACTTCATTTACCTGATATCACAGAAACAGCACAACTAATAGAAAACATCAGTAATCCCCCAGTACCCTAAGTAGAGAAGCTGGCCCACATGAGTGAGCACAGATGAAAAGTCCCCCAGTTCCCATATTGCTAGCCCAAATGAGTGAGCATAGATGAAAACCCCCACAACCCAAGAGGTCCCCCAGTCAGATGTCATGCTGGCCAGGCACAACAGATGACTGAGGGACTTCCCCCCCCTGTCCAGTGCCTGCAGCACACTTTCAAGGGGGAGGTAATCTGCAAAGGCAAGGTGGATCAGTGAAAGAACACAAAATGATGAACCTTTGGAGCAAAGATGCAATGAGGGACTTGACAAGGAGGGTGGAGGGGAGGTTGGAGGTAGCAACAAGGCAGGAGGGATCATTGGGGGGAGAGAAAGTGATGAACATGTGGTTTTGGTGCACATGCCAGGTTTATAAGGGAACATGTTGTTTGTGTTTATTTGCTGTGCCATTGTATGCTATTGGTAAATGCTGTCAGTTGTGAGTGAATTAGCCACCAGCTGTTGTACTGAATATTCAGTATTGCACCAGACATTCAATTCCCAATATGTACATGCCAAGATCACCAAACAACCACTTGCAGGTGTGGCTCTCAGCTGCCCATTGTGATTGTGAAATCATGTGTCATGTGTCACCATTCAGTATGAAGCAATGTCAATCTGTCATTCACAACACAATGTTAAGCATATTCTTGTTCCAAGAATAGACTCAATGAATACTGGCTGATCTAGCCTAGATCTCCTAATCAACATACCATTATTACTGACAAGTAATGCCCTAAATAGCTATTGTACTTGGTATGCAAAATTGGTGACTGAACAACCAAATGTCACTTGCCATCTGGATTGCTGGAGTTGTATACAATTTTTGTCATTACTTGCCAAGGGCTGGTGGCATGTGTCACTGCAGAGCAGAAAGGCTGTTATTTCAGATCAATCAATATTGATTACTATACAGTTCCACTGCTAATCTGCAAAACTACCCAAGGGGCTGTACAAAGGAGTTCAATGTCAACAACCATGTGTCACAGTGTGACACATTCACTGCTCAGGGTCCAAATCAGGCATTTGGTTCCTCACTGACATCACTTTATCCTTGTCCTGTGTGTGTCTGGGACACTCAAGCAAAGACTGCATGTAACAGATCCCCTCAGACAAGATGATAACCATTTTTGGTAATAACCTGCATAGTTACTATTGCCAATAGGAGTTACATATGGATGAATACAGCTTTTGTGAGCAAAGACTGGTGGATCCAAATTACCAGTACAGGCACAATGTGATTTGAATGAGCCAAAATACCAGGCTGCCACAAACACATCCACATTCAATGTTGGTGCTACTGTGACATTGGCTGTCCCATTGGCCTGGCATCCAACCATTTGTTGCCCAGTGGCCCAATCACTTGTCCCCTGTGTTTGCAAGAGCAAAGACTGCATGTAGCAGATCCCCTAGGACAAGATAATAACCATTTTTGGTAATAATCTACATAGTGTCTATTGTCAGTAGGAGTTACATATGGATGAATACAGTTTTTGCAAGCAAAGATTGGTGGATCCATATTACTGGTACAGGCACAATGTAATTTGAATGAGCTGAAACACTGGGCTGCCACCAACATATCCACATTCAATGTTGGCTTTACTGTGACATTGGCTGTCCCATTGGCCTGGCCCATCTGACCATCAGCAGTGACTCAATCACTTGTCCCCCATGTTCACTGGAGCAGAGACTGCATGTAGCAGATCCCCTAGGATGAGATAATAACTATTTTTGGTAACAATCTACATAGTTTCTATTGCCAGTAGGAGTTACATATGGATGAACACATTTTTTTGTGAACAAAGATTGGTGGATCCAAATTACCAGGACAGGCACAATGTGATCTGAATGAGCCAAAGTACCAGGCTGCCACCAATGAGCATTCAACATCAGCCCCACTGCCAATCAGCTGTCTTGTTGACCCAACATCTGACCTTTGGTTCTGCAATGATATTGCTTATCCCCCACACATCCCCATGAGTGTCTCATTCCCTTGTTCACCTGTCATGTGACATCACCAAACATGCCACAACAGCCTGAGTGGCTGCACCCAAGCTTTGTAAATACTGTTTCCCTTTTGACTGTCCCCCTCCCTCCATTTGCCACCTTTCCACACCAAAAAAAGCTGTGTGCTCTTGGTGCTGTGTCCCCCCCTTCCCCTTCTTCCCCTCCTCATTTTCCAAACCAAAAAAAAGGTACATAATTTCTTTCTCCACAACCTTTCACTAATCTTTTTTGTTTTCATCTAGCTTCGTAATTCTTGGGTGTTGGTGCCCCCCCCCCCCCCCCCTCCTCTTCTCAGCACTGTCCACCCAAAAACAAAAGTACATGATTTTTTTTTTCCAGGTGCATCTCCCCCCCTACTAACCACTTTCCTTTCCATCTAGCTTTGTCATCTCCCCCCCCTCCTCCCACCCACTCTTTCCAAGCCAAAACAAGGTATGTAAGTTCTAAGCTGCCTCTCACATTCATCCTAGGTTGCTGACAGGTCTTCTTGGCTGATCCCTCCCTCTCCCACCACCCTCTGTGTCATACACAACATAAATCATCCTACCTACTTTTCCCCTGTCTTCCTTGTCTAGAAGTGTACACATTTATATTGATAATTCCATTCCTTGTTCCATTATATTCCAAGTCAGCTGGGGTCTACCCATGTTCTGTCATTGTCTCCCTCCCCCAAGTATTTGGTTGCATGGTACTGACCTTGTGCTGCTAGACTACCATGGCAAGGACAAAGCAAACTTCCAAGAGGAATGTTGGTGACAAGCCTGGCAGAGTCTCTCTGGTCAATTTACAAGCCAAGGAGCAACAAGCTGCCCAGGCTGCCACTGCCAATGCCATCAGGGCTCCACTTCAAGTCAAGAAGAGGAGGATAAGGAAATCTGTGAGTTTACTCTTTCCTCTGATCATGATACTCATATCTTCTTTCAGTTCTGTCTCATGTGTAGGGATGGGGGCACTTTATGGGAGTGTGATGTCATGGGCTGCTGGAGGGTGGTCTGCAACAAGTGTCTGGTGGTTCCAGAAGATTCCCTTCAACAGATCACCCAGCCTGGTGTCTCCTTTAGGTATGTTCACCCACCACCCTATTTCATCACCTCAAGTCCTTTTGTTTCTCCTCAGGTATGTCAGTTGTCATTGGAAGAGGACCAGACATGGAACTCCTTAGCCCTACTATGTAAGTCCATCCAAACTTCCCCCATCCAACCTAATTCCAAATACAGGGCTTCTATCTGGGTGACAAGCATGCCCTCAGCAAGCCCCCTGCTGTCATGGGCACATTCCAGCATGCTACCACCTCTGAAGTGGCTACCCTTTCCACAGCCATCAACCACCTTCACCTGGATGGCTTGACCCTGGACCCTGACCCAGTCCATATCATCCAATCCATGATACAAGGGTATTTCAAACCAGAGGGCACTTACAGTTTTGCACAGTTGCCTTATGACTTGGGAACTCAGGAATCTAGGGCTGCCTATGAAACTGCAGCTGAAGTGCTCTCTTCCTTCCTGGCCCCTTATGCAAGGGTGGTTCTCTTCTTCACTACCCACAGTGAAGAACAAAGTGGGGATCTCTTTGCTGGAAGTAGGGATGGGCAGGTATTTGTATCAAAGGTCTTTGAGGTGAGTCACCATTTCTCAATCTTTACTCTCACCTCACCATTTCCAGGTTTTAGAGGCTCTCCTCACACCCCTCTCCAAGGTTGTTGAGGGAGGTGACCTCATCTTCCTGGTGTGTGGATATCTGGTCAAGCATCAGGAGAGTTTCCAAGACCTCAAGTCAGCCATGAACCAGTAAGTGTCCTCTATCTGAGCACTTATTTGTCACTCACCACCATTCCAGCTTCAAGCCAAGGTCAATGCTCCTCTTTGATGCAGACAGGTTACTCCCTGTCAACACCATTCCTTTCCTCATGAGTGTTTTGGACCTTACCATCATCCAAGGCTTTCAACAGATGGATAAGACAGTCAAGGCTGCCCTCAAGGACTTTGGGGTGCTGGGTAAACACTCAAACATCATCCTCATGTTTTGGGGGTCTCAAGGAGGGAGGGTATTGGTGGAAAGGTACATTTGGACTGACAAGTTCATCAAACCTTGGGGTCAGAACTTGCCTGCTCAATGCCCTCAGTGTGGGAGCATACAAGAATGGCTGGCTGCTAGTGCTGATTCAACTTATTCCTATCAGAGCCAGTATCCTGATTGTGGGAAGGACTTGGAGAGGACTGCATTGCCACCCAAAACTTATACCATTTCTATGCCTCAAGGAGCCAAAAAATTACCAGATGGAAAAAAGTCATCTGCATGGTTGGTAGAAAATTTGTAAAATACATATACCTCCAAAGTACACAGTACATAAAAAATGGGCTGTTTATAAAGAATGAATCCAATGATATGGCCCATACTGTAAGAATGTCCCATCTTTCCTAAGAAAATATGTTGAAAATTATAGAAGAAACAGATCCTTGTTTATTCTGGAGGTTTCACAGCTGATATGCATATATAATTTTGCATGTCTGCTGCATGCTTTGCTGATGCTGGGTTGGGCTTAAGTAAGGTCCACCAACACCACTTCTGGTGGGCTGGGCCATGGTTTGGCTACATTGGCTGACCCCCTTCCAGGGGGATGGCCCATGCTGAGGTTAGGTCATCTGATATCACTTTCAGGGGCTTGGCCATGCAGAGGCTGCATCAACTGATACTACTTCCAGGGGGCTCCCTCATGTTGAGGCTATGTCAGCCACTACCACTTCCAGGGGGCTGGGCCATGCTTAGGTGATGTCAGCTGACACCACTTCTAGGGGGCTCCCTCATGCTGAGGCTACATCTGCTGACACCACTTCTAGGGAGCTCATCCATGCTTAGGTGATATGGCCAACACCCCTTCCAGGAGCTCCCTCATGCTGAGGCTGTGATGGCTGATACCACTTCCAGGGGGCTCCCTTATGCTGAGGCTAGGTCAGCCACTACTACTTCCAGGGGGCTGGGCCATGCTTAGGTGATGTCAGCCAACACCACTTCTAGGGGGCTTCCTCATGCTGAGGCTACATTGGCCAACACCACATCTAGGGAGCTCATCCATGCTTAGGTGATGTCAGCCAACACCCCTTCCAGGGAGCTCCTTCATGCTGAGGGCTGTGTCAGCTGACACCACTTCCAGGGGCCAACCCACTTTCAGGGCTGTTGGCTGACATTGGTTAGTCCTACTTTCAGGGAAAATGTACATTTCAGGTGTCCCAGTTTCAGGACTGTGGTTGACTGAATTATGTGAGCAACTGGGAGGCTTTACTCCACAATGCTGCCTGGGTAGGTTGTGACAACATCTACTTCAATGCTATTTGAACCACCATGCCACTGTCTACAGTGATTAACCAGTTACAGAGTTATTGTGAGCCCTCTCCAGGGAGGTATATAGCTAGAGTATGGTACTCTGTATCCTTAGTTTTTTGCTACCTTGCAAATCCCCTCAACCATTCTCTCTCTCTCCCTCTCTCTCTCTCTCTCCTTGCATTGGGTGTGAACTCCTAACAGAGGGAACCTATCAAAGTCAGGGTTAGTAGTGGATCCATAGGGGTTATGACAAGTTTGGCCCACAGTGTGTCCCTCCTTCACTTCATGTCTAGTCCATTTGATGAAGCCACCACATTGGAGCATAACAGAAACTCTCCTGTGTTTTTGTTGCTGAACAGAACCCTGCAGTTGGCAGGATGGCTAAGAAGCCATTGAACAAGTATCTCAGTATGAGGGGCATCCCAGTTGATGTTCTTTGGCTGGATATTCTCAGTGCAGGAGTTGCCAGCAGAGGTGGTTGTCTGATGCTCATTGAGCACTGGGCTCTTCCCTTTACTCCTTCTCCCAGTGAGATTCACAGGAAATACTTGTGAGGATGGTCCATCACCAGCAATTGCATTTATGGGAGGCCTTCCTTGACAAGCATGTCCACTTGATGAAGCCATGGGTCATGATAAGAGGGCCTGCAAGCAAACAGACCATCAGGGCATCACCAAAAGGGAGGCATAATTTTCAAACTCCATCCTGGCAGTGCTCATGAATTTGCCAATTCCAGAGTGCTTCCAGAGTGCTTCCAGAGCCATCCAGTGCCACCTTGAGCACCACTATTAGAATCTATAGTTTGTTGTAGTATTACATAATCTCCAGTCGTCGCCGTATTGCTTGTTCTATTCCGTCCAAGTACTTCAGCCTTATGGCGGCATTCTTTGTCTCCCTCCAGTCAGCCTTCGCAACCAGCCTCTCTATCATTTTCACCAGTTGCAATATTTTAGCTGGTACAAGAACTGTTAGCAGGATTAGCATTATACTGAACGCAGGCTACGGTACCGTTGTTCTCGTCCCGCAACCCATGTAGTCGGTCTGCATTTCCAGGTTGCACGTTGTCGATCTCCTCCCTGGCTTCCATAATCTCGTTTATGAGTTCGAAATCGTTTAATTGGTCCGCCTCCTCCAATTCTACACCATTGCGCTTCAGGATATACTCTATTCGATGAAGTGGGGAAGTTAGGGTTTTGTATGCTGCGTTTACAGTATTGGATAGCTCGAGTGCTGCCTCCTTTTCTGGCTTCAGTACGTCAGATGCATATGCGCATAAAATCCATGGTCAAGAGAATACCTCGGTCTTCGTAGCCCATGCATCGGGATGGCATATCCGCTGGGCCTCCAAAAAGCGACGCTTGAGGAGAGCGGTATCCACCACAAACGGGTTCGGGCTATACGGCAGCCCCATCAGTTCATGGAAAGGGATCGAATTGTGAACTCCGGAAATCCAGTTGCAGGACAGACAGACGGGTAGCCGTGCAGGGAGCAGTGCTCCGCATGAAGGACATGTCCTGGTCAGTGAGGTGATGTGCGTGGTTGACACCAGTCTCAACGATTGGAGGTCTGAGCGGAACCTGCCTCGTAGACAAACTGGGCTGTGGGCAACCCTGCTGACAAGTAGCGAGTGCGCTGAGAGACGCAACATGGCCGGATGGTGCAGGTGGAATCGATATGTAATAATGTAACCGCTCCGACAGGCGGCTAAACTTATATCATGACGTACTACTACGATGACTGTCCCGCAAGTACCTCCCAACTCCAGCCCTCCCATGCAATATTACAGCCAGACGACCCAGCAAACGCCGAACCTGCACGTCGTCGACTAGCTTCAAAATCCCGCTTTCACTTGTTCGCTTCGTTGCGCAGAGTGTGCTCAAAGAAGAGGCTCAATCCGCACCTTAAGGGACCCCCCATTCTGAAGGATAACCGTTTACTGTCGCAATCTGAAGATGACACTCGGAGCATAACGTTAAGTGCAGAGAGACTTCCAGACTCCTCAGAAGAACAGGATACATATCGTTGGGCTGTCCTATATGAAAACCAGAGAGGGTAGGTCTTTGTTCCTCTCACATCGCCTCTCACTCACATACTCTAGATTGACCATCTTCTCGTCGCCTTATTACTCTAGCCTATTTCTTCTCCCTACTGACCCCTTTCCCTTTACTATTCCCAAGGCAAGCACAAAACGTTCGCAGCAGCCGAATGTCTCACTCAGTAACTATCCCCTTCCCGATGCAACATGGCATTGGGTGTCTAAGGCATGGTTGATTGACATGCGCACGGATCTCGGGGAGGTGCAGCACGACGGATTTGAGTACAACTGGTCGTTCCGCGAAAAGCACTGGCGCGCGGAGATTGGACCCCTCAGCGCCGGCGCGTGGGTGAGACGCAGAAGGTGGATTAGACTTATGATGCGACCAGCCAATTGGAAATCAGACTTCCTCGGGTCGGCCGACAATCACTTTGAGGGTCTGGCGTCTCTGCTTCCTCCTGCCGCACGTTCTTCGGAGACAACGCTGGACTCCCTTGAGCACAAGGCAGGTCCTCTATGGCAGGGAATTCCGCAAGTAGATTGGCAGCATTGTTATAGCTTGATGAAGCATCTTGGCTCCGACGGACGCAAACTTGAGCTTTGGCGCACCTGGCTTGATCCCTACATTACCCAAGACACTCGCGACCTAAAGGGCAAGGGTAAGCAAAGTAATGGAGACCAGTCATGTTGTCCCTCCAAGGCAATGCATTGCAACAGTCAGCTACTCAGGGGAAACCCGCCCCCGTTGCCGTACCTGTCTACGATGCTTCAAAGCCACGTGCGTTGACCATCGTTGATGTCTGCAGTACAACTTCTGAAAAGCTATCACAGGCGAATTCCATTATTCGAATGTTTGTCTTTCCTGACTCTCGCGCACAGTTCCTCGAGTTGCTAAGGCTTGCTGGACTATTGGACGACCTCAGAAAAATGGAGAATATATACCCTGAGGTCGTGGACTTCTGGAGTTACGCAGGTGGTTTCAACAAATTCCTAGAGAGTAGTGTTTGATCTCCCCCATGAAACCATGATGAGTAGATAGTGAAGTACCAGCTGTGATACAAGCAGTACATATCATGTCCAATCACGAAGCCTATCGTGGGTCCCAACTTCGTCCTGGCAACCGACGGTCCTTTCCATTTGCAATGGCACATGTACACGTGGATTGTCTTTTTTCTTCGCTCTCTTTCCTTACGCAAGTAACAAGTGCTACATGACGGGGAGATGTCTTCATCAAAGGCCACCTGGGATGTCGACGTTGTCGCGAACCCTGCAAACGAAAGAACTGAGCAGCACAACAAGAGTGTTCCCGAGGCTTCTTTCGCCGTGCAGATCACCCTACGCACCTACATCCTGGCTTCTTCATTGTTGCTTGGTCCCTCTCTTCTCCCAGTTGCAACCGCACTTGTCAGGGATCCTCAAGGTTTGAAGGACAGGCTAGGTGCTCTGAAGCTCGCACTATCCAAGGAACTATGCTCAAGGGGCTTGCCGTTTGCCCTTGCCGTCGCCGTTGGGGGTGGCCAGTGTCTAAAACTTTTGTGGGAAACCCTGAAGAAGCAACCCAAGTCTTCTGCGCCCGCCAGTCGGCGTTCCTCTCATTCTCTCCCCTTGTTGTTCAAACATACCCTTAGGGGTTCCATCCAAGCTCTCGACTCTAAACTCACTGCGTACCAGAAAGTATTCGCGATGAATGCAATGGCCTCTGGTGTAGGTGCAGCCGTCCTACACCGGAGGGATCGGTCGTATTCATCGTCGCACCGGCGTTCCGGTACGAAGTCCTCCACTCTAGACTTGACCCTGTGGTTGCTTGTTCATGCACTGGACGCACTCGTACAGTCAAGATTGCTGTCGGGGAAGAATAAAGCCACTTCTCGCTGTGTGAGTGCTCCTACGCGAGATGTGCAGACTCGAGGTCCTTCCTCAGAAGGGGAGCCGAGCAACGATATCGCTACCTCTGAGATTCTTTCCAAGGAGCGCATAAGAGTCAATGCATGGTTTGACAGTTTGCTCTTCTGGGCATGTAGCGCAAGGTTTGTTAATAGCGGCCTGAAGTTGACCTTCTTAGTCATTGTCCTACCAGGATTATGTGGTGCTTCTTCTACGAACCGCAAAGGTAATTAATTCTTCATGGCTGTTGTCTCGAATCTTCTAAGTGTCAACCCCAATGCGGCAGATTGCCGCGTTCCTATGTCAGATGGTATGGAAAAACCAATGAATATGATGCGTGTTGCTAGGTAAATAATGCAAGTTTCCCAGGATAGACAGACTTGCTCGCGTCGATTGGCGACTTTTAGAACTCTTACGTGCAGTGAGACAAGGGAATTGGTCATATATTCACGGGTCAGACCAACATGGGCTCGCCTCAACCTTGGCCTCTGACCTTGGGTATCCTACGTCCTGGGGTAATCCCGAACTTCTCCCAGCCCACGGTGGACAAACAGCTAGTAGAGCGTGGGCGGCGCTCGGAGTGAATGGCAGAGATAGTGTCGGCGGTTTACCATGCCAGCTCGTCCATGGCCGGGCGGTTGCTTGGTTTGGTCTTGCAGACAGCTGTGTTGCCAATGCGATATTCAGGGCTGTTCACGCATTGATGGAGGCATTCGTCATATATCTTCCCGTGAGTTTTGTTTGCAAGCCTTAAGGTAGTCTCATTCTCTTCTTCGGTCGCATGGTCAGGTATATTTCACTCCCCTTCTACTTACCCAGCCGAGATCATTTCTACGTCCTGGCTGCTTTATCCCTCGTGTTGCCTCTGCTATGCGCAGTGCAGCCTTCCTCTCCGCATTTATATCCTCTTACTGGTTCGCAGTCTGTATGACACGGACGTTAGTTCTTGCGCGACTACTCCCCAATATATCCCACGATACATGGGATGGACCGTATGGTGGTGCCTTCGCTGGTTCACTCGTGTGCGGCACTAGTATATTCATCGAAAGTGCCAAGAGAAGGGGCGACATGGCTTTATACGTCTTACCGAAAGGTTTAAGGGCTTCTATACCCAATAACTGGATCAAGTCTCCCGCCGCCAAGTTTGTAGAATGGTATAGTCACTATCTACTAGCAGTTGGTCAAACGGGCAGCTGATAATGAAAAACACGTCTGGCAGTGCAATATTCACGTTTTCGATGGCAGCTCTTTCGACAACTGCGGTATACAGGCCAGATGCCTTAAGAGGCCTTGCAGGGTGGATGGCAGCTTTCATCATGAAGGGACTCAATGCCACTGCCTGGAGGAAGCGCAAACAGAGTACCACTGATGACCCTAGAACGGATGTCCAGCAGCCTCGGAATGTTCACCGAAACTAAAATTAACTGGCACTCAACACCTATGTTAACGATCGTGACATATCACACTGCTATTACCCAGACCACAGGCACAACTTATGATCATAGAACGAACAACTTGCAATCAATGTCTCCTCGTGGACATCTTCGTGAAAAGACCAGTCTACACCATAACCCAGTGATTCATGCTGATCAAAGCATTTTCCGATGCCGTAGGACATCGTGATTTCCTTGAGGTCTGTGCTGACAACCTTGAAACCATCGTGCATACATGCAACAAGAAGATCATTCTTGCGCTCTGGTAATGGATGCCATTTGACACGCCAAGCACCCCCACCAACATCCATGGTGATGAGGGCCGACAAGGGCTTCCGCATATCGAAAAGCCGGACGGCGTTATTATAACTGAGGAAAGTTGGTCCGTGATAATAGCTGCCAAAGAGTTCACCCACCTGCCAACTGCAAGTAGATGCTCGACGTATGGATGGTTTTGAACACTAGTCACTCCGGCATCGAACCTGCTCTTAGATATGTTGACAGACTACATCATTGAAGTTCACGTCGGCGACACGTACGATCGATTGGCAAATATTGGGCGGTGCAGGGGCTGACGGACATCCCAACCTTTCAGATTCAGGTCGTCACCACCTATCATGCATTGAAGAGTCGCGGTCAAACATCTCGCCTTGCACTCACGGGGCACCTACCAGAATACACTACGGAACTCTCCCAATAATTCCACGCAGCGACCCAAGGTTCATAAACATGTGCCTTCCACACATCAGATACAACAAGGCCATGTGGAGAGGAAGGATTTAGAAGACAAAGGGATCCATCTGAAAGAGACACGATTAACGATCCCAGATGATCACTTGGATAACGCCTATTGGACCAATCCAACGACAAGCATAAAACGTCCGCGGAAGCGCAGGATATCTTCTGTAAGCAGCGAAAAGCGTGCTGCAATACAGGATTAAGATGTCGACTGGAAAGATCGAGACAAACGTGATACATTTTGAGATTGCCACTCCTGAACAGATATTCTCCCCTCTGAATCGGCAATGCCTAAAATTGCAGTACTCGTTCGTGATCTATGGCACCTGAAAAAAGGGTGAGCATGAGGAAGATGAGAATCCATTCCCTAGAGGTACCATTTCTGATCGAGGATTGCGGACAAGGTCATCTCTTGGATCAAGGTGCTGAATCCCCATGTTTTGAAGCCAGACGGAAATTATGGAAGACTACTGACCACAGCTTGGCCTTTGTATCTGTCACTTTGAATACGAAGCATTTTCCCCAACGGTACTGGCCGGAACTCTCTGGTTCCGACGCGGTTTCATTCGGGCTCACGGTAACATCGGCGGCCCGTTCATGTTCCAGCTTGTATGTTCCACAAACAAAGATATCCCGAGAATCTTCGTGAGGACAGAATTCGACGGAGTCCGCTGGCAGCACGGTGTCGTACGACTCCGAGACGGCCATAAGTAATAGTGTAAACCCACGAAGGTGATGCAAGTGCAGTAGGCACGTGACGTGATGTCACTCAAACTTTCGACGGCGTTCTAGCGCACAGGAGAAATGCCCAGTTCGATTGTGCTCCGTTCGTCTGGGGGAATCGACAGACGTCGATTCAGTGGTGTACGCACATAAAAGCCTTGTCCGCGACCTGACAACCTTGCTTCAGGACTTAACCCAAGACTTCGACTATGAATTTGGACACCTTAACCGAAAGGTCACAACAGACAATTGCTGCTGCTATCCAACTAGCAAGAGATCATGCAAATGCGCAAGGTTTGGTGCATCTTCTTTAGTGCCATTGGTTCGCGCTGATCGACCTTTATAGTACATCCTGCTCATATTGGAGCCGCCCTCCTAAATGAGGGCACAGGACCAGACGGTGTAGTGCAAGGAGACCAGAGTACAGCATCCTTATTTGCATCGGTCATCGAGAAAGCTGGTGGCGACAAGGTGAGATGCTAGTCGTGCTTGATTGTTTAGTCTACTGACGCCTCGGTTCTGAAGGTTACCGTAAAGCGTGGACTCCAGAAAATCATCATCAGATTACCATCACAGTCACCACCTCCAGAAGAAGTGTCATTCACCGGAATGGCATTGAAGGTGCTGCGAGAGGCAGTAGAATTACAGAAAACTATGCATGATTCCTATGTTGCGCAAGATCACCTTCTTCTCGCTCTCATCAAAGACACCACGATCCAATCTGTCCTCAAAGAAGCTGGCTTGACGGAGGCTGTTGTTAAGACGGTGATTCAACAGATACGCGGTAACCGGCGCATCGAAAGCAGAAACGCGGAGGCTGGATTCGAGGCTCTGCAAAAGTACGCAGTCGACCTAACAGCACTTGCGGAGGAAGGCAAGATTGACCCAGTCATCGGGCGAGATAACGAGATCCGCAGAGTTATCCGTATTCTGTGCAGAAGGTGGGATTGCCTCGTCAAAAATATATTCGGAATGTTGCTAACAGTTCTACAGGACAAAGAATAATCCCGTTCTTATCGGTGAACCTGGTGTTGGGAAGACCTCCATTGTAGAGGGCCTTGCTCAGCGCATCGTGAATCGCGATGTCCCTGCATCCCTCCTTGGACGACTATTTTCTTTGGATATGGGTGCCTTGATGGCTGGTGCCAAGTATAAGGGTGAATACGAAGAGCGCATCAAAAGCGTTCTAAATGAAGTGGAAAAATCTGTTGAACAAGGAAACCAGGTTATCCTTTTTGTTGATGAGCTTCACCTTATCATGGCAGGGCGAGGTGCCGAAGGTGGCGGCATGGATGCTGGTAACCTATTCAAACCCCTCTTGGCCAGAGGCAAGCTGCGGTGCATTGGTGCTACTACACTCGCTGAATACAGAAAGTACATCGAGACGGACGCGGCGCTGGAGCGAAGGTTTGCTCAAGTCATCGTTAACGAACCAACCGTTGGCGAGACTATCAACATCCTTCGTGGTATCAGGGAGAAATATGAAGTCCATCATGGTGTCAGAATTCTTGACGGTGCGATGATTTCCGCGGCGACCTTAGCACATCGCTACTTGACATCTCGTCGATTGCCGGATGCTGCGATCGACCTCGTCGACGAAGCCTGCGCAAGGTAAGTCGTGCATCACTGATCGAGGTTTTTAGAATGTTAATATGTCGAATTTAGCGTCCGAGTCACACGGGAGACGGCGCCTGAAGCAATTGACAAATTGCAGCGACGCAGACTTGAACTCGAAGTTGAAGTACATGCCCTTGAGCGCGAGAAAGATCAGGCCAGCAAGGAGCGCCTCGTTCTTGCTCGCAAAGCTATCGCAGAGGTTGATGATCAACTCCGGCCTTTGCAGGCTGCGTACGAGGCACAGAAAAGGATTGGTGATGAAATTAATCACGTCCGCAAACGGATAGATGAACTCAAGGCCAAGGCGGATGACGCCGAGCGACGGTAAGTTCGTGAATTGCAAGTGCGCCCCTAGTGCTCATCACACTGGCAGATACGATTTAGAGACTGCGTCGGACCTGCGTTACTATGCTCTGCCAGAGCTGCAGAGTCGCCTTGAACAACTGCTAGCTAAGAAGGCGGAGGAGGAAACGAACGGACAACCAGGCTCTGACAACGTAACCCCTGAACAAATTGCCGAGATCGTGGCGCGCTGGACTGGCATCCCTGTCACAAGACTGATGTCAACGGAGAAGGAGAAGTTACTCAAAATGGAGAAAATTCTGGCCAATAGTGTCGTTGGCCAACCTGACGCTGCGAAGGCTGTGGCTAATGCCATCAGGTTGTCGAGAAGTGGGTTGGCAAGCGCAAACCGGCCAATCGCTAGCTTTTTGATGGCTGGGCCTTCCGGCACGGGCAAGACGTTGATGAGTAAAACGGTACGTTTGGTTGTACTTCATGGACCTGTAGCCTGGACTGACTCGTGGGTAGCTTGCAACCATTCTCTTTGATTCCCCAGATGCCATGATACGCATCGATGGATCTGAGTACTCGGAAAAACATTCCATTGCACGTTTGATCGGTGCGCCTCCCGGGTATGTCGGCCACGACGCAGGTGGTCAGCTTACGGAATACGTTCGCCGCAAACCATATTGTATTGTGCTTATCGATGAAATCGAGAAGGCATCTAGGGAATTTGTGACGTTGTTCTTGCAAGTCCTCGATGATGGCCGCCTTACGGATGGCCAGGGTCGGGTAGTAGACTTCCGGAATACAGTCATCATCATGACCTCGAATCTCGGTGCTGCTTATCTCAACGACATGTCGGAAGGGAGAGTGGACTTCAACACACGCCAATTAGTCATGGGTGCGATCCAGGCCCACTTCCCTCCGGAATTTGTTAATCGCATTGACGAGATTATCATCTTCGTAAGCAACTCTATTCGTGACAAAGTGCATCTCGACTGACCGTATCGCTACAGCACACACTGTCAAGGGATAATGTTCTCAAAATTGTCGACTTGCGTCTCAAAGAGGTGGAAGACCGACTTTCAGATCGAAAAATCACCCTCGATGTTGAACCCGAGGCAAAGCAGTACCTTGTTTCCGTTGGTTATAATCCAGCTTTCGGTGCTCGCCCGTTGAACCGGGCGATTCAGAGCGAACTTTTGAACCCACTGTCGGTCCTCCTCCTTTCTGGGCAGATACAAGACAACGAAACTGTTCATGTCAAGTTCGACGGCCCCGGAAACAGGTTAGTCATCATACCGAATCACCCAGAAAAAGGGGTGGAAGGTATGGATTTGGACGGATTGGATGATGATATTGAGATTGAAGAGATTGACTGAAGGAGGTTCCATGTACTCATCGTTTGTTGCAACACATTGTATCGTTAGCGAGCACACAACTTGTAATTATGTAATCATACCTGTGAAGTGTTTGCGAGGTTTTCCGTTCGTCGATCATAACACTGCGATGTTTAGTCGTCGAGTCGTCTTACGAACCCTCCGGCCTTGCTCAAGACGCCCATCCTCAACCAAAGCACCCTCTGTTGCTACTACCTCTTTACAGTCAATTCCTGCTGAAAATACTCCAACCGGCATCGCACCTCAAGCTCCCAATTATCCGACACCATGGTCAACGAACCAGCGGCCCCGACCTGCTGCGCGTTCTGGTCCCCGCTTTGAGCAAACTATCATGGACCTTCAACCGAATCCGTTCAGTGCCATGGAGCTCATAGCCAGTGAGCCCGCGCGCATTGTACAAGGTCGCAAGGCCGTCTGTGATGGTGGTATGTCGTGTGTCCAAGTCTATTCTGTCCTAAGATTGTGATCTATGCTGTTAGGTGGAGGTCCCCTAGGTCACCCCAAAATCTTCATAAACTTGGTGTGCATCATGTTATGACTACCGTCGAACTAATCTTTGAACGTATTTTACAGGATAAACCTGGTCCACATGCATGTGGGTATGTCGCTTATAAGCACCGCCCGTATGACGCACTGACATTTCGTCTGTTTTTTCTCCTGGCGCCCTTCTCAGCTATTGGTAAGTTGATGCCTCACCGAATGGGGGCCCCGGCTCACAATACTGCAGCGGGATCCAGTTTGAACAAGCTGTACACCATGGACATGAGCACTAGAGCTATGGAAGTGCACCCCAAATGCATAGGCAGCGTAGCAGAAGCCTCATGATTTCTATCCTTGTCACTACCTTGCCAATTTCAACCAGTACTCTGCCTTGTTGAGCATCAAGTCGGACTGGTACTTGCATCATAAAGGGTTAGCAGGTTTTAAGAGTACAATTCCTGTGGCGCTCTGCAACGCCTAGTTGATCCTAATTAATGCGACTATGGGTGATGAGTAAGATAAGCACGAGGATAAGCACGAGCAGGCGAAGCTCCTTCGAAGACACCGAGCCACAGCGGGAAGGAATAAGGAGGGTAAGAGGGTAAGAAAGTCGCTCGGAGACTCGAAAGCCTGGAAGGTCCCTCTATCGCTCGCTCGGGGATGAGACAATACGAGACAGCTACCGTCATGTACGAAATAGGGGAGACAAAGGACATAGCAGTGGCAGACGGATGTAACAATGAATGGTGTTAGTGGCACTGGGTCCATTGAAATTGAAGTATCGTGAGGAGAGTGGTTCCCAAAACCCATGAGGTAATATCAAACAAGGAGAGGATAAATAAATAAAAATGTTAAAGGAACGCGCGGACGCCCACCCGTTAGTTATCGTCGGGCGAGGTAAAGGACATAGGAGATAATGGGGGATACTCCCCTTCTGCGACTGCTTCGAGCTGCGAAAATGGCGGGAGCGAATGTGGCGACGGATGGTCAAGTAGTGACGATGGTAGCGGCGCCTGCGTAAACTGCATCAGTTGGAATAATGACCCCGGCTTTCTAGTACCCACCACTTTGAATATAGGGTTGACTGCTACATGCGGATCTATTCCAGGACTTGGAGGATGACCAAACATCTTGCCATTACATTCGTATGTCGTATGGGAAGACGAGGGATACTGAATCATCGGGGCACCTATGTAAGAAGTGTGCTGTGGACTAGTGGAATCGTGTGAATTATGCGAGTGCATCCATGAATTGGGCGACGGGGACAAGGACAAGAGATTGATGGGTGGGGGCGAGGATGTCCCTGAGACGGAAGAGGTCGTATCGACGGAGGCACGAATATGAAACTCGTTTAACTGATGATCCAGGGAAATCGAATTGGACGAGCGCGCCGAGGTTGGGAAGTCGTCGAATGACGTCGTTCCAGTTCGGAGCGAAGAAGTGGATGTCATTCGGTTTACGCCGCCCGCTGGGGGTCGCCGAATTCGAGCGGGCCCTGGATCACTATCGACTGTAGCAAATGATATGGCAGACATCCGTCCGGTACTGTGGATGTCCGACGACGACATGGAATGATCGTCGTCGAAGTCTCGCCGCCGAACCTTGCTTAACCGCTCATCTCTAGGCAGCCACCGGTCACCAGGTGCAAGAGTGCCGTCTGGAGGCTTCAAAAACCGACCCGAAGCCGCGTTCAAAGTGGGTGAACTGACCTTGGCAGAGCCATTTTGGTTCTGCCGTATTGGACCAGAAGCCGCAGCCTTGCTCTTCTCGAGGTCAGCAGCGTATATGGCACGAGAATTGACACTGAGCAAACTGCCCGAGTGTGCCCACTTCCACTCCACCTCATGCTTCGCGGTCGTTTGCACGAGCATCTTACGCTTTTGCATAACCGCACGTGCTTGCTCTCTGTGTGCCCGCTCCACCATAGCACGGCGTTGTTTCTCAGCTTCCCGTTGTAATCTTTCTGCTTCCTTCCTGTTTGCTTTGGTATCTTTGCGCACATTCGTAGCAGTACCCTCGCCGGCCAACGGCGTATCCGAACCTATGGATTGCGATCGTTTAAGCGATGGCATGGAGCTTGACCCCGGGTCCTCGTCTACGGGCGGCAGTGAATGCTGGTGAACTTTGTCCCCATGCCCGAACATGCCGAGGCCCCACTTCGAATGCTTCTTGCCAAAACCAAGAGAGCCGAGCCTGCTGAGTTTGCTGCTTGGCGTCTGGACTGTTTCCTGAACATGCATCGGCTCGGATTCAGTACGCATTTCGGCAACTGTTGAAGATTGGAAGACCATTCTCTGGTCCTCTAGAGACGGGTAGGCTTGTGAGGGCGGAGTGCCCATCCAGTGCGAGCCATTTCGTGGATGGTTGGTCGGCCACGGCAGGGCAGCGCCTTGTATTCGAGCCTCCTCTTGCGAGTAGGACGGAGGTGGGGGTCCATGTGAATCGTCGACTCTTCGCGATCCCGGGGTATGGGTACCCGAGGTGGCAATGGAGGGAACGAACGCAGTGCGGTGAGAAGAAGAAGCGTCTGGTATATGAAGTGGGTGTAGATGTGGTGGATTGTGAGAATGTGAGGGAGGGATACTACGAGGAGAAGCAGAAGGCGTGAGAAAGGGCGCGCCGTTGATGTGAGGCCTTGCAGGTGTGGAGGCCGCCGTCTGTACATACAATGCTGGAGGCATCGGGGGCACATTTTGCGGCAACGCTTCTATAAGATATGGGTGTTCTAAACACTGCCGGCTCGTGAGGCGGAGGTCCGGGTCGTATTTGAGCAAATCAGATATGCACTCGATGAGCTTCCTAGGGACGCTCCGTTCAAAATACGAGTAAAAATCTTTTGGTTGACTCTGTGAGGTAGCTTATAAGTGATCCGCGTTAAAAGGCATCATTGCTAACGCCGACCTTGGGGAAAGCAAAGTTGAACTGCTTGGCCATCTTGAGACCTTTATTCCACTTTCCACCTCCGAGAGGTTTGCCTCGAGAATCAGTACCGTAATCAACAGGATCACCAAGTATCTCGCACATGCGATGTATTTGATCGACATGGTCAGAACCAGGAAACAGAGGTCGGAGGTTGACGAGTTCAGCCATGATGGTCCCCAAAGCCCACATATCAACAGGATTGGAATAGTCTCTGCTGGACATTAGGACCTCGGGCGCGCGATACCACCTCGTAGAGACATAAGTCGTATAAGGTGGGGCGCTGAGTGTTTCTCTTGCGAGACCGAAGTCAGCCAGCTTGATGATGGCTACGACATCCTTTTCGGCCACACCAGGTGGTGAGACGGGAGACAAGGAGCGATATTCAAAGTGACCGGTTGTGGTGACCAGGACGTTTTCCGGTTTCATGTCACGATGAAAATAGCCCGAGGAATGGATGTGGTGCAGGCCAGACACGATCTGACGGAATATGGAGGCGACAAGACCACCTGCAAGTGGCCTGCCTTTGCGAGCTTTGATAAGGTGATAAAGATTTCCTTCCATGCTCTCGAAAACGAAATATAGCTCCTTGGTATCTGGTAGGAGAAAAAAGTCGTACAACGGTATGATGCAAGGGTGAAAAGGAATTGCGCGAAGTGACTGTATGCGTGTCAGAGGCACGCTGAAAACAAGCCAAGAGTGGAGGCACCTCAAGTTCCTTTAGCTTTTTGCACTCGTCCCACCCGCCTTCCCATTTCTTTTTCATCTTCTTAACTGCAACGAGACGTTTTCCGACCCACTCAGGTCGAGCGCCGCCACCACATTGCATTGGAGAGAGGGGAGTGTTGGGAGGCAGGGCACCGTGCCAATCACATAGCAGGACGGTACCAAAGGAACCGTCGCCCAGGGTCTTGATTGGAGTGAATGAGCGGCTGGAGCCTACGGAGGGGAAGATGAGCGTGTGCGGGGCAAAGAGAAGGAGGTGGTGGTAGACATACTTGAATTCGCATCACCGACGACGAGCTTTCCGTTCTGTATCGATACGGCGGGAACGGCGACGACGTGGATGGTTTCTTTTGGCTGTGAGGAGGGTTTTGGGCAAGGTTGATGGTTATTCGGGACAGGGATGCTGTTTGGATCGGCGTTGCTTTGGGCTGCATGATTCGAGGGCGTGAACATGACACACAGAGCATCGCCTTGTACGACCGGGAAGAGAGAGAGGGCTTAGGGCGAAGGGAAAGCGGCAGGGGCGGACTATTAGGAAGACATGCAAGGAGCAAAAGACTCAGCATCAGACGAAGTCCTCGCCAGAACATTCATCGGACAAGCGCCATACCAGCACCAGTTTGGTAAGTCATCCCGTGCTAACCGACCCAACCGAAGCAACAGTTTCATTATCGTTTTAAAAAGCAAGTATTTCCACCGAAGACGATCCGCCCGCACTTCATTACATAGTGGGACTCGCCCTCACCGTGTACCCACCCACCTGCACACCCACCCAGCTGCCACCAACACGGAGTCTCTGAAACGCAGTCTGATGCTCACCACGTGACTCGTCCCACACAATCACCGGCACTTTCCAGTAATGTGTTATGTAATGCTCCCGTACCCATCTGTCAAGTTGTGGGCGCCCACGCCCATATTAATTATTTGCGGGCATCACACATATCCAATCCCCCATCAATGTCTGTCAATGTCTAAATCACGGCGAAACTGAGCACTAAGTACATATGTGTACACCACTGGTCTATCTATCATATCGTCTCCTTAGATCAGTATGGCACCTCGTGGAATAGCTTCGACACGCTCTCCCCATAGTGACTCCGTCTGATCACCTCCCCGAGAACTGGCCCGATATTGATCACTTCGATTTTGCTGCACTTGGCCTGGTTTGCCGATTGAGGCAACGTATTCGTCACTATCAGCTTTTCCAGCGCGCTCTCCTCCACATTCTTCAGCGCGTTCCCACTCAGTATTCCGTGTGTCACGATCGCATAGATTTTTGATGCCCCTGCCTCTGCAAGATGCTGCGCTGCAAGACATAGCGTTCCACACGTATCCGCCATGTCGTCCACCAAAATCGCTACTTTGTCTTTGACGTGTCCAACTAACACCATTCGAGATACTGCATTCGCCTTTTTCCGCTCTTTATGAAACAGTGCGAAGTCGACGGCCAGTCGGTCCGCAATCGACGTCGCCCTGCCGTTTCGCATTGCCGTCAGTCACACTCCTATCCAACCCTGATACACTTAACCCACCTCTTGGCACCTCCAGCATCGGGCGAAACGATCACCACGTTCTTCACGTCAAAATGCGTGCGGATATATTGGATCGATGAAGGCTCGGCGTACAGCTAATGCGGATAGGTGAGGTCTAGACTCGATCTTATCGCCCAACACAGCACTTACGCTGCATCCGACCAAAACGGGACGGCCGTGGGCAACCGTTAGGTGAACAAATGAAATGTCACCGGTGCAAAAAAGAAAACACCCACTTGTCCACGGGAACATCAAAGAACCCTTGGATTTGTGAGGCATGAAGGTCCATCGTCTTCTCCATGCATCAGACACGATCATCAATTGGGTGAAAAGACAACTTACGATGACGTGATCACACCCCGACTTTTGTAACATGTTTGCGACGAGTTTCGCAGTAATTGGAGCACGACTTTTGTCCTTCTTGTCTTGCCGAGCGTACGGGAACAGCGGCACGACCGCAGTGATGCGTTTTGCACTCGCAATCTTGCAAGCGTGGATCATAATGCAAAGCTCCATCAGCGCCGTGTTGACCGCCCCGCAGCCGGTGTTGATGATGTATACATCGTTTTCACGCACGCTCTCGGCGATGCACACCTGCGTCTCGCCAATGCCGCTCTTTGTCACTTCAGCTTTGGCTAGGGACAGACCAAGGCTAGAGAAGGAACATCGTCGCATGGGTGAAACAGCACCCAATCCTAGTATACCGTTCTGAATTTACCGTCGTGCAATAATCTCCGCGAGCTCGGGATGGCTTGTCCCTTGGATCGCTCTACAGTCAGCCTCCGTTCTTGAAGACCGATAGACGTCACATTACGCACCAGTAAAGATTTTGACTCCAGTGCCATTTAACATGGTGGTTTAACTTAACAAGAGAAATAAAAACAAGGAGGGTCAAGAAAGAGAAATGTCCATGAACCTGATGAAACAGCAAGAAAAAAGTATATACCCGGACAAAGATAAAAACCGGGATTACGAGCTGAGGGGCACGTGGCACAAACATGAGCCAAAATTTGCTGACTAAGCACAACGATACGTCTCTGCAAGGGATTTGTCTGCTACGACACATATCATAGTGCTGCGATGCAGCACGTACACGCAATAAGAATATACCGAGACCACACTCAAATGTGCACATATAGTACAGAGGCGACGACAATAATAAAAGAGGTAGGGGACTGAGTAATAAGAAGGAAGGTGCGCTACAAACTACAGAGGTCGGTATTGCAAGAACATACTATGAGATTTGACGGCTGAGGAATGGTTGGATGTACATTGTACTAGTACTGTAAGATCCCGGAGCCACAATGAACAGGGGGAACAGCGGGGGAAGCGATCATGAAAGAAAGTGGGCAGTGAAAAAGAATTATGACAACGAAATAGCGACAGGCGAAAAGCTGCAGTGACTTAGCTCACCCTGAAACCCTGAAGAGCAACTCGAATGGACTATAGTAAACCGAAAAGGTCATGAACGCAAAGAATAAAACAAAAAGTCTATCGCGAGAAAGGGGACGACAAACGCAGACAATGTAGGTGAATTCCTGAGGAGTATGCAGGGGGTTTACTTAGCCGACACGTGCAGAACATCCGGAAGGGTGGGAGTGAGTCGGAGGAACCCGGCCACCAGCTTGGCCACCACTATTTAGGATGGACAGCAGCTGGGCGCTACCAGGTGGTGGTGGACGAGGGAGCGGAGGAAACGTAGCTTGCATCGCCAACGGCGACCGTGAAACACGAGATGGACAACCGGCTGGGAGCACGTTAACCTCTGACGTGGCGTATTGCGGCGCGTAAGCCACTGAAGGTAGAGAGTAAGAATGTTGGGACACGGGAAGTTGGGAAGCGCGCCGCTCGGCCCGTCCAGATGGAGAATAATCAGCTGACAAAGGAGGAAGTTGGCCCTGATGCACAACTCGATGTGCTTGAAAACAGGGTGCATACGCCGGGTTGCAGCAGTCAAGGTGACTGGACTGCGATCGAGTGTGGAAAGGATCTGGTAGTAAGGAATGTTGAAGTTGGTTGAGAGGTGAAGATGCTTTGTTTCCCCGAGAGTGTGGAAGAAGTGACCCAGATACCCCGCCAATGGAGTCATGCTGGAACTGGCGTTGACCCAAGGATTCATAGGTAGTTGAAGGCGGGACAGAAGCACACGGCCCGGGATGTCTAAGGGGAGGGAAATCGTATGCCCGACTAGTGGGTAGCTCACGGGACACCAGAGTAGGCGTCATCTTCGATGATTCGTCCGCTACTAATTCCAGAAGCGCAAGCTGCTTCAACCTCTTGCCTGAAGTTGGTACTTCGGTTGGGGTTGTCAAGTATGGTGAAATATCAGCAATGCTTGAACTTCGACGAGAAGAGGGTAATTGTTTAGTAGCACCAGCCTGCAATGGAGCCAGTGGTGGGGCCGATGAAGTAGGCAAGACCACACTCGATGATTCATTAGAAGCACCATACGATAGTAGGGAAGAAGTAGCTGGGGCTACTGCAGCGCTCGACGTGCGAGTGTCCTGGAGAATACCTTGCTTGGAGAAGGGTGGATCATTGGCATGAACTGATAAGGTGGTTTCCGAATGTTGGAATCGATGGGTGGCTTCTACAAATTTCGCGGAAGTGTGGCGCAAATGTGTTGCTGGCGGCGTGCCATTGTGCGCAAGCCTAGGGGAGATCTCCACAGATCGGCGGATGTCTGGCACAGTGGACGCTGGCTTGAGGTCGGTCTTTTTGGCCGAAAGAGACAAAGATGTTAGAAGCCTAGCAACGTGTGGATCCACCGGCTGGGAAAGTGAATCGTCGTCTGATGGATGAGCCGCTATGGAAAGCTTGTTGCTGGCAAGTGCCCCCTCGCTACTTTGTGATGATGGGGTGTGTGGTTCACCATTATCCACGGATGATGAGCCAGATTCTTGTGGGCTGCTCTCTATGGCGGCTTCTGGGGTGGCTTTTATGTTCCTTGCGCCCAGCCCACTAGGTTTGCGTGCGGTGACGAAAGCCTTCAAAGCACTGTCCCATACGCTACGTGATCAGTGATAGTTGCAACAACATTCCGACAAGACGCACGCGATAAAGGGAGAAATCAGATAGAATTTGCCAGGCGAAGCCTTGTTACGTTTCCATGTAGGGAGATCCGTTAGCTTGAACCATTCGATTCTCTGAACAGCGAGTAAGTACCGAGGTTTGCTAAGACGTGTGGACAACACCTACGCTGATTTCTTTCCTTGTGCGAGTTTTAAACGGGAAGTCATCTGGAATACCCGGAACAATGAACAAAGAGATCAACTGTTCCTTAATAGACATTTCTATAACGTCCGCCGGGTTGATTTTCCCAGCCAGGTTGTAACCCGTCTCCTCAAGGACCTAGACCAATAGTTCGTCATGCAGCAGCCATGTAATGGGGGATGACAACCTACTTCACGAATAGCACATTCGTGCGGGGGTTCGTGCTCGTTTATCTTTCCCTTAGGAAAGCCCCAGCCTGAAGATGATTTCCAACCCTTGACAAGAATGCACTAGGAAAGCAGTCGCTATGCGCACTCTGCATCCGATTAAGCAACTTACCTTCTCCCAGGATTCATTCAACATTATGGCACCGCACACAGGAACTCTTGTTTTGTATTGCATGAATGTGTTGAATGCTTGTTCATGATCGTGGCTCCACTGATGTAGCAGTGGACAAGCGTGGAAAAGCATTGCGGAGAATTTCTTGAGCGGTAACGAAGGGAACTTGGGATTTTGCTCGCGGACGAAATCTTCGTAGAACCAGTGGCTATGAAATTTTGAGTGAGCTGTGAAGAGGTGGGAGGAAATGACTTACGCTTGCTCCACCTGGAAACATATCCGCTCAAGAGAAGAGAGCTCCTCTTCGGGCAGGTTGAGCAGGAAACGGCTGAGCCACCGTGAGCCAGCAGTCAATAACTGGATAATAGACAAACCTCGAAAGATCTTCGAGAACTTCTTCATGTGTAGCATGCTTGTAGGTGAAGCGTTCTGTTGTATCCGCTGTCGGTGCTGGTTGCATTTCTGGGGAGGAGGAAGACGAAGACGTCATTGTAAAAGAAAAGCAAAAAGTCGAAGGAGAGTCAGGGTGCCAGGCTTAGTGACGATCTTTGTATGAACAAGGAGTGTTTGCAGTGGAGGCTATGATACCCAGCATCGTATGTATGGACACCCCAACCGCTCGTCAGCCGCACGGAACCGTGCGCCAAATATGTACAAACAGTCATCCTCAGTAATCAGAGCACTTACAGAATCAAAACAAGGAGCTCCTGAATCCGTGGATCGGTTGCACGAAACCGCTTGTGACGACGTTTCCTGTATTTGTTGTAGGAAGCCATTAATCCACGACCATAGCAAGACTCAGTGTGATAGAATGCCACCAGTCACAAAGGCATAAGCTTCCTGCTGAGAAGTTGTATAGAGCAGAGCCGTGTATGAAGGATCTGTCCATGTTGCTGATGCCGTAGTAGTAAATATACTGCTGTAAAGTACAATGATCAAATGTGATGCCCCTTGTTTCATTGTCACTATGCTTGTGATTGGAAGCCCATCCTGCGCTCGTACTCTCGAACCTCCTCTATCGTAAGCCTGTCCGCTCCAGACCAGTTTGCAGAGCTCGTGCGAGCTCTAAATCGACTTTGCCTGGTGCGGAACATCTCCTCCATCCGCAGGGGTCGGATGGCGCCGAAGATATCATCAGGATTAACTGTGCTTTGCATCTGCAACGCTTGTCGTAGTTCGGGTGACTGGGCCCAATCGGGGGGATCAAACGTGCGGACTCGGTTCTCGTCTTCGGAATCCGAGTATTCACTATTGATTTCCGGTAGCTCAATGGATTCACTGGGGACCTCGGTGGCTTGCTGCTTGCTAGCTTCTATCTGCGCTTTTGCGCGAGCGGCCATCTGAGTTTGGATCATGGCAGAAGGCAATTTGTCACTTCCGTCATTTTGTGCCACGGCTTTGCCCTTGTCCTTTTGGTTAGGTGCCAATTTAAATGGTTTTGCCTCCGGGATGGCTGGTTTGGAACCAGAGGACCCTCCCGGCAAGTTCTGTGACACATTGTAGGCTGCGGATGATACCAGAGCAGATGCAACGCTTCTCACAGATTTCGGAGGACGAGCCGGTTTTGCAGTGGGCGTCGGCACACTCGGTTTCACTAACTTGAACGGCACAGGTTCCTTTTTGTCCTTGGACACCGGTTTCTTGGCTTCCACCTTCTTCTGGGTCTCCACTACAAATTTTCGCTTCTTGGTCGAATCATCCTCCATTTTCTTGACGGCTACTGTCGGAAGTTTCACGGGTCGTTTGTCGGTGTTTTCCTCTCGTTCTCGTTTGCGCCTCTCGCTGTTCTCTTTGGTCTTCTTCTCGTCCTCCAAAATTCGAGCCTTTTCCTCTTCCGCTTTCCTGGAAAGTATAGCCTGTCGCCGTACCTCCATCTCTTTGAGGCGCAAGGCCTTCTTATCGGCTTCGTCTTGCTGCTGCAAAGCGGCTCGTTTTAGCAAGTGGACGAAGGTGAAGCATTAGAATCCACGGACCCTCTTTGCCATGGCAGCAGCCCGTTGCAAGCTTTTGATTTCTGGCTTTTCCTTCTTCCCTCCGCCAAGCATGCTCGCGACGAGTTTCGTTGCTTGGCCGAAAAATCCGGTTTCTGACTGTGATGAAGAAGTCACTGACGTCATGGATAACTGGCTGCTACTTCGTATCACACCAGCCCGCTTCGAGGGATCAAGGTTTAGTGCAATATCGTGCTGAAATATGATAACCCACCTCGCCTTGATTAGCTGTGCATTGCGCCGGTTCAGAGACATCACCAAGTTCACATATATCCATCATAGAGCCTTCCGAATCCAGAGAATCGACAGCATCCTCCTCATGGCCATCGATGTGGTCAAGCTCGGTTACGTCATCATTCTCTGCAGCTGCCAGTGCATCCGACGCTTTCCCTTCGTCCTCCAAACCCTTTGTGAGGATAGCGGTGCGTGAATCAAGCTGGGGAACTACCCCGAAAGTCCTCGGGGTAGTCAGCGTGAATGTACCCAATGACAAATTGGAGAAATCTTTGAGCTGCATCGACGAAGTAAGAGGTTTCGCAGGTGCAAGTGTGGTTTGGGCGGTTGGTTTGGTGAATACTGGCCCGGTGTGCTGGACAACAACCTTGTGTTCCTGACGTGGGGAGTGGGGAGGTGTGGTCGATGCACTGTCATGAGCATTGTGGTTCTGACTTTGTAAAGCTCCCTGTGTTCGTGTGCCTTGGAGCTTCGCAGTGTCGGAAACCAAGTCGACGACAAGGTTTGGTCGCTCGACATCGTCAGGCTTGGATCGTGGTGAGGTCGGGCGGTCGTCCTGGTGAAGAGAGAGAGACTGAGGTGTAACGGTGGGTGCAGGGACATTGGTCAGATCACTGCTCGCGTCTGTGACTTTATTTCGCTCAGCTACTCTCGCCTCGGCTGCAGCGCGAGCTTCGGCAAGGGCAGCGGCGGCGGCGGCACCTCCTAGCGATCTGGTCATACTCTTACCAGAACGGACCCCAAGACCTTCGACAGTTCGCTTAAATTGACCAATGAAACCTTCCTCACCCATTCCCTTTGCATCTACCGATCCGTGGCCAGCCGACTTCTCTCCGTCATCTTTTATAGTCGACACTGTGTCCGACCCGTTCATCTTCGGAACTTTGGACGCCCTCTCTCCGGTCCTCCGAGGGTGATAGACACTTCCTAGCATCTCTCCACTCTTGCGTTTCACGGAGACAGATACAACGGAAACTTCTGGTGCACTCGGTTCCGCAGCAGCACCAGTATTATGCAAGGTGTCCGAACGTGCCACAACGCCTTCCATGGCTTTAGCCTCTCGCGCTTTTACAAGCCAAGAGGTGCGTTTGCCAAGAGGTGCAGGAGCTGGGGTGATAGACGGAAGCGAAATGGTCATCTCCGCAGGCGCACGTATGGATTTACGCAGCGGCGACGGAGCGGGCAGAGTCAGGATAATGAGACCCACCGCTTGTATGGGCGCTGTTAGCGGATTCGGGCTTGTCAAGAAGAACGGTCATTGGTTCTGGTGACAGGTTGGAAAGCAGTGACGAGGGAACCAACGAAGAAGCGTCATGAGGAACTATGCTCGCAGTATGGCTTGGCTGAGGAGACGAAGGCGCGTCGTCGCCTATGAAAGTATTCGAAGGGTGCGGCGGATGGGACGAAACGAGGGAAACATGATGCGAAGTCTTAATGGGTGTGACAGTGGTTTTGCTGTCCGTCGCCGAGGTAAGCAACTCCTCTGCACCAGAGCCCACATCAACGACATCAGGTGGTTGGATACCGGAATCAGTCAGCGAATCCTTAGGTACAACAGGTGTCCCCGTTTCTAGGTGTCTGTGCCCAGGAGATGCGGTCGGTGGAGGCATGGTATGAACATGACTGCGCTCGGGGGACTCGTCATCTTCGGCGATGACAGAAAGCTCGTTGGTACGGCCTTGGGAAGGAAGCGGGAGTGAAGAATTCTGACTTCGGTCGTCACTAGTAATGGGTTGGAACTCCAAAAGTGAGATAGGGTCCGCAGTAACCGTCCTGGTGTTTCGGGGGATATTTTTCTTCTTCCGACTTGGCGTCTTAACTAGATCGATGATTGGACTTCGTTTTTCATCAGTAGACAGCTAAATCGGACAGAGCGAGACATACGCTTGCTGAGGCCCCGAGATTATACTCTCGAAATAATCCTCAAGAAATAGGAACGCGTGAACCTGAATCTGATCCTCAAATAACTGTCGACAAGGATCGTTCGCCATAGCTACTCGTATGGATGTTGTCCAAGCCTGGATCCCGCTTCCATCTTTCTGCGACATGGGTGCGAGGATGCCTGGGGGAGTCGAAAAGGTCACGAAAAATCAACCAAGTGGCGCGACGACCATCTTTTGGCACGTGATCGTAACTTCCGGAAGACTGTGGCAGTGCCAACCCGTATTAATTGCCCGTCGAGCACTTGAACCACCAAAATGTCGCATTCTGGTTCGCCCTGCGAGCTTTCTTCGAAGCCGGAGAGTGAGGAAAACGTAGTCTCTCAAGCTGGAGAGTCATCAATAAGCCCCCAGCAGCTCTCAGAAGCTCAACTTAGACGCCTATATGACGAGGAGGAGGCTGAACGGCTCATGCATCTCATTTCAGCTGTGGGTACTCCGTCGCCCTTGGCCCTGGCAGAAATGTCTTAAACTTGTCTATGTAGTATGTCACAGAAGTGAGACTCCCCGACACCTCTGACCGTGAGTCCAGCAACCACTGTTCCTCCAACCCAGTTCCCCCTCCACTTCCCCCACGTCTAAGCAATCCAGGCAATCGACCCATATCAGAATATATTGCAAACGTGAGCGTTGAGTCTGCTGCACTCACTCCTTACTCAACTTCCGTAGGACTTAGTTCTGCCTTACTTGCCGCTAGACAGGTCTACTCCACCACCCTTCACGACTAGGCGGTTTAGACTAGCGAGTCAACGGTTGTACCTTACCATCGTTCCCACTTATCAGCCATTATTGTTGGATTTGGCCTCTTTGGCTCTGTGGAAGGACAAACAACGAAGTCTGTTGTACTGCGCAGTATGTCATCTTCCGAAGGAGCTGCACCGATCATTGATCGCTTTCAGTGTTTCTGGGTTCTTTGGTACCATGATGGACTACTTGCTGCTTTCTTGTGTCGGATCGTTTGGTGCCTCTTACGACGCCGTTTCCTGCCATATCCATCTCTCGCTGAGTTTCAAGAAAAACGGCGGAATGCCACCCGGGCACGTCGGTTTGGGGATGAAGTACAGCAGAGGTTGTCGGTATCAACGCTGGGTCCAGTAGAGATATGGAGGCTTTTCCGAGCTTATAGAGCCTCCTCTCACGACAAGACAAAGCATTTACCGAAGGGCGGGTTCCGGTCTCGGCCTGATGAGACGACCGGAAATTCCACGAGTGTTTCGGAGTCTGACGGCGAAAACACTATCCTTGAAGGTGCTGAGGACAGTGAGGAAATCCAAAGTCTGAAGCGCGATCTGCTACACCTGCTGGACGTGGTTGCTGACCTTCACGAACGCATCAACAAGTAAGTCACAGGTAATCTAGCAATCTAGTCGACCGCCGCTGACCCTCGGAATAGCATTCTTATGTGGCGCCGGCCGGCCGTGACAAGACGATATTGTATTGTAAGTTTGTAGCTCTTCCGCAAACCTCGCTAAACATAGCCTCCAGTTGCTCTCCATCGCGGCCCTGTCTGTTATCGTTCTTCCAGCTCAATACGTCCCTAAATTGATGTGTATGCTTTTGGGAATTGTTTATTGGCATTTGGTTCCCGTCGTCGCGGCATTATCCCCCGCAAATAGAGCTAGGTAGGCAAGTCTTCTCTATATTTACTCGTGACCTGATGTGAGTCCCAGAATTCCCCCTCTTTTTGCAGATGCGCCTACAGATGTAGAGTATGCTATAGAACTAATCGGCCAGCGTGTCGCTAGTGGCACAGAGCTGACTTCATGTAGCAAGACTCGTGACCGCGTGGCGAACCCCAGTAGCAGTGGGCTTGATCTGACAGTGACTGAATCGATCGACAGTGAACAGACTGAAGAAAGGGAAGGGTTGAGCTGGAAGAAGTGGGGTGCACGAATTGCTCAAGGTAAATCCTTGTTGGAGGAAAACAAGTCTATCTCGTCACTTAGCCGTGTAAGTTGTCTTACTTGCTCATCCATGCGAAAGAATGGCTCAGTGCCACAGTCTTTATTCGACAAACTGCCCCGTCAAACGCAGCCGGACCGTTATAGTTCCCAACTCGAGCAGGTCCATAGTGAGCGGTAACATTCCACTTGTGTGTGTGCTGAAACTAAAGCATTCCACCAGCTTTTCCCGCTCAACATACGTCGGCTCTCGGTTTGATCACACTAACTTCTACGACGATATATTTCACGTCCCTCACGGCGATGCAGGCAAAGCTTGTTGTACCTTATAGTCAGCTCCGCAGTGTGAAAAAGACAGGTCTCATGAAGGGGCTTGCCATTGCTTGGGCACCAACGGACCAAGATACCGAAGGTGTAGTGAGGGAAGAAAGGTTTCACTGGGTGGGGGACCGAGACGAACTGTTTGCAAGGCTTCTCGGACGTGATGGCGGACGTTGGATGAGGTTATGATGTTGACGAGAGCAAGATCGACGCCGGTCGCGCGTGGCAGGCTTCGCGCGTAGCTTGCGAGAAGGCCAGTCGGGACTCGGACAATTCCGGTGCTCTTGCCTCCAGAGGTTATATACCGAGTATTATAAGGAACCCTTTCCCTTTCTCCAATCGTCCGACAAGTCCCCGTTCTTGTACGTGCATGTCTCGCTAACGTATTCACGTTCCCTCTTATGCCCAATAGCCAAGTTATTCTATGTTTTTCTCTTCAGACCTGCTCTCCAAGAGGGACAGCGGATTCGGTCTTTTATGGTAGTTATAGCTCCCCCTCCCTCGTATAAGTCAACCGCCGTGGCTGAGGGGACCGGGGTAGGCTCGCTGCTACGCTGGGTTCCAAGTCTTCATTCAGAAAATTGCCAAAGCGTTCTGTCATATCCGCTGACATCACTCAACTATGTGACCTTATCGCCACACCCGCCGAACCTCTGGCACTGCGCCTCTCAAGTAACCTGTTAGTAGGAGCCGCGCGGTGAGCTGTTTGATGTCCTTTGACTGCAGCGGTAAACAAGAGTCTAACTTCTATCCGTGATGTAGCGTGTATAGAGGTGAACTTCGTCGTCCCGCGGGATGGGTTCAGCTAACAATTCTACAGCCAAGCAAGAGATCTATATCGCAGACCTCACGACGTGCTTCAATTCTCTGAAGCGCCTAGTGGAAGATTTCCGCTCGTCTGCAACGTCGGAGGCGCAGCTTCAGATGGCTCAGCCCAGCGTGAAGTAAGTCAACCGGTTCAACTATGTGCTACATACTCAGGATATTTGTCCCGGTACTAAACAAGACCTTCCGCCGTCACTCTGCGTGTTGATCCGAATGCAGCGTTTTCACTTAATCTGGATAATGTGGTCGTGGTAAGTTAAGAGGCTATACATGTTGTTGGTCACCCAACGATTGCTTGTGGTGCAGAATTGGGACGAATATTTGAACTTCCCAGGTTCGTCCCTTAATGCAGATATATTGATCCTCCAACGCATGTCCCCACAAATTCCCACAGTTCCCGACGTTTCGTCCGATGACGACTATGATCCGAGAGCCCAGAAACAGAAGCGGAAAACAAAAGGTCGAAATTCAGGTATGCCGTCCTCGAGCGTTGCCGAGGCAGCCCGTGCAAACACGCATACACTTGACGAAAGTCATGAATTCCTTTTTCCACACACGCTTGATGGGTCCTCATGTGGAAGTGCCGCGATGATCCCCTCCTCCAAATTAGGCGGATTTGGATTTGACGACGCGTTTTTCGGCGCTTTCGATGGCCTGGACATTACCGAAGGTATTGGAGACGACCTACTAAAGGAGTTAGGGGAGGGATGGGGTATCAGCCCTGCGAAGTCGAAAGCCGAAGAGTAATAGCTTGTTGTCCTTCACCCATAGTGAACTTACTTCAATGTCGATTCAGAAAATCCTCCGTGCTCGAGGACTTTGGATACGCCGCCGACATGGACTATGAGACGCACGACCCAAATGTCGACATGATCGTGCAAGATCCCTTGCAACCCGACGACGCTGCTACTTCCCGTCCAAACACACATGATCAACCAGGTCAGCTTTTATCCTGCTGCCGATCTGTTTCCGTATGTTTTATGGCTATACCGACTACCAGTTGGATTCCTTCCCACACCTACCAATGTATCTGTGCAATCGCTCTACCCGATCACCAACCAGCCTGATGAAGTAGGTGCAAGCGAACCTTTAGAAGAGAAAGCTTGCCTTCCGAAGAGGAATAAACGCCCGAGGTTGGTATTTGACGCCCGAACAGAATTAACCGACGCAGAGTTGAAGGTACGCACTTCAAGGATGACTGCAAGTCAGTTAACATTTCATATGATGCGTCAAGGTAATTCGCATGCATTACGTGGAAAACCAGGGTACAATCCGACGGGAGCTACAAATCAAAAAATTCGAGAGGGAACGTGCCATTTTCATCAACGATCTGCTTTGGGGCGTCCCCGACAACGGTAGTTGTGCACAAAAGCGACGTCTTCGTCGTCTGATAAACTCCTACAGTGCAGGCTGAAGAACTTGTCGAATTTTGGGTCAGTCAATACAAAACAAGGATTGAAGCCAGATCAGGTTTGTTATTCCCTGATCTGGGTGCGCGAGGAGGGCACCTATTCAAACGCTTGACCGTCGTTATGCAGACAAGCATCCTTCACTCGATTACATGAAAAAAGGAATAGGCGAGCCAACCGCTCCCCCCGACCAAGTGAATGTCGCACAGGGAATCCCAAGTATACCCATGGTCACCGACGTCGAATGGCCGGATGCCGATCTAACTGCAGTCTTCGAAACGAACGAGTTGGACATTGCATTCGATTATGGGACCGAGAGTACGTCGTTGCTGAATTCGGGTTGCAGCTGTATTTGAACAATTGATAGTACATGCCGACGAGTGCGTGGAATCTAGCAAGTTGCGCTCGTCAGAGGTACCAGCTTTTCCCTTCATAGCGAAAAGTAACGTTAAAATCTCCTAGGAACCTGGGCAAGGCCGTCAGGTTTCTCGCCGTTCTTCCGCCCCTTCCCACTTGCTGGGCATCGATGTCCAGATCTCCGGGAATTCACAACGAAGCACGTTATTCCCCTGGGATAACGCAAGGGACAACTCCCCCGGACTCGATGATAACTTCAGAGCAGGGCTTGACGACAGAATGAACGTAGACTATGCTGAGACGAAACTTACGAGAGATTCTTCGAGTCGCAAAGCAAGTTCGATACCCAGTCGTCCCCAAAGCCTTCAATTTGGAGTCGAATCACCACCTGCACTTCTCCGAGGTTCTGGAACAGACGATGACTTCATGTTTGACGGTCGGGGTCCCTTTTGATTGTGTTAGAATCACCCTTGGCTCATGCATATGCGAAAGTCCCCGCGGATGGTCCCCCTGCCGCATCTGATGGATCGGATAGTCAAGCCAGTCTTCACAAGCTAGAAAAAAACTCCCTCAACTTCTTGGAGTCAGTGCAGGTGTTCCTCGCTGGTCCTTTATCTGACCCCTCGTAGGTACGCCCGGATGCAGTACCGATCTCTTTCCGGCTTATCATCACGCCTCGTTTTTGATGATGTGGTACCAAGGGCAAGCAGTACTTCACATGTTGCCGCTGCAGCGATGTACCACTGCCTCGGTAAGCTAGAATTACCACAGCGATTCCACTAGTTCTTATCTCATGCTTTCTCTGTGGTCTAGTACTGGCAACGAAGGATTTATTAGCCCTGCAACAAGAAGAATCATATGGCCCGATTACAATTCAGATAAAATAGCATAAACTCTATGGAATGGTGACTGTAATCCTGATGTCTGTTGTCGTCAGAGGTGTGAACGAGAGTGCACACTAGCCACTCCTCGTGCTACCGATTTACTGAGCGAGCCGAATTTTATCCGTTGCCACTGATGGAACGTGTTCCAAACGTTCTAAGTACTTCTTGAGTAATTTAAGACACAGGTTCGGATCTATCATGGTATCATTAAGAGCTCTGCCTTAAATCGTACCACCACTGGGAGTAACTACTTCCTGTCGGAGCCGACTTTTCTGCCGCCCAAATCGCTGGACGCCTCCCCCAACGCTGCTTGTCTTCTCCGCCCATTCGACACCCTACACATATTCTCCCGCCATGTCTTCGCCAGCGATTTTAGCCGCTCGTGCAGCTCTGGCCAGCATTGACTTATCGAACTATGACCCGGAACAGTCCCGGCTGATGGACGAAAGATGTATCCTCGTCGATGAACAGGATAATGCGATCGGACCTATGGACAAGAAGACATGTACTACATCTATCCAGGAAGTTGCGCGATAGTCTGATAGTCATTTTCCAGGTCATTTGATGGAAAACATCAATAAAGGTCTTCTTCATCGTGCCTTCTCTGCTTTCGTGTTTCGGCCATCGGATGGGAAACTGCTCCTGCAACAGCGCGCAAGTTCGAAGATAACATTCCCGGACATGTGGACAAACACATGCTGTTCCCATCCACTGTATGATTTCGAAGTGGAAAAGGTGGAGAAGGACCAGCTCGGTGTTCGTCATGCTGCGTCAAGGAAATTAGAACATGAACTGGGGATTCCGCGGAGTCAAACACCCGTAGACCAACTTCAGTACCTTACCAGGATACATTACCTCGCGCCTTCAAATGGCACATGGGGCGAGCACGAAGGTAAAAATCATCACACCGCCGGTGACTTCCTTCTGAAACTTCCGATAAGTCGACTACATTCTATTCCTGACGGCTGACGTCACCGTCAACCCCAACCTGAACGAAATTCGCGACTACGAATGGGTTGACAAGGTCGAGCTGCAAAACATGTTTGAAGACAGTGGTGAGTTGGATCCAAGGTTCACGCTGGGTGTTGATGGAAGATCCCTGTGCAGCCAACTCCTTCACGCCGTGGTTCAAGCTAATTGCCCGTGATTACCTCTTCAGCTGGTGGGATGAGTTGCTCAAACGCAAGGGAGACAATGGACTGGTGTATGCGAAGAGTCTTGCGGGTATCGTGGATGGCTCGAAAGTTATCAAGATGACGTAGTGCTTTTGCATGGGCATCCCAACACAATCCTACTAGTTTCAGGTAGAGAACGATTTGCAGATGTAGTACAAGATGTCGAACTCTGTGGTTATTGTAGACCCCTGGTGACCACTGCTCGACTACTCCGACTCCCATGGAGTCCTAACAACGCAGTTGGCGTCGATATCCTTGTGTAACAAGCCGAACAGTCAAAACTACTTATTAATGGCCTGACCGCGTCCCAGCTTCCGAGGCGTTCAAGCCCGCCGGGCCACTCCGTGAATTGATTCGAGTACGCATTCGTGTTCCCCGGAAGACCCACACCTCTCTCTTGTCCCCGAATCCAAAAATCCCAGTTGGCGGTAACATCACAGTAGCTTCCAGCTTGAATCCCATCAGACTAATTTCTTGCAGAGAATGCGAAACAAATATATCTCTGTCAACGTTGTGTGCTGAAGAAACAGATAAGGTTAGAAATCAAAGGATGCAGGCGCATGCAAACCTCCAATTGCGTTGCGCTTCAGCTCGATCGTGTATATCTCCTCTTCACTCGCCCTATCAGAGGCAATCTTGTATGGCCACACGCTACGTAAACGGGAACCTAGCTGATCACCGATGCGATGAGGTGGTCGGACAAGAGTAATCTTACGTCCCGAGCGCGACAAATAGGCCACGAAGAAATCTGAGTCTTCGTCTTTTTGGGCATCTTTAAAGACGAGTTGTGGATGCTGATACGAGTGTTAGCTGGGAGTTCGCTGCGTTGGCAACACTCTTACTGCATATCCAGTATTTAACGAAGTTAGGTACCGATACCCCTATTCGGAAGGTGCAGTAGTCAGTATCCTCGAGGCATGGTGAGGCGGAACGAACATGACGGGACAGACGAGTGAAAAGTTCAGATATCATCCTGTACACACTTGAGAGGAGTCAGTTAAGTTCATAACTGACGATGCTCCCTTACATGGTGGCCTCCGATCCCGTTGCAGTCCATGGATTTTTCGAGAGGGTCACGCGCCACGAATGACCCGATGTTACCTCGTTAGATACCCCATGAGGCCACATCGGTATGAAGTGTTCGCGTATCTCATCCAGAGTGTCCTGGTAAGCTACGTTTCCCAGGCGGAGTTCGTTTGAGCCATGGAACGAGACAAACATGTGGTCTTTATCGAGAGCGAAAATAAACCAGGCATGTCACGGACTGAAAAAGAAGTAATTACCGGGTTGAAAGGAGGGATTGGAGTTTGTACGCGTGCGAGTCATTGGTGCTAGCCTCTGACGAACGTCTGAGTTGGTCCTGACCCTCTGGATAGGCACTGAGACAGAGTCAGAGCGTGCTACACCTTTCTGCTTCAAAGCAGACTTCAAAGGCTTCTCAGTGAATGAAGAAGGATTAACTGAGTGATGTCGTTTTGGTCGCGGGCGCGGGGTGCGGCCAGCGCTTTGTATGTCCAGGTCCGGGGGTATGAAAGGAGGGCTTTGATCGGTGGTCGGTGGTCGAGGGGGCAGCATGCCCATTGGTTGGGGAAACGAAACCTTCTCTCTCGACCATGGATCTGCAGCAGAAGGATTCATGTGACCAGAAGCGCTGGGGAAATCTGACCGCGGTGGCTGCTGGGGATATCCATGGGGAAAATGATACGGTGGACCATAGTAAGGGTAATTGACGTTTGAATAGGCACCATACATGGCGAGAATCAAAATGCGACTGGGAGGGATGTAAGATATCGAGAAGATCGGACTTGCGATAATGCAGCACAGCGAACGACATGCGGACTAAGGAACTAGTAGTGCACCCGCAACGTGGGTGATGTTCATTGCCATTCCTGGCAGACGAGGGAGTAATTACGACCATCGCTCATGAAGCATTGGCCATGGCATGCCGCTTGTACACTCTTCCCCCACAGGTGCAAAAGAATTCGGATTCGACAACGAAGTCACTGAGAGGATCGAGCTTGCACCGGAGGCTGGACTTGTCCTTACAAGCCACGAAGAAAAATAAATAAATAAATAAACTCATCGCAAGTTTCAAACTCCGCTAGTGGGGTCGCCGAAGATATCGTCGACAGGAGCCAAGTTCAGGCATTGCTGGGTCCCGTATCTGCAGCTTTCAAGGCATGTAAATTTGCATTCTCAATACCTTCCACAGACATTCTTTCACTTCACTTCTCTTACGGATTAGATTGAACCGTTTCGTCCCAGCAATATTGTGTCGAAGGGTAGGCATAAGAAGAGCATTTGGGTCGCCCGTGGGGGACTTGTTTCGTCCTTTCGTCGACCGTTCCAGGCAGCTTGAGCAAGCTATATGCCAGTAGTTGTGCCGCTTTGCCAGCCATTCTGTATTGTTCAGTAAGTATGTCTCCGAGTTTTTAACCCCGCTGCGGTAGTACTCTCAATCGATTTCTGTTCCTCGCGGCGAAGGCACTGAGATTTGATTCGAAGGCCTCTTTCATGGTGAGCTTTGCTGTCACCCATAAGTCACCGGGAAGAACGACGGAACCGAACGCAATGTCGCATCACAAGACGTGGCGAAGAAAATGAAAGGGGAGAATGAGCAGCTGCGGAGGGAGAATCTTATCCTCAAGGAGAAGATTGCACAGCTGGAGGAGAAAATCGAAATGCATACAAGACGAACCAGGAGTGATTCTGCCGCAAGGTCGTACGACGGTTCCTCTAATGAATCCCAGAGAGAGAGGGCTAGAGCGGGCGACAAGTTGGGAACACCCCCGTCTGCTGTGGTACCATCGTCCCTTGAACCTGCCGGGATTTCTCTTCTGCCCGCGAGGCGCTTTCAGCCCACTTTTCGACACCTGCCCCTCCAGCTGCTGATGACGTACTTGGTTATGCAGCAATTGCCGGATCAAGTGCCGTCGACTCCTTCTAGTGCATCCTAAGTAGTCCAAACGCCCCCTGCCGTGGTCGGGAGATTGTTCTCCAACAAGTAACGAATGGAGTACTTGTCGGCACTTCTGCGTTGGAGTTGCCGCTCGATAAACTGAATCGGCCATTAGTTCTTTCTCCCTTCAGCCAACTCGTTCTAGATGCCCCCGCTCATCTAAGCATATTTGACAACCTACCCTCTTACTATGCGACTGTACCACTTTGACGCATTGTCAGATGGATCCAACACTCATCCCGCTGCGATCGTCATCGTCCACAACCATCCCTAGATGTTCTGGTGACCCCGATGATTGTATGGCATGCACAGACGATACCTTCGGGAAAGCGCTCTGTCAAATCATCATCCACTGTGTCATCCGCACCATGCATTGATTGTTCTCGGCGAAGCAATCATTCCGACAAGATCTTGGTAGGCGAGTGTTGTGTGGATGTCAGTAAATGTGGTTCCTGGGGAATTGCGCCCATTATTTCCTCAACCAACCCTTCGCATGGTTCTGAGACCACACCAACGGATGATGCATGACATTAGTTCAAATCACATCCCCATGTCGCTTTCGTGGATTTGACGCTCTTGGCTGAGGGGGTGGCACGTAAGTCGAAGTGTACAGGATCCCGCGTTGTCAATCTCCGGCTCCGGGATCCATCACTCCAGAACGTATAGCTGGACTTCACAATGAAGGCGAGGCTGAAGACATCCAGTCTGTATTACTCACGGATCCCCATCAGCATAACTCCCCACCGCGATTTGTACCCCAGAACGTTCTGACTGAGAGCGGCCGCAGGAGGTTGCATGAAGCGAATGCAGATGGAGTAAGGAATGCTAGACTCCAAATTCATGCGCGACCACAGGATTTCGTGGACTCTATTGTTCGTTATTATTATATTTATTCGAGGGCGCACAATCACATGTGTCAGTGGCGTTTCACCGACGCCTATGCAAGTGGTTGCTCACCCTCGCTGAAATGCTAACTGCTTCAATGTAGCACCCTGTAACTCGTGCTAAACCGGCTTGACCTGTGTCCATAATTGCAAGAGAACGCGCCTCGAGACCTTGCAAGCACCGACCGAAAAGGAGGCATCGATCACCGGCACAGGCGTGACACCGGTAGATATCATAGGATGGAACGCCCCATAGCTAGCTCGGACTTACCTTGCCGGCCGTAACCAGCAATAAGCACCGTGTGCACGACCGCTTCTGGTTCAAAGCCTGCGTCCCTGGTCCGCATGATCTGCTCTGCGACCTGTATGTTCCTACCATTGGCGTATACACCCATAAGAACAGCATCATTGTCTCGTGCCTAGGGAGCATTGCGATTATAGCCTGATCACCTCTGACCGCCCTACGAGAAAGTGAAAGGACAAGCCGGGAGTCGTACGTGAATTGCCACCAAGGCTCGGAAACGGTGGTATAAACGTTCCAACTACTCCCGTGAAAAGGGTGCTTTTCCCGCCACAAGATGCGTTGTAGGACGATACAGAAATGCCGAAGTGCCAGTCCACTTATGAGCTGTCGGATTCGGACCGCTGCTCGTACTTTCGCCCTCCCACGAATTGGAAACTCACCCAATATCTCGGGGGTCCCCCCTCCGACCGCAGGTAAGAAAAGAAAACGGAAAGGGTGTGTCGTACGAGCGAGGTCCTTTTCGATCTGTCACGTGATCGCACATCCATTAGCTTAAAGTTACTGCCATTACGAGTCAGACGGTTATTACGCTTTTCTGACTTTTTCCATGGCTTCGACGTTCTTCACCTGGTTGCGGTCGCCAGCAGCTCGCGAGTATTTCTTCAGTGAGTAGCGTCTCATCTGCTCCTTATTCCTATACGCAGATCTCACCTTCACTTAGGTACTCACTTTTGGGGACCGGTCGGTGTTCTGTCCGTATGTGCACTTCGTGTCCAACCGGTGTTTCTAGGTTGCAAACTGGGGTCTTCCGTTGGCTGCCATCGCTGACCTGAGCAAAGACGAGGAAGTTATTTCTGGGACGATGACAACTGCTCTCGCATGTTATTCGTATGCCCAATTCTTTCTTAGTGGTAGATTTCTCGAGTCGATTTACACTCGATTTTTAGGATGGTCTTCATGCGTTTTGGTAATTGATGTTACAGCCGCAGGTGATCACGTCTTTTGATATGCCCCCACAGCTTGGAGAGTACAACCCCGGAATTACCTGCTGTTTGCATGTCACGCAACGAACGCAACAGCTCAGTCGGTTCAAGATGCCCGCTTCGTCAATTACTGGTACTTCGGTGGTCGGGAGAAAAAGTATGGCCTCGCGGACAACAATACAAACAGACCTGTAACAGAGGCAATAGAGGCAACAAAGCAACAAAGCAACGAAGTTTCCAGCACTAAATAGACCGTCCTGTAAGCTCCTCTTTGGTGATGGGACCAAACTGAAATTGACGGTAACCAGTGCAAGATACCATTAGTGGGTAGTATACTTCGAAAGTTACCAAAATCCATCATCTCCGTCGGATGCTTTTTTATTCTTGCCACCTCTACTCTGAGCAAGGACCTGACGCTCGTACATTTCTGCAATCTGGTGCTGTTAGAAGATGGTGGTCAGATTTATAACGGAAGATTACCTGCTCTGCTCCTGTGGCATCCTCGGCCGACTTATCATCTCTTACACGAATGAAGCGAGGGAAACGCAACGAAATACCCCTTTCGTCAACCTTAAAAATAATAAATTCCAGATGCCATCGGAAAGTACGAAACTCCATTCTCACCAGGCCCTGAGCAGCGGTATAAACAGGACTGAGACTGAGATCGGCTGTAAGCACTTCCCACACAACCTTCGGTTCAAACCATACATCAGGTTTGGCACCACCAGTCTTCACATCCCCACGCGGCTTCTGGTTTTCCAGCGGTCGTAGGGCATCCCAATGGTTCTGCAATACCTCCTCGCTGAAGCCGGTCCCAATTTTACAAATAGTTTGATACTCCTCGGCGTCAGCGTCGTAGCAGGCGAGAAGGAAGGCACCATAGACATTGGTACGTTTACCCTTGCCGTAGTAACCTCCCACAACAACTAGATCAAGTGAATCACCAACACCAGCAAGGTAATCCTTCTTGAGCTAAGGCAAATGTCAAGCGACGCGTGCGCAACAGTGTTGAAACTGACCTTTAACCAATTAACGCTGCGTCGGCTCGGCTCGTAGTAACTTGCATCACTCTCCAGCATCTTGATCATAAGACCTTCGCACCCATCCTTAACGCTCTCTTCCAGGAACGCCTGTATTTCTTCCGTCGATTCTCCATCAGATGACCTGGCAAAGTCAAACTCCCCAGGGACAACTTGAAAGTGTTTCCGCAAAAGTTCTCGTCGTTCCCGGAGGGGTTTTTGGAGGAGGGGCTGGAACGTACATCAGCAAGGCAATGAAAGCACTTAATTAGTAGCCGGACCTCCCCGTTCAAGTACAGGAGATCGAAACCAAACAAGCAAACAAGAACTTGAATGTCCTCCACTTTGACATCTTTGCGTTTCCGCCTGCCGAGCTCCTGGAACGGCATGAGCTTTCCTGTCGTGTTCTCGACAGCAACAGCCTCTGCATCGAGGACAAACGATTTCGTTTCTGGCTTGATGCACTAGACAGCAAATACCCAGCAATTAAGGAATCACATAAGACCACAAAATCGGAAAATTTACGTGCGAAAGGCGTTCGACCAGGTCTGGATACTTCTTGCTCATGTCCTCGGAATTTCTGCTGAAAATGGCAACGGATCCCCCTGCCAGCTTATGAACTTGTGCACGTTCCCCGTCATATTTGTATTCACAAGTGAAGTGTTTGTTCTCAAAGCGATCTAGAACCTCGCCAATCGCCTTGGTTGGTTTGGCAAGCATAGGTTTCAGAGGTACGCCTGGTGTTAACCGGCATACGTCCTTTAATTTCATCACTCCATGATCCAGAAGGGCTGGAACGACTAGGTCATAGCTTGGAAGTTCGCTAAAAAAGAGATGAGTTCGCCTCCACTGCATGCAGCGTACGAACCTATAAACAGATTTCATGATACTCGTAGCCTCTTCGAGTCGACTTGCCAGCTTCTCTTCGCTCCACTTCTTTCCACCTATAGGTAGAGTGAGCTACAGCCTTACAGGGATCCCGGAAGACATACTCTGCTCTTTCTCCGCCAAGATAGCCGCGTGAGCCAGGGCAACCAGCACCGTTCGCTCTGCATTTCCTATGCGAAGCTTGCCTTCCAAACTACGGACAATATACTTGGCCTCCATCTCCTGACAAGCTGCAAGAAGCTTAGTTATGATTGAGACTTTCTTTGCTTGCGACTAATAGGATAGGTTATTCAAAAGTTGTCGGATTAACTGATATTCTTACTGAATGACCGGTGGAGAGAGCGATTTCTCGTAGGTTGGTAAAAACGAAGGGGACAGTCAAAGGCTTTGGTTTGAAAAGTGTCTTCTGGCTTTTCTTGGAGTTCTTCTCATTGCATCGTTATTTGAGTGGACCGAACAATTCCGCTAAAACTAACCGTTGCTACGAGACCCAAGTCTCCTTCCTTCTTGAGTTCCGCTTTCAGAGTAACGAGACTGCGACCCGTGGACTCGCTGATCGCCTTGATGAGGAGACTCTCGCCGATTCCAAGTTCCACGCCGACATAATCCGGACTCAGCTTGAATATAGTCAGTTCTATATCATCTACATATAAGGGTCACGAGTTACCCGATTGATGCACAAATAGACGGATTGCAAAAGGGAACTTGAGTCGCTCTTCGCTCTTCGCTGGATGACAAGGAAGAAAAAACTCGTGAGGATGGACGTCTTTTCCAAGCGCTTTGTCGTAGCTTCGATGAGGGAAAAGGTCTTGGCTAGAGCGGCATACGGTATACTGAACAGAAGACTGAGCAATATGTAACACGGATAGATCGATCCACATACGGATCTCCTGATTTCCAGCCACCCTTAACATCCACGTCAGCTACTCGCGAGAGGGCTGCTTCCGCACTCGCGCCGGAATCAGTGCTTTCGACGTCAGGTGCAAAGAAATCGGCGCTCACTTCTGGGTGGCATCATCCGCATCGTCCTCAATGCCAGCTGCCTCATCGTCACCCACTCCTTCCTCCCTTTCACTACCCGACAACCCCTCATCTTCCGGGGGAGGATGTGGTAAAATGGCTGCTTTGCCTTTACCTCCACTACTGGGTGGTCTTGCGGGTGGGGTTATGCTCCTGGAACTTGGGGGTGCTGGTATGTACGTTTTGTACTAATATCCGTGGCCAGACCATCGAGACGTACCTGACGGGATATGCAGGGGTCCCTCATCTTTCACATCCTTTTCATCGTCAGAGTGAACGACTCGCCGGCGCTTAGAAGTGGAAGGTCCAGGGGAGGGCGAGCCACCTACTTGAATCGACTTGAGTAACACTTAATGGATGCGCAGTCCAGAACCATACCTGGCGCTCTGCGCTTTGGCTTTGAATCTGCCAGCATTCCTTGTTAGAACCCAGGAGCACGTTACCGTGAACTGAACGTACTTTCCACATTCTCCTCCCCAACTTCCGGTTTAGGGTCACCCACATTTGATGCCAACTCCTTTGGTTTCGACCTTCCCCACATTTGTGAGAGACTTGACTGTTGTGGAGGAGCAGGCTTCATGCCTCTTGGCATCTCAAAGAACTTGCCTAAGGGTATTGAACTACAAAAATATGTTGAGAAAGGCAGAAACCAGTACCTAGTGTCTGTTGTCTTCCCATGACGCGACCAATGTGGCGCGCGGCGAACATGAACGCGCCTGTCACACATCACAACTGTCACAAGGCGCGTGATGGTGTGGGACAATCTTTCCAAATGAAGAGCGGCAGCGGCGTTTGCCGAGGACTGTGCAGTTTTCAGACTTGTGGCTTTGCCCTGGCCTACCGCCAACAAGCAAAGCAGCGGTGAGCGAGGGCAGCGCGTACAATTCATCGTCAAGACACACTTCAGCATGGCCGAGCAGGTTTGCAAATATCTGTTTCCGAGTTTTCCGAGTTGTTGACTGTTCGTAGATCGAAAAGGCTTTCCAGAAGCAACACCTATTCCAAAATGCCAAAGCGCGGGGTACGAGTGCATGTTTCGTTCGTTCGTGCGTGGAGCCTCATATTGCTATGTTGGGCGATAAAAGGTGGCAAGACAACAAAGGCCAAGCGATGGTACAAGGATGTCGGTCTTGGCTTTAAGACCCCATCAGAGGCAATTCACGGCACTTACATCGGTAGGCCACACGTGCCCTGCTGTCTATGTACGGCGAGCCTGAGCACCTATGCTAGATAAGAAGTGCCCGTTCACGGGGAACATTTCTATCCGTGGTCGTATTTTGACGGGTAAAGTTATCTCGACCAAGATGACACGGACAATTATCATCCGCAGGGACTACCTACACTACGTTCCCAAGTACAGTATGTCACCGTGGGATGCTGAATGGCTTGCGGATGCTGATTGATTCCCAGACCGTTACGAAAAGAGACATAAGAACCTGGCTGCTCACGTTTCACCCGCATTCCGCGTTGAAGTTGGCGACACTGTAACAGTCGGTACGTATGACTGTCACCCCGCACCGGTTTCGTGATTGAGTTGTCTTGCCAAGGTCAATGTCGACCGCTGTCAAAAACCGTGCGGTTCAACGTGTTGCGGGTGGCGAAGAACAAGGCGGCAGCGAAAGCCTTTGGGAAATTCTGAGACACCAGGGACGGGCTTTATGATAGCATCTAGCATATATATGATTGTCCTTTTCATTCCGTGTCGCACTATGCTATGTCTACAGCATGCAAACGAGATGTGGTTGAACGGGACAAACAAGTGGACAAACAAGGCGCCGGTTTTGTGATACACGACGACAGCAAGCGATCGCGTGGCCCAAGTCACTCAACTGTCAGTCAGAGGAAACGCCGTCCTCGGTTGCCCTTCCGCCGTCGTCCAAGCTGGCTCCAACACTGCTCGCTGTCCTGACCTCAAAGCTTTCCAGGTCAAAGCCACCGTCCTTGCAGTCTCGGTCAGCCTTACCCGAATCCCAGACCCAGACCCAATCGATGGGTCAACAACAGTCCAAAAAGGCCAAAAAGGGCGGCAAGGAAAGGGAGGGAGACATCACCCAGGACAGTGCTGTAACTGACCTGCCCGATCCAACCCCGCATGGCGGTCCCACTCGCACGACTGCTCACCCCAGTCTTTCCCAGAGTGCCTTGCACGAATATGATGCTGTGCGTAGCGAAGCAAACATCCCCACAGATTTGCAGGAAGATGACGCAGGTTCCGGAAATGCTACTGGGCCGTCCGGTTCACCCACCGTGCAGAGCTCTAACATATCCATACCCCCGAACAGTGCACCACCTTCTTTACCATTGTCCACCTCGGCGCCTCCGACCTTAAGCCCGTCCATGAAGCCATCTCCCGCACCCCTTGACATACCTTCCACACAGACTATACTCTCAAATACTATCTCTTCATCGTTCACTCCTGGGTCGACTGCAAGCAGCTTCCCTTTAAACGATTCTCTAAGCCCTACAGGCAACGGAGGAAAGGATAAAGTGAAACAATTGGACATCGACGACATGATCCAACGTCTTCTAGATGTGGGTTACACTGGGAAAGTTAGCAAGTCTCTGTGTTTAAAAAACGCGGAGATAGTTGCTATTTGCCAAACAGCTCGCGAGATCTTTCTTAGCCAGCCAACCCTTATCGAGTTATCCCCACCCGTCAAGATTGTAGGCGATGTTCATGGACAGTACTCCGACCTCATACGTTTGTTCGAAATGTGCGGATTTCCTCCGGCAGCTAATTACCTCTTCCTTGGCGACTACGTGGATCGGGGGAAGCAAAGCCTGGAAACAATTTTGCTGCTGCTATGCTACAAAATTAAGTTTCCGGAGAACTTTTTTCTCCTTCGAGGGAATCATGAATGTGCGAACGTCACGCGAGGTTTGTTCATACTTTGTGACACACTGCCATGCCTAATCGGTTCCAATGCAGTATATGGGTTTTACGACGAGTGCAAGCGAAGATGTAATATCAAGACCTGGAAAACATTCATAGACGTCTTCAATTGTCTGCCTATCGCAGCTGTGGTCGCTTCCAAAATCTTTTGCGTACATGGCGGTCTATCGCCGTCACTACACTCCATGGACGACATCAAACGCATACAGCGACCCACGGATGTGCCTGACTATGGTCTTCTGAACGACTTACTATGGTCTGATCCATCAGATACCGCTCTAGATTGGGAGGACAATGAACGTGGTGTCAGCTATTGCTTTGGGAAGGCAGTCATCAATGATTTCCTTGTGCGATACGACATGGATCTCATCTGTCGTGCACACATGGTCGTAGAAGATGGTTATGAATTCTGGAATGATCGGACGTTGGTCACCGTTTTCAGCGCTCCGAATTACTGTGGCGGTAAGTTCTGGCTCTCCTTTGCAGCACAGGCAATGACCTCGAAATGTACAGAGTTCGACAATTACGGTGCATGCATGAGGTTTGTCGGATATTGCTTTCTACGATCTATCTCTTATGCTTGATTCGCAGCGTATCGGAGGACTTACTATGTGCATTCGAATTGTTGAAACCTTTGGATGGTCATGCCTTGCGGAAGGAGATGACCAAGGCCAAACGGAAGAGGTGCGTACTCTTTCACTCTCCGTTTGGGAACCCTGACATGAACCGTCGTTCGTTAGCTTAATGGCGACCGCAACATGATCGTTAGAGGCTTGCTTTTAAGTCACTTCAATAGGACGGCTAAACGACAGTCGTCCATACTGCTGGTTGGACTGTTCTACATATCCACGTGTCTCTATGTACAGCTTCGGCGGATGCTTGGTTGCTCACCGATTCTATCTTCGCACTCTTGCGCTAGGCTCCACGCGGCTTAATAGCTACGCATCCGTTCCGAACCGGCTTCTCGTTGCACGCTCGTTTATGTCGGAGGTACAAATTTGTAATTCACTACATCCTCATTCACTCTCGTTTCCCTCCTAACGTACAGTTATATTTTCTCTTGTGTTTTCTCTTGGTTACCCACCTCTGTCAGTGGTCTTAGGATCTTTATTAACCCATCGCATATTTGTTTTGTCTGTGATATACAGTATTGGTGGAGCGTGGGCTCTGGCACTATAAAGACAACTGGTTGTAGGCAACGTTGTCCCGTACATCTATATCTAGTGTTGGGCTTCAATGTACTTACAAGTGGATGTTATGACATGTCAAATACAAGCATGGCGAATGCTCCAACTATCATACCAGTTCCCACCAATCCGCCGAATGTCAACGCAACTGTCCCAAAGAACATGTCCGAGAAAAGGGTGAGGACTATGGTCATGAGGCTCCCCACTGATGTTACTATTGGACCCCAGATTCCTAGAAGGATCTGCGTGGTGGTAAGATTAGCCAGAGTCAGGGGAAACGAGGCAGAGAGAGGAGCCCGCCTTACCATAAAGCCAGCATTGAAAATTACACCCGATGCGGCGATACCGGCTATAGCCGTTAGAATGTCCGGGCGAGTTGGTAGCCGAAATTCTTCTAGTCCGTAATAGTGAAGGATGGGTATGGGTATCCACAAGACAAGTAAGGTGCACATTCCCATGGAAGCTGTAATCAGGTTTGGGTGCAGCCCGAACGGCGGCGGATATACGATCTCATCCTTCAACAAAGGACAAGACTGTATTTCATTATCGACATCGTCTGCAGAGTATAGTCCTTGACAATTCGCGGGCTCGGAGGTCAGATCAGAATCTGTGGGTAATGCGATGTATTTCTTATAGATCACTTGGTAGAGCGCATAGAGAAGAGATGCCACGAGAGTCAGCATGTCACCAACGAAGGGTGCAGGCTGGTGGACTGCGCTCGTTACGGCTGACCCAGGACCAGGTGAAGATGCTGCGGTACCACCATATACAATAGTGATGACACCCAAAGTTGCGAGGCAGACTGCCAGTAGCCGAAAGGTTCCCCATTTCAGGCCAAGTAACTTCACGCTGAAAACATACGTAAAGAATGCGTTGGCATTCCATATAGCAGTTACATCGGTGACACTGCACGACGCTCAGCACGCGACGGGGAAAAGGAGGAAAGCCGTACGAAGCCAGGGGAACCGCAACAAACCATAGTAAAGCGGGTGAACTATAGAAAACAGTGAGTGAAACGATCAGGAATGCTGTCTTGGCAAAGGGAATTGCCCTGTGCCGGATGTCTACATGTCCTTCGGATCTGGAAGTCAACTGCCGCATGATTGCGAAGCGGAGCCCGAGTGTTACCGGCAGTAGCTCGTTTTCGGTTGTGGAGAGCAGGTAGATCAAGTGGATTGGAAAAGAAAGCGAGAAACAGGAATGGACGATATAGCTATCAAGATTTAGCCTCTCAAGGTACCATGGAGGAGCCCGTGGACTAACAAGATGAAATATGACTGCCTATACTCCAGGGTCGTTTGTAGGTACTGAAAAGAGTGAGATCAATAATCGGGCACAACAGAGGTATCAGAGATAAGAACCTGCGTGAGTTGAGTCTCCACGACAAAGGCCAGCAGAACTGCGACGAAAACTGCAACTGCGCTTTTGCCACCTAGGTTGGGTGCGTGAATGGACTCGTGCATCCCGGACGTCTTGTGCAGCACTTTCTAGCAAGGTGGAGATGGTTGTGAGCGAGCCCAATAATACGTCACCCGACAGGCCACATTTTCCTCCACCGCTGCTTCGAGCCGACACTCACATACCGCAGAAAACGTAGACCACGTGATTACAAAATGTGGGTCCGTCCCAAAAACTCGATTTCATCATCCTCACCGCAATAGCCATCATTAATGCTCCGGAGGCTCCTGACATCGAGCAGGCCGCTACTCACGCGGGCACGCGCTGCTACGTTCCCGGGTATCAGCCTCCCACTCCCATCCACCGTTACTCGTGTCGAGTCTGCCGTTCCGACATTCACCAGGGGGATGAAAGTTCGCTCTTCGGTCAAAGTTATGTGTGACGGCTGTAGCATCGTCATAAGAAAAGGCCGCGTCTATGTCGTGTGCTCCAAGAATCCCAAACACAAGCAGGTATGTGGTAAATAGTCCTTGTCAACCTCAAACTGAACACTTCATTAGCGCCAGGGCTGAGCGTACACCCGCTCGGTTCGAAGGGCTTGCTGAGCACCGCATCTACCCTAATGTAGATTTGCAGCCATGTTGTCATTCACACCCTGCCGTTTCTCTTTTGTGTTCCAGTGAACAAGCAATTTTTCCAAGCACTCACCTATGGGAGTGTCGTTGAAACTAGTGACTAACGACTGTCCGGCGAACACCATGATGTGCGCGGAAAGCGCATTGACCAGAAAATTTCCGATCCCCAGTTGGCCTAAAGAACAATTTGAGGCTGGATACAAAAAATGCGATCTCACATGTTAAGCACCTGGAAGTCGGCAGGTCATTATACTTTTAAGAGATGAGCACGCCCTCTGCTACACACAACTGCAACAAAACCTAAACCGTGGGGCGAAAATGTTTAAGGCTACTCAATTCCACTTTTTCCACTCCGCTCCAGCGGGTGGCTTGACCTCCACTTTCTCCTTCTTCACTTCGTCCCAGTTTGTGCTGAGTGTGGTGCCGCCACTTTCTTGGAAGCTCTTCATCATGGCGCGTCTCGTGTCATCATCGGCGTCAGCAAAGATTTTCTGAAAGAAAGCGTTGACGGCAGCGTCCCCACCGACGTTGGGATCTTCCTGAGAATCTTTTTCCTTCTCGCTGTCAAGGATCTCCGTAGTGATTCCTTCCCAGTTCTTCCTCTTAGAGGTACCCGTTACTGATGGCGTGGGTGGTATCGTATAGTTTGCTAATACTAAGAAGGTGGGTGAGCGGCGTAACGCAAATCATGGCAAGGCACGCACTATCGGGCGCATCACCTATTAGTGCCCCCCATCGTCCATATGTGGCCTTGCTGAGTCTTATTTCGACTTTCATTTTGCCAACAACAAAGTCACGCTTGTCGGGATCGATTTGACCCTTCAGAGGCTGCAGGGTTAAGACTTTGTCGCCATTTTGGTACGTCAACTTGAATCGCTTGAGCTCCACAGATGGGCCAGAGACTGCAAATCAAGGCGTACCTTGCGAGGCTCGAGTTTGACAGACACCTGTTCTGGATCGGCCCCTCGATCGAATATGGCGATTGTCAGCGCCTCGTCTGTCTCATAGAACTCGTGCCTGCTCTGTGTTAGTAGTCAAGCTGGAAAAAAAAAATGACAGGCATTCCTTAGGCTCATGGCTATTGCTGAATTGAATGGTAAGAGATCGTTGTAGAATGCAAGTGTGCAGAGCCCCCTGTCCGATATCTCAAGAAAGTTCCAGTGCTGACAGTCACGTGAGTCATTAGCAACTCCCCCGTGGTCTGTTCGTACCGTAAATACTCTCGAGTGAACTCGTCTGGCGAGCATGGAGCAATCTCATTAATCACCCAAACACCGTTCCTTCGGTGCTGGCTGACCGAATTGTCGTGGGGTGGATGACTAAGGTATTGACGAACGACACTGCTGGCTGACTTACATATCTCACCTGGCGATCAATATTGTCCCCACTTCCTTCATCTATTTATGTATATAGACTGGATCGCCTGAGAGACATTTCTGTTCGGGACTGCTGTGCTCCTTGGAGTCTTTCTGGTTCTAAAACACTTGACGAATGTCTCACTGGTCGATGCATTAGGGGTCATCCCAATTAGGTATGTTCCTCGCATGTCTGCGCGATTTCTCTCGTTTTGTTTGCACAAACTCGACTCCCAACCAGAACGGCAAGGCTCATTTACTTTCGTTGACGCGATTCAATCTCTGCTTGCACAGTTTGCGGCGTAATGCTTGGTTTCCTGGGCATCTCCAGGCAACCTCGGCCGTCGAACGAAGCATACGAATTCCTATCCACAGCGCAAGAGGATGTAACCACTGATACCCCACCCTGGGCGTTAGCGCATGATCGCGTTTCCAGTGATGTCGAAACTGCATTGGAACGTTCGTCCTCAGAATCAACCGCCACGCCGACTCCCTTCCGTACACCGTCACCGTCTCCCACGTACCCGTCGCACCGTCTGTCCTCGTCCATCTCTGAAGTAGATGATGGTCCAACGTCACCATTACTACCCAGTCAAGGGGAAGCATACACTTTCCGAGATGGAATTCGTAATCTGTGGCACCTGAATCCAAACCCTCGGAGGATGAGGACGCGCGAACGCAAGATATGGAGGACATTAAAGAAGGGAGCGAGAAGGGTCGTTCGACATCCACTGTTTCCGAGACAACCGCTCACAATAGTGAGGACACATAACCTCATTTCTCCCATGTAGTGTAATTGCTCACAGACACTCAGATATTCGCCCTGCTGTTGTTCACGCTTTTCGCAATTTCGCTCACTCTTCTTCTCATGTATATACTAAATCCTGACAAGGAACCCCTACCTTGGCAAGCATACTGTTCGATCCCTCCAACCACCACGCTCCCTCCACACTTCCGCCAGACACTACCTTATCCTTATATTAACCCTCTTCCAAAGGAAGTGCCTCCAAGTTTTCCCCCCGACGATCTAGATACCCTTCCGCCTGCAGGAGTTTTTCTCGGTGTCTTTTCCACGGATATGTCACTGGAACGTCGGATGCTCATAAGGACCACATGGGCTACCCATCCCCGAAGTCGCAACGGTGCAGGCGCAGGAGATGACGGGCGTGGCACATCACGAACAGTTGTGCGTTTTATTCTAGGGCAGCCTCGCAAGGGGTGGGAAAGACGCATACAAACAGAGATGGAAAGTAAGTACCGGACCCCGTGTTTGCGTACTTTTTTCTAAGGAGAAGCAAACTGACGAACGCTTGGCCTAAGTGTACAATGACATCATCATCTTGCCTTGTCCCGAGAATATGAATTCCGGCAAAACTCATGCCTACTTTACTTGGGCTGCCGAAAATGCATGGGTGCCTCCAGCATACTTCAATAGCTCAGCATCAGTGCCCCGATTTAGTTATTCCAATCAATCCACATCATCACCTCGCCCTGCACCCCATGATTCTCATTTCGTTTGGATTGACCATGCGTCTGGCCATCCTCGGCCTTGGGTGCGCCCGGACTATGTTGCTAAAGTAGATGACGACGCCTTTGTCATGTTGGCAGAGCTCGAGTCTCGCATGAGACTGGAACTGTACGCTACTCGGCATGAACCGTATACTCCGGTTAACACCACTACGTCAACGTCTTCCGTTGGCGAACAGCCAGAGCTCAAACCGAGTGGCAGTGTAGTTCGGGAAGAAGGTCCGCACGGCGACTCGGCTCCAAATTCCTCCCGAGATCCGCTTGTCTACTGGGGCTATCTTGTAAAAGAACGCTTCATGGCAGGTGAAATGTATGGTTTGAGTTGGAGACTGGTCGATTGGGTGTCGACTAGCACCGCCGTCAGGGGCTATATCACGGGCGCCGAGGACAAGCAGACTGCGAAATGGATGACCATACATCCACAAGCGAGTGAAATCCGCTGGGCAAGTGAACGTTGTTGGATATATGACCACCCTCGTGCCAGCACTGTGTAGGTACCCCAGCTGTTGTTTTCATTCTCTCTTCTCACACTCAGACGAATATTACAGCTATTCTCATGGATTTTTGTTTCCTTCTCACGTCGAACGGATCAAACGCTCCGTTTTGTCTTACATCGAGGCGGCTTCACAGAATGATTCTACCTCTCCGATGCAGGGCAATATTTATGGGCTTGGTATTCCGACACCATTATCATGGGCGCAGTCGAGCGTTTCCACATTTGGAGTGACTTATCAAGCGCCTTTGCAAGATCTCACCACGGCGGAGAGCGTGGAAGCTCTTGTGGAGGGAAGTGAGATGTCGAGAATACGCGAAGGTTTGCATGGATGACTGTCGGGGGTGTATGGCTGACTTGTCCATAGGCGCACCTGCAGACGTCGCATATGCCTGGCGTCACCGAGAAGGTCGCCTCAGACACTACCAGAATAGGCGGGTCGGAGGAACAGTCGTCGTGCATTTCATCAAGAAACATATGTGGTTTTTGGAGACAGCTTTAGCATTGCTAGAAGCCGACGATTACTCCGATTTCGAGCTCGAGAGTCTTCCCACGGCAGACCGAGAGACGTTGAACGTCAGCGCTTCCAGCGTGTGGACAGACAGCACTACGCTCTCTCACGGAAACACACTTTCTCTGTCGTAGGATCCGCTCGCTGACTTTGTCTCACGTGGCATGCGAAACACCCATGCGCCGTGTTGGACATATCGGACCTTGTGATACCACTTTGCAAAGATATAACCAGGAGCATATTAATAAGTGTTGACATGATTAAAGCAGAGAATAACCATCCAGCAGGGCAGCTTGAGATATCGAAGTTGAATGATTATCAGGTCTTACCAATGCTTCCATATCTCTTAGTCGGTTGTGAACAGCCCGCCGAATTGTCCCCTCCCATTGTTGGAACCATACCCCCTCCCTTAATCCTTCGACTCTCATCGCAGCTGGTGTATGCCACGATCTGGGATACTGTTCTAAAAGGTCGGGTGCACCTCGTAACCGACTTTCTGTGTGCTTCATGTCCATGGGCTGCTCAGTGGCCTGTACAATTCGTTTAAGTGCGTATGCGCCGCCACAAACTTTCCAGGTTCCACCGCCTCGGCTATGGAATCGCTTGAAGAGCCATAAAAAAGGGTATATAAAGGTGATAATGAGGAAGAACTTGATCCACCCGTTAGAAAGCATTCGAGAGAGTCGATTTTCCGACCGAACGGAAATCAGGGAGCGAGAAGTTTCGAAGCCGACGTAAATGTCTCCGCTGTAGTATGTAGACTTTATCAAGGATCGTGTAGCAGCTACGATGGCATCGAAATTCCATCCATAAACAACCTGTGGAATTCGTCTAGTGAGGTGTGAATAAGATAATGGCTAGCAGACCTTCTCGTAGTCAAACTCTTTGAGGTACTTGCTGCTGGAACAGTAATCGTCAGCCCAGCGACGAAGCGTCCAGGATGATTGTAAAACGCTATCAGAATGCATGACGGATGGCTGCCCTTGTCTCCACGTATAGTTGCTGCTGATCCACGGAGGAAAGCCTTTACGAGAGCGTTCATCGTCCCAACTCTTGGCCGCCTTCCTCTCTGCTCTGGTGGCCTTATGCCTGTCATCGCCCACTCCCACCTCGTGGAAAATACGTCCACGGTAGCCTGGGGCGGAGTCTGCCACTGACCAATGTGTTGGGTCTCCGATGATGTGTTGGCCTACATCTATCTTAAAGTCGAAATCGACAACCTTCTCAGTGTACTGCTCCGTCTCTGTGCTTCTGTTGTTGCCATTGTCATGGTAGGTGACAAAACGAGTGTGAGTTTCATCGTGTGAGCCCTTGCAGTGAAGGACCAGTGTAGGTGGGATAGAAACTTGGGACAGTAGAAAGCGGTAAAGAGCCTCTCCTTTGGAAGGGACTGATTACCATATAGTTGACCACTCTGGCTGAAGCAGCGCACCATCTTCGTTCAAGTGCGGATCATGAGAGATCAATGATCCGTCGCTGGAAGTGAAGCAAGAGGCTTCGTAGGGAGCGAACGCAGGAGGGTCTTCACCCCCGCGAGGCATTAGCACCTCGTTTTTGGAGACCTGCAGAACCGGGTCTGACATACTCGCCTCGAACGGAGGAGGCGCGGACGAGGCAGATGCCTCCGGCTGTTGGTCTCGCTGATTGGGACCGTCAATGATGCCGATGGCCATCGTCGTCGTCCAAGACCAGGCGCTGACTTATGTAATCAGACCACTGACGAGGTTTCTACACAGTCACGTCTCCATCCACACCGCCAGCTGCGTGTCGGTGGGTAGCAGTTTTATTTACATACGAAGCTTGTTCGTTGCTGAAATCACAGCGTTAGGCCAACTTTAGGCGGCAAAAACCACCCTTCCCAACATTGGTCAGGTCAGGCACCATGCCCATTTGGTTCCTTTGTCAGAACCGTCATCGCCATTGAATTCCATCCAGGGCAAGCTACTTTGAAGTGAGTTCATTCTTCTCGCCGTTTCCCTGAACTTCTGTCTGGTCATTCAGACTACATCGGGTCGTCTGCGTAGTGTTTCCCTCTTCGATACCGTTGCTTCACCACACTCGGAGGTGGAGAGTATCACACTCCTCTACGGCATTGTCAGCCTTATCCTGCTTTTCTACTTTCCTTCGTGTTCTCATGTTCTTGTTCAAGTTTTCTCTGATCTTCCTCTCACTTATTTTTTTCTCCCCGCAACCCAAACCTTAATGGCCTCATCAATAATATCCGGATCCTCCGCCGTTACCACACCCTCGACGGTACCCTCAACTTCCGCCGTCACACCCTCTACACAGCAGTCTGCGTCGCAGCTTTCGTAAGTAGCTCACAACCATTTGTGTCGCACGCCTGTCACCGGTAATGCAGTGCAACTACAAACGTGGCTAGTACCTCAAGCTCTGCAACGGCCAGTCCGTCATCTCCTTCCACCTTCTCCGTCAGCACGTCCGCGCAATCCACGATGTCATCTACCTCTAATGTCGTCACGACGACTTCCAATCCAGTCACTTCTCAGCCTGTTACCACCTCAACAATACCTCCTACGTCATCGAGTTCTTCAACCGAGCAGACGTCCGTTCTTACGACATCCTCAACAAATTCTCCCAGTACCACGTCTACCACACCTGTATCACCTTCCACCAGTACATCCTCCTCTCCAAGTAGTTTGTCAAGTACTTCCTCAAGCACATCCCCAAGCACTTCGTCATCCCCTTCACCAAGCACGCCAGCGGAGACGCAAGAAACTAGTAGTTCACCTCCAGCAGCAACGAGTAATCCGGTGTAAGATTTTCCATATGTTATGTCACCACCATTTCCTTGAATGCTTTGCAGAGCTACTGTGACAGGACATACCACGATATTTGTCACGACTACCAATGTCGAGGGTCAGACGATAACCAGTGTTCCGGCAATAGTGACCCAATTGTTCACATCGACCAACGGGGCTGGTTCTGTCACGACAGTGACTCAAGCTGTGGTGAACCCGACGCTTGCTTCGAACAATAGCACGAACGAAGCCTCTTCGTGAGACCGTTCTTTACCGTTCATGCTTCACATTTAACACCAATCTAGTTTCTTTTCAAATACAGGCGCCGTAGCGGGTGTTTTTGTTGTCGTTGGCTTAGCCGCGGCCTCCATAATACTCTGGATTCTTTTTGCACTCCGCCGACGGTATCGCATGCGCCAGATTGAACACGATAGCGCAATTCAGGCTGCTGTCGCCGCTGCGGGTTTCAATCGAGTTCCACTAGATGATGATGACGATGGGCATGGTAGAACGCCCTATTCGCATTCGCAATTCTCCACGGAAATGGGCCAACGCGGGAGTTACACATTCGGTTCTTTGCCAAGTGGACCGCCAGTGCTTGACGACGGTCAAGGAGGTTTTAACCCCTATGCGGACTATCCTTCCTCTCGACAGGGACCTAGGCACGCTGGCGGTTACATACCCACACGCACTGCAAGTCCTCCTCCTGGTGCCGAACGACCCGCACTCTCCGCTATGGGCACGGACGAATTTGGCTCTAATCGTGACCGCAAAAGTTCTTATGGTCATACGCCAACATATAGTGCTGGTAGTTTCGAACCCTTACTGTCTGGCTATGGACAGGCCTCTGAGTCGGCTCCGAATGCCCCCCCTACTCCCCCACCACGGAATCCACAACGACTCGTCGACGCGTCCAGCGCACCCAATCGAGGTTCTCGCGTCCTTGACGATGAGTCTTCGAATAGAAGCACGGATGACCGGCTTGATCCGGATATACGCAAGCGAACAAGATCGAATAGTCTGGGGACTGCTAACCTCAGGGATGACGAGGATTATAGTCGTCCCGTTCTAACAGTACGTGGTGTCTTCTTCATGCAGTTTATGTATTGAACATCCAGCAGGTCCGCAATATGCCTGATACACTCAGTGAACACTCGATATGATTTTGCCCTCGTATTTATGCAATCACCCATATACTCTCACTCAAAACACACTCCCATCTGCATCACGATGACAAATGCAGGAGGCCAGATGGACATTCTTTTGAATGCCGGACACTTATCTTAGTACGCGGTTGTATCCCTATATACTGCATTGTTCTGCATTTTGACCTCGCGATTCACATGGACGCCACAGACAGGAAACTTGCACGTAGTCTTAGCTTTGACAGAATATTATCACGCGTTGATTGCATGTCCTCCACCTCCCACATGCTGCGGAATGAGAGCAGCATCTGTATATCGTGGCCAGCCAATGGTTAGGTCGTAGTACGACCATGCCTTTTGTATATCAAGCCAAGCCCTCTGCTGGGATATACACGGGGCCCTCCCACTCAAATCCTTCATGTCCCAAGCTGATTATCATGATCCGCTGGCCGAGAGTATCTAGTGCAGTCGAATACAGTAACGCAGCATCTTTCTGGGTGGAGTCATCCGATCTTGTTGATATCTCTCGCACTCAACACGTTGCCAAGCGTTCTCACCCTGGTCCCCCCCTGTGCTCCACCCAACTCGAGGTAGCTGTCGACAGCGATCGCGTCATCAGGGCCAACAGAACTGCCACCGCAGCTGCAGTTGTCGGCATGCAGAAGTACCTCGTCTTTCAATAGGTTTCCAGATTTGACACACAAGTGCCACGACTTCCGCCTGCATCCACAACTGAGAGATCATTCCACGGGCCCGAAGTGCGTCGCCCCTCTGTTAAAGGTGCTTTCTGCCCTTCGCTAGTTGGGAGTGAAGATACTTTGGGTGTAAGTTGTATCCAATGCCTTCCGATGCAGCGTCATTGACTATAAATGTAGTAACTGGGGACTTACTGACCATGAGTTGAAATGAATTTCTCCTTGTACGCAGTTTCAGAACAGGCAGGGAAGGCGGCTTTGAGTCAGAACTTCGAGGTGGTTTTTGGAGGCTTCTGATGCGCGGGGAATATAACTCGGAATCATATAGGCCTCTGCAAAGGCCGACCGGCTGGGGGTGACCTCTGGATTCGCAAAAACGGGTGTACATTTTTTTCAAACACCAATACAGCCATCGTGCGTGCTGACCGGTTGACTTTTGAGTGCCAAATCCACAACGGAGAATGAGCGGGCTATGGGGATGCCGAAGTGTGCTGGATCTGTACTTTCGGAACAGCATCACCACACCGTTAATTAGTGCTAATCAGGTGAGATTAACACGTCCGCAGGCGACCGTTTGCAGGGTATATTGTCACCTATGTTTATTGGTGTGTTTGGGGCACTATAGATATTGTATGCTCGTCAAAGACATCATTACTACTACCTCACCTTCTGGTGGACTAGAGAGCGTCACATATAACACGGGAAATGTGCGTCGCCTCTGATTTACTGTGTTGATACGGCTTCGTGGCGGATACAACAAGAATCATTCAAGCGGGGACTCCGAAACCACCCAGCCCGACATGAGAGCTTCATAATACTTGTCAAACCATATCTATACCCATGCAAGCCTTTGTTCATGCCTAAATAAACGCGTACGATTATCAACGGGGGTAATTTGAAGCAGACACATGGAAAATAGATGGTACATATTAGCAGACATCCAAGAACGGCGGTGACAGAAAGAAAACATAAAGACGTCGCTACAGATATATCTAAATTGGGCAGGTGACTCCGATCAGAAGAATGTGCTTGCAACGATAGAATAAATGGTACTGATAACATGCTGTGTAAAGAACAATAGACAAAATGTACCTTGCCGCACCACTTGAGAGGCTCCAGGAGATGTCTGTGGTGACTGGCGCTAGTCCTAACAACATTTGCCTGTTGGTATCCAGTTCTTCAGCCGATTTGATCGTCTTCTGCGGGCCCCACTCAGACTTCCAAAACTGAGATGGCTAGAACTGGTTACTCTCCGCAGTGCTCGATCACCGTAGCTAACGCCACTCCCTACTTTCTCCGGATCGAGCACTCCAGACTCTATGGATAATAGGATGGCTCGTGCTGCGAGTAGGAATGGTGTCTCAACGTTTTCTCCTGACAACGAAGATACCTCCAGAAAGTGAACATCTAGGGGACAAGGGTTTAGGCAACCGCCAATCATACATTTCAAAAAAAAAAGCTTGCCATTCTCAGCAGCCCATCTACTAGCCTCCGCCCATTCAACCTCGCGTTCTTCTTCTCTATCTGATTTGTTCCCAACCAGAACAGCAACCAAATGCGGGCTTGCAAGAGCCCTGGCATCAGCTAACCACCGAGACAGATTGAGAAACGACTCTCGACTGGATAAAAGTCAGTCAGTGGCTACAACGGACACCTTAAATCACGATACAAACCTTGTGATGTCATACACAAGTATTACTCCCGCTGCGCCGCGGTAATAACTGCGCGTAACTGACCTGGATGACAATGAGTTAAATGGCGGGAACGTAGCATGCGTGACACGAACCGGAATCGTTCCTGCCCCGCGGTATCCCATAACTGTGGTACCTTTCAAAAAAGTACATTAAGAATCACCGAGAGAACATACCTGAAGTTTAATTCTCTTCTCTCCAAGCTTTACTGTCCGACTAGAGAACTCCACCCCGATCGTGTGTTGGGAGTGATCCTTGACTTGGGGAATTTTAGGCGATGGTTCTCAGGGCGAAGAACAGAAGTGCCTACAAGCATTGTGTATGAAATGGTGGAGAAGACACGATTTACCCGTGCCGGCTTCACCTGCGGTAAACAATGTTTCTCAACTTTCGCCCTCAACATAGAGTGATCCATGCTAACCGATTATGATATACTTCATCAAGAAATCTAACACCTACTAGATGAGCGACAGCCAGGACAACACCAAGAGAAACCGACCGTAAGTTTCTAAGAGCTCCGTGGCATCGACCTCATAGTCGTCGAGTGGCATAGTGATCGCCGAATGAGACCTGCAGTAACACGACGACAAAGCGTGTCCACAGCATATTCTCACGGTGACTGTGCAGTAATTGTTATTTACCAACCCTTCCATGGCACCCAAACATCAACCATTCTCTCTGATCCTCCGTCCACCACATAATACCACGGATGTCCCGCTGCAATGAGACATGCATGCTGTCCAACAATTTCAATCCTTTCCCCAATCGTCAGTACTGGGTCAGCTTTGCTCTCAGGCGATGCATTAGTTGGCAGTTGCTCAAGGACGCCATGTTCCGGGAAATCCGTCCTAGCCTCCAGAACTTGCCGACAACTTCTCCAAAACCAGGAATCCGTCCGCCGTCTTTACTCATTGAAATTGCTCCGGCATCACACAGCGCTTCATCTAGGCCATCTCTTCCTCTACCGGGATAATACGAGATAATCGTTGCGAGTACACGTTGCGAAATACTAGATCGGTCGATCAGCGTCGTGTGCAGTTGTTGAAGGTCAAGCATTGGGTAGTTGCCTGTGATTTCAACTCCTCTGTCAGGAGAGAAGAACGTAGCACATTCCGTTTACTTGTGCGCACCTGCGTGTAGCTCAAGAATACCCACAGAGCTGTGATATGATCTTTGCTTTTGCAGTTGCGCCAAGGGCAGTTGGTGTAGATCCCACAGACAGCACAAAAGGTTGGGAGCGAATGCTCTTGTTTTGGTATTCTGCCAGGACCTCTTGAGCCATCAGTGCAGCATCGTTAACCAGCTGTACTTCGCCCGTCAAGTAAGAAACGGCCTGTTCTCGAGATGTCGACCCATAGGAATCTCCTGCATGGCTGTAGAAACCAAAGACAGATATGGCGGCCGATGCGAACACAGTTTTCATGAATGGCTTGAATGATTCTGGCTTTGGAGATGTACCAGCGCGTCTGATCCCTGTCAACGCATTTATATCCATTTCGGAAACATTATCGGACGCACTTCTGACCGCCGTCCATCTTGATGAACGTAGACCACTTCTTTGGTTGTTGGCGTTGTCTTTCGTACTCTTCCAGAAACTTAACCTGTTCCAGGTTATCCACCATGATTCGGACGGTCCCACCGTACTTGACCATTTCTTCGTGCAGTACAGACAGATCGTCAAGTTTGTTTGGTCCCACCGGAAGGCCATACAATATCTAGTAGATATCAAGCAACGAATAGGTATGGCCGGAAAAGTGAACTGACATCCTTGACGGTGCCATCTTCAACCAGGCCACCATGGACGACTCCCCATGCCTCCATCATCGTCGAGACGATCACTGCGCTGCTCTTAGCGACACTGAAATCGAGTTGCAATCTTGTACCTTCGATGGTCTGCTCCTGAATGTCATAGCGCGTAAAGCTATATAATACCGTAGTTAATACCTTGTGCGTCTTCAAGTGAGCTCTGAAGCTAGCACCCCAGTCCTTAGCATTTTGGTGCATTTTGGCACAGTTCTCCTTAAACGCAGTGCGATCTACGACGAAGGCCGGTGTTCGGAGTGCATCGAGAGGTTGTCCAGCGAATTCCTTGACCAGAGCACCCTTGTCAACCGGGAGGAAACCCCAGGGAGTATTCGTCTGTAGGAGTGGCGTCATTGCAAGCATACTACTATAAGAGGTAGGAAAGTGGTAACCCACTCAGTGGGAGTTGCAATGGTATCTTATCTTTCGTTTCCACATGAAATTCTGGCAGAAGTTGCATGTCATATTCATACAGAACCCCCAGTAGGGCAATAGCTGCCAACTCTCAATTGTTTATTCCCTCGCGCGTACTACTCCACAACATCAGCGACGAGTCTACGCCATGCTTTCTACACGGATAAACTGCGGCAGCCACCGCAACCCACCGCAACCGAACCAATTACTTATCCGTGACCCAAGGGCTAACGACATGCTACTAAGTGTTGATTGAATAATTTTCCGCCCGGAATGCAGTACATGCTAACCAACAGGAGAAGCAGGGAATATAATGGGAGTTCTGTCAACGTACAGGGGTCACACAAAAGCCAAGCAGTCGTGGCAGCGGCAACGTCGTATATTAACACAATCGATGTGTGAAGAACAAATTGGGCAAGTCGTGGGTGAGCGGACTACAAGGATTTCTTTTCTGGTGATCGATGGTCCCTTGGCAAGTGCATGTCATGGGGAACTACACCAATTAATAACCACTCAGACAACAATCAAGGCATGTTGCTGGAAATACCCGTCCTACTCACCTCTTGCCATGGCCGACGCAATACGTGAATACGTGTCATGGTAGCGGAGTATCGAAAACCTGACAGCACTTCTCAAGCTTCCCGGGGATCAACTTGGCACTTACTTAAACACGAAGGTGAATGCATGTAAGACAATATCTATCAATGGCTCCCACTGCTGCCAGAAGTGAAGAACGGCCTTTGTATTTGTGTCAATCTACAAGAAAAAAACCTTTGAGGGGATGATGCATAGTACAGCAAAGATGGAAAGTCGCTTGTTGGACCTGCCTCTGCATGATCTGGCGCCAAAATGCGCAACTCGGGTGTACCAAGACGACGTGAGGAAACCTGCTGCACGTGGAAATTATTACGGTTCACTGAAGTTCGATTACCCTTAAAAAATCAAGCTCATTGGTGTGCCATCATGATCGCGTCCGAAATGAATGCAGCTGAGATTTGTCGTCCCCCAAACCACCGCCCATTCAGTCCTTGAATAGCCTTTTTGGCAGATTCAACTGAGCCGAACTTGACATAAATTTCACCCTGAGCACTATCATGAGGCCAGTGCACCCTAACAATAACGAGAACATACTTGGCTGTCTTTTTCGATTTTGATGATCTCAACTTTGCCGTACTTTTCTTCACATTCGCCTTTAACGTCGTCAGCTAATTCCCTATCCCAGTCGCGTTCTGTCTCCCTAATCCCTCTTGGTCAGTCACATCGGTCAACTACGGAGCGAATAACTCACTCTTCCGGATTGAACATATTCTTCAGTAGGACTGAACGTGATTGCATTGTCTGTGGAATGTTTGGTTTGTTACTGTTATCATCAGTAGTGCACGACGAATCCGAAATCGACAAGACGAACACAGTTGGAAGCTTCGGAGTTGGCTCGATTCTGGCAAGTTTTTGCATTAGCGCTTGACGTGACGCTGCATTCAAATTACCGCCTTCGAAGGAACGGCATGAGAGTAGTTATTGCCTAGATAAATCTGCTCACCGCCAGCTTCGTCCAGGGAATCCTGCTGGGTATACCTCACGCTACCTTTCTCGTGCACAGTGTTGACGCGGAGCTGATGCCACAACAGTGAGGGATATGCGGGGATAACAACTACAGTACATACTGTTCTTCCAGCGAGCTCGAAGCCTTCCATTTGCTCCAAAGCCATTTTGGCATCTTCACCTCTTTTGTACCTGGAAAATTCGCTAGTTCAAGGTCGCAACCGGCATTGGGGTGACCACTGACTGTATGAATGCATAACCTTTACTCCTGCCCGTCATCGGGTCCCTGTGCAAATCAACAAATGCCAGTTCACCAAATGGCTCAAAGACTTGTCTGATATCGGATTCGGTGAGGTTGAAATGCAAGGAACCAACATAAAGTCTGCAGCAATACCGTGTCAGCGCGACAGGACTTATCACGATAAGGAAAGCCCACTGCATTGCCCCGTGTGATGTATTGACACCGGGGGGAAGGTTCAGGTTCCTGGGAAAATGGATTAATAAACATATGGGTGAGATAAGCAAGTACCAACCCGTCTCCTGGGTGAAGCCTATTCCTCTCTGCTTCAGTCAACTGCACCATGATAGGTAAACCCATTACGATCGTGCCACTGAGGGCCATGGCCTTTTCAACGAGATCGACGGAGCGGAACTCGACATAACCAATGCTAGTAGACTATTAAGCCTTGAACCGCGCCAAGTCTCATGACTTACCCTTTCGACCGACGAGAGATTCTGTCGGTAACGATGCGAGCATCGACAACTGTACCTTCGCCTAACTTGTCCTCGAAGAAGTACCCAAGATCACGTGCCGTAAGACGAGCAGCGAGCTGAGAAACGAACACAGACCGAGCTTCCGAATCGTCTTCTTTGGGCTCTTCGGGGTTATAGTCTTCAACTGGAACCTCATAAGTCGGAGAAGGACGTCTGACACAGTGTGGATGAAAAGAAGGCAACGCCATTTACAACGTATACTTACTGTCTGGTGGGACTGGGACGCAAAGACCGTTTATCAAATTCGTCTTCAAGTGTACCTTCGTCAGATGGAGCGCGCTTAGAATCACGACGATCCCTGTCTCTTTGGTGCCGAAGTGGTTCGTCGAACTCGTCGCGGGGGTCGCGCACTCTCCTGTCGTACCTACGTTCGCGTGAGCGGTCTGTCCGGTCAGCGATCCTGCTTCGAGGACTGTCCTTGACGGAGGCGGGAGCATGAGGATCGTCACTTTCCTCATGCCTCTTTCTCTTGGATCGTTCAGGGTCCCTTTCTGGAGACTCGTTTCCGTCTTCCCTCTTGCGACGCCTTTCTCTGTCCTCATGATCATAGTAGCGACCCTGTTCATCCCGCCTATCGCCACGGTGGCGACGATCTCTCTCCCTGTGGTCCCTGTCTCTGTCTTTGTCTCTGTGAGACCTCTCGCGAGACCGGCTGCGCCTCTCTCTATCTCTGTAATCCCTCTCGCTGCCGCGGTCGCGACTTCTCCGTCGCCTTTCATCTATATCCCTGTCTCTTTCCCTATGGCGCTCTCGTCTGTCCCTCGAGTAGGACCGGTGAGAGCGCCTTGTGCGGTGGGTGTCCGTCGAGTGGTTCCGAGAGCTGTAGACCAGTGAATCATCACAGGTTGCATGCGACACAAGTTTACAAAAACGCACGACTTTCTATTCGGCGAAGTGTCGACGTCCATCCTACCGTTGGTGCTGGACATTGTGCCTCGCTCAAAGTGCGGTGGGTGGGGTGTCGGAGGAGCACAGCTAGCATGCGAAAACTTTCGAACTCAGCACAGCCACACAAGGCCACAATTTCTCAGCCCTGCGCACAATGTTCATCGAGCAGACATGCTGGCAAGGCGAGGAGCCCTTGTGTGCACAATTGCAGTGAGGACTCAGTCACCATGGAGGCTTGCAAAATTACAACTCTGTCGACAGTTTACATAGAACCTCCAGATGTAAGTTCCCAATATCCAACAAGTTCATATCAACTTTGAAGGTGGAAGCTACAGCAGTGACAATGCCTAGAAATTGTCTTTGTGTAACGCCATCATCCCAGCGTTGACTTCATCTCCCATCCGACTATTGTTTGGTGAGGCATAAAAGGGATCAACTTGACCTTCGACGTGAAAAAAGGGGATAATTTATCTTGTGGCTCGTGACCATACTAGGTGAAGTCATAGTGCAGTATCTGGGCCATGCCATCAGCTTTCCGAGGCCGGGAAAAATGAGACCACCCCTCACAATAGTAGTATTCGTCAATCAGGGGTACCCAGTCTTTCACTACTGCGCTTATCAGACTTAAACCTGGTACATGGGCTGCCTTTTCAACCAGCGACTCGAGTTTTGGCCTTGAATGGACAACATTCAGATAGCGCAAGCGGAAAGTACCTGTGACGCACCGTGTGTACAGCTCCCAGGCGGACCCCCTGAAGAGATACCAAACCAAGTCACGGTCCCTGCGTGCATATTCGTTTCCCTCGACAGACGCAGAGCATGAGGGCGCCCTCCGAAGATTGCGGGACAAAATGTCAATCCCAAGGGCAGTTAGGAGAGCGCGGTCTTTATGCCTGCTTGTGCTCAACATGGAGACTACGGTACATGGATCAGTTCAATAAGCGCCGCAGGTAGAAGCACGACCACACCGTATATTAGAGGCCTGGCGACGTATATGACCTCAGCCAGCCAGTCTTGGATGGATGCAAGTGGGGCAACAAGTTGAAGAGAAGGTCGGACGGACGAAGTGGTCAACGCCTTTGGAAGGAGATAATCTTCGATGGAAGAATCCGAGTGGCCGGGAGGAGGAGTCAGCATTAAAGAGCTGGGTTGTAATGGTACATGATTGTTCTTCAGATGGTCCGGCGTCGCAGGTGGAGAAGCAGGCGGAGTGGTCGGAACGAGAGTAGGGGAAGAATGGATTGAGGACGGCGGAAGGGAAGCAGGATCAAAGTAGCGCTCTGGAATAGCGGGCGAAACGAGGGGTCTGCGAGTTATCCTGAGCATAACGAGGCGGAGAATGACCCTGAAGAATGTAGTAATTAGCACAAGCCCATGCGGAGTAGCTGGAGATATATACTTGATACTCTCGATAACGACAACGCCTCTCCACCTGTTCTTCTCAGAGAACTTGCGCCGCATTCCCATCTCAACGAGAAGTTGGGTGAAGCGAACGAGCTCAAGTATCCTAGCAGTCCATTTGTATTTTCTGTCTTTCTCGCACCAGGCACGGGTGTACTTGGTGTGGAGAGGTAGGGGGAGAATGGGTTTCCGCTTCGTGTCGTTCTGAGCAATCTTAGCGAGCAACGTATCGTGATACAAGCTGGTTACATTGAGCAGGGCAGACACTGTTGTAGACCCTATTGCTTGAGAATACACGATGCGCATCAATGAGAATGTGACGAACAGGCTTCTGATGCAAGTTCAGCGTCTTTGAACCTTCCAGGCAAGAGCCAGGTGATGGACTTGAGAGTAGACTCCACCGAAGAGATGGTCGAAACGTTTTTGACCAGAAAGTCTTCATATCTCGCCAATGCCGACGACATGGGTATTGAGGGACGCTGAGGTGGTTGTCAGTATCAATTCTCACGTCCAATGTACCCAAATCGTAGTAGAGCAGTGCCGTAGTACTTTGTGTGTCTTCGCTGACAGTGTATCTCCCTTGGGAGGGACAATGGGACTGTCTTGTCGGCTAAAAGGTTATGGCAAGCAGCAACGAGGAAGGGACTCGTGGCTTGTCGCTTTTGTCCCAGACCTCAACCAAGTCTGATGCACGGAGAGCCGTCGCCCACTACCGTTTCCTTGCCCCCTCTTGACTACCTCCAGGCAAGTCCAGTCAGAGGACAGCTCGAGCCTCATGACGAGGTAACCAAAAAGTCGGGCTGGCGTTTTCTCCAGTGCACAGATACTCCCAACGAACTCAAGGTTCGTCCTGCTCCGTAACCAAATCATCCCTCATCTCATAGTAACCACACTCGTTTTAAAGGTACTACTCCCTCCCCGTACAGCCCAACTTTATGCCGTTCTTTTAAAGGCGGAGCTCAACGAACTCGCCAAGAAGCGTGATGCCTCTTGGGACCGCATCGTCGACATCCGGCGTCTCAAAGACCGCATGATAAGGAAATGCCAACGCCTCGCTCAAGCATACTCAGTCAATAACCAGGCTGCCCGTGTCCCATTTCTTACCCTCCACGCCCCACCCGACTTCCGGCTCAAAGAGATGGAAAAGTGGATTCGTTTTCAGGAGGGGTCGGATTCATTGTTCACGAAAAAAAATTCTCCAGATGGTGTCAAGTCGCGCCCTTCATTCTGTTGTGATCGCTGCGCCAATCTGGTTCCACACAATCATACCGTGTCACACCGTCGTGCTTCCTCGCACTCTGTGCATTCTCGTCGATCATCATCATCAGCGTCGGAATGGGCGCACTTGACCGGTCCTTCGGTCTCTAAACACGCGAAAGCCTCTAGAGGTAATCAAAACGAAGTCATAAGCAAATCGTCATCCAGTTCTGTCGCTCGACATGACTTCAGATCGCAAGAGAGCAGGACTCACGATGTGTACGTCCACGAGCACGACAGTGTTCGAGAATCAACTGGAGCAGGACATACCAACCGTCGAGAATTGAGCCTGGAAGAATTCCAAATCCATTCTTCCGATCATCGGAGCACTTCAGTCGAAGCGAGTATGCTGCTAGCGGAGACCAACCTGGAGCGGAAGAAACGCGATATGCATGTGATCCCTGAAGATCCTCATGAACACAGTGCTACTTCAAGCATTCGCTCCGCATCGGAGAGCCGCCACGACGTGGAGTCGACTGGTCGCCTGTCAATCGTCTCTCCAGATCCCGTTCCTATTCCATATAACGGGTCCTTATCGGCTGCCTTCAAAGACACGGTCACGAGTCCGGTGGACATGAATGACTCCCGTGATCAAGGAAGGCACTCTCCATTAAATGGTTCACAGTCTCCTCCCTCAGAGGAGGAACCTACGGATGCGGATGGCATGCCTCGTCCGGACGCCCTACGGAGACGAAGCAGCCTGAAACGCAGCAACTCTGAGTTGCGCATGAGTATGGCTTATTCAAGCAAGACGGTGTCCTGGGCCATGGATCGCGACTGGTCTCATCAAATATCCCAGTACCATGCTGCCGCTGAACAGGTGGGATATGTCGGTGGGTCATTCTTACTTCGCAATTTATGTTGTACTGAGCAACTTAACAGACCAGGAATGGGGGGTAATTCGTGACAAGTGCAAGGACGAGCTGGCAGGCCTGAAAGTCCTGCGACGTAGTGTCACAGAGACTTTATCCAAGCTAAAATTGGAGACTGAGAGATTGCAGCGTGAAGATGAAGTTATTCGCGACCAAGAAGAAAAGTTACGCGCGGGGTTCGAGCAACTGGAGCAAAAACATGTCCAGTATCAGACACAAGGTAGTGCTGTCATGTATGAAAATTGTCTCAAATGTTGACATCCTTTTTTTGAAATTAGTCAAGGCTGTTTTACATGAAACCGAGCAAGTACTTGCGCTTTGTGGTTCGAAGCGGAGCGGAGAGTCATGATGACCTTACTTCAATCCATAATTCCTTGTTAAGGCTTTCTCCATGTGATACCGCAACTGTATACCCTGACACAGTGCTTTCTATGTCTATGCAGTTCTGTAGATACGGTACATAATCCCATTGCACTAAATCAATTTTGATTGCCGCTGCCGCTTCGCTCGCACCCACCAGTATCGTACTAAAGCTACAAAGCCGCACTCCACAAAAACGACTACCGCAAGTACTACTCCAAACCAATAATAATCTCCAGATGGTATCGGATTGTTAACAGTATTGCGTGGGGTATGTATATTCATCGAAAAGGCTCCTTAGGTGGGTTTGAGAACGACAAGCTCCGTATAACATAACTACCAAATCGACATACCGATAATTGGTGCAGGAACCATCGCCCCAAAGCTGACGAGCGACAGAATCAGGATAGCTTTGTCAGAACCTGTTCTCGCATTTGATACATTCATCCGCAGCTGCGAGAGGTATATGGGATGCGATTGACTAAGAATATGCTCGTAATGAGAGAGAGCTTGCTGTAAAGCAAGAATGTGATCTAGAAACAATAAGCTAGGAAAGACCAAATTTGATTCAGAACAAGTACCATGGACATCACCCATATACATAGCAATTTCCACGTCATCACTTTGCACGACCGTTGTACCATTGAGGTACCTTTTACGAACCCGTGACAATACCTCAGACTTGGATGCCAGTAATCGAGTCAAAGACGTAACGAGTCGTCTGGTACGTGCAATACGCCTGAGGGTCGCTGTAGTAGCAGCCTGTGATGAGACGAATTTTGCCTTGGGAGTAGAGAAGACGCTGTTCAAGAAAAGATTAACTTTTTGCTTCAGGTAGCGGGAGGCTAAGGGGACCGCAAAACGAGGAGCTGAGAAGCGGGAACCCTCCCCAGCGATGATTTCAATCTTTTCAGAGCATGGAATGGATGATAACTCTACTTTCTCCTCTTCCACAGTGGTAGTGGAGGCGGTTGAGCTGCCAGCCGATGGGCTGCTAGCACATTCCCCGTTAGAAAATAGGATAGTTTCTACAGCAGCGACCTCCTTTTCGATCTCCCGCAGAATCGGGAAAAAGGAGTTCACCACTGAGTCCAACAAGCCATGAGCAATCCAGTCTGGTGATCTCTGTTCGTAATAATCACAATGATGTCAGAATTGGCACCAACCACTGGTCGTGTGAACATTGTCCTCGAGTAGCTCTATTCTGTTCCGTATACGCTCGATATGATCTATGGATTACAACTGTAAACCCATTCACTGGGTAACAGGGCCCGTCGGACTTACCGGATATGTCGGTGAAATGGAACTATTACAAGATTTAACAACAGATGATCGCGAAATGCCCGATTGACTAACCGTGCATATTCCATCCCGAAATACAACCAAGTATATGCTTGCTTCCCCAAGTAACCCTTCATCGCCTTGCCGTCCAAACGGCTCGCGAGTGATAGCATTGTCCGTGGCCCGGAACACGATAAATCGATAACCCAGCCTAGGGAATAACTCAAGCTTTTCTCGCATATCTCGTTGGAGAATATCCTCAAGCGTCAATGGATGCAAGTGGAGCAACTAACAGTATTTTATTGGTAACAGTCCCACTCCCGGAAATAATTAACAAACCTTGCCGATCGTGCGCAAGTCGTCCCAATTAGGGTTTGCAACGTCAAGCCACCAGGCCTTGGATGCCTTCTCCTTTGGAACAGGTGTAGGAGCTGGCATCGCCCTCTGTTTGCCCTTCGACGGTCGAACAGCTGTAACGTCCATCAACGAGACAGAACGACTGGGTCCTTCCGATTGCCCAGAGGGAACTGCAATTGTCAAAGGAAGACCGGTAGGGTAGTAGACCTTCTTGCCCTTCCTAGGTTGTGCAGCATTCTTCCGTGCCTTCTCGAGTCGACTGAGTATACGGGGCAGCGACATCCCACGAAATACAGCTTGTTGGGTATGCAGGGAAGGGAAAGCTGAGTTGTCACGGGTCATTTCTGGTGGTAAATACAGAGCAAATTCCCGTGGAACACGTCGCGACTCCCGTCGGGCCCGGACACGTGCACTCATGTCGAATTCAGAGGCAATTGTCGTGTCGAGAGAGACTGGTCGTCCCTTGCGTCGCCAACCATGGCGGCGGGAGTGAGTATAAGCAGAGGAGCGTTGAGTGTATAAAGAGATCGATGAACCAGAGGGCAACGAAGCCGGCAAGTATCTATGTGCCCAGCGGGAGATAGCATGCTCGACCACGGCCGCTAGAGCGCCTACACCTGATGCCGGGGACGAACCAGATGAGGACGTTGAGGAAAATGACGAGTGTATTGAATGGACATCCATTGGGCCAGAGATATGCTGGCGGTCCCCACGATAGATATCGTGGTTGGCTTCCTGGCTATCTGCAGCACCGAACGAGACGTGGGTGGCAGTCATAAGGAACAGAAACAGTGGGTTGGAATGACAGGGCGGCTCCACGATATTGCAGCGACATGGGCATATACATGTGTCAAGCACCACGCAGTGTACGTGCTAGTGTGTGAATGTTAACCTTTTTTGGGCGTCCAGTCCAACATCAAAGTACCTGTCGCTAAACAATAAGTAGATTCATGGTAATAAGTACAGATTGGCATGTATACAGCAGTACGGTCATATCGCCCCCTGCCAAAGGCCTTGCTATGAATGAACTAAATCCTGGCACGCCCTCAACATCGTCCCGACGTGACTTTCGTGAGTGAGCCGCGCTAGCCACCCATCAAGCCCAGAGTCAGTCACAGCCAGACTCTGTGTTCCATTACTACACATGTCTGTGGTGACCTTGGTTGTTTTAATCTGTTCATTTACCCCTTGCTCCAATTCCGCATGAACGCTGACAACACTCTTGGAAATTCTCCACTGGAAGTTGGTCGGGGCTTCACATTCAGGTTCTACGATCTTGCCTTTCTTGGGATCATAAGCCCAATCTCTTTTCATCCTCACTTCCAGAGGAAGGAGCCCGCAGACCAGAGATGGGTTATCTTGTATGCTCTTGACTAACTGCGGAACAAGATGGACTTGCTTGAGAACGGAAGGATGAACAGTTTCATGAGTAACCTCGTCGGTCTTGCTGGGAAGCTGGCGAGTGTGTTCCTTCGCGAGGGCAAAGATTCCAGTGCAAGGACTTTCCCGCCGTCAACAAGGGAATACGAATGTTAGTCTCTCGAAACACTCACTCATGGGGACGCTGTTGTCCCCAAGGCGCCACCGGGTCAGGAAGGGAAGCAACGTATTTAAAGTCCACAGACAACATGTCTTCGACGTTCGCCTTAAAAAATACCGTGTCAGTCTGTACACTGGACTGCATAGAAGCTGGGACAGACTATCATCCAGGTCAAAGTTAGGTCGGAAAGATCGTGCTCATGCCAACCACCTCCAATCTGCGTTGGGTACATCAGTGAACTACACGCAGTTACGAACGAAGTGCGCTGACATCAGAGTGTGATCCTACCAAACAGAATCACTGTGATCTGGGGTTCCGGGTGGTAGGGTAGCACTTACCAGCGAACCAACACTGCGAAGAATGTCAAACCGTAAAGTACCATATACGACCTTTTAACTCCTCACCTGCTTTAGAACTTGCCCCTTCCTGCGACCACTCTCAGTCTGTTCAAACTTGGTGCAGTCCTTCCCGGTGTCCACTAGAAATTAGCAGTGGTCTAATCTAACAAGGAACGCACATACGAAGTCAACTCTAGTCTCGTTGATGGCGAGTGCTTGATATGCTCGCTCAATATGATCTCCAAGCCTTGTGTTTGGGAATCCAAAAATGGACGTAGTCGAAGGGGACTTATGTGTGATCTCTTCTGGCAAGCCAACGGAACCGACGGTGTCAAACACACCGACACACCTATCAAGGACTGGAAGCGAGACACCCCAACATGATGTTTGGAGACTCACTTGATTGAGGTATTACTCGCAAGTTTCGTCCTTCCTTTTCCGTCAAATGCAGGGGAGTCCCAGGGTTCGAGCTGTGCCTTCAGTCTCGCAATCTCTGCAAAGGTTCTTAATAGTGACTCTGCCCCTCGTAACGGTTGAACAAACCAGCCGCGTCTGTGGTTCTTCCTAATTTCTGACAAGTAACGAATATCTCTCCAAAATGGTCCATGTTGGTCTTGTCCAACAGGCCGATGACGCCCTGTCACCAAGAGTTGAGTAGATAGGTGGTATCAGCAATGTTAGTCACCTACAATTAACATGGCGACCATTCTGGCCGTATACGCTCCCTGGTCGCGTCAATAATGAGTAACAATAGCTTGTGTTCTATCAAACGCACCCTTGAGAAGCCAAAGAGGAAAATCTTGGTGAACGTTAATTGAATATTTTCGTGCAGACATAAAATTCGCACCTCGTCCCCGGGAGAGTAATTTCTGAGAACACAGGCCGGGTGAGTTTAAGACTGTAGGTGGCACCTTCCATGACTTACTGTGCGACGAACGCATATGCTTCCTGGATTTTTTCTCCTGTACATTTAGCATCCATGTAATCAGATACGTAGTGAACTATCAAATTTGAGTTACCAAGTGAGGAACCCGTTGCTCCTGGCGGTCTCGACGTAAGCGAACGCCCCATGGAGTCATTTTAGAACGATCAATTACCTTGCACGTATTCGGAGTAGAAATTAGGCGAGCTTCCTATCCCATTTTGATAGAACACGATTTGGGGTACGGGGACCTCTCTACCGTTTTCGATGAGTAGTAGGCTCAGGGGCTCGAAAATCCACGGACCCTCGCACATCGACATTGTTCAGTGCTCGGGACAGTTTCTGCAGATCTCCTCGTAAGCATTCCAAAAACAAGGGTGGCGTCCAAGGCACGGACAAGGATGTTGGTATACTTCCAGCGTTCCTTGACTATTATACCGTCTTGCCACGTTCTATAGAATTCGCGAATCACAACATAAGACTTAGACGAAGATGAGGATGGAATACTAGCCCATCGCAGCAAACAACGATTCTCTTCTTGATGCTGTTGGTCATGGTAAACGGATTTGCGATGGTCGTTGGATACTAGACACGATATGAGGTGGAGGGGTTGCCAGGACATGATGAAACGACTGAAGTCATTAATATATGCATAAACAGCCACCGAAATCCACACCGCGTGTGGAACGCAATGTCAGCATCGCGCAGCATGGCACTCAGCCAAATGCTGACGCAGTACTGAGTGATCGATTGATCTCCCGGCATTCCGAATATAATGCGTTCCTGTTCCCGCCCCTCCTTTGGCGCCAATATTGAGAAACACGTTGGTGTGTAAATATAGAACTTGTACTCACACATGTAGTCGGAAAGGGGGCAACCCAGAGCCGACCAGAGCATGTGTAGTCCACGACCACTGCCACACGAGCGTTCGGCTTGGAGGTTCATCTGATGGGCCTCGCCGAGATCATGGAAAGCACTGTTGATGTATTTATAGTGTCCGCGGTTTCATTAGTGATACAGCAAATTAAAATGTAAGCTGTAAACTGCTGTACCACTACTATCGTCCTAAACGAAACTGTGCATCGGCATATTCATCCAACGCGCGACGAAAAGCTGTTTCAGATATGAGCATAGGAGTACATGGTGACTCGGCATCTGGTAGTTTGGACTCTCCCAGGTCTTCTGGACGAGTGTAACTAGGGACGAGCAAGGTTAGATGACTGTCGGTGGGAGAGTCGCAAAGGGAGGTCCTCACTCGAATTCTGTAAGCATAATTTGCCAGGGTGGGAATCCATGTATCTCTAGGGGTGGTGCCGGTGACTTAGTTTTTCCAATGCTGTGAACAATCATAAGGTCCGGTGGCGGCAAGAAACCTTTGCAACGTGAAGTCATCAGCAGTGCTTTACCACGTTATGAAACCCACCTTCTAACAACGGTCCAAGTTCAGAGGATGACAGTTGAAACACACGGTTCTCTGGTGGCACACCCCCTGCTGCGCCCCTGTTTTGCACATAACCCTTCAGTAATGAGCGGGCTGCACATGCGATGGCGGGTTTCCCTGAACTACGCGATGCCATATGAATAGTGAGACTGTTCAACCGTGAGGTCGAATCTTCTATGATCTGTGATGAGAAGTAGTTGGAGGGAGCACGCCGCCAAGGCTCACTTTTTGGGCGTCGGCGAACAGCAACGTGTCTTCGCTTGTGCAAACGTCCGCTAAAGGGCGTCTTGAACGTGATCACAGCAAGTCCTTGATGTAACTTGGCAGACTCGGGTGACTGGCTTCTCGAAATAGAAGGCTCTGACAGTGGAGGGGTCAGGGGGTATTCCACCTCTGACTCACAACTGTCTTCACCCGGCATCTCCAGCTGAGAAATGCACTCGCGCACACTCTCTTGGCACCAGACAAGGACACCTGATAGGGAAGCTCGTTGCAACAAGGTAAGCTAGAACCAAGTGGATACGCACCGTCGCGATCGTAAACTGTAAGCACTGCAATACCTACCTCTCTACACCATCTTGTGGTTCTCTGGAGACACTCGAGGAAAGCTGCTTCAACCTCTTCTGAGGTGAATTCATTGCTGCCCACCAAATTCAAGCAGAGGTGCATCGGAACCTTGTTGCGATGGACGTTTGGCGCAGACGGCTGTTGCTGCCTCCACTTCTGCATCTGAGCTAGTACCGCGACCGCTACGACATAGAAGCTGTGGACAAGACGCAGGGTCCAGTGAGGGGGCATCGGAGACACATAAAAAGTCAGTTGCTTGGAGACGTTCCCCCCATAATGTATGTGTTAAGGTCACGTGACGGCGTATTGCGTGTCCACGTCGTCCACTGCGGATTTCTGAGCCTTTTGCACTGTCCAGGGGAACGTAGGTATGTAGTAGTTACAAATGACTAGCATTGTTGGTCAACTAGAGAATAGTTGGTTCTGATTCGATAGTTCTCTTAATCTTTAGTAAAATGGAAGTTTTCCAATTATCCAGCTTCGTGACTTGGTCATATTCCACTACACATCCAGTGAATGCTTGCTGATCGTCAGCTTGGATAGCGTCGATTATAGCATTGACAAATTTGCACTCGCGGGTGGACGCGAAAGTAGGATCTTGTGCCATATACTTCTGAATGTTACGCTTCGCGGTAATGGAATCCTAGGAAAAGTCAGTAAAGAACGGGGGTAGACGCGGCGGAAGCAATACGACCTTCATGGCAAGCGCACAAAGACAGGCCTTCAACCAATAGTCCTTGACACTGTACTTCGTGAGCGCCGACGTAAGGGATTGGTCTGCTACTTGTTCATAACGTTGAATGGCTGCGGGATACTCCTCGAGCTCGGCATGCAAATCCGCAGCGTCTTTAAAACATGCGTTCGCAGTGCTGGCGTGGATGAAGCTGAGGATATTCGACGACATGAGAGTAAAAGGACACGAACGCAGTTGCATCTTCTTGAGCATACCAATCCGCCGCACGCTCGAGACTGTCGCATGCCCTCCGAAGATCACTCAGTTCATGCTGATATATCTGGGCGATCTCTTTCTCTCTGTCTGCGGCCTGTCGAAAACGACCGGACGAGGTCAAGTGTGTAACGGTCTGTCCTAATGCTTGGACAGCCACTGTGGATGTCAAAATTGAGTTGCATGGCCCTGATCTACAAAACGAACAGTGGGCGTACAACCAGGATGACCTCTCTTGTACGCTTTGGCAGCATTCCACCACGCATTTGCAGCTTCGTTGATTTCCTTGCACTTCTCCCTGCACTCAGCTTCCCTTGCATACGCATCACCAGCCTCCCTGAATTGCTTCTCCAGCTTGAAAGCGTTTGCAGCCTGCTGGTAGAGATCGCCGGCTTCCTCAAACTTCGTAGACGTTGAGCTGAACCATCCAGTAGAAGAATTAGCTTTCTTGTCGGCCCTCTCCAGCAGCGTCTGAGCAGGAGATTTTGATGGCATGGTGGCTCCTAGCACGTCACATAAAGTCGGCAGTCAGTGAATTAGTCTTGGGAGTCACGTGACTATGCTACGGATAACAATATTCAATCGCGACGCCAATAATTGCCTCGACTATTGTTGAAATGTCCCTCCCAGTCAACGACATCCGCAGGCTATCAGAACTCCACCCCAAACCACAGCATATCAACTATCAGTATGGGACCGCAGGATTTAGGACTTTGTGCGTCCTTTATCGTACCATCCAGAAATCAGCTTATCCGCCCATCCATCAGGGGCAAGGTACTCGACTCAGTGCTCTTTAGAGTCGGAATCCTAGCGGCTCTCAGGAGCAAGAAGTTGGATGGAAAAACTATCGGTGTAATGGTCACCGCCTCTCACAATCCTGAACCAGTAAGCATGTCCATCATGTTGGGTGCGCGAGATTACGCATCACCCGACTGCGCAGGATAACGGGGTCAAGCTGGTCGACCCCCGAGGCGAAATGTTAGAAAGCTCCTGGGAGTCTCATGCCACGGTTCTCGCAAATACGCCATCGACCGATGAGTTTATTTCCGCGCTCCAGGATTTCGTCAAAACGACCAAAATAGACATTTCCAAACCTGCCAGAGTAGTATACGCCCGCGATACGCGCCCATCTGGCCCTGCGCTGGTGGCCGCCCTTGAAGATGGTTTGAAAGCCATGAGCGCGGAGGGTAGGAATGCCGGCGTTACTACGACCCCCATCCTTCATTATCTGGTCAGAACAATCAATACCAAAGGAAGTAAGGAGTCTTACGGGACCGACACCGAGGAAGGATATTACACCAAGCTCAGCAGTGCCTTTAACAAGCTCATGGTACGTGCAAGCATAATAGATGGGACCTACCGTAACGTGGAAATGAAATGACAGGTCGGAAGGCCACCACGACCTCCGCTCGTCATCGACTGCGCGAACGGCGTCGGTGCTCTTGCTGCGCGGGCCCTCAGCCGGTACCTTGTGAATTCTTTACCTGTTGAACTGGAGAACACTGCAATCGATACCCCAGGAGCACTAAACAACTCATGCGGAGCTGATTTTGTCAAGGTGAACCAGAAACTCCCACCCTCTCTCACAGATGTGTTGGGGCCCTGCCAACGGGGGTGTAGCTTGGATGGAGATGCGGATCGACTTATCTATTTCTATCTCGATGAGCACCGCGAATTCCACATGCTTGACGGGGATAAAATCACCACCCTTGTGGCCAGCTTCATCGTTGAACTCGTGAAAACCGTTGGCTTAAGCGAAAAATTGAAAGTCGGCGTCGTACAAACTGCGTATGCCAATGGAAGTTCCACGAAGTACCTTTCCGAGGTGTGTGGGGAGTGTGATATAATCGGACATTGTCTGAATTATCCCCCACAGAGGTTACCTGTCAAATGCGTTCCAACGGGGGTGAAACACTTGCACCACGCAGCGGAGCAGTATGACATCGGGGTGTACTTCGAGGCAAATGGCCACGGCACTGTGGTGTTCTCTCAACCAGCGCAAGATTTAATCTTCTCTCATCAACCATCCACCCCTACGCAGTTGACAGCACTGACGCACCTGCAAAACATTTTGAACGTTATTAATCAGACTGTCGGAGACGCCCTTTCTGACATGTTACTCGTCGAAGTTGTACTCGCTCACAAGTCCTACGGAGGAGCTGAGTGGGATTCTCTGTACACTGACTTGCCGAACAGGTTGGTGAAGGTTGTGGTTCCAGATAGGAACATCTTCAAGACCGTAGATGCGGAGCGTCGTTTGGTTAGCCCAGGGGCTTTGCAGAACAAGATCGACGAGTTGGTCACGAAGTATTCCGAAGGGCGATCATTTGTTCGGCCTAGTGGGACGGAAGATGTTGTCAGAGTTTACGCGGAAGCGACTACGAGGCGACAGACAGATGGTATAGCGGAGACTACTGGAACGCCAACCACCAGAACTGACGTTTTTCGCTGTAGATCTTGCATTCCGCGTAGCGGGATTGGTGTATGACGAAGCTGGTGGTGATCGGTCTCAGCGACCTAAAGAATTTTTGTGACGAGGAACGGAATTTGTGTGCTCTTACTGTACCCTGTAATACCGCAAAGTTGCAATGACGACATGGCGTGCCCTTCGGCAACTGCCGGGACAAGGCTGCTGCCGCCAGCCGCTTATATTGCGACTGGTCGTGGTGGTTGGTCGCAATCCTCGCGCAAGTGGGTGTAGGTTTGCAAGTAGAACATCAGCTGTATTTGACTGTCCCCTCACACCTCCCACTGCCTTCCTCGTAACTTCTGAGAACTTTGACAGCCACGGTAGTTGCCTATGTGCCGCTTCGTCATCTACAAGGGTACCTCCCCCGTACAATTATCCCATGTGAGTGAAATCTCTGAAACTGAAGTTGTACGCGTGCAGGGCGGAGTTTCTGACTCGCATTTCCCAGCTTTTGACTCGGCCGTGCCATTCCATCATCAATCAGGCATTTGACTCCCGGCTACGCTTAGACCGCCGGAGACCCATAAACGGAGACGGCTTTGGTGTCGGTGTGTCTCTCTCCGTTTTCGAACGCACTAGCAGGTGTCTAACCGGATGTCACTTAAGGTTGGTATGACACAGTATACGACGAGGAGCTAGGTAGTCAGCCCTGCATATTCACTTCGGTGACTCCGGTCAGTTTACCACTGCTTCGGACGATATAATTTCGCCCGAGCCATTTCTCAATAGGCATGGAACAACGCTAATCTTATCCGGCTCGCCGAGAAGATCAAATCTCCCCTTGTATTGTGCGTCGGCCCCCTGGGTGCATTCCGGCAGTCACTTATCTTCACTCACCGGCATAGTGGGCACGTAAGAGCCACTACGGCTGGATCACTATCTCTAGATAATTGCCACCCATTTGTGTTTGGAAAGATTATGGTGCGCAACTGTTTCCACACCTTCCTATGAACTTGTGCGCAGTAAATCGCAGTTCATGCATAACGGGGGAATCGCAGATTTCCATCTCATAAAGCGGAAGCTGCAGTCGGGCCTATCTGACGAAGTTTTCAATACAGTGCAGGGGAATACAGGTTAGACTATCGTTATTGCACCAACCCGCACACGATTACTCACCCTTGTCAGACTCGGAATGGGCCTTCGCACTGTTTTTGTCTAAGGTAGTCAAGAGGGCTTCCTTGTGGAAATTCAAGGCTGATTTGTTGTCAGCTTCCCAACCCTCATGCCAAATCGTTCACGCCGCAGGTGCTACAGCAAGCCATGCTCAACACGATCTCAGCTCTTAACAGCTACGCTGAAGAGGCTGGTATCACCGAGGTATGTGAATTCGCTTGCGAATGACTTGTCAGTGCACCTTCCGAAGCCCAGCCTTATGAACTTCTGCGTAACCGATGGCGAAAGTGTGGTGGCCACGCGATATATTTCGTCCCGCCAGGACGAAGCTGCTTCTTTGGTAATCAGAATTAGAACTTCGTCGACACTATTTCCTCGTTGATGGCATCTACAGTGGTTCTCTTCTGGGACTACCTTCAGTGAATATATGACGGGAGGCCATTATAAAATGACCAAGGCTGATAAGCGTGAAAACATTATCATGGTCGGTGTTATGATTTGAGTGCCACCTGGGAATACTAACCGTTTATCAGATTGCAAGCGAGCCGCTGACATTCGAGAAAGGTAAATGTCAGGGCAAAAACCTGATGCAAGCGCTCTACTGACACAGCAGCGTAAGCTGATTGGATGGAAATACGGACGAATAACATGGTGGTCATCACACCCAAGATGAACTTTCTGCAAATACCGATCATTGACAAGTTCTACGTCTCACCTTCCGATCCGGCGGCACTTAACAGGGGAACGGACTTCGCCGCCGCCAAAGGTCTCCTCAGTCCCCGGAATTCCCTCGCCCCCGTGCAAGGCAGAGAACCTGCACCTCAGATAGTTATATAGTCTCAGTACTTCGTACCTCGTGTGGTTCGTGGCTGAAGTCTGTACCTTTGAAGACTTCGCTTTCCTTTTGCATTCCCGAGAGGTGTACTTTTTAGAATTGTAAATAAATACGACTTGCGGAGAAACTCACCCCGAGGACCCACGTTCAGCCACTGCTAGTGGTTAGTCCGCCTGCGTGTCAAGTTGCCTGTGGCCCTGAACATCATGAATCCTTGGTTGTTGTGGTCTGCACTATCGCACACGGCGAGGTTCGTATGCCCGTCTCTCCAAACGTTTTACCAGCTTACCATGCCACAGGCTCTCAACTGTGCTGCAAATCCTACTATACCTTCCACTGACGCTTGCAACGCTCTCTACTTCAGCCTTTCTTCTTCTTTCTCTCCTGCTGTCGATACATTCACTTATCCATGGAACGCTCATTCTTTTGTGGGGGTCGTCGGCTTTATCTGTGCTGCAAGTCCCCATGCACCCATTCCTCTTACTCGTCTCTTTCAACGCGTTTGCACAAATCACACATCCGTTGCTCGCAACTGCGACCAGGTGGTGGGGGAAATTCCTGACATTTTCAGGGCCTTCTTTCGTTGCTTTGGAAGGTCTATCGAGCCTGCTGGTTGCGCAAAAGGTTGGCCAGGTTGGGAAAGCACTAGCCGATGAGGCCGAGAGTTACCAGTTAGCTATACTTCTTGCTTCAGCAGCTGCCTATGTGATGGCTTTCTGGTGGATTGTCGTGGTCTGTGGATGACACGTTCGTTGGTCCGGTTGTGCACTGATGATCATCTGCTCAGGCGTATCCAGCTGCAGCAACTTCGCCGCTTTCATCTACGTTATTGGGCGTGGCATTGACAGCTTTCTTGTTTTTGACTGTCATTGGTTTCCGGCTTCGACGAACAAATATCGTGGAGTCAGCGATGCTCTCTCTCTTTCTCGCATATAACGTTTGGCTCTGCGGTTTCGATCAAACGTCGTTCACGGATCCCGCATCTTCTTAGTGCGTGAAAGCTCGTGTCGCCTCCGCTCACTTCTCACTTTGGTTTTAAGTGCGCCATTACTCTCTAATATTCTACCACACCTGCAGACACTGGTGAACTTTATTACCAATACCCTGCCAAAGCCGGTGCTCGCCGCACTAGTCTACAGGCTCGCAATTCTTCAGCTTGCTTCTCGCATACTTCCCACTATCGGAGCGGATGCGTGGGAGGCCGACGAGTCTGGTGATGGGTGGGATGGACGACCGGTAATTAACAATTGCGTTTGCGGTTTGCAGTCCCAACGATTTATGCTCGCCATATCTGTCAGACATCCATCATGACTCGCATACTACTGACATACAGACAGTCAATTTTTGTCATGGTATATTCCCACTTGCTACGTGAGTGGTTCGACCTCTGCAGATGCAAACTGCTCTCATGAAATTCTTACTAGTTCTCGATCCTGCTTCTCAGGTTTGGTGGCGCTGGGCGAATATCATGTTCACCCTCTTTTTGTGGTCTGTTGAACTAACCGTCAGCCCGGACGGGGATGACGTCTCTGTGAAATGGAAGGTAGAGTAGGTTTTACGGAGACGGTTGGGTGTGTAATATGGCACTACACGCTCACTGCGTTAGGAGTAGTTTGCTTTCCACACCGCCTTTTCCTCGTCCTCCCCTTGGTAGTATTCCCTCTTCCAGATCTGCGCTTTCTGCTTCACACCTTCGAGTATCTGTTCGCATGCCACGAATGCCTCTTGGCGGTGGGGTGAGGACACGGCAATTACTATGGATGCCTCCCCCACAGGCACCGCTCCTAGCCGATGGTGAACGGCGGAGGATATCACATGGGACGTGGAGGTCGAGTTACTCGCCCGCCTGACCGAATCGTCGTGTGCGTTTCGGACAACCTCTGCCACTGTTTTTATGGCAAGCTTGCTGTAAGCTTGGTACTCCAGTCGTGCCACGACCTTGCCTGTATGTCATGTCTCGGTTTGAAGTTGATGGATTGTAGATAAATAATGGTCGTGCCTTTGAAAGTGTTACGAGTGGTCCCGACGAAGACCACGGTCGCACCAGCACCATCATCTTCCACTGAGCGTGTGATGGACTGGACGTCCAGCTCGTCATAAGTCAACACGCAGACGTTTCTTCCCCATTCTTCCCTTGATGCGACGGACGTACTTGGAGTCGACGTAGGCATCTGAATCGTATGGGTCCCAAGACGTCAAGATCACTTTTATGTAGTTGTTGCCCCTGATTGCTAGCAATTACCGCACTCCGGGTTTAAGCGGACGTCTTCATGTCACCATTCCCGTTCAAGATGCCAATTGGCAGTTGCACAGTATCAAGTGCCCTGAGGAGGGTGTCCCTCAGTCACGAAACACATCCATGCAGAAGATTCCTGACGTCTCAATTTCGCAGTCTTCAGGAAACTGGAGCACCAGTTGACATCCATCCCGAGGTGGAAGAGGCACTTAGCCATAACAAACCGGTAGTAGCCCTCGAGTCCACCATCATCACTCATGGAATGCCATACCCCACTTCTATCGACATGGCACGGTCGGTGGAGAATACCGTCAGGTCTACAGGGTGTATCCCTGCAACCATAGGAATTATAGATGGTCGCGTAAAGATCGGTTTAGAGCCTAGTCAACTTGAACGGCTGGCAAGCCGCAGCGGTAACCCGTTGAAAATATCCAGGCGAGACATAAGTGCTGCCATCGTATCCGAGAGGGATGGCGGCACTACCTGTAGTTCAACTCTCATATTTGCTGCACTGGCTGGAATTAGGGTGAGTTGCCCTCTTGTTTATTCCTGGACATCCTTTCCCTTACTGCAACTGCCAATACAGGTCTTTGCCACTGGAGGGTAAGCTTTTGCGGGTGCTCTTGATACCAATGTCACACTGACAACATAGTCCAGTCTGGGTGGCGTGCATCGAGGAGGAGAGAATAGTCTGTATCACTAAATTTGATCATCCCCTCGGAACTCATAATTCAACAGCATTGGATGTCTCGGCCGACTTGCACGAGCTCACTCGTTGTTCTGTAGGACTGGTGTGTGCCGGGGTCAAATCAATACTGGATATTGGGAGGTGAATTGGTCAGACCCCGTAATTGTTTGTTAAGACTAACCAATCTTGTGGTGTTGCAGGACACTTGAATACCTTGTCAGTTGTTCGTCAGCGTCATGCCCACCAGATCTTTAGCGTAACGGTGTTGCCTTCAATAGGAAACACTTGGGGTGCCGGTTATATCCTATAGAGAAACCAAAGACTTTCCTGCGTTCTATAGTCGGAAAAGTGGCCACCAGGTGGAGGATCTCACACAACGTTGGCTATCTCAACTGACTCAGGTTGAACAGGCGCCATGGAATGTCACCAATGCTATTGATGCAGCTCGAGTACTTTGTAAGGAAGAACAATTGTCCTTATTTCTTTACTGATCTTCCTAACATAGACACACATCGGCAATTAGGAATGACAAATGGAGCACTATTCGCGGTTCCAATCCCCGAGAAGTATGAAGCCAATGGTGCTGTCATACAGGAGGCCGTAGAGCTTGCAGTGCGTGAGTCGGAGGAGTCTGGAATATCAAAGCTTGGGAAAGAGGTTACACCCTGGCTGCTTAAACGTGTGGGTGAGCTCACACAAGGGAGATCATTGGAAAGCAGTAAGTTGTCTCCCGAACTAATCTGCCTGTGAAATCTGACCAGTGCCTAGACGTTGCTTTAGTTCGGAACACTGCTTTAATTGGTAATATCCTTCATGTGTATCAGCATAAACTACCACCAACTGCTTGTCAGGCGGACAGATTGCACGAGAATACGCCAACCTAGCCTGGGAAAATGAGCAAACTGACGTACGTTCCCTGCCGTCAGTGCCCATCGTGATGCTCAATATATCTAGCTTCGTTATCCCGGTTTCCAACCAAGCTCCTCTTCTGCCCGAAGTTGTGTCCAAAACGTGTGCAATACGACGGGCGAGATACACACCGGACCCTCGGAGGCTTTGAATGATGAAAAGGCATCTATAGTAGTGGTCGGATGTGCTGCTGTGGATATTACATCGAAAGTCCAGCAGACACCGACTTTCTCACAGAAGACCACCCACCCGGGAAAACTCACTTTAACTCTCGGGGGTGTGGCTCGTAATATCGCAGAAGCCGCACACAGGGTTTTGGCTGGGTCCAAAAACCAAAATGCCGCCACTCTTCTTATGGCACCGGTTGGCGAGGATATCTTTGGTAGACTCATTACGGATTTGACACGATCCATGGGCATGAGAACAGATGGATTATCATTAGTTCCAGGTCAGCAAAGTGCCGTTTGCAATGTTCTTCTTGACGCTCAAGGGGGACTTGAGACCGGTATCGCGGATATGGATCTTTCACAATTGTGGAAAGGGTCGGAGGTAAGCTCAACCATACTCCGAGCACCTAAAATAATCACAACTTCGTCAAGGTTTTCTCAGTCTTGCGTCATCACCGTCCGCGGCTTCTTGTTCTTGATGGTAACATTTCTTCAGAAACAATGAGTGCGGTCGTCGCCGAAGCTACAACATCTAACATCGAAGGTGAGATTTTCTAGCGCACATATACGGAGGAAGGCTGACTCCCGACAGTCTTTTTGTCAGTGCTACTTATTTTGCAGTGTTCGTCTTTTATTCACTCTTTCCAGCGAGCCTACTTCTGTCACAAAATCCACCCGAATTCTTCCAGCGATAGCCGCTAACCTCGGTCGGACGCCACGATCCCTCATCTCATACGCCTCCCCTAACCTCCTGGAACTCGGCCACTTGTATGAGGAAGCACGTACTACATTCGACCTCATGTCCCACGACCACTGGTGGCGAGTCATCGACGGTTTTTCCCTGGGTTCTAGCTTCCGAATGGAACTAGACCAATTAGGAAGAGCGCCAGTCTCCGATAAAGCTCCCGAACTGGGCGACTTATCTTTCCTTGTCAACAAGGGCGTTGTTCAAATGGCTATCAACCTCTTGCCCTTCTTTCAGCACCTCGTAATCAAGTGCGGGGAACATGGGGTAGTAGTCGTAATGCGACTTGGGGACGCAAACGTTGGCAATTGGTCGATGGAGCGCAGCAATCTGCAAGGCAGATATATTGTTGCTCACTCGCAAGTTTCAGCCGAAACAATTGTCGTACAACATTTCCCCCCAATACATATTCCGCCAGGCACAGTGGTGAATACCACTGGGGCAGGGGATACATTGGTCGGGACACTGCTGGCAATGCTGGTCCGAAACCCCAAAACGTTCCTGGACGTCGTGGCTCTAAGGAATGCCATAGATATTTCTCAGCAGGCTGCCACATTGACACTGCAGAGTTCCTCTGCAGTATCCCCATTACTTTCATCGCTATCAATGCAACCTCTGCAGTGACTTCCCTTACATCTCCCAAACGTGTAATGTACTCAGAGGGGTCCCACTCGAACGAGCTCGCGCTTCTTCCGCTCGTCCTCCTTCTCTGCGATGAGAGACTGCTTGCGCGCCTCCTTAGCTTTCTTTTCATAGTATGCCTACGATAATGTAAGACATCAATTTCCGGATCAGGATTGAAAACCGGCACCTGAGCACCGTGGCGTAATCTGGTGATTATATTTGCTGCCTCCCCTTTAGAGAGAGTTTCGAGTTTTTGTATGGTATCATCGCGACATTTCCCCCATCTCTTGAGGATTACTGTCTTCTGACTCGGTGATGCGGGCGCCTTGCGCCATGGCGCGGTCCGAAGCAGACTACGGAATGAGAGACAGAAGGATATGGAGCTAAGTGCGTTACCTGATACTCTGACCGCCCGGTAGCACTTTCCGGGCTACGTACGTGTCACAACCCTTGAAAATGTTACTCAGAGAATCCGATGTCATGATGACCCTCTTTCGCATGTATGGTGATAGCTTCATAGCTCTTGCAGAGGATCCATCCATAGTCGCCTCCGTGAACGTTGCTCGATATCGAGCAGGGTCCCCTATAAAACAAGTAGAGAAAACAAAATAGAGCAGCACACGCAAATAGTTTTTACCTTCTGCGACGAAAGGTTCTATGCGTACGTATCCCCTGCCGAGACATTCCAGGACGTAGACATCACCTCCACACCCTACCCACGCATTGGAAGTCAATTTCAAGACGTGGGGCGCCCCAGAGAAATTGTCCACAAATGCAAAAGGATCCTCGTAGTCGATATAAGTTACAGACTTTGGATCAGGTAGCTCGGTGTTGATACTGCTCGATTCGATGATGGCATCGCTGGTACTGGAGGATTTGGTGCTAGCTTCCAATTCACTGAGACTTTTATCTGGTCCGGATGCTAGGTCAAAACAGAAGAACTTCGAAGGGAAAAAAGGCTCACCATCTATGACTTCTGCAGGGTCGAGACCAAACAACGTCGGTGTTGAGAACACCCCTGGGATACGGTTCCTGGTATCGATGAAGTCAATGATGCGACAATCGACTTTGCCAGTCGTGGGAGATTGTCTCAAACCTCTGCCGATCTGCAGACTCAATGCATCGCGTGCTTGGAACAAACATCAAACACACCATCTGAGCAAAGAGATTCCGTGAACGAGTCGGACGTGCGATGACCACGCAATCTATGTTAGGGATATCCGCGCCCTCTGTGAGGATTGCTATTTGGCATGGTGCCAATAAGCCCCCTGGAGGAAAGGTAAACAACTTGACAAACCACAATTAATGAGGACAGGGTATAGGCCAGCTTTGAAATCTGTGATCAAGGCTTGTCGCTCTTGGGGCGGCGTGCCTGCATGGACGTAATGAGCTTCAATCCCGAAATCTCGAAAGGTCTGTGTTAGGCGCCGAACGTGATCACGGTTAACGCAGAAAACTAGGGTGGATTTGCGGTCCCCTGTTTTCCCAAGTTAATACATACATAGGATACGACACGTGTATGACAGACCTGCACGATCCATCCATACTCGCACGACCAGGTTGTTGACTGTGTCTGTGCTGACCACATGGGCGAGACTAGATGCATTAAAGTCACCAGTCTTCGTGTTGATAGTTACATCTCGCAAGTCGATGTTCGCATGTACGGTGGTGAACCTGACGTCGCAGAGCCTAGTACATCGACTGAGCATACTTTACGCTCGGAATTGAGCCAGACATACCACTGTTCCTTGATCATCTGCAGGAAGTCATGGTGATACACAATCTCTTGAAAAACCGAGCCGAGAGCAAGTCCGTCGTGGCGACTGAATGTAGCTGAAAAGCCAATGACCGGGATTGGGTGTGGCGGAATAGACTTCGGGAACGTTCCCCCAGGGTTCTTGATGGCCATGTCAAAATGGGACAATATCCGACGATAACTGTTAGAGGACGGTGGTCAATATCTATTATGTGAGCAGGACAACGGTATTACGAGAGGGCAGCGGCATGGTGGGCTTCGTCGACGACGATGGCCTTGAGAGTTTCCGGTCGAAACTTTTCTAACCGCTGCGGCTGGAGGAGTGTCTGAATGGTCGCGACGGTGCTGGGATAATTTGAGTGGTGGGTATCGGTGTGCACGGTCTCAAGGCCTACACGTCTGCCAATCCCGATGCTCTGTGTTTGGCACCCTGTTCAATTTCTACTCGCCAATCGGGGAACAAACGTGCTGCCTGGACAGCTGCCTGGCGAGCGAGCTCGATGCTGTTGACAATGATGAGGGACTTGGCGGCGGAGGGGGACTGTTCTGGCGGGGCAATTCGTGAGAGGAGAGTGAGGAACACCGTCGTCTTCCCAGCGCCAGTGGGCAACGACACGCCAATGCGACGCCTACCAGCTGCGAGTGCAGCCCGACATGCCTCCAAGCAAGCCTCCTGGTAGGGCCGCAACCTAATCATATATGGATGTCACGATCGACGCGCCCCCAACGATCGGTCGTAAGTACCATAGCTTGCCAGTGTACCCACCTTGTCGCTCACAGTTTGGTTGCTCTGAGGTCACTCAGTTTACGGGGTTTGGCCAGTAAGTCATGCATTCGGTATAGTAGTGTACGCATGCAGCATGAACTGTCCATACTCGACAGCCAATACCAGAGATTAAGGGAATAAGACATTCTATGGAGATATAAAATGGAGAGGGGACCACAAATGCTCAGCCAGAGCCACCGGAGTAGACCTTGCCGAACATCACCTGCTGGAGCTTGTCGTAGAGCGAAAGCACACCAGCACCAGCGACACCACGGAGAATATTGGCACCAGCACCCTTGAATAGTGACTTCACACCCTCCTTTTGGATGATTTGCGAACCAGCGTCAAACATGGACTTGTAGTGAACACCAGCACCCGAAGTCATCATCATACGACGACTGTCCCATAGTTAGCAGCAAGTAGTGATCCACTGCACAAAGCACGTACCGAATGGTGTCAAGAGGATACGACGCAAGACCAGCACCAATAGTGACACCCCAACCAAGGAAGAAGGATGCCAAGAATGAGCCTTCAAGAGCACCCACAAGGACGACGGGCTCTGCAAGAGCTAATCAGGCATGTCCAGCGTCAGTAAGTCAAAAAAACGTACTCAACGAGTCGTAGACACCGAAGTAGAGACCACGATAGACGATGATACCGACAACTGATGGAACGAAGCCACGGTAGAGGCCGGCGATACCATCAGATGCAAGTGTCTTCTTGTAGACATCAACGAGACCATTGAACTGGCGCTGTCCACCACCTTTCACTGACTTGGCATCGTTGGCAAGACGAGTACGGGCGTAGTCCAAGGAGTAAACAAAGAGAAGTGACGAAGCACCAGCAGCACCACCAGATGCAACGTTGCCAGCAAACCATTTCCAGTACCCTTCAGACTTCTTGAACCCGAACAAGGATTTGAAGTAGTCCTCTATATTAGGTGTGTAAGAAAGGGAAGTCCCGCAACAGAAGTGGGAGACGCACTGAAGGCGAAGTTCAAGGCCTGTGTCGGGAAGTATCGGATAACGTTGGCAGTGTTACCTCTCCACAAGGAGACGAGACCCTCCTCCTTGTACGTCCGAGCGAATGCATCGGTGACACCCTTGTAGGGGGTGGCAAGACGACCTTGTTTGATCTACAGAGGAAAATCCAAGTTTTGGGGCGGTGGGACAACGAATACGCTTGCAAACATACCATCTCATCCTGATTTTGGACTAGAAGCTTGATGCGTTCAATAGGGTGCTGCTGAAGTCTTTGCGACGGCCTACAAGTACGTCAGTAAAAGCGTGACGACCACAGAAAGGTGGAGTGCTAACAGCTGAGACACCGCCCATCAGAAAGTCAGCTATGCAAAGACAAAACATGAACACGGTCCCACGACGACGAGACTGAAGCGTACTGATGAACTCCTGGGGAGTCTTGACCCTCTTAGCTTCAGCCATGTTTTTTTTTAGGACGGGTGGACCACGAAAAGACTGAGTGGTGGAAGATGGAAGTCTAAGGATGAAAGCAATGGTCGAAAATTTGGCGCGTTTTTGACGGCGAGCGGAATTTTCCGGAACCGTGATATTCCCACGCTCTTGATGTAGCGGTGCGGCTTTTTCTCCGATGGTTTTAGCGTCGCAACAGAAATGCAATGCCTTCTGTTGTTCGGAAAAGGCATGCGGTGTATTAAAAACGTCCACATAAACTAGGCGACTATGTACTGACGGTGTAATACGGTGATTAGGGCCATACAGATCGCGATGTAGAGCTACCAGGCCGAGCGGTGAAATAATTGCCTGTGTGGTCATAGGCACTACGCGGGTTGTCGCGAGGGGGTGCAACGGGAGCTATCGGAGGTCTAAACACTGGCGCTGTCTGAGGAACATACGTCCCGGACGGAAGACGTAGTGGCGGTAACGTCGGCCCCGGGTACGAGACAGCACTAGACCCCCCATAAGGAAGCGGTCGCGGTAACGTCGCCGTAGTCGGCGACGCTGGTGAAACCTGTGCTGTACCAGGATTCGAATGCGCGTGGGGAACGACAGATTCTAACCGCGACTTTTTCCATATTTGCTCGGTTGGTGACTGAGTGCCAGGCGTCGCCTTGCGCTTCTCACCCGCGCATGGCGCAAGCTGCAATTGTTCCTCATCAGAATCTGCAGTCAAGTCTATCACGTCATCACGACGAGAATGTCGAATCGCTGCCGGTGGAGCGCGAGGCGATGCTAGCTTGGCCAAGGGGTTGTGAGACTCGGATAACTCCCTCTTCACTCGTCCTTCATCTTCATCATCCGAGTCCAACACCAAAATCTCTACATCCTTTATCTGCCCCTTAGCTTCTGCCTCCCCATCTGAACCTGGCGTCGATGGACGCGGCGGTGAGGGATCACAAGGAGCGGTGCACGGGTGGGCAGCGCGCCACGCGACAGAAGCATATCTGTTGTCATTGGTGTGCCATTGCCCGTCGTTCTCAACTATAACTTCTTCTATGTCTTCTGGCGTCTCTCGCAGGATCTGGTCAAAGTACCTAACACTTCATCAGTTGAAGTCGACATGGCTGGCATCCAAACGGACCCGTCAATGATGAGATCGTCAGGATTGACAACCTTGTCGCAAACAGGGCAAAGCCACGTTGGAGTTTGTTCCATGCAGGAAAACCACGACGTGGCGTCAAAACACCGCGAATGGACGCAAAGCGCCGATCTACACGGCGTTTCAACGCGCATGTGAGTCAGCTAACCATAAGAAAATCCTGCTCAGCGGTGACGAAAGGAGCAACAAGAATTAACGCCTACCGGACATCTCAGTGACATTTTTTGCGGCCCTGCAACAATATCGTCGTCGTCAATTGTGGCCCTGGTTCTCACTACAGAAGGAATTAACGGGGAAATAGATTATCACCATGTCGTCAAACCTACTGGGTGCCATAATGTCTTCGCAGCTCCGATATTTGCCCTTCCTCAACCTGTCGACTAATTGTGCTACCGTCGTAACCTCGACCAAGAACACCATCAGGTAATATTTCTGCGCTCAGTTAATTCTGGACTTCGTCGTACTCGATCGACAACTAACCTTTGGCTGGACGGGCTGTTGACTATTCACGTACACCATTTCGATGCGGTTCTGGCCCGTCGGCCGCACTGATTTGCTTATGTCCGCAGGTTGGGCGGTACCAGGTTTCTTCTTCATACCTTTCAGGTTCGCATTCAACACCGCGCCATTCACGCGCACTTCGCAGGTAGGTGGAAATTCAATCGGACACGGACCAGGTACCCGAAGTCCCATATGGTTAGGAGTGTAGAACGTTGAAGTCGTACAGTACAATCGTAGCTGGTATTTGGGACTGTCGTCTGTCTTGAGGAATTGCCGAACCAAGAGGTTTCGCCAACATACCTAGTTTGGCTAAGTTTTGAAGCATGTTCGCTGGTCAAGGTAAACGAGAACGTCTGTTGCTTTCGATCCGTCGAACTGGTCGACTCTTAAGGGAGGGTTAGCCCCGAATGAAAGTTCCTGACAGACCACAGACCTGGACATTCTACTATGGCAGAAATAGGTCGTTCAATCCGAAAGAAGGGCGAAATCTTGAAGTTGATCACTGGGGAATGTTCGAGGAAAGATCTGGAGGAAGTCAAGTGAGAATCTTACCATGTTTGGACATAGATGAGGAAGAGGCGCCAATTGGAGGCGGAGGAACACGAGGGGGCGCATACGGGTCGTAACGGCCCATTTGGTTAGTGAACCCACCACCGATGGTTGTGACCCCATAAGAAGGATTGGTCATTGGCTGAGAAGGTTGCTGTCCAGATGCTCCGACGACTCGACTTTGGGAATAACTGTGAACGGCAAAACGTGATCAACGACACGGATAATCGTATTTCCCCAGAAAATATGACCGCAGGGGACACCACGATGGTGGAGGGGGGATACCAGAAGAGAACAGACGTACACTCCTGTATTGCGGACCTGACTTAAAACTGCTTGCGCCTTTGTCCATTTATCGACGTTATTGGCTTGACGCCAAGAATCCATCTGGAGAACGATTCTATCTATCAGATCCTGTTTCTTTCCTGACTTGTGGAACGACGTGTTGCACTGCTCATTGAAGCCGGTCAAGACTTGCTTCAGTTTATCGACAGTATTATGTTTCACGGTATGGCGTAAGTTCTGGAAGAGGATTAACCAACGCAAAGGGCATGACGTCACACGCGACTTACTTCGAAATCAGCCCAGCTATCGTTGGCAGCCATTTATCATCTGCGGTGACCTTGAATGCGACAAGGCAGAAGGCTGAGTTCAAGGCGGCAGCCCTCCATTGGCTTGTGACTGAACTACGAAAGACTGTACACATGTGTAAACAAAGACGAGCCCCTCCGGGGGTGATCACGTGGATATCTAATCGCCTTCTTGATCATGTCTGACGACGAGTACGACAACAAAGAGCAGGAGGCCCGCGACAGGGCTGACAGGGAACGCGAACAAAAAGAACAGGCAGGTATGGTTACTGTCACACACGACAGGCCGCGCCATCTGACGCAGATGGACAGCCCTGCCGTACAGATGGGCTCAAGAGCTCGGCGAAGTCGATATCACCGTTCCCGTGCCCAAGGGAACACGTGGAAGAGACCTTCTAGTAGCTATACAAAAGACAAAGCTTAGCGTAGGTCTCAAGGGAAAGGAACCCATTATTGCAGGCGATTTGTGCAAGGAGATCAAGGTTGAAGAAAGTACCTGGACCTTGGGTAGATACAACACTGACCTGCTCCCCCGCCCCTGCCGTACTTATTACATTTCAGAAGATCAGCAATCGGTGCTTATTCATCTCGAGAAAGTCAACAAACAGGAGTGGTGGGAGAACGTCCTCCAACATCACCCCAAGATCGACACCCGCAAGATTCAGCCCGAGAACAGCAAATTAAGCGACTTGGATGGAGAAACTAGGTAGGAATGAGCCCGATGCGCGTAATGTGATACTGATTTTGTTGCAGGGGTTTGGTCGAGAAGATGATGGTGAATTCCCGTTTCTCACTACTCCGCAATTATTCTGACGCACACCATCCTCAAGTTTGACAACCAGCAAAGGGTATGTGTATAAATATAGATCCTTTCCTTTCGCGCTTCTTTACCCGGTCTTTGTGTTTATAGCATCTGGGAAAGCCAACCTCTGACGAACTCAAGAAGATGGAGGTGCGTTTCAGTATTGCTCGGGCGTGGAACAATAATCATACCGTGACGTGATTAGGCCCTCAAGAAATTCCAGGCTGCTCACCCAGAGTTGGACTTCTCGAAAGCCAAGATCTCTTAGGAAGAGTTCTTGATAAACATTTTGGAAACTGCAGTCCGGAGAATGCGTGTAAGATATACACAATTATAACAATTCAAGCCTGTGTTGTGTCTGTCCAAACCCACACGCGTCCCTTGTTGTCTAATATACCAAGCAGTAGTCCGTAGAACCCCAGAACGCTGGCTTGTAGATTGTCTGTAACGTTCGGCACTGTGATCTCCGTCCCCTTCAGAAGCGGTTTCTCGACATTCGTTGTAAGAACGACCGGTACATCTTCATCGCCATCGTCGTCCAGGTGTAACTTACTGCTCAAGCTTGTGACTAAATCTTGGTCTAGGGGGAAACTGGGTGGTGCTCGGGGCTCGAAGTCGCTGACGTTATGGAGGCACACGCGGTCTGGAAGTGTGACGACGATCACATAGTCATTAGTGTGTGCCTGGGCAATGTGTAAATGCCTTGTAGATTGCGAGATCGGGACCACCGATAAAAGCTTGAAAGATGCTACAGCACGAATCACTTGAGAGAGCTTCATGTAGACGCGTAGATGGGCTTACAACTCTCTTGATAGTCCTGCGCGAGGCGTGAATGAACAAACGAAGCTGAAGGCCGTGATTATACTAACCGAAGCACAACCTCGCATAACTTTGGACGGCTTTGGCCGAGTTGCAGGAAAAAAACGATCGAAACCGAGCCAGCGCCATATCCCAATTGTACCGTCCTCGTAATACAAGTCATTCTGATCACCGTTACGGCGCATAAGAGCCGGCGCGCTAGACGTAGCGAGTACATCCAGCCCCAGCCTGATACAACCATTAATTTATTGACCGTCAAAAGGGGGTCAGTGAATACGCAAGGCACCTACCAGTTCACCGATAAGATTCTAGCCTTGTGTATTCGTGTCGAACTGAACAGAGCCTTATCCTCGCGAGCCATGTGGTCAAAAGACATCCGAGGCAATCTCCATATCTTGACTGCTCTGTCCATCTATGGGAAAGGGCAGTGTAAGAGATTCAAACATTAACCCCAACCACGAAGACGCACTCCGCAAGTTGCAATCAGTGGATGTGTAGGATGAAATGCCTATAAGTAAAATAAGAGCGCGCCCAACCGTGGCCCCACGCTACGTACCGCACCAAGAACGGCGGCTTCATGACCCCCAGACGGCCCTCCGCACAAGACGACTAGGCAGCGGCCAATTCCAATCCCTTCAGGTTCGCTGGATTGAAAGCCATGTGGCGCTCCACCAAGGCTGGGTGCTGTGGAGGGAGGCCAATGAGGGTTGTTGGGTTTGTCCCGTGGAGGCATAGTAAGATCATATATCCTTGCAGAGAAGTCTCTCGAGCAAGTGCAGACAAGGTAAGGGAAGGACGGATGCACGACAATCGATGTGATTTCCTGGTTCTTTTCGTCAGCCTGGGGCAAGGTACATCTCGTCACGTAGGACATCTTACGCCACCATGCCCTCTCAACTGGCCAATTATTTGCTTGTTTTTCGCGTTGAGTACATAAAGCATGCTTCCCCTCGAACAGACGATCAAAGGTTCCAAGGGTTTCTCGTTCGATAGAGCCCATGCAACAGCACGGAGCTCGCCCTGTTGACCGGAGTCATAAGTAGGTGAAGACCGACGTGTCGCGAAATGCGAACAGGGGTTTTATCATCGGAGATCCGTAAACAAAACCCCCCTGGAGAACCCCTTGAAGTGAAGACAGCCAATGCGTTTGTACCACCGACGACGATAGCTCCAAGAAAGTGGTCGATCATCAACTTCCAGCCTTCGCGTATATCGGGTTTGTTCATGTCTCCGGACCACAAGCTCTCCAGGGATTGATAGTCCCAGGGGAATAATGCCATCGAGTGACATGTACCAAGAAACTGGAGCTGAAGATGGTCCAGAGTAAGACGAGGTTAGGTGACCTGGAGTAGCACGAACGTCCACAGTGCTGTTGAGCCTCATGTTTGGACTGTATGATTTACTAGATGCTTGGTGTGTCCGTGTCTGCATGGCTAGTGACAGACAACTTGGTGTCGATGACCAGAAAAGGGAAGTCGGGAACAAACCTGCGACTTGCTCCTGCATTCGATACCTTCTGACTGCAGTCAGTCAACGTCGCTAAACGATACCCTCGATGGCAGATGTACCATCAAGTCCTGCAGATAATTTCTATGAACCCAAATCCCCGATTCGTAATGCAACCACGGTAGCATACCAGGCAGCCGCTGTCGGTGCACTTGTCAGCGTTCTGCAGAACGCTCTGTCATCTCACAAGGCTGGTGCACTGGGTGTCCTCACCCGGACTGGGGGAACCATCGGCATGTTCAGTGAGCATCCTTTCCGCCATTTCTTCTCTCACCCATGCTTATTACCTTGCGAAGCTGCAATGGGTACCATATTTGCATTCACAGAGGCAACCGTGGCCAACGAGCGGCAGAAGGACGATGCTTTCAATGGAGTCGTTGGTGGTTGTGCTGCTGGCTTTTTGGCGGGTATACGGAGTACGGTCACTTCACATTCTACCCAATTTACTTCTCTAACATTGGCGGCAGCACGTTCCCTTCCGATGGCTCTTGGCTCTTGCGCCGTGGCCGGCGCTGCTATGGGTACCTTCGACTATGCTGGGCAGCTCGCTGGTGAACGCAAGCAAGTTAGGGAGGAAAAACAGAAACGGTTCTTCAAATCTCTACCAATCTCCCTCCAGCGTAACCCCCCGTCTGAGTGAACCAGCTATACTTATACTTGGAAAGTACATTTATACTCGACCCAAAATTAACAATTAGTGAGAGGCGTGTTCTACAATAACTCGCGTTGCGTTTGTAACAGCAAAATGCACGGTGTCGCGTTATGATCTGTGGGTAAGATCACGAGTTGTCCCTTCTCGCAGCCAGTCCAGCCATAAGCTCCTCGATACGAGCATAGACCGCCTCTTTGTGCGCTGCATAATATTCAGGCCAGGATTTGGCTGTTTTACAGGGTCGCTGTGATAGAACTTCGTAAAGCAAGTTTCAAGTTTTGAGAGAAACTTTAACTCACTTGTCCTGCCAGCGCTTGCCAAACACGCTCGTCATCGTCATCATCTCCTCCACCCAAAGCAAAGAAGGAGCATATATTATCAAAGTCATCCTTCTCTGGATCTTGGTCTGAGTCCACCGTTGGCGGCAACGGATCATCCTGGGTGATCATCGAGGGGCTTGAACTCATCCTACGTCTCTTATACGGCACGGCGTCAGAAGGCACACGATTACCACTGGTACCTTCGAAAGAACGAGGCTGATCATCGTCTGTTGTGCCCTTGCGCTTAGCGATGCTTGCCCTCTTTCGAATATGTTCCAGTTTGGTCTTAAGTTTTTGGGAAATATGGTTTTGCCATGAGGCACTAGTGTGGTGAGGCATCTGCAAAAGGTATGCGTCAATAACCAACTCCCCTTGTATGACCATACGCGTACCTTTTCGCACAACCTCTGTATCAGTGCATGGGTGGGCATTGACGGATCCCAACCAAGATGGTATTGCGCAAACTGACAAAAGTACTCATTCTCCTCCGCTGTAAAGTAGTATTTCCCCCCGGACATACGTTGGCAAGTTCCTGGCGGCGGCGGAGTCTTCCCACGCGTAGAACGTTGTTGTAAATCATCATCTTCCAGCAGTATCTTCGATGGACTGTCCAGCTTTTCTGTTTTGACTACCGAAGCCCTAGGTTTTTTATTAGACTTGTCGGCTGACTTCTCCCATTTGACTTCGGAAAAGGCTCCAGGTCGGCCGCGCCTAACATAGCGGATACTCGTTTCAGCTTCCAGGGCGTAAGGTGTTTCATCCAGGATAGCGTTTTCATCTATACAGTCAGTTACGAAAGCACTCTGTATAGGAATCTTCCCGAGGGAAGTAGCTTCCTTGAGCACCCAATCGTACGACTTCGCCCGAGTGGAGGCGATGACGTAGTCGGCATCAGGAATGTTGTTGACAATCCTGCCTTTGTGTTTCTAATCGGAGAGAATAAGCTACCAGCCTACCCCATCACGTGGAAGAATATGTACCTTAATATTTGAAACTACATTATGGCGTCTATGAAGGTCAACTTGAACATAGAAGTTCACGGATTCCCCTCCAGATGAGAAAGTTTCACAAGGATTTCTGCGATCTATAACAATTCTTGCAGGTTCCGGGGGAGTGGAGGGATAGGATGGTTGCACAGGAGTGTCCTGTAAATTCGGCGACGCGTCGGTGTGGGGCTCAGCTTCATCAGAGTTCAAGGGCGCGGCAGCCATTCTTCTTCTCTTGGTTATCGATGGGGGAGGTAGGGCCGCCTTGATGGTCGCAGCGTGCTTGCGAGACACATGTGATGAAGGGGGCTCGGTGGACAATTGACGAGGCGATAAATGAAGGGGGGCATCTCGAACGAACGGAGGATGGCTATTGGTCACATCCATACCTAGGGAGGAGCTATGCTCATCATCATTTGCACTGTGATCATGCGATGGCAAGACTTCGGACCCATTGGTAACTGTATGCTCGGCTGCGATCTGGGAGTGAGAAGGTGGAAACAATGGGACACCTGAAGTTGGCTGAGAGGAAAGTGGAAACGACGGAGTGCTTAGAGTTGGCTGAGAAGGATGTGTTGGTCGGAGGATGTTAGAGTACATTTGAGATTCAGGCGTATCTCCGCCCCAGCGAGGAGCCTGGTTGGCGGTAGCCCCACTGCGGGCCACAACCTCCAACATCGTCATGAACGCGGTGTAAAATGACGGTGCAGAAAGTGTCATGGCCTGCTGAAATGCGGAAGGGGGTGGGATGAGAGAGCCGTAAGAGTTTGGTATCGGTGATACATGGGGTTGCGTCTGAGCGGTTACAAATGGGAAGGATGCGCCAGTCTGCGTTTGGTATAGTGAGAAAGGAGACTGATCTTGACTCGAAGGAGGGACTTCTAATGCCGAAGGGCTGGTATATGTAGTTACGGATGGTGGGGCTGTTGCTGCACAAGACGTGGACGACTGCCAAGCCCCAGCAGTGGTGCGTGGGGGCAAGTTTGTAACTTCAGGGCTCGGCATCGAGGAGTCGACAGGTGTGATTCTTGGTGTAGGCAATGGACTTCTTGGTCCAACAGATCAGCGACGTGCGGCAAGGAAGTAACTAGTCACTGACTTGCTAATCAGGTCTTCTACCGGTTCCTCGTCCACAGTGACACCGTCTATCCTGACAGGTAGTCCATCATCCACAGCCCGCATACCGCCCCACCCGTCCGCTTGAAGTAATGGGTGACCATTGCTTATGGATAGTTTGACCCACTCGCGGTGAAGAACGACTTTTGAGAGATCCTTTCCCCACATTCGAATAAGACGTCGTCCACATTCTGTCGAAGGGTCAACAAGTATGATATCTGCGTCTTTTGTATTACTGATGACTGTGGCACCCGCACTCTACGTTAAAATGGGTGGTTTTAATGAGCTGCGTGCACCATAGCAAAGTGGGCTGACCTTCAGGGTTCGCACCAGCCTCGGACGACCTTCGAGTTCAACCGCTTGCACGTTCACCTTGCAAGCGTTTCCATGCGCATCTACGAAAATTGGGTTTGGCTGACCGCCAGAATCTTGCGACAATGGTACTGAAAGTTCCATGCAACTACTGCCTTGAACATGAGCCAGCCGGTTAACAGCATGACGCCTACATGACACATCTCCATCGTCACGTGACATGCATGGTTGGCGTGCTATATTGTTCCGCAATCGATGCTCGGGCATGTTTTTCTCATGCATGCTGTGCATACTTTGACGTAGAATACTTGAGCTATTCAAGTAGTGTAGCGAGTCAAACCCGAACTCAAATTCGATACAGCTCGCCAACGTAGCGGCAGTTTACATGCTCCAAGCCAGAGGAAGCCTTTCTCCAGAAGGATGCATAGCCATAAAGGTTTTTATCGTATGTACGGCATAACAAGAGTGGCAGTGTAACATAGCAACGCAAAGAAAATATCCAACACTCTTCACCGGTAGCTGCAAGGCATCGTTATCAGTGGAGCGGAGAAATCGAAGCATTGCACACGCATACCTCTTTTGTCTGCGAGCGCGTGCACCGTGACCGCCAAACTTCTTGGGTTCCATCCGTCTAGGATCCGCAATGAGGAGCGTCCGGTCATACGCGATCAACTTCTTCTTCAACTCCATCGCGCTGTAAGCGTCGACGTATTTGGAGTAGTAAGCAACGACGGCTTTTGCAATCGCTTGGCGGATAGCATAAATCTGCGAGGTGTGACCTCCTCCCTTTACGCGGACGCGGATGTCCAGAAGTGAGAAAGACTCCTCGCCAACAACAAGAACAGGTTCATATATCTTGAAGCGGAGGATCTCTGGTCGGACGAGGTTGATGGGTGAGCCGTTAATGCGGATGAGTCCACGGCCCTCCTTAGCATGGGCTACCGCAGTTGCGGTCTAAGAAAGAGTTATTGCATATCGGACGCATGTCGAATATCGAACGTGCCTTCTTTTTACCGAACGTCTGGACAGCTTTGGTTGACATTTTGCGGATGAAAACGAAATGGTCGAGCGAGTTCGACTAGAATCGTGACAGATTAGTTTTGGGTCACCAGAAGCTTTCATGGGTCATCCAAGTCCACACAGACGCATCCAGCTCGTTCCCATCAAATCCAACCAAAATCATCATGCCTCCCCTTCCAGGAACTCAAAGAAACAACTTGGACACTTCCGTAGACCACACTTACCCTCAGTAAACCTTGAAGAGAGTCGGGATGGCGGGTACTTGGTGTGTGTCGCCTTAGGATGGAGTTCAGTCAATTTTCCCACGACCATATATGGGTCAACCAGCGGCCGATTGATTGATTACAGATACTCAGGCAGTGGGAGTAATACAGCACTAGTATTCACAGGCAGCTCGCTGAATGATAGTACTGGAGTACACGCACATGGACTACAGTCAATTTTCTTCATCCTATCATTATCAGCTATCCGGTCTATCGGTCCTCGTCCATGTACTTTTAGTCTTCTCAGCGTCTTGAGTTTTTCGCCTTTCAAGGGGGCCCAGTTTTGTCGTTTCTCGCATTTCGGCTACCAATCTGTATTTCTACCAGGTTCACTTTTCCTTCGTAGCGCTGCCCTAGTCGCCGTCCCTTTCTGTACCTGTCCGAGTCGGCGTGCTTACTCACGCTCCAAACCTTATCTGACAGTGTCCTGTCTTTGCCTCGAGTGCTTCGACCCATTAGTATGCATGTTCTTGGATCACCCCACGACACAGGGAGTCGGGAGCGATAGGAGCGACAGACCTGCATTATCTTTAGACTTGATCTAACCATCGTTGCACGCAGAGAGGAGGATACAGGCGGTGGGGGCCCATCTGCATCAACGAGAGACATCGTCTCTCTGTAACTCAATTAATACGACGGTCCATGTGGTGGGCTGCACGTCCACGTGATGAACGCGTCCCACGCAATGGTGCGCACGCGGCTGCTGCCTTGACTCATCGGGTCGGTCTAAGGCCGAGGTCCGCTATCAGTCCTCAAGCTCAAGTTTAAGCTATCCGACCTCCTTCGCCGCTTTCTTTGCTTAACCATGTCTCAGACAGAAGATCCCCAACAAGAGTACTCTATGTCTGGCCCACTTCTGGTTTCAAAACTGGAAGAAGCCGGCATACACGCTAACGATATCAAGAAACTTGCAGACGCTGGCCTCAATACTGTTGAAGCCGTAGCATTCACACCAAAGAAGAACTTACTCGCCATCAAAGGCATCTCAGAAGCCAAGGCCGACAAGATCCTTACCGAAGGTCGGGATCTTGCAAATACACCTCTGGCACGGCGTCCGTGAATAACTCCTCATCTGTTTAGCACATAAAATTGTTCCCCTTGGATTTCAGAGTGCTACGGAAGTTCATGCGCGCCGCTCTGAGCTTGTTCACATCACTACTGGTTCGAAGCAACTCGACGCATTGCTAGGAGGTGAGTGTTGGCGCATTCCCCCCGTCAACTCGTGATAGTGAGCGCATGTAGGTGGCATGGAGACAGGTGCCATCACAGAATTGTTTGGCGAATTTAGAACCGGAAAGTCTCAGTTGTGCCACACGCTCTCGGTGACGTGTCAACTACCCGTTAGTATGGGTGGCGGGGAAGGCAAATGCTTGTATATCGATACCGAGGGCACCTTCCGGCCTGCCCGACTACTTGCCGTTGCAGAGAGGTATGGCCTCAATGGGGAGGAAGTTCTTGATAACGTTGCATATGCGCGAGCCTACAACGCAGACCACCAAAATAGCCTGTTAATAAGTGCGAGTGCTCTCATGGCAGAGTCGAGGTACAGAACCATTGCACGTGCGTTGGGGTCGCAAGTTGATGATGGCGACTAGGTTTTGCCTCCTCATCGTGGATTCGTGCACTGCTTTATACCGAACAGATTTTAGTGGCCGGAGCGAGCTATCTGCCCGTCAGAATCACCTGGGAAAGTTCCTACGCACTCTTCAGCGTTTGGCGGACGAGGTACGAATCCGTGGTTATTGCTTGAGTGGGACTCTCTGAGAACTTCAGCAGTTTGGCGTCGCTGTTGTCGTGACGAATCAGGTCATGTCTAACCCGGACGCATCTGCTGGCCCAGTATGCTGCAAACGAGAAGAAACCCATAGGCGGGAATATAATGGCCCATGCCACTACTACACGGTCGGTCCTTTCAACATGTAGGCGAAATAAAGCTCGCATATTAATTCTCTTCATCCAGCTTGCAGCTTAAGAAAGGCCGCGGAAACACGCGAATATGTAAAATATATGATTCACCGTGCCTTCCTGAGATGGAGACACAATTTGCTATTCTTCCTAGTGGTATCGGAGACCCCGAAGAGGAATCGTGACGACTCTTGATTATTCCATTTGTCTCGTAGATATGATCGATGCCCTGCCTTCGCACTAGCACTGTTTTCCTGTAAGTTCCACGATGAATGTACTCATATTGCAAAAAGCGTAGCGAAGATAAATCTCGTCAAGGAATGGAGTACAACCAGTTGAGTGGTGATTGAGCCGTTAAGGCTATGAATATACATAAAATAACGCTACACAGGGAACCATGCGCTTTATCGCTACGCCAACAAACGCGTTAGGATGTTTGCGCGAGTCTTACTGATCTGCTCCCTCAATTTATTAACAGTCCGTCGGACTGACATCGGCTATGTCAGCGAGGAGGTATGCCACGTCGCCCTTGGAATCCGAGTACTGCTTCTCCACATTGTATGGTGATAAAATGTCATTGACCTGCCGCAGCACACCGGGTTGGTTGTTGTGTACGTGACAAACACGGACGTGGTCGCCTTGCTCAGCGGTTATAGCAGCGAAGGTCAACCTCCGGGAAGTTGACAGCTCCTACGGTTGAACCATAGTTCAGATACCGTGCCAACGCTTGGGAAACCTCTTCTCCGATCATTCCGCTGAGCTTCTTCTGTCGAGCCACCGATGTGAGGACTAAGTATGACGTTCGGGAGGCTGCGGAGAGTACTAGACCAAGAATTAATGCTGTCGTCGAAAGTCGCACCATTGGACGCCGGTTCGGCCGGGAATACATCTAGTGCAGCACCTGCGAGATGTTTTGACTGTAGGGCCTCTATTAAGGCTGGAATGTCCACCACGCGCCCGCGCGCGTTGTTGATAAGATATGATCCCTCCTTCATCTGCTCGAGCTCCGTTTTCGAGATCATGTTAACAGTCTCCGGCAGTTCCGGTACGTGGAGTGTCACGAAGTCGGCTTCGGCGAGAAGCGCTTGAAGAGGGTCGACCTGTCGAGCTGACCCGAGAGGCATCAAATTGATCACGTCGTAGAAGATGACACGCATCCCAAGGGCCTCTGCAAGGACAGACAGCTGAGAACCAATATGGCCATAGCCCACAATCCCAAGGGTCTTCCCACGAACTTCCCAGCAACCCTTGGATTGCTTGTTCCAGATACCTGCCCGCAGTTCAAACGAACGTTGGAACAGCTGCCGGGACAAAGCGATGATCTCGGCAATGACCAATTCCGCAACGGAGCGGGAATTCGAGAATGGCGAGTTGAAGACCGGAATGCCAGCCTTTGCCGCAGTGGCGAGGTCGACCTGGTTGGTACCGATGCAGAAGCAGCCAATGACAAGTAACTGAGAAAGGTACGGTCAGGAGGGATTTTTCCAAATGGTTGTACGGGCATACCTTTGACGCAGCCTTGATTACACGCTCGGTGATTCTCGTCTTGCTGCGGATGCCAATAGCATGATAATGTGGGATTTTTTCCACGAGTTCGTCCTCTGACAATGCTTTGGTATAATGGTCTACTGTGAACCCCTGTGCCCGGAGATACGAAACAGCCTCTTGGCTAATATTTTCCAGGAGGAGGAGTCTCAAGCCCTCGTTGTCGACTGGATGCAAAACTTTGGGCTGGCGAATTACCCCGAAGGATGCATGAGACTCCCTGTGCCTTAGCCTGTCGTGCAGGGTCTGGGTAGGAGGAGAAATCGACGTAGCGACGACTCGAGGAGACTTTTGGGGGATGGCGATGGGCTGGGGTGCCATGGTGGGCGTTTGGAAGTATACAAGGTGGTTCATAGCTGTCGCTATGCTTTTATGTAACCGGGTCTGTCTGACTGCTATTGACGAACGAGCACGCAACCTTCGTCCGAAATCAATTTGGCATTCCCGATAAGGAAAGAGACATTGATTGATTGACTCCGAACGAGCCGGGTTAATATGCCAAACGACAAGTGGATTGGCATCCTTTCCCTATGACCCTCTTCCTTCTCGACCATGGCGCGGGCAATGTCCAGAGCCTCGCTAACTCGATAAAACGGCTAGGCTATCCGTTTTCGTGGATATCCACTCCAGAGGACTTCCAAAAGGCAACCGTGAGCAAGCTTCTCTCTCATTATCACAGGCTCGTCTCATATTTCTCATAGGTTCTCATCTTCCCAGGGCAGGGTGCATTCCATACTGCAATAGAATGTTTGACAGCCCGTGGCTTGCTGCATCCACTCTTGGACTACATCAACTCCGGAAAGCCGTATTTCGGTATTTGCATCGGCATGCAGGTCCTATTCGCATCGTCCGCCGAATCCCCGTCCGTGCGCGGCTTAGGCATCATACCGTGTGATATCGTTCGCTTTGATGATACAGACAAGGCGGTCCCTCACATGGGATGGAACACTATCGAATGCCTTGACCCCTCATCAGATCCACAGTCCACTGAAGGACTCTCGGCAACATCGCACTATTATTTCGTTCATTCTTATTGCGCTATTTACGACCCAGAAAGGAATCCCGTGGCTGCAGAGTGGGCCCACTCAACCACACAGTACGGGAACGATGTCTTTGTATCGACCGTCCGAAAGGGGAATGTCTTCGGAGCGCAGTTTCATCCCGAAAAGTCCGGAGCTGCAGGGCTGGCCAATCTGGATGCTTGGATAAAACAGTCTTTGGCTGGACGCGTCCCTACTGCAACTGTGACTCGTGTACCCAGACTCCCAAAGCCAGCAGACGGCTTCACGAAGCGAATTATCGCTTGCATGGATGTCCGTGCAAACGATGAAGGTGACCTAGTTGTTACCAAAGGAGATCAGTATGACGTACGTGAAAAGGCTGCACCCAACTCCTCGACAGTCGACGCCGCTGGCGCCGTTCGAAACCTTGGGAAGCCCGTTGCACTTGCTTCAAAATACTTTGAATCAGGGGCAGATGAGCTCTGCCTCTTAAACATCACCTCGTTCCGGAACTCTCCCTTGCATGATCAGCCGATGTTAGCCGTCGTCCGGGCCGCAGCGGAACGTGTCTTCGTCCCGCTCACAATTGGCGGAGGAATCAAGGATGCTGTTGACCCTGACGGCACGAAACGTCCCGCCGTCGAGGTCGCAGGTGCTTATTTCCGCGTGGGTGCTGACAAAGTCAGCATAGGGTCCGAGGCTGTTTATGCGGTCGAGAAACTACGGGCTGCCGGGTCCGGAGACGGTACAAGTGCAATAGAGACAATATCAAAGATGTATGGCAGGCAGGCTGTTGTCGTTTCCGTTGACCCCCGGCGGGTATATGTCGACCCATCCACCTATGATGGACCTTACAAGGACGAACTAGTTTTCGGGAAGGATGATGGTCCAATGGCTGAACGAGGCAAGGCATGGTGGTACCAGTGCACCGTTTCGGGAGGTCGCGAAACGCGGCCGGTGTCGGCTGTAGAATTGGCCAGAGGCGCGGAGATGCTCGGGGCAGGGGAGATATTGCTAAACAGTATCGACCGAGACGGGACAGGCCTCGGCTTCGACCACGACTTGATTGGAATGATAAAGCGTGCCGTCACCATACCTGTGGTGGCGAGCAGTGGCGCAGGCACGACGAAGCACTTTGTGGACGTCTTCAGGGAGACGAACGTAGAATCAGCTTTGGCTGCCGGGATATTCCATCGAGACGAAGTTAGCATTAGGGATGTCAAGGCCGCGCTACAATGCGAGGGATTTAATACCCGGATTACTTGACAAGCACATCTATTTATAAATGAATGAAGTAGGTGTGTAGAACAGGCACCAATGCAACTAAACACTCCGGTGTTCGCGAACTTTCATTTCATGCTCTTAGGCAAGCTCTCAACATCAGCTCACAGAGAGTGAGCACGTAATACAGTACTGGATAAATTGTCACGATCTTTAACCTACATACGTCTCAAAGGAGACGGGTATGCCTAGATAATGGAACACCGAGATGGATACAAAGAGCATGTTGTTAGCTTCAATAAAGGAAGAAGACAGGGGAAGATAAGGTCAAAGCAAAAAGAAGACGAAATTCAGACCTGGAACAGGAAAAAGGTACAAGAAAATACGACCAAAACAAAGGAAAGATGGGAAAACATCCATCATTTCGGGCCCCTGACGACATCCTTGACCTTCTTCAGAAGGCTGGTCTTCCGGCCGAGATTGGCACCCCCGTTCCCTGGAGAACCGGGGGTAGCGTCAAAGTAACCATACCTATCCTCGCCAGAAGATGGGCGGTTAGCAGTAGGTGTACGAGGTGTGGCAGGGAGTCGCTTCTCTCTTCGTGGATCATCGACATAAACGAATGCTTCAGATGCATCCGAGAGCGGCGACGTGTTCTCATTCGTATACCCGCGGCGGTCATTGCGCTCACCGCTGCCCGGTGCCAGCCGTCCCAGGAAGGAGTTTTGGGAACGATGAGTGGGGCGGGTAGTGCCTTGAGGGTCTCTTCCGGTAGGAGAGGGAGGGTCAGCCGCTGGGCCATCCGCGGGGATATTCGGGTTCTCCCGTAACTTGCGGAAGCGCTGCATAAGTGATTTGGTGCGCTTGGGCTGACCGGAGGGGGAGATCATTCCACCCTCGGCGTCGGAATGGTACGCTTCTGGTACGAGGATGGGTTGTGGTGGGGGCAGGACACCACGCTTGGCACGACGATCGGAGCGATCTTTATCTCGTGATTGCGTCTGCCTCGTGTCATCGTCTAGGTATTCCCTGTACACTTCGCGAAGATCACGACCGTCCTTTGAGCGTCGGCCTATGGAATGCTGTGGAGTAGCGTTGCGAGAAAATTGGCCCTCACGACCACCATAGATGGAACTGGCGGGTGTCCCCCCGTCGCGGCGTGTAGCACCACCACCGGCGAAAAATTCTTCGTAAGGTTCGGGTTCGTGGATGCCCCAAGCTTCTGCGATTGCATCGACCTTTTTCTTGGGGGCATCGAAGATGGGAGTAAACCCTCCGTTATAAGCATCTGGGGATGGGTACGGGCCGCCGGAAGCCAACGCATATTGCTCTGCAGGGTTGCTGCCCCAAGCGAGCATAGGGGCCTTCGCACGATGACGATTGCGAGAAGGAGCACAAGCATCGAAGGGGCCGTCATGGTGGAACACTGACAAAGTAATGCATTAGTGGGGAGGTAACGAGGTGGACAAGAAGATATACGTACTCGGACCGACGCCGGTAAAATCGAGTCTGTCTATGACATCGGCATGTATCGAACCTTTCTTGCCGTGAGGCTTTGGTTTGGGCTTTTCCATGATGTTTGGAGCGCGAAGAGCCTGAATCCTGTGATTGGGAGCGACGGCCGCGAGCTGAGGGGCGGGTAGCGTTGGCGGACGAACTGCTAGGGGAGGAAGGGCTTGAGAGGAGATGAGAAAAAAAAGGACAGTAGGACATACGGAACGACAGTCTGACTTCTTCCTGTCCTTGAGCGGGATGGTTGATCAGAATATTGGCGGTATTGGACTGTGTCCCTGAGGGCGTCTGCCATGTGATCGCGGTGATGGGTGGGCTTTTGGGGAGGAAGGACTTTGGGGTTGTAGTGGGGGTGTTTCTGGGGGGGATCTGGAGGGAGACGGGGGACGGGCTTTGAGGCGGGGTAGATTGGGTCAGAGAAAGGGTCAGAGTAGGACCTGTGGCGGGACCTGTGAGGTGGATGGACAACTTTTGACGGCTTGTTTCCGGATGGAACTGGCTGTCTTGACATCGTCTTCTTCCCACGCAAACAACGGCACCAGAGTACGGGCAAGAGTGTCACCAAACCAGCACAACACAACTCGTTTGGATGTCGTCCGTCTTCAACCGTGCATGTCGCCCGAAGCCCTGTGGAGTTTGGGCCATCACAGCCACCCCCCTCGGTTACGTAATGACATGAACACGACCCCCCTTACATAAAACATTGCACGGCCTGTCTCAGCGTCGACCATGGTGTGGTCTCGACAAGAGGTCGCCGACCGTATCCTCGCCGGAGACACGCTCGTCGTATACAACGACCGGCTGCTCCGCATCCCCCAAGCATGGCTGAACGCTCACCCCGGCGGTTCTCTTGCCATCCTGCACTTCGTCGGCCGTGATGCAACCGACGAAATCGACGCGTACCACTCACAGGACGCGATGCGTAAAATTAATATGTTCTGTGTCGGAACCGTAGAGACTTCACCTTATGGTTGGGCGCCATTCCTGCCACCCGTTATGTCGGGCTGGATCCGCAAACAGGCGTCTGATGGCTCGTTCACGTGGCATCACGAAGCATCCGCCATCCCTGCCTCAAACCTCTCTTCCGGGACCCTTCTCGTCCCCAACCATACTCCTGGCACTAAACAACATCAGTCCGGCGGCCCATCACTTTCTCATCTGATTCCCCCTCCCTCGAATTTATCCCTTGAAGTTCAGGCCCAACATTCCGCTGCTTACAAACAGCTCCACGAACGCATCATTAAAGCAGGTTTATATCAGACTCGTTACCTCTCCGGCTACGGTCCGGAAATCGCCCGATACCTCTTCTTGGCCTTCTCTTCCGCTTATGCGTACTCCAACAATTGGCTTATTACAAGCGCCATTTGCCTTGGTTTCCTATGGCATCAACTCGTGTTCACCGTTCATGATCTAGGCCATATGGGCGTCACCCATGATTGGAATATCGACAGACTTCTTGCCATATTCCTTGCTGACTTCATCGGCGGTTTGAGTGTAGGATGGTGGGTGGATGTGAGTTTCACTCCCGTCTCTTCGCGTCTCCCGTTAAGTTAGTGATGTGTCCCGACCGGTCTTCGATCCAGAATCACAACGTGCACCACCGTGAGTAGTTTGTTTTTAATGATGCATCCCACCCCTCACCTTGCTTCCCAGTTGTTACCAATCACCCCTCACAGTCAGTCTTTCCCTATTACAAACGAATACTCTTGCTAATCTCCTTGGATATTCAGCGACCCTGACATCGAACATCTGCCATTTTTTGCCATCTCGACTGCATTCTTCAATTCTTTATGGTCCACTTACTACAAACGTGCAATGACCTTTGACCGGTTCTCCGCATTCCTTTTGTCTCTACAACACAAACTCTTCTATATCTTAATGGCCTTTGGACGGTTTAACCTCTACGCCAACGCTTATGGTTTTTTGCTTCGAAAGGCATTCGATCATCGAAAAGCCAAAGGTGGCAGGTGGTCGTGGTGGTTGGAGGTAACTGGCGTCGCCTTTTTTTGGTGTTGGTTTGGAGCCCTGCTTAGGGGATGTGGTTCATGGAAGATGGCCCTCGCCTATCTCCTCACGTCCCACCTGGTCACCAGCCCCCTACACGTACAGGCACGCCTGCATTCTATGATACTCTTTCGCAAACTAACATTGCTGGCCACAGATCGTCCTGTCACACTTTGCCATGTCCACTGACGATCTCGGACCCACAGAGTCGTTCCCGCACCGCCAGCTTAGAACCACTACCGACGTGATATGTCCTCCATATCTGGCTTTTTTGCATGGAGGTTTGCACCTTCAAGTCACACACCATCTGTTCCCACGACTTCCCCGTCATAACTTGCGGGAAGCCAGCGTCTTGGTCAAGCAGTTCGCTCGGGAACAAGGGCTTTCCTATGCTGAGTTCGGATTCATCGGAGGTAATCGAGCGGTACTGGGTGTTCTCAAGGCAGTTGCAGAGCAGGCACGGATATTGGGGACAGTTGCCGAGAATGAGATACAGGGGGCAATGAAGAAGGTGCATTGAAGACTAGATATATATCCGGACACTTATGTTGGATACCCGTGCGCCCCTGATGGCGCGCCCTAACAGAGGAATACTCAGTCTGTTCAGGACAAAAAATGCGTTCATAAGTATGCATGTGGCATGGCGGTACACGCAATAACCTATGGGTGAACATATGGAGGGTCGATTTTGAGAGTATACACTCGAAAGCAGAAAAAGAAAAAGATCATCAGGGGGGGCGGACAAGGCTTTATTTTTTCTTGTTTGCCTCCTCCTCTTCCTTCTGCGTGGGGTTGATTGCTAAGTTTGTGGGCAGGAGACACCGAGAACAAACGAACCTTGGCAGCGCGTACTTTGCGTATGCCTTCGTACCGAGCATTGGCACGAGAGATGCGGAGAGTTCTGTACGCCTCGAAAGACCGTTCCTCATCGGTAATTTTGCGGGGGGCTTCGTGCACGTAGGGGTCAGCAATGAGAAGGTTCGTCCGCGTGGTCTCAGCTTGCAGATCGTCACCCTGCGCAAATGTCATTGGCTGAACACACAAAGTAAATCCTGAAACCCGCACGGTGGAGTCGCCTTTTTTCGGCTTCCCTGCTTTCTTAGGGAAGACAATCAAACGGGCCTTGTAAGCCTTCAACCTCTCAACATTAAGTTGTTTGCCCTCCTCGCTCAGATTTCTCCTCCTGTGGTCGACGACGATACCAATACCACGAGCCTCCTTACGATTAATTCCAACCTCCTTCAGTTCTGCCAACGTGAAGCCGCGACCCTCCCGAAGCTTGCGGTTGTAACGGACGGTTTGGCCGCGGACAGCTGGGCGGAGAAGCGTGAGTGGACGAACGCCGAGCCTGGCGGCCTTGGCCTTGCGGGCGTTGCGTCTGCGGAGTTTACGTCCAGGTTGGTCGAACCAAGTGCGCACCCGGCGCTGCCAGTCCTTGTGGAAATGGTTGGCATGAAGAACTGTTGGATTCAGTGGTCAAAGTGGCTCCAATGAAGTGCGAAAGTGCATACCATTGTTGTGGCGGAAACCCATGTCTTAGATCTGTGCGATCGTGGTTAGCAATAGAACATCAAGTCATCCAGAGGAGCCACAACAAATCCATCGTTGCATGCCAGGTGAGACGGTGTGAATTTTCGATTTTGCAAGCATACATCCATGCCAACGGCAGTCGCAGACAAACTAGACAGCAGGACTCACCTTGAGGGGGGTTTTCTTGACGCTGCAGACGGTGAGGACGCCTTACTTGCACGAGAATATTGAGTGCACGGCAACTTCCTTGACTTTGATGCGCCGCTTCATTTCTCGTCACGTGACAGAATTCCCTACCGAATGTGCTCCGAATTTGGCGATGGGCGGCCAGCATGTGGGCTCGTTGAGGTAATAATGGTATTCAAAGCGCACTAAGCCGACTAAGCCGACAACTAAGCTGGCAAATTTTGCATGCTAAACCCTACTAAACTTTGTGTGGCCGAGAGGGAGTTCAAGCTCCGAATTGGCACATTCTACATATCCAATGTCTGAGTTTTCTAAGTCCAAAATTATCATACAAGTGCTTCGAAGCATAGTATACATGTGGTAGTGTAAAAAATGGAACAAGTGATAGATCAGGTTGTCCACCCATCCATCAAGATGCTGAGGGTATCCCTCTGTGTAGAAATACTGGAACTTCTCAATGTCATGGCAGTCACTGCTACCCAAATGCAAAATGAAGAGATTAGAGCACAACTATTTGATGAGATGGATTCAGAGCTCACCAGTTGGATGGATACATTGTCTAACTCTCCCCTAGTGCACTGAGCCCGATGATCATTTCTGTTATGCCTGAGCGTGGTGACTTCTTCAAATGGAATAGGCACGAAGTGCATGAGGTGGGAGTCTACAGGCCAAACTTGTCATAACCCCTATGGCTGAGTTATCAGCAGTAATCCGGCAGAGGTTCTGTCTGCTGGTGCAAGTCCCTAAGGTTGTTTGCACAGAGAGAGAATGAGGATAAAGCAAAGGGATGAAGCTCAGTTGCAAGCTATCCAAAAACTGCAGATACAGGATGAAGTATGTAGGTCTATATACCCCTCAGTACAAGTACCAGTAGCAGTCATGACAGATGTGTTCGCAACTGCATATCTGCAGTAATCAACAAAGTTATCAGTCAAATAAATAGGAGTCATATGGTGTCAATGATGGAGGTAGAGAGGCAATGAAGGCTATACCAGCTGGTGCAATCAATGCACAGCGAGGAGCCTGACACCAGAACTATAGTACAACATCTGAGCAATATAAACAAGTCAGAGACAAGTCATGAAAACAGGAAATGAACAAGTCATCCATCAGAGAGGGCAGTGGAATACCGGATCACAGTGGCAACATGGTCTTGACAGGTATTGGAAATACCTTGACAGTGGGAGATCCAAACATTCCCTGGAGCATTCGAGCCCCTAGGATGGCAACGATTATTAGAGACATGACAAGGCATGTCATGCACATGACTGCGAGAAGTCAAAAAAGGAAAGACCCCTGATGGAAGCATAACAATTTCCCCCCTCTCCCTGGAATTGCTGATCCTTTCAGCCCTGGGATCCATGTCAGTTGACTCAGAATCAGCATCTACCAGCTCCATTTCCACAATGTGTTATGCCTGCATCAGGGGTCTTTCCTTTTTCAACTTCTCATGGTCACATGCATCATGTGCCTTGTTGTGTCTCTCATAATCATTGCCATCCTAGGGGTTTGTATGCTATGAGGCTCCCTCAGATCTCCAGCTGTCAAGGTATTTCCAATACCTGTCAAGACCATGCCTCTCACTTGATCTGGTGTTCCACTGCCCTCTCTGATGGACAACATGTTATGTTCTTACTTTTCTGACTTGTTTCTGACTTGTTTATATTGCTTATATGTTGTACTATAGCTCTGGTGTCTGGCTCCTTGCTGTGCATTGATTGCACAGCTGGTATAGCCTTTGTTCCCCTGTCTACCCCCATCATATGACACTGTATGACTCCTTCTGACTTATTTATTTGACTGATTGTTCTGTTGACTACTGCAGATATGCATCACAATGTGTCCCATTGTGACTGGTACAGTACTCGTACTTAGGGGTATATAAACCCACGTACTATACCTTGTATCCTCAGTTTTTTGATAGCTTGCAACTCAGCTTCATCCCTTTGCTCTCATCCTTGTTCCCTCCTCTGTGTGATCTCAGAAGAACTCACCAGAAGGAGTGAACCTCTGTCAGATGACTGTGATAACTGAGCCATAGGGGTTATGACAAGTTCGGCCTGTAGACTCCCCCTCACATGCTTCATGCCTATTCCATTTGAAGAAGTCACCATGCTTGGGCATAACAAAATTGAAAAACTCCATGCAGCTTTTGGGACTCGTCAACCTCTTTGTGAAAGTCTACTTGTCCCTGGTTACTGAACTTCAACAAACCAAATCCATTCTTAGCACAAGGCTCATTGCTCTCCCTACATGTAAAGACTAACTTGCCTTTGTTTGCTTCCTTGAACAAGATTGAGAAGCATCCCTCTACCCTCAACCAAATACACTGCTCTACAGGCAGCCACTAGGCTTTAATAGATCGCTTCTCTAGAGTCAGCACTCGTGTCTCCCTACATGTAAAGTCACTTGCACACAAATCAAACCCCTCTATGCTGACAGGTTTCTTTTGAGAAATAAATCCTCCCTCAGCCTTTGCTTGTCACTATCTGTAAAAGTGTCTAACCCACAGAAATCAAAACCTCCAGTCCCTTCCTCGACCTAATCCCCTTGGACTTGGACAGGAATCCACCCTTACTGCCCATCCCTTTAGGATGACTCAGTCCTTTGGTTACTGCAACCAATCCCCAGTTATCTTATCTATCCCACTTTAGGGAGTCAGAAATTGTGCTTAGTTCAGAAGAAGAAGATGATCAGAAGTCTGAGACTTCTTTTGGATCAGTCCTCAAAGAAGAACAAGAAGCATGTGATAAAGAAGAAATGTCCATGACTGATTGGTCATGGAGATTCAGTTCCTGAAATGCCCCTGAGGACCATTTCAGAAGAGGAACTGAGACAGAGGTTGGAAGAACAAAGAGTTCACTATGGTAGAGGAGCTCTGCCAGGCTATGCATGCAAGTGCAAGTGACCCTGTTCCCAACAGGTATGCCTATGGACTCAGCTTTGAGAGAATGGTATTGTAGGAACTTCAGAAAGGCCATACCCCCAGAGTTACCCATCAGTGGTAACAGTAAGGGGAAAGCCAAAGCTGATGAAGACAATGACTACTCAAGCCACCCACCCAACAGAGGTTGGGAGTTTAATGTTGGGCATCCTGGTGAATACAATGGAAGCCACAATGGGCTTCAGACCTGGATTATGCAGGTCAAAGGATACTTGAACCTGAACAAGCATGTCTACAACACAGAGTCCCTCAAGATTTCATTTGCACTCACATATATGACCAAAGGCACAGCAGTCTCTTTTGCCAAGAACTACCAAAATGAAAACAAGTTACTTGACAGCTTGATCTACTACACCTGATACCTTTCAAAGGTTCAGTCAAAAGGTTGAAGGCTACTTTCAAGTCAGGTGATCAAACCACTCTCACAATTTTACATCTTTTGGACATTCAACAAGGCAAATGAGAACTTGAGGCATACATCGCTGAGTTTACAGGGCTTGTTAACAAGGCTCAGCTTAAAGAAGAATCATGTGAAGCAGGGATCTTCTTTGGGAAAGGCTTAAACAAAGAATATTGCAACTGGGTTCTTAATTCTGGACATGCCCCTTCCATGGTGATCAAGTGGATACAGTGTGCAGGATCCTGACATATCAGGGTAGAAAAGAAGTTCAAGATGACCTCATTCACTGGAAAAGATGAAGAGTGGGTAACCCACAAGGTAACCCTGAAGATGGAGATCAAGGAGGCAAATTATCTGGGTCAAGTGTTATGTTGGCCCTCTCATCAGAAAAGAACATGTCCTTCTCAGGATGCCATTCCTCAAGGAGCTCAAACCAAGAATGAACATGGGAAACTGGCAAAATTACATGCTGGGATGATGGGTATGTGTATCCTGAAGGATCTGATTACTTTGTCAAACAGGTAGTGTCTTCAGACATGGACAATACAAAGGAATCTTCCAGTTTGTCCCCAGAAGTGGTAAAACAGGGTTTGGGTGAAACCCCCAAAGTAAAAATAACAAAACAACCTTGTCCACAGAACTCAAGGCTGCCTTGGTGGCAGGCAAAGAGGAAGTCAAGCTTCCAGAAATTTACAGGGAGTTCACCAAGGTGTTCACTGAAGATGACATCCTGCTCCTGGCACATTAGCCAGGATTAGATCACAAAATTTGACTTTGTGAAGACTTCAAACTGAAGAAGGCTGCCATATACCCAATGTCCCCTGATGAACTTAAAGTTTTAGATGAGTTCTTGGATGAGAACCTTAAATGCAAGAAGATTTGACTGTCAACTTTGCCTCAAGCAGCACTGGTGTTCTTTGTTGCCAAAAAGGATGGAAAGAAGCGGTTAATTCAAGATTACTGCTATCTCAATTCATTTACCATCCCTGACACACACCCACTGCCTAATGCACAGGCCTTGTTTGATGAGTTGGTTGAATCAAAGTATTATGCCAAGTTTGATATTCAGTGGGGTTTTACTAACCTTTGTGTCAAAGAAGGAGATGAGTGGAAAGGAGCATTTATCACACCAAGAGGGCTGTTTGAGCCCACAGTAATGTTCTTTGGTCAATGCAACTCACCCCCTTCTTTCCAAAGGTATATGGATAAAACCTTTGAATCCCAACAAGGAAAGCAAGTCAGATATATGGATAATGTCACCATCCATGCCAAGACCAAGGAAGAACTCTGAAATTGTGTCCATGAGTTCCTGAAGATCTGTGACAAGGAAGGACTATGCCTCAAGATCAGCAAGCGTGTCTTTGAGGCTGAAGAAATAGAATTCCTCAGAATGATCATAGGAAAAGGGCATATGGAAACTTTGCCAATGCAGACCGATGCCATCAGTACTTGGGAAGCCCCTGACAATCTTATGGGACTTCACAGATTCCTTGGATTCTGTAACTTCTATTGAAAGTTTATCCCTTCCTTCTCAAGTGTCGCGTTGTGAGTTGAAGTGAGGTTCAGTGGTGAAAACCAACCAAAACCAACACAAAAGACAACGAAAGCGAGTGGTGGTGTCCCTATGCGGTACCTAGATGGTAGAACCTGTTCTTTGGGAGGGTTTTTTGCAAGCTACAACACTCAAAGATGAGTGCTGAGGGTTGGGGGTGCTCCTGACGAAGAGGGAGCAAGAATGTGATGGAAAGCGATA